AATGACAACTGCTCAACAGGCTCTGATTCTCCTCATCTTCTTCAGGAACTACACTCAGATTGCGGTAGGTGCCTTCCCACCAAATTTCATTACTGGTTCTGCTATCGCGTATTCGAGTCGGTTCGTCCGCGAATTCGTAATCCTCTTCAATGGAGGATTCCCTTTGCTCGTTGGTTTCGCTCAAACTGTCGTTTAGAGATTCACTGGAAGCGGTGTTGGCCCTTTCGAAATCGATTTTGTACGTGTAGTTTTTCTCCAAATATTCATCTTCCGGCTGTCGGGTTAATAGTTTGGTTTCGTCTTCTTCTACTGTGTTTATCAAATCTTCGATATCCCTGGAGATAACTTCCAGGGTGGAATTTTGGGATTGGGAAAGGTCCGCGAAAGATATCAAATCTTGCGCGGATTCATCCTGATTGATCAATATTTCCTGAGTGGTTTCGTATTTCTTGGGTTTGCGGATGACTTTTTTAATAGGTACCTCTATCAGGGCGTCAGTGCTCGGCACTAACTCCAAGGAGTTGCTGAATTGCCCCTCCGGCTCCACCACGTCCAAATCTAAACCGAACAATTTGCCTTGTTCTTGAACTTCGAACAGCATGTGCTCGAGCATAGCGTCTATATGCGAGTAGGAAGCTGGGGGGTTCCCGGGGGAGGGATCTAAGGGTACTGTGAGCATACTGTTACTCGGCAAGAGCACGCTTTCGTATGTTACGAACTGGGCGCTGGGTTCTGGGGCATCTGGTGAAAAAATCTCGGCTATATCTCTGCATTAACCAAAGTTCGAATGAACAAGTACGTTTTTTCTCGTCAGTAACTTTGATAAATTTGGTAAATCGGTCGAGTGCGAAAGAGTCCTGTTAGAATTCGATTGCTTTGACATATAAACTATGTTTGTTCAACATAATTTACAAATATATTTTTATTAAATTATCTCGTGCAATCGAAGTCCTTTTTAGGCCCTTAGGCACAAGACTAAAGACAGTATATTTCTATGTTAGAATTTGCCAATGAGATGTGAAATGATTCGTGATATAAAACGTGAATTTGTATCGCCGATACTGCTCAAGCTGTGCCGGAATTGCGTAATTTTATTCTCGTATTATCCAGTTTAAAATTCTTCGTTGCATGCGCATGCTGTATTTTGTGCAGTATCCGAGTTGCTGTTAACTTTATCATTATTTTGCGTTATTTTTAAATCATTGTGAAGCTGTAAGCTTTCAGAGGAGATTAACTTGCCTGAAATGAGCTGAAGAGAAGCTTAAAAAATTCGTTAAATATTCGGAATGAATCGGGTTAAAATATGAAAAAGAAATTGAACCAAATGAAAGCTGTAGAGTGTACTTTCAAACATTATTAGTTGTAATGTTAATATGCACAAAAAGCATCCTCTGGCTTTAAAAAAAAACGAAACGAAATAAAAATTAATAAGTTAAATAAAAGAATAATAATGATGAATTATCGTGAAAATGATTGTTAGCGATTGATGGTGGTGCACCTAAGTGTGACATGACGGAATTAAAAAATACCTGCATGTTAATTTGAATTTTCGAAATACACTATTTTAAAACCTTTACTCGAAAAAATATCGTACGTAAAAAGTATCCCAAATTATCAAAAAAACTGATTAAATAGACGTGTAGAGAAAAGGTTTTAAATTGCTTGGGTACTTAAAAACAATTCCTCACCGAATATTTTGGATCGATATCGATATCTTTATCAAAAAAATCTAACGTATAAATAACAAAACTTCTTACCTCTCTGTGCTGCTTTCTTATCTAGTGCTGGAGCTGAGGGCTCCAATTTGAGCGGGTGCTGTTTTGAGGCTTCCCATTCTATGAACAAATTCACTTGTATTAGCTTTTACATTCGCAAAATCGTTTCCTCCTAATTACTAAATACCACGTACGACTTACCACAAATTAAAATAAAATCAATTTGCTCAATTCGTGCCAATTGGTAGATGAATTAGAGACAAAATTTGGTACTTACTGTTTTATTGCCAATTTTGGTGTAAAAATTAGAATGAAATAATAACAAAATTTGGTTCTGATAAACATAATGCAAGATGATACAAAAATAGAAAGAGTAATAATTTTATAATTATAGAGTAATTAATCATCTTGCATTATTAAGAGTCCTATTTAACATTAACAAACCATTTGCTAATCTAATACAAATTTGAATACCTCTCATTCCATCTTCGTAGACCACCGGCCCATCCACCACATTCACTAAAACCTTACAGTCGGTTTTCGATTTATTTTCGAGAAAATTAATTTCGTCTTCAGAAAAGTATTCGATATCGGTTAACCGCTCGCTGAATCCGCCTCCCTTCAGATACATGCACCCCTCCGGGTTCATTTTCCTCTTGCTCTCCGACACTATCTTGGTGTTCGGATCCAAATCGAAGCAGAACTGATTCGGAGTGGCCGTCGCAGCCCTGGAGTAACTCTGTTCTTCGTCAGCGGAAGCTGCCAAATCCTCGGTGTCGGTGTGTGAAGGGGTAACGGCGAAATTCGGCAGAAGTCTAGCGGGTTTGTTGACGCTCAAGCGGTCTTGCTCGCTGAAGTTTCCGGAACTCTCCTTGTTGATGACCAAATTTCCGCTCATTTCGCGCATGTGTTGCGGCGTACAAGACGATTCCCTGCAGAAATTGTATTGTTTCTCTTCGTCCGAAGCGTCCCCGACAACTTCAGTGTCTGTTAAAGGTAGAGTCTCCTGCGGGAGGTTCAGTAGTGGCGATAAGCTGTGGAAATCTTCAGAGTTATCGTCGCTCAACAACACGTCTTCAGTGTCGGTTAGACCTTTGGAAATTTGGTTTTTGACGCTGAGCTTGTTTTTTTCAGCGATGAATCTTTCGTGCAAGTGCTTGAATTTAGGAGGTTTGCGTCTTCGAGTGGTCAGAACGATTTCTTCTGTATCTGTTAGATTGTCTTCGTCTCTAACTGGAGTTTTGAGGATTTTGGGTTTGTTTTGAGTGCTCTCGCTTTCGTTTATTATACCGCAATCTGGTAGGTTGAGGTCGGAAAATGATGTTGGTATGGTGCCTTCTACAGCCTCTTCGGCTTCAGATACGCTTTCTTCATCGGTTTCGATAATTCCAGACTCCTGACGCGATTGTACAGGCGAATCTTCGGTTAGCGGTAGAATCTGAATGGTGGGAAACGGTTCGTTATCTTTGAGTATCACCAAGTTTCTAACCGCTGGTGGTAAATCGATTTCCGGTAAATTGTTAACATCTTCACAATCGTCTTGGAATTCCTCTTCGTCGGTCAAACTCGCCACTCGCTTGGCCAGAGCCAGCGGGATCGTTTTTGAGTATTCTTCATCGGAACTGTCTACGTTCTCGCAATCTGTTATCGGATCGTCGGTTTTAATTACCTGAAGCGTGGATTTGGTTTTCAACGGTTTCGCTGTCGGGGCAACATCGAATTTGATATCGTATTTTATATCCTCGACTTCTTCGAATTCTTTATCGCTGTTTTCTGTCTGACAAACATCACTATCAGTGTTGATGTCGTTGAGAGTATCATCGCTTTTGATGGATTGCGTTTTGTATACGTTCTTGGTCTTTATAGAGCTGTGAGCTTCGTTAGTGTTGCTGTAACAAGACGCCATTTCGTTCAGTTTTTCTTCGAAAGCATCGTCTCCTTCATTGGAATCTTTAGTGTTAGGTACGCTTTCGGAGACGTCATCGAAATCCTCCACGTCTGTTGGAAAATTCGTATCGAATTCGGGTATGTTCAAAATGTTTTGCTTTTTTTGGGCAATTTTTTTACAGATAGGGAAAGGTATGTGGGTGTTCTCTTCGTTGTCTGTATCGTAAGGTAAAGAGTGGCTTTTTATGATAGCTTTGGTTTTCGATTTCGATTGCTTGGGTTTGATGTAAGGAGCGAATTTAGGAATATCGTCGTCCGATACATCCAAATCCTCCATATCGGTTAAAGACGGTTTTCTGCCGCCTCTGTATCTCCTCCTGCGCGGTTTTCCCTTCTTAAACGATTTCTCGTTATCGGAATCTGATAGTAAGACTTCGACATCTGTTAATTCCGATAAATTTGGCGATGAACTTAAAAATGCTGAATCGGCCATTCCCTTTCTAGGCACAGGCGAAAGTAATCCAGATTTATTGGTTTTATCAGCTACGTTTATGTTTACAGTGTTGTAAATGTCCATATCAATGTCAGCTTCGGGTATGGAATCTTTGATAATCTCGTTATCGGTATCGAAAATTTCTTCGTCTGTAAAATTTTCGAAAATAGTGTATTCGATTTCTTTAGGGTTAATATGAGAGCAGGAAAATTGAGTTTTCAACTTTCTCTTGCCTTTAGGCATCTTAACCTGAGTTTTATAAGATTCCTCGAATGTTCCACCTTCCAGATCCAGATCGTCCAGATTTATCGGCGCCGAATGGGGCACGAAAGATTTTTCGTTTTTATCATCTTCATCATCTGAATCCTCGAAATCCTCCAAATCAGTTAAAGCTTCGTCTCGATTCAGCTTGATTTTAAGCTTGGATCTCAGCTGGTTTTTGATTGTAGGTTTCTCGTCATCGTCGAGATCTTCGATGTCAGTTAGAGCGTCTGTTAGAGTCATGTAATTAGTTTCATCATCCATGCTTTCTTCGTCGTGAGTTACGGCGATTTTCGGAATTGCGGACATATTTTCTCTTTAAAAAATATATTTCGTGTCAGTAGGTGGTTATGCGATTTACTATGTATCCCCTAGGATGGATCGAGTTGAATGTTGTATAAATAATGGTACTTACCTTATTGATAAGAGGAAATAGCGTTAATTACTACAACTATCATGCAAATCTACTTAGTTTGGGCTTTACCTCTAAAAATTACTAATTTAGAATGGTTTACTACTCTTCGCGTTTATTTGGATTATGCGCTTTTTAAGAGTAAGAGGAGGATTAATGGAAATGCAAGCAGCTGATATCCAAATAAATCGCGAACAGGTAACAACGAAACTACTCGAATTTATACTCGAAATTATACCTCTTTACTTGTGTCTATTCGAGAAGCCATGCTCTGGGTTGACACCGCAATAGTTTCGGGTAGCGCTGAGGAAGTGTTACCTGTTGAAGTACTTCCTTCTATATACTCATACTGAAACTTCCTCCGCGTCGGCGAGAGGACCTGCACGTCCAGGATAGGCGACAGCCTCTCCTCGGTCTTCTGCGGGCCGGCCGCCGCCTCCGCGTACTGGGAGAGCACCAGTTTGCGCGGCAGCTCGGTTTCTTGTATCATGGCATCCTCGCAAATGATCAGATCGGACATGCGGTGGCAGGATTCTTGAACGGATTCGCGGGAGCGCCGGATTTTCGGCGACGTGGGCGTTAGGGGTTTGCACCGGCCGTTGGCGTCGGAGCTGACGTCGTGATCGGACGGGGAGCTGGGCAGCGCTACAGACTCCGACAGGCTGGAGTCCGTAGTGTCTACAAGCGACATCTCAGTTTCGTTCTTGAGCGCCGACGCCACTCGGCGAATGTTCTCGTACGGTTGCCGGTAGATGACCTCTATAGAGCCGGTGTGGTATTGGGTGCGCGTGAAGACTTCCGATGTCAGCTGCTTGGTGCCCCCGTTGGCAGATCTGACGCGTATGGGGCTGCCCGGCAGGGACGTGGGGCTGGCGCTTTTGCGACCTTCTTCGATGAGTTCGTGGTAGGTGGTAGGGATGACGCTCTGGCTGCGAGCGCGGTCGGCGAACTGGACGGTTTTCTCGCAGGACGGCTTCTGGATAGATTGGGAGAATTTCTTGATATGCTCGCTGATGATGGTCCGGCGCAGTTTCGTGGGGGAAGGACTGGGTTTCGGGCTTTCGATGCGGAAGATTTTTGTAGCGTCTTCGTTGAAAGTGGATTTCTCGGATTGCTGCGTAATTATTTTGTTAGAATCTAATTTGCTTTTTTTCTTCAGCTTCGGCGAGTCATCTTTAATTTCTTTCTTCTTTGTTGGTGTGCTAGGGACCTTTTTCATTGCGCTTTTCTTTGCATCTTTAGATTTAGTTGGTGTACCATCTCCTGTAGCTGGTTTAATTGGAGTACTATCTCTAGTAACAGTTTTTACTGGAGTACTATCGCTACTAACAGTTTTTAGAGGAGTATCTCTAGAATTTTGATTAGTCGGTGTACCTTCTCTGGACTTTTGCTTAGCAGGAATGCTCAATTTAGGTTTGTGTTCGTCCAATTTTAGTTTGCTTTTAAGTTGCTCATTGGCGTTGTCAACTTCACGTTTATCTTTGATTCTGATACTCTTCATGTCTCTTGATACTGTAGACATCATGTAGCCGTGCACTCGGCTATCGTATTTTTTCACAACGTGAGTTATTTCTGGTGGGCAATAGGGCGCTACTGGTTTTCTTTTTAAGTATTCGGTTTGCTTTGCTGCTTTCGATTCTTTAACAGAAATTGATTGAGAACTTTTGGTTACTGAGGATCTTGTTACTCGCGAACTGCTTGATTCGCTTCTAGTGCTGGACGAGTCGGTTCTTTGTTTGGTGGTGATTTCGGTTCTTCTGGTGCTTTTTTTGGTGAATTTAGATTTTGGGGATTGTTTTACAGTAACTGATTTTTCATCATCAGAACTCATGTCAGCGTCGCGTTGAGATTTAGTCAGTTTGGTCGATTTTGCTAATTTCACTTTAGTGACTTGTCTAGCAGATGATTTTTTCTTGACGGGCTCACTGTCAGGCTTTTCGCGATGCGCTGGAATTTGCTTCTTCTTCTGACGTGGATCTGCGTTGACATCGATGAGTGTGATTTCCAATAAATCGTCGGTCATTTTAATATCGGAATTTGAGATTTCAAATTGCTGTTTAGTCGCTGTATGAGAGGTTTCAATTATGGAGATGTGAGACTCGCTTTCTGAGAGAGTCTGCTGGTCGATTCTTTGGAAAGAATCGGTTTCAGAAGATAGAGGTTCTATATCGGTTTCGGAATATTGGCGCAAATGGGACACATCACGTGAAGAATTACTAAATTCGTCGACGATTCTTGTTTTAGCATCGTCGGTTTTATCAGTTAGGTCTTTGACAAACTCTTTTGAAACAACAACAAGAGATTTTTGATCACTTTCTTCGTCATCAATTTCACGTTTTTGATATTTATGAGAGAAATGTTTAATCAACAGTTTTTCATCATCGCTATAAAGATGTGTATGAGATTTGTTAGATGGCTTTGTGAAGGAATGAATGTCGTCATCAATTTTTATATCTTTCCCTGCCATTTTTTCCAGTGTCGATAAGTCAGAAGAAATTGATAATGACTCGCTTTTAATAAAAACCTGCTGATCAATGTGAATATTTTGAGATTTGTTTGAAGATGATAAGCTTTCTTTGAGAGATTTAGGTAAGTGGTCTGGAATATTGGAATGATATTCAGGTTGAGTAATTTCTTTTTCAGTAGTATCGTTTAGACTACGTTTCACACGGTTAGCAATTTTATCATCATTTCGTATTTCTTTATATGATAAAATTTCATCGTGCATTTGAGTTGGAGATTTAGGTGTTTCTTTAGGTGATGAAATTTCATCGTGAACTTTAGCTGGAGATTTAGGTGTTTCTTTAGGTAAGGGAATATGTTCGTGAATTTTAGTAGGGGAAATTGCTAGTTCTTTAGGTGATGGAATATCATCTTCAACTTTACCTGGAGATTTAGGTTTTTCTTTAGGTAAGGGAATATGTTCGTGAATTTTAGTAGGAGAAATTGCTAGTTCTTTAGGTGATGGAATATCAACGTCTAATTTAGCTGGAGATTTAGGTGTATCTTTAGGTGAGGGAATATCTTCATGAATTTTATTAGGAGATTTTGTTAGTTCTTTAGGTGATGGAATATCATCATCTACTTTAGCTGGAGATTTAGGTGTATCTTTAGGTGATGGAATATCTTCGTGAATTTTAGTAGGAGATTTTGCTTGTTCTTTAGGGGATGGAATTTCATCATCTACTTTAGCTGGAGATTTGGGTGTATCTTTAGGTGATGGAATATCTTCGTTAATTTTAGTAGGAGATTTTGCAAGTTCTTTAGGTGATGGAATTTCATCGTGAACTTTAGCTGGAGATTTAAGTGTTTCTTTAGGTGATGGAATATCTTCGTGAATTTTAGTAGGAGATTTTGCAAGTTCTTTAGGTGATGGAATTTCATCGTGAACTTTAGCTGGAGATTTAAGTGTTTCTTTAGGTGATGGAATATCTTCGTGAATTTTAGTAGGAGATTTTGCAAGTTCTTTAGGTGATGGAATTTCATCGTGAACTTTAGCTGGAGATTTAAGTGTTTCTTTAGGTGATGGAATATCTTCATGAATTTTAGTAGGAGATTTTGCAAGTTCTTTAGGTGATGGAATTTCATCGTGAACTTTAGCTGGAGATTTATGTGTTTCTTTAGGTGATGGAATATCTTCGTGAATTTTAGTAGGAGATTTTGCAAGTTCTTTAGGTGATGGAATTTCATCGTGAACTTTAGCTGGAGATTTAAGTGTTTCTTTAGGTGATGGAATATCTTCATGAATTTTATTAGGAGATTTTGTTAGTTCTTTAGGTGATGGAATATCATCATCTACTTTAGCTGGAGATTTAGGTGTATCTTTAGGTGATGGAATATCTTCGTGAATTTTAGTAGGAGATTTTGCTTGTTCTTTAGGGGATGGAATTTCATCATCTACTTTAGCTGGAGATTTGGGTGTATCTTTAGGTGATGGAATATCTTCGTTAATTTTAGTAGGAGATTTTGCAAGTTCTTTAGGTGATGGAATTTCATCGTGAACTTTAGCTGGAGATTTAAGTGTTTCTTTAGGTGATGGAATATCTTCGTGAATTTTAGTAGGAGATTTTGCAAGTTCTTTAGGTGATGGAATTTCATCGTGAACTTTAGCTGGAGATTTAAGTGTTTCTTTAGGTGATGGAATATCTTCATGAATTTTAGTAGGAGATTTTGCAAGTTCTTTAGGTGATGGAATTTCATCGTGAACTTTAGCTGGAGATTTATGTGTTTCTTTAGGTGATGGAATATCTTCGTGAATTTTAGTAGGAGATTTTGCAAGTTCTTTAGGTGATGGAATTTCATCGTGAACTTTAGCTGGAGATTTAAGTGTTTCTTTAGGTGATGGAATATCTTCGTGAATTTTAGTAGGAGATTTTGCAAGTTCTTTAGGTGATGGAATTTCATCGTGAACTTTAGCTGGAGATTTAAGTGTTTCTTTAGGTGATGGAATATCTTCATGAATTTTAGTAGGAGATTTTGCAAGTTCTTTAGGTGATGGAATTTCATCGTGAACTTTAGCTGGAGATTTATGTGTTTCTTTAGGTGATGGAATATCTTCGTGAATTTTAGTAGGAGATTTTGCAAGTTCTTTAGGTGATGGAATTTCATCGTGAACTTTAGCTGGAGATTTAAGTGTTTCTTTAGATGATGGAATATCTTCGTGAATTTTAGTAGGAGATTTTGCTTGTTCTTTAGGGTACGGAATATCAACGTCTAATTTAGCTGGAGATTTAGGTGTATCTTTAGGTGAGGGAATATCTTTATGAATTTTAGTAGGAGATTTTGTTAGTTCTTTAGGTGATGGAATATCATCATCTACTTTAGCTTGAGATTTAGGTGTATCTTTAGGTGATGGAATATCTTCGTTAATTTTAGTAGGAGATTTTGCAAGTTGTTTAGGTGATGGAATTTCATCGTGAACTTTAGCTGGAGATTTAAGTGTTTCTTTAGGTGATGGAATATCTTCGTGAATTTTAGTAGGAGATTTTGCAAGTTCTTTAGGTGATGGAATTTCATCGTGAACTTTAGCTGGAGATTTATGTGTTTCTTTAGGTGATGGAATATCTTCGTGAATTTTAGTAGGAGATTTTGCTTGTTCTTTAGGTGATGGAATTTCATCGTGAACTTTAGCTGGAGATTTAAGTGTTTCTTTAGGTGATGGAATATCTTCGTGAATTTTAGTAGGAGATTTTGCTTGTTCTTTAGGGGATGGAATATCAACGTCTAATTTAGCTGGAGATTTAGGTGTATCTTTAGGTGATGGAATATCTTCGTGAATTTTAGTAGCAGATTTTGCAAGTTCTTTAGGTGATGGAATTTCATCGTGAACTTTAGCTGGAGATTTAAGTGTTTCTTTAGGTGATGGAATATCTTCGTGAATTTTAGTAGGAGATTTTGCAAGTTCTTTAGGTGATGGAATTTCATCGTGAACTTTAGCTGGAGATTTATGTGTTTCTTTAGGTGATGGAATATCTTCGTGAATTTTAGTAGGAGATTTTGCTTGTTCTTTAGGGGATGGAATATCAACGTCTAATTTAGCTGGAGATTTAAGTGTATCTTTAGGTGATGGAATATCTTCGTGAATTTTAGTAGGAGATTTGGGTGTATCTTTAGGTGAGGGAATATCTTCATGAATTTTAGTAGGAGATTTTGCAAGTTCTTTAGGTGATGGAATTTCATCGTGAACTTTAGCTGGAGATTTAAGTGTTTCTTTAGGTGATGGAATATCTTCGTGAATTTTAGTAGGAGATTTTGCAAGTTCTTTAGGTGATGGAATTTCATCGTGAACTTTAGCTGGAGATTTAAGTGTTTCTTTAGGTGATGGAATATCTTCGTGAATTTTAGTAGGAGATTTTGCAAGTTCTTTAGGTGATGGAATTTCATGGTGAACTTTAGCTGGAGATTTAAGTGTTTCTTTAGGTGATGGAATATCTTCGTGAATTTTAGTAGGAGATTTTGCAAGTTCTTTAGGTGATGGAATTTCATCGTGAACTTTAGCTGGAGATTTAAGTGTTTCTTTAGGTGATGGAATATCTTCGTGAATTTTAGTAGGAGATTTTGCAAGTTCTTTAGGTGATGGAATTTCATCGTGAACTTTAGCTGGAGATTTAAGTGTTTCTTTAGGTGATGGAATATCTTCGTGAATTTTAGTAGGAGATTTTGCAAGTTCTTTAGGTGATAGAATTTCATCGTGAACTTTAGCTGGAGATTTATGTGTTTCTTTAGGTGATGGAATATCTTCGTGAATTTTAGTAGGAGATTTTGCAAGTTCTTTAGGTGATGGAATTTCATCGTGAACTTTAGCTGGAGATTTAAGTGTTTCTTTAGGTGATGGAATATCTTCGTGAATTTTAGTAGAAGATTTTGCATGTTCTTTAGGTGATGGAATTTCATCGTGAACTTTAGCTGGAGATTTATGTGTTTCTTTAGGTGATGGAATATCTTCGTGAATTTTAGTAGGAGATTTTGCTTGTTCTTTAGGTGATGGAATTTCATCGTGAACTTTAGCTGGAGATTTAAGTGTTTCTTTAGGTGATGGAATATCTTCGTGAATTTTAGTAGGAGATTTTGCTTGTTCTTTAGGGGATGGAATATCAACGTCTAATTTAGCTGGAGATTTATGTGTTTCTTTAGGTGATGGAATATCTTCGTGAATTTTAGTAGGAGATTTTGCAAGTTCTTTAGGTGATGGAATTTCATCGTGAACTTTAGCTGGAGATTTATGTGTTTCTTTAGGTGATGGAATATCTTCGTGAATTTTAGTAGGAGATTTTGCTTGTTCTTTAGGGGATGGAATATCAACGTCTAATTTAGCTGGAGATTTAAGTGTATCTGTAGGTGATGGAATATCTTCGTGAATTTTAGTAGGAGATTTTGCTTGTTCTTTAGGTGATGGAATTTCATCGTGAACTTTAGCTGGAGATTTAAGTGTTTCTTTAGGTGATGGAATATCTTCGTGAATTTTAGTAGGAGATTTTGGAATTTCTTTAGGTGATGGAATTTCATCGTGAACTTTAGCTGGAGACTTAGGTGTTTCTTTAGGTGATGGAATATCTTCGTGAATTTTAGTAGGAGATAGTGGTAAAACTTTGGTTAATTTAATTTCTTTTATTATTTCAGTATCCTTTACTTTTATCTCCTCTGAGATTCCAATTTTCGTAACGTGTTTTGATACCGATTTCGGTGTTATATCTTTAATAGGAGATTTTAATATTAGTTTTACTGGAATATCTTTAGAAATTTCAATGTCTTTCGGTTTACCAGGATATTTAGTTGCTTCTATAATTGACGGAATATCTTCGTGAATTTTAGTAGGAGATTTTGCTTGTTTTTTAGGTGATGGAATTTCATCGTGAACTTTAGCTGGAGATTTAGGTGTTTCATTAGGTGATGGAATTTCATCGTGAACTTTAGCTGGAGATTTAGGTGTGTCTTTAGGGGATGGAATTTCATCGTGAACTTTGGCAGGAGATTTGGGTGTTTCTTTAGGTGATGGAATATCTTCATGAATTTTAGTAGGAGACTTTGTTAGTTCTTTAGGTGATGGAATTTCATCGTCTACTTTAGCTGGAGATTTAGGTGTTTCTTTAGGTGATGGAATATTTTCGTGAATTTTAGTAGGAGATTTTGCTTGTTCTTTAGGTGATGGAATTTCATCGTGAACTTTAGCTGGAGATTTAGGTGTATCTTTAGGTGAGGGAATATCTTCGTGAATTTTAGTAGGAGATTTTGCTTGTTCTTTAGGTGACGGAATATCATCGTCTACTTTAGCTGGAGATTTAGGTGTATCTTTAGGTGATGGAATTTCATCGTGAACTTTAGCAGGAGATTTGGGTGTTTCTTTAGGTGAGGGAATATCTTCGTGAATTTTAGTAGGAGATTTTGCTTGTTCTTTAGGTGATGGAATTTCATCGTGAACTTTAGCAGGAGATTTGGGTGTTTCTTTAGGTGAGGGAATATCATCGTGAATTTTAGTAGGAGATTTTGCTTGTTCTTTATGTGATGGAATTTCATCGTGAACTTTAGCTGGAGATTTAGGTGTTTCTTTAGGTGATGGAATGTCTTCGTGAAATTTAGTAGGAGATTTTGCTTGTTCTTTAGGTGATGGAATTTCATCGTGAACTTTAGCAGGAGATTTGGGTGTTTCTTTAGGTGAGGGAATATCTTCGTGAATTTTAGTAGGAGATTTTGCTTGTTCTTTAGGTGACGGAATATCATCGTCTACTTTAGCTGGAGATTTAGGTGTATCTTTAAGTGATGGAATATCTTCGTGAATTTTAGTAGGAGATTTTGCTTGTTCTTTATGTAATGGAAATTCATCGTCTACTTTAGCTGGAGATTTAGGTGTTTCTTTAGGTGAGGGAATATCTTCGTGAATTTTAGTAGGAGATTTTGCTTGTTCTTTAGGTGATGGAATTTCATCGTGAACTTTAGCAGGAGATTTAGGTGTATCTTTAGGTGATGGAATATCTTCGTGAATTTTAGTAGGAGATAGTGGTAAAACTTCGGTTAATTTAATTTCTTTTATTATTTCAGTATCCTTTACTTTTATCTCCTCTGAGATTTTCGTAACGTGTTTTGATACCCATTTCGGTGTTATATCTTTAATAGGAGATTTTAATATTAGTTTTACTGGAATATCTTTAGAAATTTCAATGTCTTTCGGTTTACCAGGAGATTTAGTTGCTTCTATAATTGACGGAATATCTTCGTGAATTTTAGTAGGAGATTTTGCTTGTTCTTTATGTAATGGAAATTCATCGTCTACTTTAGCTGGATATTTAGGTGTTTCTTTAGGTGAGGGAATATCTTCGTGAATTTTAGTAGGAGATTTTGCTTGTTCTTTAGGTGATGGAATTTCATCGTGAACTTTAGCTGGAGATTTAGGTGTTTCTTTAGGTGATGGAATATCTTCGTGAATTTTAGTAGGAGATTTTGCTTGTTCTTTAGGTGACGGAATATTATCGTCTTCTTTAGCTGGAGATTTAGGTGTATCTTTAGGTGAGGGAATATCTTCGTGAATTTTAGTAGGAGATTTTGCTTGTTCTTTAGGTGATGGAATTTCATCGTGAACTTTAGCTGGAGATTTAGGTGTTTCTTTAGGTGATGGAATATCTTCGGGAATTTTAGTAGGAGATTTTGCTTGTTCTTTAGGTGACGGAATATCATCGTCTACTTTAGCTGGAGATTTAGGTGTATCTTTAGGTGATGGAATATCTTCGTGAATTTTAGTAGGAGATTTTGCTTGTTCTTTAGGTGACGGAATATCATCGTCTACTTTAGCTGGAGATTTAGGTGTTTCTTTAGGTGATGGAATATCTTCGTGAATTTTAGTAGGAGATTTTGCTTGTTCTTTAGGTGACGGAATATCATCGTCTACTTTAGCTGGAGATTTAGGTGTATCTTTAGGTGATGGAATATCTTCGTGAATTTTAGTAGGAGATTTTGCTTGTTCTTTAGGTGACGGAATATCATCGTCTACTTTAGCTGGAGATTTAGGTGTATCTTTAGGTGATGGAATATCTTCGTGAATTTTAGTAGGAGATTTTGCTTGTTCTTTAGGTGATGGAATATCTTCGTGAATTTTAGTAGGAGATTTTGCTGGTTCTTTAGGTGACGGAATATCATCGTCTACTTTAGCTGGAGATTTAAGTGTATCTTTAGGTGATAGAATATCTTCGTGAATTTTAGTAGGAGATTTTGCTTGTTTTTTAGGTGATGGAATTTCATCGTGAACTTTAGCTGGAGATTTAGGTGTTTCATTAGGTGATGGAATTTCATCGTGAACTTTAGCTGGAGATTTAGGTGTGTCTTTAGGGGATGGAATTTCATCGTGAACTTTGGCAGGAGATTTGGGTGTTTCTTTAGGTGATGGAATATCTTCATGAATTTTAGTAGGAGACTTTGTTAGTTCTTTAGGTGATGGAATTTCATCGTCTACTTTAGCTGGAGATTTAGGTGTTTCTTTAGGTGATGGAATATTTTCGTGAATTTTAGTAGGAGATTTTGCTTGTTCTTTAGGTGATGGAATTTCATCGTGAACTTTAGCTGGAGATTTAGGTGTATCTTTAGGTGAGGGAATATCTTCGTGAATTTTAGTAGGAGATTTTGCTTGTTCTTTAGGTGACGGAATATCATCGTCTACTTTAGCTGGAGATTTAGGTGTATCTTTAGGTGATGGAATTTCATCGTGAACTTTAGCAGGAGATTTGGGTGTTTCTTTAGGTGAGGGAATATCTTCGTGAATTTTAGTAGGAGATTTTGCTTGTTCTTTAGGTGATGGAATTTCATCGTGAACTTTAGCAGGAGATTTGGGTGTTTCTTTAGGTGAGGGAATATCATCGTGAATTTTAGTAGGAGATTTTGCTTGTTCTTTAGGTGATGGAATTTCATCGTGAACTTTAGCTGGAGATTTAGGTGTTTCTTTAGGTGATGGAATATCTTCGTGAAATTTAGTAGGAGATTTTGCTTGTTCTTTAGGTGATGGAATTTCATCGTGAACTTTAGCAGGAGATTTGGGTGTTTCTTTAGGTGAGGGAATATCTTCGTGAATTTTAGTAGGAGATTTTGCTTGTTCTTTAGGTGATGGAATTTCATCGTGAACTTTAGCAGGAGATTTGGGGGTTTCTTTAGGTGAGGGAATATCTTCGTGAATTTTAGTAGGAGATTTTGCTTGTTCTTTAGGTGACGGAATATCATCGTCTACTTTAGCTGGAGATTTAGGTGTATCTTTAGGTGATAGAATATCTTCGTGAATTTTAGTAGGAGATTTTGCTTGTTCTTTAGGTGATGGAATTTCATCGTGAACTTTAGCAGGAGATTTGGGTGTTTCTTTAGGTGATGGAATATCTTCGTGAATTTTAGTAGGAGATTTTGCTTGTTCTTTAGGTGACGGAATATCATCGTCTACTTTAGCTGGAGATTTAGGTGTATCTTTAGGTGAGGGAATATCTTCGTGAATTTTAGTAGGAGATTTTGCTTGTTCTTTAGGTGACGGAATATCATCGTCTACTTTAGCTGGAGATTTAGGTGTATCTTTAGGTGATGGAATTTCATCGTGAACTTTAGCAGGAGATTTGGGTGTTTCTTTAGGTGAGGGAATATCTTCGTGAATTTTAGTAGGAGATTTTGCTTGTTCTTTAGGTGATGGAATTTCATCGTGAACTTTAGCAGGAGATTTGGGTGTTTCTTTAGGTGAGGGAATATCATCGTGAATTTTAGTAGGAGATTTTGCTTGTTCTTTAGGTGATGGAATTTCATCGTGAACTTTAGCAGGAGATTTGGGTGTTTCTTTAGGTGAGGGAATATCTTCGTGAATTTTAGTAGGAGATTTTGCTTGTTCTTTAGGTGACGGAATATCATCGTCTACTTTAGCTGGAGATTTAGGTGTATCTTTAGGTGATGGAATATCTTCGTGAATTTTAGTAGGAGATTTTGCTTGTTCTTTATGTAATGGAAATTCATCGTCTACTTTAGCTGGAGATTTAGGTGTTTCTTTAGGTGAGGGAATATCTTCGTGAATTTTAGTAGGAGATTTTGCTTGTTCTTTAGGTGATGGAATTTCATCGTGAACTTTAGCAGGAGATTTAGGTGTATCTTTAGGTGATGGAATATCTTCGTGAATTTTAGTAGGAGATAGTGGTAAAACTTCGGTTAATTTAATTTCTTTTATTATTTCAGTATCCTTTACTTTTATCTCCTCTGAGATTTTCGTAACGTGTTTTGATACCGATTTCGGTGTTATATCTTTAATAGGAGATTTTAATATTAGTTTTACTGGAATATCTTTAGAAATTTCAATGTCTTTCGGTTTACCAGGAGATTTAGTTGCTTCTATAATTGACGGAATATCTTCGTGAATTTTAGTAGGAGATTTTGCTTGTTCTTTATGTAATGGAAATTCATCGTCTACTTTAGCTGGATATTTAGGTGTTTCTTTAGGTGAGGGAATATCTTCGTGAATTTTAGTAGGAGATTTTGCTTGTTCTTTAGGTGATGGAATTTCATCGTGAACTTTAGCTGGAGATTTAGGTGTATCTTTAGGTGAGGGAATATCTTCGTGAATTTTAGTAGGAGATTTTGCTTGTTCTTTAGGTGACGGAATATTATCGTCTTCTTTAGCTGGAGATTTAGGTGTATCTTTAGGTGAGGGAATATCTTCGTGAATTTTAGTAGAAGATTTTACTTGTTCTTTAGGTGATGGAATTTCATCGTGAACTTTAGCTGGAGATTTAGGTGTATCTTTAGGTGAGGGAATATCTTCGTGAATTTTAGTAGGAGATTTTGCTTGTTCTTTAGGTGACGGAATATTATCGTCTTCTTTAGCTGGAGATTTAGGTGTATCTTTAGGTGAGGGAATATCTTCGTGAATTTTAGTAGAAGATTTTACTTGTTCTTTAGGTGATGGAATTTCATCGTGAACTTTAGCTGGAGATTTAGGTGTTTCTTTAGGTGATGGAATATCTTCGTGAATTTTAGTAGGAGATTTTGCTTGTTCTTTAGGTGATGGAATTTCATCGTGAACTTTAGCTGGAGATTTAGGTGTATCTTTAGGTGAGGGAATATCTTCGTGAATTTTAGTAGGAGATTTTGCTTGTTCTTTAGGTGACGGAATATCATCGTCTACTTTAGCTGGAGATTTAGGTGTATCTTTAGGTGATGGAATATCTTCGTGAATTTTAGTAGGAGATTTTGCTTGTTCTTTAGGTGACGGAATATCATCGTCTACTTTAGCTGGAGATTTAGGTGTATCTTTAGGTGATAGAATATCTTCGTGAATTTTAGTAGGAGATTTTGCTTGTTCTTTAGGTGATGGAATTTCATCGTGAACTTTAGCTGGAGATTTAGGTGTATCTTTAGGTGAGGGAATATCTTCGTGAATTTTAGTAGGAGATTTTGCTTGTTCTTTAGGTGACGGAATATTATCGTCTTCTTTAGCTGGAGATTTAGGTGTATCTTTAGGTGAGGGAATATCTTCGTGAATTTTAGTAGAAGATTTTACTTGTTCTTTAGGTGATGGAATTTCATCGTGAACTTTAGCTGGAGATTTAGGTGTTTCTTTAGGTGATGGAATATCTTCGGGAATTTTAGTAGGAGATTTTGCTTGTTCTTTAGGTGACGGAATATCATCGTCTACTTTAGCTGGAGATTTAGGTGTATCTTTAGGTGATGGAATATCTTCGTGAATTTTAGTAGGAGATTTTGCTTGTTCTTTAGGTGACGGAATATCATCGTCTACTTTAGCTGGAGATTTAGGTGTATCTTTAGGTGATGGAATATCTTCGTGAATTTTAGTAGGAGATTTTGCTTGTTCTTTAGGTGATGGAATTTCATCGTCTACTTTAGCTGGAGATTTAGGTGTATCTTTAGGTGAGGGAATATCTTCGTGAATTTTAGTAGGAGATTTTGCGTGTTCTTTAGGTGATGGAATTTCATCGTCTACTTTAGCTGGAGATTTAGGTGTATCTTTAGGTGATGGAATATCTTCGTGAATTTTAGTAGGAGATTTTGCTTGTTCTTTAGGTGATGGAATTTCATCGTGAACTTTAGCAGGAGATTTGGGTGTTTCTTTAGGTGAGGGAATATCATCGTGAATTTTAGTAGGAGATTTTGCTCGTTCTTTAGGTGATGGAATTTCATCGTGATCTTTAGCTGGAGATTTAGGTGTTTCTTTAGGTGATGGAATATCTTCGTGAATTTTAGTAGGAGATTTTGCTTGTTCCTTAGGTGATGGAATTTCATCGTGAACTTTAGCAGGAGATTTGGTTGTTTCTTTAGGTGATGGAATATCTTCGTGAATTTTAGTAGGAGATTTTGCTTGTTCTTTAGGTGATAGAATTTCATCGTGAACTTTAGCTGGAGATTTAGGTGTTTCTTTAGGTGATGGAATATCTTCGTGAATTTTAGTAGGAGATAGTGGTAAAACTTCGGTTAATTTAATTTCTTTTATTATTTCAGTATCCTTTACTTTTATCTCCTCTGAGATTTTCGTAACGTGTTTTGATACCGATTTCGGTGTTATATCTTTAATAGGAGATTTTAATATTAGTTTTACTGGAATATCTTTAGAAATTTCAATGTCTTTCGGTTTACCAGGAGATTTAGTTGCTTCTATAATTGACGGAATATCTTCGTGAATTTTAGTAGGAGATTTTGCTTGTTCTTTAGGTGACGGAATATCATCGTCTACTTTAGCTGGAGATTTAGGTATTTCTTTAGGTGAGGGAATATCTTCATGAATTTTAGTAGGAGATTTTGCTTGTTCTTTAGGTGATGGAATTTCATCGTGAACTTTAGCTGGAGATTTAGGTGTTTCTTTAGGTGATGGAATATCTTCGTGAATTTTAGTAGGAGATTTTGCTTGTTCTTTAGGTGACGGAATATCATCGTCTTCTTTAGCTGGAGATTTAGGTGTATCTTTAGGTGAGGGAATATCTTCGTGAATTTTAGTAGGAGATTTTGCTTGTTCTTTAGGTGATGGAATATCATCGTCTACTTTAGCTGGAGATTTAGGTGTATCTCTAGGTGATGGAATATCTTCGTGAATTTTAGTAGGATATTTTGCTTGTTCTTTAGGTGACGGAATATCATCGTCTACTTTAGCTGGAGATTTAGGTGTATCTTTAGGTGATAGAATATCTTCGTGAATTTTAGTAGGAGATTTTGCTTGTTCTTTAGGTAATGGAAATTCATCGTCTACTTTAGCTGGAGATTTAGGTGTTTCTTTAGGTGAGGGAATATCTTCGTGAATTTTAGTAGGAGATTTTGCTTGTTCTTTAGGTGATGGAATTTCATCGTGAACTTTAGCAGGAGATTTAGGTGTATCTTTAGGTGATGGAATATCTTCGTGAATTTTAGTAGGAGATTTTGCTTGTTCTTTAGGTGACGGAATATCATCGTCTACTTTAGCTGGAGATTTAGGTGTATCTTTAGGTGATGGAATATCTTCGTGAATTTTAGTAGGAGATTTTGCTTGTTCTTTAGGTGATGGAATTTCATCGTCTACTTTAGCTGGAGATTTAGGTGTATCTTTAGGTGAGGGAATATCTTCGTGAATTTTAGTAGGAGATTTGGCGTGTTCTTTAGGTGATGGAATTTCATCGTCTACTTTAGCTGGAGATTTAGGTGTATCTTTAGGTGATGGAATATCTTCGTGAATTTTAGTAGGAGATTTTGCTTGTTCTTTAGGTGATGGAATTTCATCGTGAACTTTAGCAGGAGATTTGGGTGTTTCTTTAGGTGAGGGAATATCATCGTGAATTTTAGTAGGAGATTTTGCTCGTTCTTTAGGTGATGGAATTTCATCGTGATCTTTAGCTGGAGATTTAGGTGTTTCTTTAGGTGATGGAATATCTTCGTGAATTTTAGTAGGAGATTTTGCTTGTTCTTTAGGTGATGGAATTTCATCGTGAACTTTAGCAGGAGATTTGGTTGTTTCTTTAGGTGATGGAATATCTTCGTGAATTTTAGTAGGAGATTTTGCTTGTTCTTTAGGTGATGGAATTTCATCGTGAACTTTAGCAGGAGATTTGGGTGTTTCTTTAGGTGATGGAATATCTTCGTGAATTTTAGTAGGAGATAGTGGTAAAACTTCGGTTAATTTAATTTCTTTTATTATTTCAGTATCCTTTACTTTTATCTCCTCTGAGATTTTCGTAACGTGTTTTGATACCGATTTCGGTGTTATATCTTTAATAGGAGATTTTAATATTAGTTTTACTGGAATATCTTTAGAAATTTCAATGTCTTTCGGTTTACCAGGAGATTTAGTTGCTTCTATAATTGACGGAATATCTTCGTGAATTTTAGTAGGAGATTTTGCTTGTTCTTTAGGTGACGGAATATCATCGTCTACTTTAGCTGGAGATTTAGGTGTTTCTTTAGGTGAGGGAATATCTTCGTGAATTTTAGTAGGAGATTTTGCTTGTTCTTTAGGTGATGGAATTTCATCGTGAACTTTAGCTGGAGATTTAGGTGTTTCTTTAGGTGATGGAATATCTTCGTGAATTTTAGTAGGAGATTTTGCTTGTTCTTTAGGTGACGGAATATCATCGTCTACTTTAGCTGGAGATTTAGGTGTATCTTTAGGTGAGGGAATATCTTCGTGAATTTTAGTAGGAGATTTTGCTTGTTCTTTAGGTGACGGAATATCATCGTCTTCTTTAGCTGGAGATTTAGGTGTATCTTTAGGTGAGGGAATATCTTCGTGAATTTTAGTAGGAGATTTTGCTTGTTCTTTAGGTGATGGAATATCATCGTCTACTTTAGCTGGAGATTTAGGTGTATCTTTAGGTGATGGAATATCTTCGTGAATTTTAGTAGGAGATTTTGCTTGTTCTTTAGGTGACGGAATATCATCGTCTACTTTAGCTGGAGATTTAGGTGTATCTTTAGGTGATGGAATATCATCGTGAATTTTAGTAGGAGATTTTGCTTGTTCTTTAGGTGACGGAATATCATCGTCTACTTTAGCTGGAGATTTAGGTGTATCTTTAGGTGATGGAATATCTTCGTGAATTTTAGTAGGAGATTTTGCTTGTTCTTTAGGTGACGGAATATCATCGTCTACTTTAGCTGGAGATTTAGGTGTATCTTTAGGTGATGGAATATCTTCGTGAATTTTAGTAGGAGATTTTGCTTGTTCTTTAGGTAATGGAAATTCATCGTCTACTTTAGCTGGAGATTTAGGTGTTTCTTTAGGTGAGGGAATATCATCGTGAATTTTAGTAGGAGATTTTGCTTGTTCTTTAGGGGATGGAATTTCATCGTGAATTTTAGCTGGAGATTTAGGTGTTTCTTTAGGTGATGGAATATCTTCGTGAATTTTAGTAGGAGATTTTGCTTGTTCTTTAGGTGATGGAATTTCATCGTGAACTTTAGCAGGAGATTTGGGTGTTTCTTTAGGTGAGGGAATTTCATCGTGAACTTTAGCTGGAGATTTAGGTGTTTCTTTAGGTGATGGAATATCTTCGTGAATTTTAGTAGGAGATTTTGCTTGTTCTTTAGGTGATGGAATTTCATCGTGAACTTTAGCAGGAGATTTGGGTGTTTCTTTAGGTGATGGAATATCTTCGTGAATTTTAGTAGGAGATTTTGCTTGTTCTTTAGGTGATGGAATTTCATCGTGAACTTTAGCAGGAGATTTAGGTGTTTCTTTAGGTGATGGAATATCTTCGTGAATTTTAGTAGGAGATTTTGCTTGTTCTTTAGGTGATGGAATTTCATCGTGAACTTTAGCAGGAGATTTGGTTGTTTCTTTAGGTGATGGAATATCTTCGTGAATTTTAGTAGGAGATTTTGCTTGTTCTTTAGGTGATGGAATTTCATCGTGAACTTTAGCAGGAGATTTGGGTGTTTCTTTAGGTGATGGAATATCTTCGTGAATTTTAGTAGGAGATAGTGGTAAAACTTCGGTTAATTTAATTTCTTTTATTATTTCAGTATCCTTTACTTTTATCTCCTCTGAGATTTTCGTAACGTGTTTTGATACCGATTTCGGTGTTATATCTTTAATAGGAGATTTTAATATTAGTTTTACTGGAATATCTTTAGAAATTTCAATGTCTTTCGGTTTACCAGGAGATTTAGTTGCTTCTATAATTGACGGAATATCTTCGTGAATTTTAGTAGGAGATTTTGCTTGTTCTTTAGGTGACGGAATATCATCGTCTACTTTAGCTGGAGATTTAGGTGTTTCTTTAGGTGAGGGAATATCTTCGTGAATTTTAGTAGGAGATTTTGCTTGTTCTTTAGGTGATGGAATTTCATCGTGAACTTTAGCTGGAGATTTAGGTGTTTCTTTAGGTGATGGAATATCTTCGTGAATTTTAGTAGGAGATTTTGCTTGTTCTTTAGGTGACGGAATATCATCGTCTTCTTTAGCTGGAGATTTAGGTGTATCTTTAGGTGAGGGAATATCTTCGTGAATTTTAGTAGGAGATTTTGCTTGTTCTTTAGGTGACGGAATATCATCGTCTTCTTTAGCTGGAGATTTAGGTGTATCTTTAGGTGATGGAATATCTTCGTGAATTTTAGTAGGAGATTTTGCTTGTTCTTTAGGTGACGGAATATCATCGTCTACTTTAGCTGGAGATTTAGGTGTATCTTTAGGTGATGGAATATCATCGTGAATTTTAGTAGGAGATTTTGCTTGTTCTTTAAGTGACGGAATATCATCGTCTACTTTAGCTGGAGATTTAGGTGTATCTTTAGGTGATGGAATATCTTCGTGAATTTTAGTAGGAGATTTTGCTTGTTCTTTAGGTGACGGAATATCATCGTCTACTTTAGCTGGAGATTTAGGTGTATATTTAGGTGATGGAATATCTTTGTGAATTTTAGTAGGAGATTTTGCTTGTTCTTTAGGTGATGGAATATCATCGTCTACTTTAGCTGGAGATTTAGGTGTATCTTTAGGTGATGGAATATCTTCGTGAATTTTAGTAGGAGATTTTGCTTGTTCTTTAGGTGACGGAATATCATCGTCTACTTTAGCTGGAGATTTAGGTGTATCTTTAGGTGATGGAATATCTTCGTGAATTTTAGTAGGAGATTTTGCTTGTTCTTTAGGTAATGGAAATTCATCGTCTACTTTAGCTGGAGATTTAGGTGTTTCTTTAGGTGAGGGAATATCATCGTGAATTTTAGTAGGAGATTTTGCTTGTTCTTTAGGGGATGGAATTTCATCGTGAATTTTAGCTGGAGATTTAGGTGTTTCTTTAGGTGATGGAATATCTTCGTGAATTTTAGTAGGAGATTTTGCTTGTTCTTTAGGTGATGGAATTTCATCGTGAACTTTAGCAGGAGATTTGGGTGTTTCTTTAGGTGAGGGAATTTCATCGTGAACTTTAGCTGGAGATTTAGGTGTTTCTTTAGGTGATGGAATATCATCGTCTACTTTAGCTGGAGATTTAGGTGTATCTTTAGGTGATGGAATATCTTCGTGAATTTTAGTAGGAGATTTTGCTTGTTCTTTAGGTAATGGAAATTCATCGTCTACTTTAGCTGGAGATTTAGGTGTTTCTTTAGGTGAGGGAATATCATCGTGAATTTTAGTAGGAGATTTTGCTTGTTCTTTAGGTGATGGAATTTCATCGTGAATTTTAGCTGGAGATTTAGGTGTTTCTTTAGGTGATGGAATATCTTCGTGAATTTTAGTAGGAGATTTTGCTTGTTCTTTAGGTGATGGAATTTCATCGTGAACTTTAGCAGGAGATTTGGGTGTTTCTTTAGGTGAGGGAATTTCATCGTGAACTTTAGCTGGAGATTTAGGTGTTTCTTTAGGTGATGGAATATCTTCGTGAATTTTAGTAGGAGATTTTGCTTGTTCTTTAGGTGATGGAATTTCATCGTGAACTTTAGCAGGAGATTTGGGTGTTTCTTTAGGTGATGGAATATCTTCGTGAATTTTAGTAGGAGATTTTGCTTGTTCTTTAGGCGATGGAATTTCATCGTGAACTTTAGCAGGAGATTTGGGTGTTTCTTTAGGTGATGGAATATCTTCGTGAATTTTAGTAGGAGATAGTGGTAAAACTTCGGTTAATTTAATTTCTTTTATTATTTCAGTATCCTTTACTTTTATCTCCTCTGAGATTCCAATTTTCGTAACGTGTTTTGATACCGATTTCGGTGTTATATCTTTAATAGGAGATTTTAATATTAGTTTTACTGGAATATCTTTAGAAATTTCAATGTCTTTCGGTTTACCAGGAGATTTAGTTGCTTCTATAATTGACGGAATATCTTCGTGAATTTTAGTAGGAGATTTTGCTTGTTCTTTAGGGGATGGAATTTCATCGTGAACTTTAGCTGGAGATTTAGGTGTTTCTTTAGGTGAGGGAATATCTTCGTGAATTTTAGTAGGAGATTTTGCTTGTTCTTTAGGTGATGGAATTTCATCGTGAACTTTAGCTGGAGATTTAGGTGTTTCTTTAGGTGATGGAATATCTTCGTGAATTTTTGTGGGAGATTTTGCTTGTTCTTTAGGGGATGGAATTTCATCGTGAACTTTAGCTGGAGATTTAGGTGTTTCTTTAGGTGATGGAATATCTTCGTGAATTTTAGTAGGAGATTTTGCTTGTTCTTTAGGTGATGGAATTTCATCGTGAACTTTAGCAGGAGATTTGGGTGTTTCTTTAGGTGAGGGAATATCTTCGTGAATTTTAGTAGGAGATTTTGCTTGTTCTTTAGGTGATGGAATTTCATCGTGAACTTTAGCTGGAGATTTAGATGTATCTTTAGGTGATGGAATATCTTCGTGAATTTTAGTGGGAGATTTTGCTTGTTCTTTAGGGGATGGAATTTCATCGTGAACTTTAGCTGGAGATTTAGGTGTTTCTTTAGGTGATGGAATATCTTCGTGAATTTTAGTAGGAGATTTTGCTTGTTCTTTAGGTGATGGAATTTCATCGTGAACTTTAGCAGGAGATTTGGGTGTTTCTTTAGGTGAGGGAATTTCATCGTGAACTTTAGCTGGAGATTTAGGTGTTTCTTTAGGTGATGGAATATCTTCGTGAATTTTAGTAGGAGATTTTGCTTGTTCTTTAGGTGATGGAATTTCATCGTGAACTTCAGCAGGAGATTTGGGTGTTTCTTTAGGTGATGGAATATCTTCGTGAATTTTAGTAGGAGATTTTGCTTGTTCTTTAGGTGATGGAATTTCATCGTGAACTTTAGCAGGAGATTTGGGTGTTTCTTTAGGTGATGGAATATCTTCGTGAATTTTAGTAGGAGATAGTGGTAAAACTTCGGTTAATTTAATTTCTTTTATTATTTCAGTATCCTTTACTTTTATCTCCTCTGAGATTCCAATTTTCGTAACGTGTTTTGATACCGATTTCGGTGTTATATCTTTAATAGGATATTTTAATATTAGTTTTACTGGAATATCTTTAGAAATTTCAATGTCTTTCGGTTTACCAGGAGATTTAGTTGCTTCTATAATTGACGGAATATCTTCGTGAATTTTAGTAGGAGATTTTGCTTGTTCTTTAGGTGACGGAATATCATCGTCTACTTTAGCTGGAGATTTGGGTGTTTCTTTAGGTGATGGAATATCTTCGTGAATTTTAGTGGGAGATTTTGCTTGTTCTTTAGGGGATGGAATTTCATCGTGAACTTTAGCTGGAGATTTAGGTGTTTCTTTAGGTGAGGGAATATCTTCGTGAATTTTAGTGGGAGATTTTGCTTGTTCTTTAGGGGATGGAATTTTTTCATGAATTTTAGCTGGAGATTTAGGTGTTTCTTTAGGTGAGGGAATATCTTCATGAATTTTAGTTGGAGATTTTTCTAGTTCTTTAGGAGAGGGAATATCTTCATGAATTTTAGTTGGAGATTTAGGTGTTTCTTTAGGTGAGGGAATATCTTCATGAATTTTAGTTGGAGATTTTTCTAGTTCTTTAGGTGATGGAATTTCATCGTGAATTTTAGCTGGAGATTTAGGTGTTTCTTTAGGTGATGGAATATCTTCGTGAATTTTAGTAGGAGATTTTGCTTGTTCTGTAGGTGATGGAATTTCATCGTGAACTTTAGCAGGAGATTTGGGTGTTTCTTTAGTTGAGGGAATTTCATCGTGAACTTTAGCTGGAGATTTAGGTGTTTCTTTAGGTGATGGAATATCTTCGTGAATTTTAGTAGGAGATTTTGCTTGTTCTTTAGGTGATGGAATTTCATCGTGAACTTTAGCAGGAGATTTGGGTGTTTCTTTAGGTGATGGAATATCTTCGTGAATTTTAGTGGGAGATTTTGCTTGTTCTTTAGGGGATGGAATTTCATCGTGAACTTTAACTGGAGATTTAGGTGTTTCTTTAGGTGAGGGAATATCTTCATGAATTTTAGTAGGAGATTTTGCTTGTTCTTTAGGGGATGGAATTTCATCGTGAACTTTAGCTGGAGATTTAGGTGTTTCTTTAGGTGAGGGAATATCTTCGTGAATTTTAGTAGGAGATTTTGCTTGTTCTTTAGGGGATGGAATTTCATCGTGAACTTTAGCTGGAGATTTAGGTGTTTCTTTAGGTGAGGGAATATCTTCGTGAATTTTAGTAGGAGATTTTGCTTGTTCTTTAGGTGATGGAATTTCATCGTGAACTTTAGCTGGAGATTTAGGTGTTTCTTTAGGTGAGGGAATATCTTCGTGAATTTTAGTAGGAGATTTTGCTTGTTCTTTAGGTGATGGAATTTCATCGTGAACTTTAGCTGGAGATTTAGGTGTTTCTTTAGGTGATGGAATATCTTCGTGAATTTTAGTAGGAGATTTTGCTTGTTCTTTAGGTGATGGAATTTCATCGTGAACTTTAGCAGGAGATTTGGGTGTTTCTTTAGGTGAGGGAATTTCATCGTGAACTTTAGCTGGAGATTTAGGTGTTTCTTTAGGTGATGGAATATCTTCGTGAATTTTAGTAGGAGATTTTGCTTGTTCTTTAGGTGATGGAATTTCATCGTGAACTTTAGCAGGAGATTTGGGTGTTTCTTTAGGTAATGGAATATCTTCGTGAATTTTAGTAGGAGATAGTGGTAAAACTTCGGTTAATTTAATTTCTTTCATTATTTCAGTATCCTTTACTTTTATCTCCTCTGAGATTTTCGTAACGTGTTTTGATACCGATTTCGGTGTTATATCTTTAATAGGAGATTTTAATATTAGTTTTACTGGAATATCTTTAGAAATTTCAATGTCTTTCGGTTTACCAGGAGATTTAGTTGCTTCTATAATTGACGGAATATCTTCGTGAATTTTAGTAGGAGATTTTGCTTGTTCTTTAGGTGACGGAATATCATCGTCTACTTTAGCTGGAGATTTAGGTGTTTCTTTAGGTGATGGAATATCTTCGTGAATTTTAGTAGGAGATTTTGCTTGTTCTTTAGGGGATGGAATTTCATCGTGAACTTTAGCTGGAGATTTAGGTGTTTCTTTAGGTGATGGAATATCTTCGTGAATTTTAGTAGGAGATTTTGCTTGTTCTTTAGGTGAAGGAATTTCATCGTGAACTTTAGCTGGAGATTTAGGTGTTTCTTTAGGTGATGGAATATCTTCGTGAATTTTAGTAGGAGATTTTGCTTGTTCTTTAGGTGAAGGAATTTCATCGTGAACTTTAGCTGGAGATTTAGGTGTTTCTTTAGGTGATGGAATATCTTCGTGAATTTTAGTAGGAGATTTTGCTTGTTCTTTAGGTGATGGAATTTCATCGTGAACTTTAGCAGGAGATTTGGGTGTTTCTTTAGGTGAGGGAATATCTTCGTGAATTTTAGTAGGAGATTTTGCTTGTTCTTTAGGTGATGGAATTTCATCGTGAACTTTAGCTGGAGATTTAGGTGTTTCTTTAGGTGAGGGAATATCTTCGTGAATTTTAGTAGGAGATTTTGCTTGTTCTTTAGGTGATGGAATTTCATCGTGAACTTTAGCAGGAGATTTGGGTGTTTCTTTAGGTGAGGGAATATCTTCGTGAATTTTAGTAGGAGATTTTGCTTGTTCTTTAGGTGATGGAATTTCATCGTGAACTTTAGCAGGAGATTTGGGTGTTTCTTTAGGTGATGGAATATCTTCGTGAATTTTAGTAGGAGATTTTGCTTGTTCTTTAGGTGATGGAATTTCATCGTGAACTTTAGCAGGAGATTTGGGTGTTTCTTTAGGTGATGGAATATCTTCGTGAATTTTAGTAGGAGATTTTGCTTGTTCTTTAGGTGATGGAATTTCATCGTGAACTTTAGCAGGAGATTTGGGTGTTTCTTTAGGTGATGGAATATCTTCGTGAATTTTAGTAGGAGATAGTGGTAAAACTTCGGTTAATTTAATTTCTTTTATTATTTCAGTATCCTTTACTTTTATCTCCTCTGAGATTCCAATTTTCGTAACGTGTTTTGATACCGATTTCGGTGTTATATCTTTAATAGGAGATTTTAATATTAGTTTTACTGGAATATCTTTAGAAATTTCAATGTCTTTCGGTTTACCAGGAGATTTAGTTGCTTCTATAATTGACGGAATATCTTCGTGAATTTTAGTAGGATATTTTGCTTGTTCTTTAGGTGACGGAATATCATCGTCTACTTTAGCTGGAGATTTGGGTGTTTCTTTAGGTGATGGAATATCTTCGTGAATTTTAGTGGGAGATTTTGCTTGTTCTTTAGGGGATGGAATTTCATCGTGAACTTTAGCTGGAGATTTAGGTGTTTCTTTAGGTGAGGGAATATCTTCGTGAATTTTAGTAGGAGATTTTGCTTGTTCTTTAGGGGATGGAATTTCATCGTGAACTTTAGCTGGAGATTTAGGTGTTTCTTTAGGTGAGGGAATATCTTCGTGAATTTTAGTAGGAGATTTTGCTTGTTCTTTAGGTGATGGAATTTCATCGTGAACTTTAGCTGGAGATTTAGGTGTTTCTTTAGGTGATGGAATATCTTCGTGAATTTTAGTGGGAGATTTTGCTTGTTCTTTAGGGGATGGAATTTCATCGTGAACTTTAGCTGGAGATTTAGGTGTTTCTTTAGGTGATGGAATATCTTCGTGAATTTTAGCTGGAGATTTAGGTGTTTCTTTAGGTGATGGAATATCTTCGTGAATTTTAGTAGGAGATTTTGCTTGTTCTTTAGGTGATGGAATTTCATCGTGAACTTTAGCTGGAGATTTAGGTGTTTCTTTAGGTGATGGAATATCTTCGTGAACTTTAGCTGGAGATTTAGGTGTTTCTTTAGGTGATGGAATATCTTCGTGAATTTTAGTGGGAGATTTTGCTTGTTCTTTAGGTGATGGAATTTCATCGTGAACTTTAGCAGGAGATTTGGGTGTTTCTTTAGGTGAGGGAATTTCATCGTGAACTTTAGCTGGAGATTTAGGTGTTTCTTTAGGTGATGGAATATCTTCGTGAATTTTAGTAGGAGATTTTGCTTGTTCTTTAGGTGATGGAATTTCATCGTGAACTTTAGCAGGAGATTTGGGTGTTTCTTTAGGTGATGGAATATCTTCGTGAATTTTAGTAGGAGATAGTGGTAAAACTTCGGTTAATTTAATTTCTTCAATTATTTCAATTTCCTTCACTTTTATCTCCTCTGAGACACCAATTTTCGTAACATGTTTTGATGGCGATTTTGGTGTAACGTCTTTTATAGGAGATTTTAATCCTGGTTTGTCTGGAATATCTTTAGAAATATCAATGTCTTTCGGTTTAACAGGGGATTTAGTTGCTTCTATAATTGACGGAATATCTTCGTGAATTTTAGTAGGAGATTTTGCTTGTTCTTTAGGTGACGGAATATCATCGTCTACTTTAGCTGGAGATTTAGGTGTTTCTTTAGGTGATGGAATATCTTCGTGAATTTTAGTAGGAGATTTTGCTTGTTCTTTAGGTGATGGAATTTCATCGTGAACTTTAGCAGGAGATTTGGGTGTTTCTTTAGGTGAGGGAATTTCATCGTGAACTTTAGCTGGAGATTTAGGTGTTTCTTTAGGTGATGGAATATCTTCGTGAATTTTAGTAGGAGATTTTGCTTGTTCTTTAGGTGATGGAATTTCATCGTGAACTTTAGCAGGAGATTTGGGTGTTTCTTTAGGTGATGGAATATCTTCGTGAATTTTAGTAGGAGATAGTGGTAAAACTTCGGTTAATTTAATTTCTTTTATTATTTCAGTATCCTTTACTTTTATCTCCTCTGAGATTCCAATTTTCGTAACGTGTTTTGATACCGATTTCGGTGTTATATCTTTAATAGGAGATTTTAATATTAGTTTTACTGGAATATCTTTAGAAATTTCAATGTCTTTCGGTTTACCAGGAGATTTAGTTGCTTCTATAATTGACGGAATATCTTCGTGAATTTTAGTAGGAGATTTTGCTTGTTCTTTAGGTGACGGAATATCATCGTCTACTTTAGCTGGAGATTTAGGTGTTTCTTTAGGTGATGGAATATCTTCGTGAATTTTAGTAGGAGATTTTGCTTGTTCTTTAGGGGATGGAATTTCATCGTGAACTTTAGCTGGAGATTTAGGTGTTTCTTTAGGTGATGGAATATCTTCGTGAATTTTAGTAGGAGATTTTGCTTGTTCTTTAGGGGATGGAATTTCATCGTGAACTTTAGCTGGAGATTTAGGTGTTTCTTTAGGTGATGGAATATCTTCGTGAATTTTAGTAGGAGATTTTGCTTGTTCTTTAGGTGATGGAATTTCATCGTGAACTTTAGCAGGAGATTTGGGTGTTTCTTTAGGTGATGGAATATCTTCGTGAATTTTAGTAGGAGATAGTGGTAAAACTTCGGTTAATTTAATTTCTTTTATTATTTCAGTATCCTTTACTTTTATCTCCTCTGAGATTCCAATTTTCGTAACGTGTTTTGATACCGATTTCGGTGTTATATCTTTAATAGGAGATTTTAATATTAGTTTTACTGGAATATCTTTAGAAATTTCAATGTCTTTCGGTTTACCAGGAGATTTAGTTGCTTCTATAATTGACGGAATATCTTCGTGAATTTTAGTAGGAGATTTTGCTTGTTCTTTAGGTGACGGAATATCATCGTCTACTTTAGCTGGAGATTTAGGTGTTTCTTTAGGTGATGGAATATCTTCGTGAATTTTAGTAGGAGATTTTGCTTGTTCTTTAGGTGATGGAATTTCATCGTGAACTTTAGCAGGAGATTTGGGTGTTTCTTTAGGTGAGGGAATTTCATCGTGAACTTTAGCTGGAGATTTAGGTGTTTCTTTAGGTGATGGAATATCTTCGTGAATTTTAGTAGGAGATTTTGCTTGTTCTTTAGGTGATGGAATTTCATCGTGAACTTTAGCAGGAGATTTGGGTGTTTCTTTAGGTGATGGAATATCTTCGTGAATTTTAGTAGGAGATAGTGGTGAAACTTCGGTTAATTTAATTTCTTTTATTATTTCAGTATCCTTTACTTTTATCTCCTCTGAGATTCCAATTTTCGTAACGTGTTTTGATACCGATTTCGGTGTTATATCTTTAATAGGAGATTTTAATATTAGTTTTACTGGAATATCTTTAGAAATTTCAATGTCTTTCGGTTTACCAGGAGATTTAGTTGCTTCTATAATTGACGGAATATCTTCGTGAATTTTAGTAGGAGATTTTGCTTGTTCTTTAGGTGACGGAATATCATCGTCTACTTTAGCTGGAGATTTAGGTGTTTCTTTAGGTGATGGAATATCTTCGTGAATTTTAGTAGGAGATTTTGCTTGTTCTTTAGGGGATGGAATTTCATCGTGAACTTTAGCTGGAGATTTAGGTGTTTCTTTAGGTGATGGAATATCTTCGTGAATTTTAGTAGGAGATTTTGCTTGTTCTTTAGGGGATGGAATTTCATCGTGAACTTTAGCTGGAGATTTAGGTGTTTCTTTAGGTGATGGAATATCTTCGTGAATTTTAGTAGGAGATTTTGCTTGTTCTTTAGGTGATGGAATTTCATCGTGAACTTTAGCAGGAGATTTGGGTGTTTCTTTAGGTGATGGAATATCTTCGTGAATTTTAGTAGGAGATTTTGCTTGTTCTTTAGGTGATGGAATTTCATCGTGAACTTTAGCAGGAGATTTGGGTGTTTCTTTAGGTGATGGAATATCTTCATGAATTTTAGTAGGAGATTTTGCTTGTTCTTTAGGTGATGGAATTTCATCGTGAACTTTAGCAGGAGATTTGGGTGTTTCTTTAGGTGATGGAATATCTTCGTGAATTTTAGTAGGAGATAGTGGTGAAACTTCGGTTAATTTAATTTCTTTTATTATTTCAGTATCCTTTACTTTTATCTCCTCTGAGATTCCAATTTTCGTAACGTGTTTTGATACCGATTTCGGTGTTATATCTTTAATAGGAGATTTTAATATTAGTTTTACTGGAATATCTTTAGAAATTTCAATGTCTTTCGGTTTACCAGGAGATTTAGTTGCTTCTATAATTGACGAAATATCTTCGTGAATTTTAGTAGGAGATTTTGCTTGTTCTTTAGGTGATGGAATTTCATCGTGAACTTTAGCTGGAGATTTAGGTGTTTCTTTAGGTGATGGAATATCTTCGTGAATTTTAGTAGGAGATTTTGCTTGTTCTTTAGGTGATGGAATTTCATCGTGAACTTTAGCTGGAGATTTAGGTGTTTCTTTAGGTGATGGAATATCTTCGTCAATTTTAGTAGGAGATTTTGCTTGTTCTTTAGGTGATGGAATTTCATCGTGAACTTTAGCAGGAGATTTGGGTGTTTCTTTAGGTGAGGGAATATCTTCGTGAATTTTAGTAGGAGATTTTGCTTGTTCTTTAGGTGATGGAATTTCATCGTGAACTTTAGCAGGAGATTTGGGTGTTTCTTTAGGTGATGGAATATCTTCGTGAATTTTAGTAGGAGATAGTGGTAAAACTTCGGTTAATTTAATTTCTTTTATTATTTCAGTATCCTTTACTTTTATTTCCTCTGAGATTCCAATTTTCGTAACGTGTTTTGATACCGATTTCGGTGTTATATCTTTAATAGGAGATTTTAATATTAGTTTTACTGGAATATCTTTAGAAATTTCAATGTCTTTCGGTTTACCAGGAGATTTAGTTGCTTCTATAATTGACGAAATATCTTCGTGAATTTTAGTAGGAGATTTTGCTTGTTCTTTAGGTGATGGAATTTCATCGTGAACTTTAGCTGGAGATTTAGGTGTTTCTTTAGGTGATGGAATATCTTCGTGAATTTTAGTAGGAGATTTTGCTTGTTCTTTAGGGGATGGAATTTCATCGTGAACTTTAGCTGGAGATTTAGGTGTTTCTTTAGGTGATGGAATATCTTCGTGAATTTTAGTAGGAGATTTTGCTTGTTCTTTAGGTGATGGAATTTCATCGTGAACTTTAGCTGGAGATTTAGGTGTTTCTTTAGGTGATGGAATATCTTCGTGAATTTTAGTAGGAGATTTTGCTTGTTCTTTAGGTGATGGAATTTCATCGTGAACTTTAGCAGGAGATTTGGGTGTTTCTTTAGGTGAGGGAATATCTTCGTGAATTTTAGTAGGAGATTTTGCTTGTTCTTTAGGTGATGGAATTTCATCGTGAACTTTAGCAGGAGATTTGGGTGTTTCTTTAGGTGATGGAATATCTTCGTGAATTTTAGTAGGAGATAGTGGTAAAACTTCGGTTAATTTAATTTCTTTTATTATTTCAGTATCCTTTACTTTTATTTCCTCTGAGATTCCAATTTTCGTAACGTGTTTTGATACCGATTTCGGTGTTATATCTTTAATAGGAGATTTTAATATTAGTTTTACTGGAATATCTTTAGAAATTTCAATGTCTTTCGGTTTACCAGGAGATTTAGTTGCTTCTATAATTGACGAAATATCTTCGTGAATTTTAGTAGGAGATTTTGCTTGTTCTTTAGGTGATGGAATTTCATCGTGAACTTTAGCTGGAGATTTAGGTGTTTCTTTAGGTGATGGAATATCTTCGTGAATTTTAGTAGGAGATTTTGCTTGTTCTTTAGGGGATGGAATTTCATCGTGAACTTTAGCTGGAGATTTAGGTGTTTCTTTAGGTGATGGAATATCTTCGTGAATTTTAGTAGGAGATTTTGCTTGTTTTTTAGGTGATGGAATTTCATCGTGAACTTTAGCTGGAGATTTAGGTGTTTCTTTAGGTGATGGAATATCTTCGTGAATTTTAGTAGGAAATTTTGCTTGTTCTTTAGGTGATGGAATTTCATCGTGAACTTTAGCAGGAGATTTGGGTGTTTCTTTAGGTGAGGGAATATCTTCGTGAATTTTAGTAGGAGATTTTGCTTGTTCTTTAGGTGATGGAATTTCATCGTGAACTTTAGCAGGAGATTTGGGTGTTTCTTTACGTGATGGAATATCTTCGTGAATTTTAGTAGGAGATAGTGGTAAAACTTCGGTTAATTTAATTTCTTTTATTATTTCAGTATCCTTTACTTTTATTTCCTCTGAGATTCCAATTTTCGTAACGTGTTTTGATACCGATTTCGGTGTTATATCTTTAATAGGAGATTTTAATATTAGTTTTACTGGAATATCTTTAGAAATTTCAATGTCTTTCGGTTTACCAGGAGATTTAGTTGCTTCTATAATTGACGGAATATCTTCGTGAATTTTAGTCGGAGATTTTGCTTGTTCTTTAGGGGATGGAATTTCATCGTGAACTTTAGCTGGAGATTTAGGTGTTTCTTTAGGTGATGGAATATCTTCGTGAATTTTAGTAGGAGATTTTGCTTGTTCTTTAGGGGATGGAATTTCATCGTGAACTTTAGCTGGAGATTTAGGTGTTTCTTTAGGTGATGGAATATCTTCGTGAATTTTAGTAGGAGATTTTGCTTGTTCTTTAGGTGATGGAATTTCATCGTGAACTTTAGCTGGAGATTTAGGTGTTTCTTTAGGTGATGGAATATCTTCGTGAATTTTAGTAGGAGATTTTGCTTGTTCTTTAGGGGATGGAATTTCATCGTGAACTTTAGCTGGAGATTTAGGTGTTTCTTTAGGTGATGGAATATCTTCGTGAATTTTAGTAGGAGATTTTGCTTGTTCTTTAGGTGATGGAATTTCATCGTGAACTTTAGCTGGAGATTTAGGTGTTTCTTTAGGTGATGGAATATCTTCGTGAATTTTAGTAGGAGATTTTGCTTGTTCTTTAGGTGATGGAATTTCATCGTGAACTTTAGCTGGAGATTTAGGTGTTTCTTTAGGTGATGGAATATCTTCTTGAATTTTAGTAGGAGATTTTGCTTGTTCTTTAGGTGATGGAATTTCATCGTGAACTTTAGCAGGAGATTTGGGTGTTTCTTTAGGTGAGGGAATATCTTCGTGAATTTTAGTAGGAGATTTTGCTTGTTCTTTAGGTGATGGAATTTCATCGTGAACTTTAGCAGGAGATTTGGGTGTTTCTTTAGGTGATGGAATATTTTCATGAATTTTAGTAGGAGATTTTGCTTGTTCTTTAGGTGATGGAATTTCATCGTGAACTTTAGGTGGTTCTTCAGGTGAGGAAAATTGTCCATGAGTTTCAATAGGAGATTTTGGAAAATCTCTTAAAGGGATTTCATCGTTAATTTGAACTGATGATTGGGGTAAATCTGAGTGTGAACGAATATTATCGTGTTCTCTAGTTGGAGAAATTATTAATTTGTTATATGATGAGATATCCTGATATGATGTAGATGTTTCTGTTGTTACGTTAAGCGATTTATTTTTTTTATAGCTACTACTATCTGCATCTCGTTTTATACGAGATTTACTCGCATCTGTTGATACATTTTCATCATAAACGTCAGTACCACCTTTGTCGGGGAAGTTTGTTGTTTTATTTTTATCTGGAGATACAGGTATTATGTTTATTTCTTTAGACTTTGGCGATTGAGATACTAAAAGTTTATCAGGTTGTTTGGCTAGTTCTTCTGGAAATGCTTCGTCTTCTTCAGGAGATTTTATTGCTGATGGTAATGAAAATTTAATATTATCTTTATGTACGTTTATGTCCTCTACTTGTGATGTGTCGGTAGTTATTTTAATTTCTTTGTTTTCGGCAAATGTGTCTTCTATTTTCGTAAATTCTTTTTTGTAAATTTCTTCCGTTTGCACCTTCCCTACTGTCACCGTTTTTTCAGTTAAAATTTCCGTCGATTTTATTTGACTTACACTTCTTATTTGTTTAATTTGCGTTTTACTCTCGATAACAATTTCAGCACCGTCTTCTTTGAGTTCAGCGTGTGTTTTATGATGCTTATCTACCACCATCATGTCTATAGATTTTACATTTTCCTGCTCTTTCTCGTCCTTTGTCAAACCCACCAGATCCCCATCCGGGTACATCGTTATTAATTGACCTTCAGGAGTCGGCGTCAAATCAGGCTTCAGCTCTTTAACATCCTGCCGAATCTGCTTCGAAGCCTCAAGCACCTCCGACATTATTTTGCGGATTTCCTGCTGAGTCGTCGGCACGTAGACAGCACTTTTATCTCTAAGCTCCAGTTGCTTAGGAGAAGTTTTATCAGCACTGACGACAGTCACGCAAGGGGAAAGCTCTTTAATATCTTCAGTATCATCATCAGCAGTCGCTAATTTACTGATCTGTTTCTTTAAGCACGGTTCTTCGCAAATTTCCAGCGGAACTTCGCTCATTTGCTCGATGATTTTAGCGCTGTCTGCGAATATCTTGGAAAGCTCGGTGGGTACTTTACGATCGGTTATTACCGGTTCAAAAGACGGTATATCTTCTTTAATTTCAATTTGTTCGTATGGCGAGACGGATCTTGGTGAACGTGGTTTTACTTGCACTTTAATGCATACGGGTTCCACGCAAGTGCCGTCCAACACTTTGTTCCGTTCCTCGATGGAATGAATCAAAGCTTGAATGTGTCTCTTTTGTTCGGTCACCACTTCCTCTTCGATTGCCTTTAAGCAGTCGCTGAGTTCGTTGTCTGTGTAATCTTTGTGGGTTTTCAAAGGACTACTAGCTGGTTTGTCTTTGGGTAGTGGTGGTTGCATTTCCTTTTCTCTTATACGTTTTTCTATATGTTCCTCTATTAGTTTAGTTTTGTCAACAGGTTCTTTGCACACCTTCTTAGGTGTGGATTCTTGGGATTTTGATATAAGTTCCTCGAACATGCTCTTTTTATCTTTTACGGATTTGACGCTAATCTCGTCTATTTCCTCTTCAGTTTCGGTTTTATCAACAGTTTCTGGTGGTGGTTGATCGATTTCCATTACTTGCTTCGTTAGTACTTTTTCTTTCTCTTTAGGTTTATGCTTGATTGGTAACTTGTACGAATCCTCGTCGGCTTCGTTTTCGGAAGAAAATATTTTTTGCAATTCCGCGATTTTCTTACCGACATGATGTTTTGTATGCACGGGTGTTGAGGTTTTGGATTTGCTCTCTTTGACAGTAATGGCTTGTTCTTCCACTTTTTCTCTCACCATCTGTTCGGCTATGGTTTCTAATTTATATTCCTCATCGTCGAGAATAGCTAGAGTTTCCGTAGAACCTTTGTATAATTCTTCTTCTTTCATACTAGACATTTCGTCTTCCGAATCGACTTGCTCGCGTTGCTTCTTCTCGAAAGCCGACTTCTTCTGAGGAGATTTCCCCGCTTGCTCTTCCAGCATTTTAATTTTCGCTCTGACGTCTCCGGATCCTCGTCTTTTAGCGAGGATTTCGTCGTCTTTGATTTTATCAGCGGCTGAAATGGGAAACGTCTCGTCTGGAATAATCGGGCTACACGTTGAATCTTTAGTATCGATTTGATCCGTGATTGTGCCGGCTTCGGAAGTATCTACTTGAGATATAGCAACTGAAGCGGATTCCGGAAATTCGATAGGGCTAGTGCCTGTATCAGTGTATTGGTTAATTTCATCTTCGAGTTCGTGCGGTGGTAATTCGTCGGCTTGTATAGGACTGAGTCCAGCGTCTGTGCACTCGAATTCCTCTATTTCAGGAGCGGTATCAGAAATGAATCCTGTGGTTTGAATTAAAGTGCCCGGTGGGCGATCGACTGGGCTCGACAGAGTACCAGTGTATCCTCTGGTGATTGAAATACCAGTATCTGTTACGTGGTGCGATACGCTATCGCTTGCTGGTGAATGAGCTGCGGAGGAGCGATCTACCTCGTGGTAAGTGTAAATTTGCTTCCTCCCGCTGAAATTCACGGTTTCCTCCCTCTTTTTGGGCGGAACTTCGCCCGATTCGGGCGGTATTATGAACGACTGGGCCTTGTCGGGGGACGGTTTCTCCATGCCGGCGGTGGTGAACATTCCCACATCGAATTTCTCCGACGTTTCCGCGCCGGAATTGTCTTTCTTGGTGGTGGTTACCGAGATGTGCGATTGGGATTTGATGGAGATTTCCACGTCGTTGGTGCCGTACAAAGTCAGCCGGCTTTCGGCTGTAGCCAGGGCTTCTTTAGTTCGAACCTCTTTACGGCCTATGATAAGTTCTAGAGTGGGCTTAGAGAGGTCGGTGACGGTGGGAGGAGAGCCTTCCGGCGATGGGGATATTTCTTTGTTAGTCAAGGGAGAAGTGCTCCTGTGTACGTGATGTATTTTCTCATTATCTTCCGGTGGTGTCGATTGCTTCTGTTGAGGATAAGTCAATTCTGACGTGGTTTTTTGCACGACGTTCACGACAGCTTCATCGGATTTACCGATGGAAAGGTTCTTAACAGTGCTTGTGTCGTGCGAGTAGGTTAGGGTTACTTTCTTCTCCGGCGCTACTTTAAGCTTTACCTTATCTTGAGTGGGCGCTGGGTTATCTTTACCAGCGCCACCTTGCAGTCTTTCAACAGTCTTTCGTTCCTTTCGTTCCCAATCTTCCGGCCTCTTGGAATCCTTAATACCTTTCTCCTCCGGCGAGGCGTATACGCGCGTTTCGCCGGATTTAGTCTTATCTAAATCTATATCGAATTGCTCACTATTGGAAGGCAGTATATTGGAGGTAGATTCTATCACATCAGCGTCTAAATCCTCGCTCGAAGCGAGACGCTTGCGCTGTCCTGCGAAGAGCTTCGCTTGGTGTTGGTAGTATTGGTAGATGTTATCGTAGGCAGTGACCTCTTGGCTGTCTATGTCTTTAGCGATGTACGAGGGGAAATGCTGTGAAGACGAGCATTCTTCGCCGGGCGTCGGCGTCTCCAACAAGCAATCGTCTTCTCTGAAGCCGTCAGTGTCCAAGGAGTCGTCGTCGTCTTGAGGTGAGGCACTTGCTGTCGCAGGGAGAAACATTTGAGGGTGGATAACAGGACTAACTATAGTGTATTCGTTGTGAGGTAAATGAGGTAGTTTGTGCAACTATACGTTTTGTATTTTAAAAATTCAGAAAATAAATCATTATTCGGAGCTGTTCGGGGGCTCCTTTCAATCGACCATTCGAAATGAGATGGTATGAGATATGTTTTACAAGTGTGTAATGTAGGTAATGGGAAGAGGACGTGAAGGAATACGACAGCTATGTATAAAATATTTATATAAGAAGCCTTTCTAAAGGCATTTCGCATCTCCATAAGCTTCTACTAAATTATTGCATAATATCCGAAAGCTAAACGCCAAGATTTTTTTGAATCACGATGCCCAAACTAGTAGCACTTCATTATTAAATTTTAGGAAAAATAAATTTTAGGTTTTGAATTCCAATTTATTTTCCCCGCTATAAAGCGAACTAATAATTTCACTGACCTTTGGTAGCCTTAGCCACGTGAAGCCCGAGGCCTTGATTTCGCCTTCATACTATATCAATCGATTCATCCACAATTATCAATACAAATCTGATTATTTAATATTGGCAACAGATAATAACCGTGGATGAATCGAAGTTCCATGCACACACACTGAAATAATTCTGTACCTTTTCTTTACAGTATGGAGTTTGCAATAAACGGTTCCACAAGCGACATTGGAAAGCAACATGATTAAAGAAGGTCGGGTAAAAGTGGATCGTTTCGATTTTTCCGATTGTTTCATATTAAAATGCATGATACACAAAACTGGAAGTGTTAATGAAATAGTTGGAATGTCGGTTTGAATTCGTTCGAAATTTCTTTCGAACGAATTTGCTTCGTAAAAATCGGTGATGGGTATGCTAAAATGGTTTGTAATGAACAGGCAAACAGTTATATCTAACATTGCTTTGCAGTTGATATAAATTGAAGAGGAATAACTGTTTGCTAAACAATGAATAAACATTTATCACACACGCATTCACAACATTTATTTGCATATACAAGGGGTTACTGCACGAGGCCGTTAGAAAAGTAATAAAGGAAATAAGTTCATGCAAAAATTTGTTATAACTCAGTGTCTCAAGATTTTTTCCTATTTGAAATTTCTACAAATTTTCGACTAAGTTAATCAAGAGACACAAATTATAGGAAAAACGGAGAAATAAAAGGTTGAATATAAAAGCCAGGGGATGTACAAGGAACTCAATATATCAGCTCGTAAATGAGTATTATGTGCCAAATAGCCAAATAAAATAGTTTTGAATTAAATGTAAGAGATATTCAGTACGTTTTTCTATTACACTACTTTCTAAAGAAACATTTTTTACAAACGTATAAAAGAGTAGGTAATATTTATTTTAATTAACTAAAAAAAAATCAATAACTCATTAATTACCTACAAATATTTGGCTATTTACAAGAAGCCGTGAAGTGAGCTAGAAAGCGGAATATATTAGTTAAAAAAGCGATACTTGTAGCGGTTAAACTAGAGTTGTTAGCTCACAATGATTTATTTTCTGTTAGAATTCCAATGTAATCTCGTTTCGTTAGTAATGGGATCGAAGGATGTAATTGTTAGTTATTTTACACGACTGCTGAAGCTAAATTTATCGCACTGAAGCGTGTTGCACATTTAACAGTGTTAGTTTGTTAGTGTCGAGTAAATCGTCCTCGAAAATGACGCTACTCGAATCGGGCGTCATTTTAGAGAAGCTTCGTGAACACCAAAAAATTTATCAGGTAGGGGGATTGTTCGGGGAGTTTTAGAACAACATTTCATTATCACAATTCTTAATTAACTACTTAGCGTTTATCGTTTATTCTTTCAATTAAAATTCAAATAAAACGCTCAAAACTAAAAAAAATCTAAATCGTTTTTAAAACCGACTTGCAAACTCCATTTAAATGTGGCATATCAATAGGGGATACATAGTTTGTTTATTGGTAACTTAACACATGCAATGTGATACAAAACTATATTATTGCTGTTTTATTTTGTTTCAATTATAAAGGTTTTGATTTCACACTGCGTTTCTTCTTTGCACTAATAGAATATGTACACAATTAAAAATACTCACCAGGTCCCGAAGTTTAATTATCCTAACCGATATCGATACCAGAAATTTTTTATTACAAACCGAACGCGCAAAAAGTCCACCGTGAACTAAATTTCGAAATGCGAACGTAACTCTTGTAATTTAATCCAATTTCATTGTAGCGAGGCCTTACAATATTTTATATAAGGTAAAGGCGTAAATCGATTAGTTCGTGTCTTATAATTTAATTTAAAACTTCCTTTGAGCCTTTAAAGTGTCTGCAGATAATTATTTTTAAAGGGAATTTTCATTATTTATTCAATAATTAGTTATTGGAGATTTATTGAATATTTAAGGTATGGAGTTTTGATTACATAAGACACCTGGACAAATCTAAAAAAAGGAACACTTGAAGGTTTTCCTTGCGAATCCTTAAATTCAAACAGTCCAATTATATCGCTACTTAATCGAATTATTGGCGAAATAATTTCTAACACGTTTCCTCAAAACAACCACTCATCATTAAAAACATCTTTGTAACACAAATAGGTACAATTTATCATTGATATGCCACATTTGATGCGAAGAATACTCATTGCGTATCGCAAAGCACCACACTTTGTAAATACCATCGATTTTTAACACTTCCAATAAAACAACGAGTATCCGACGCATCGTCACTACTAAAAAAGCGCTAGTTCAAAAATCCAAGCGAAATTGGGCGACTCACCTTGAACAGAGGCTGCCTGATCCTTGGTCAAAAAGTCGGCCGGGCTGGGCGGCGGAGTTTTCGAAAATTTGGGCGATTTGGGATCTAAAAAAACCAAATCAAAACGTGAGCAAAGTTGAATATACACACTACAGTTAGGTTGATTAGGCATATTCAATTACTGTCAAAATATTTATTGAGGTGTAGTATAAAGATGGGAACTTATTATCGAGTATAGAGGTGCTGATATTTTAACTGTTATCAATTTGAATGAACAAACCTTCGTCTGCGATCAACGTGGGCACGATCTGCTTCTTCTTTTCGAAACTCTGCGTGACTTTTTCCAAAAGCTCGGCGTCCTCGGGCGTTTTGTGCGCTTCTTCAGATTGAATTGTGCGTGTTTCGGTGGTGATGGTCGTCGTTTTGACTTGCGATTTAGAGGGCGGAACGGTTTCCGAAACCTGCAACACAAAATAATCCGGAATAGAATCGGTTCGAGTCCCATGAAATTGGCGTGCTTACGTTCGAATCTGATGGTAAAGTGGTTTTTATTTCGACCGTTTTGGTGACCGTTTTCGTCTCGTGCGGTTTGGTGACGATTGTGGTTTTTGTGGTTTCTTCTCTGACTCGCTCCTCGACCTCGGCCAGCTTGTCTTCGACTAGACTTTGCTCTTTGATGGTGGTTATCTCTTGGACGATTTCCCGTCGTTGCGACGACGCGGGAATCTTGCTCTCTGCGAAGCGCTTTTCGATGTGCTCCCTTCGCTCGGCCACCGGCTTCTCGAATTGCTCTTCTACTTCCTCTTCCTCGTCGGATTTTATCACTATCTTCTCCTCCGCCTTGTACTTGTCTTTGATTCTCAAGCGTTTAGCTAAGAAATAAACGCAAACATTAATATATATTATTGTATAAATATTGAGTGAATTACCTTCTTGGTTATCAGGGACAACGCCTTCTCTCACAGCACCTGTATCTATACTATCTATATCTTTTTTCAGTCTATATTTTCCTTTCTCCTCTTGTTTTATCCTACTGATTGTTTGACTTTGGTCAACGTTTAGGCACTGAGGTATAATGTCCTCTCTTCCTATTCTTCTCAAGGCGTTCTCGAGAGTGTTCGTTTGTGCCTTGTTGCCAGTTTGCGACAACCACATTCTACAAATACGATATAGATTAAAGTAAATTGTAAATCATTAAATAATGGGGAAATTACCTTAACATGCTCTGCGCTTGTTTAGCTACGCTATCCGGATACTCCGACTTGATAACGTTGATTTCCGAGGTGGTGAGTCCGAGTTGATTGGCCAACGGTACCCAGTCTTCGCCTAAGAGATTGCTCATATCGGCCAATCTGGGATCGGGTCTGTAGTAATCGAAGTTCTCCGACAGGAACCTGTACTGCTTCAGAGAATCGCTGTCGGTGAGCGATATCGTATCGGTGACGATGTCTTCGGGTAGGACGATGTTCAGGATGCAAATCGGCTGTTGCGGCGGCTCCCCCTTCGGCACCTTCGGCTCCTTCATGAACAAGCACCGGCTGACCGCCTCGGCGTGTTGGTCCTTGACTCGAACGGAAAACGGCAACCGGTTCTCCTTGAAGGCTCTGAACGAGAACGACAGCTGCTCCCCGCTTTTGGTGATCGGCACCAAATTGCCGGCGAACTCGACGTACTGCTGCTTGCCCTCCAGCACCTCGACGTCCCTGCTCTTGGCTACTTCGGTGAAGTGCTCCTGCTGCTCCAGGGTCTTGTCTTCTTTGTCGTCGGTCATGCAGAAGACTCTCAGTCGCGCCTCCAGGGGATCCACGCGCTTCGCGAACACCACGAATTTCGCCATGAACGGAACGTGGATGGCTTCCCTAAAAAAATTTGATAATTTTTACAACCTTCCACTTCGTTGTATCTAGTTATCGAAAGAAATTGAAGAGAATATGAGGAGTGGAAGGGATCGGTGCGTGGCTTACTTATAAAGTTCGGTAGCCATTTTGGTGGCGTCGGCGATATTCCTGCAATCCATGAGCCAGAATCTGGCTGATACTGTGGTGGTGAAAGATACGCAATCGTTGACGAATGTCAGTGGCGTGGATCCGGTGACGTCTTCCCATTGCGCCCTGGTCGTTCCGCCTGAAGAAGAAACCGTGCAATAAAAATTCGTTTGGACTGCAGGGGATCGAGCCATGAAACGTTGAAATCGAACAATGTTTCATGGGATGTATTATGTACATGCGTTTTTATTAAGATAAAAATATTAGTTAACTATATACGTACGGGAGCACATGTATTTGATGAAAGTTGAAAATAATGCTTACGATTACTACGAGGAGCAATGCTAAAACCTAAATCTAGCAGTTAATAGTAAAATATTACCCTAAATTGATGCTTGTATCGAAAGAAAGAAGGGTATATAAAGATGCTGTAAATGATTTGTAAACACAAAGTAACTTGTACAGATCCAAGGATGATGAATTAGAAGGATTGCTCATTTAAATAACAATATTTTTATAAACCTAGATTAAAACAGAAATCCTTTTAATACATTATCCTTGGTACAGATCAGCCTATTATCCTGAAATTATATTATGTACATTCGGAATGTATTCTCTCTAATTAATTCAAATGAAAACCTACAAGAGTTTATAAATTTGATCAAATAAAGTCTAAGAAAATAAGATTTTTTTTCGAACGAATGACGATTATTCCTGAGAATAGTTAGTGAACCTAACAACCTAAGAAGCTGGAAGCGATCGTCTTAACATTCACTAAAAAGGCAATTCACAGTCCGTCTTCGACTAAGTGAAGCGATGCAGTGGTTCAAAAAAGCAGCGGAAGCAAAGCGTTCAGTCCTTCAAAATAAAATTATTTCAGAAAAGACCAGTCGACTGGCAACTAACTTAGGATATAAAAAATGCTCACTCCTTCATCGGAATTCACTGTTCAATTCTGTGTTTTTTTGCGGTCGGTTGTATTTTTGTTGAATAATTCTCAACGACTGATCTGACTTAATAAGTAGGGTCGAAATAAAAATAATAAAATGATTATAGTAAACGTACAATATGCAGCAAAATCTATAAGGTGAATAATAATAATTGCAGTTTGTGTTTTCGTGATTATTTTTTATATTTGTTTGTAATAAACATAAAATTAACGACTAAAGGCAAAAGAAAATGTAAAGGACGATGTGAATTGAAATTCGCCCGCACCAAGCCGATCAAATGGGAAAAGTCTTTAATAGAATACAAAAAGTTCTCATTTTATCGACTCGCTGTATTTCGCAAGGTTATTAAAATTTACACCATCCTTTTTTTAACTCATATAGATTCAAATCGAAGTGAAGATACACAGTTTTCGGGATTATTTACAATTTTCTGATTGACTACTTTCGAATGTTGCATTCTCAATGTCTCTTTCATAACCATACGAGCAGTTTTACCCTTTTGTTTTTAATTTTTTTAAACCTGGAATCGAATTAATTCATTTTATCAACAAACGCTTTCGGTTGTATAACTTCTCTATTAAAAATAGCCAAAAATCATTAACAACGACATAAATGAATGTGTATAAAATAAAACCTCCTGAAAGGATTATTTGCTTGATGGTACGAGGGGCGGCGGAATGCCCCCGGGAAGCGCTGAATTCGGTCCTAGTAATAGTTGCTTTTGTTGGCTCTTCTGGAACTCCTCCACTTCGGCACGTTCCACTTCGAATATGATGGGCGCGAACAGTATGATCGACGTGCTGAACATGATCCAGACGATCGTTCTGGTGCACTGATAGAGGCACTTGATGCCGTTGATGGTGCACTCGGTGGTCGAGCCGATGGTGTTTACCACCGATTCCGGTATCATTTCCAGCAGCCCTTCTAATCGTTCCAGCAATGTTTCGTCGCCATCGTCGTCGGCCAACGATTTCTGTTTCGTCCTTGACGAAGGCGGAGGCATGTTGGTTGCTTTCTTGAATTTATCAAAATTAATTTGTCAACTTATGAAACCCCCCAATGGAAAGTCGATTTGACGCGACAACCTCAGGTGGCTACTTGATGTATCTGTTTTCTTCTTGTTTTCTAACGGTCTAATGCAATTTTCGACTCGGTTAAAATAAATTCTAAAGCTCAGTTTAACATACTAAATTTGAAATACGACTTACTATAAAAAAGATACGAAAAAAAAACACTATATATATTGCAAAATTAAACCTTCGTACACTTATTAACTTTGTGAATTTATATTTATAGCGTTAAATTTACTCCATTAACTAACGCTTACTTAGTAACAACCGCTACGACATCTCTATTCCATAAAATCAATTCACAACTCTATTAAACTTACGTCAAATAAACTGTCACTAATGTCAATTTTGACATCTTTTATTGGTTTACATAACACGTATCATCGTACGTAACTTAAAGTCCTTCAAAACTACATTAATTGATATACAGGGTGATAAACTGCGAAATCTTCAATTCGAATGGAATAAATTGAGAATGGCAACATTTTCGGAACCCATTTTAGTGTGTTAAAGTAGTCAATCGGACGTTTCGATGAACATGCTAAATGAAACATTCTTCTAAAACGGACAAATGTCGTTTCATTCAAAAATCCAGGCCAGTCGGCAGCTCTTTCGAATCAATTTGCTAATCGAAATAACTGAGGGTAGATGTTTTTACTCATTTTTTGCGTATTTCAGAAAAAATAGCTCAACGTTTATTTGTTATACATGCATAATAAAGAGTGTACGACGTTACAGTAGACTAATATAACTATTAAAACGATTCTCAATTACCCAGAAAAGTACTTAACTTGGTTTTTTACTGTTATAGTAACTAAATCGACGAGAAAAGAATCACCTAATTTGATTATTAGTTAGAAAAAAATAAATTAAGTATTGAGAAAATAGTTCTAACCAGACGTACTTTTTAAGTATTCTGCCCTCAGTCATTAGCGCAAAATCAATATGCCAACTAGCCTCTAGTTAATAGTATTTCAAGCAAATATATAAATTAGATGCAGTAAAAGAGAGTAACATCTCCAGATCCATAAAAAATCTAATTTTACGATGTTTTATAACGCCAATTACTCGCAATAAATTACGAAATTAATCGCAGCTATCAAATTGAATTCAAACTTTGCTCTGCCTGGTTAGGTTGATAATATTTTCCTCGGTTCAGTCAAACATCAATAAAAAATTAGCTCTTTTAGGCGTTACAATTCTTTCGACTGTACATCACTTTAACGACAACTGCGTACATTCATTTCTCAAAAAATACCTAACAAAAAAATGATCAAGATAAGACATTCTAAAAGGGGGCAGCCCACAATACTTTTGAGTTAGTTACCTTTGAGCGATCTTTTCCGAAATACCCCTGGGGAACGCAAGTGAAAATTTTCAACAATTGCGTATTAGTTTTACCAGTAAATTGTATACATGACGTCATTATGATATTTTTTTAATATTCCATACATGATTTTCGTCAAGCAAATCGGACGTAGGAAATCGATAGAGAATTTTTTTTAGATAATCTCTACGTTAGAATTGCTGCGCTAGTTAATTCAACATTATTATTAATCATAATAGAATCAGTTCGAAATATTTACATAATTTATTAATAGAACCTTCTTCGCGGGACCTTGATCACATCGAAATTCAATAATGTATGGAATTTACCGTTTGTGTGGATAATTAATTTTGTAGCAGGTATATTTCTACAGATTGAAATGTGAATGAATTATTGCAAATTCGATCGGTATATTGCCTGAAGTCATCGATTGAAAAGTGACGCCACAATGACGTCATTGTTATTTTTGAAAACACAAAGCACGAGGCTGGCAAACTCTGTCATTTTCTCTTCCCATTTAATGTATTTATATTATTATGTTAATTCGATTTTGAAGTACTTTTGGACGTAACTAATTCTGTACATGAACTATTTCTACTCATGAAGGTAAATTTGTTTCGAATTCGGTTCAATGATAATCTATTTATTTGTACATTTTTAAGCATATTTACATGCTTTTTTAAACTATGTGCCGGTATGATGAAAAAATTAAGTATTATTCAAAAGTAGGTAGTATTTTTTTAATTATATGTCTTCGATATTTGCCTTTTTTTCTTAAATTATTTATGAGAAATCATCATGAGAACTAGATATATGAATACCTAAGAATACACATACTTAAATTATTATTATCAATAAAAAAACTACACTAATGTATTTACCAATCACTAAAAACTAAATAACTTCGAAAATATATAGAAAAAATTGTTACTTTCGAATTTAAATTTAAACTAACAATTTTCGAATTTTTTTGTACCCTATGTTCTACCGGCACAAGTTCTAAACTCTAGAATAAAAAATATTCTATTCTAAAAGATAATACTCATTAAAACTACTTCTAGCCTACATTTTAAGTATCTACCGCTCGTCAACACAAGCTTGCCAACCCCTTAACAACAAAAAAAAAACAATTTACAAAAATTACAGGGCACAACACAACATCAAGACAGTAATCATGTCGATATGGTCGATGAAGAAATAAAAAAAAATCGAAAATAACTCATTAATTTGATATAAATATGTTGTGTTAGATGAATACGTAATAATCGTCATGTTGTTAATATTCCTGTATATGAGCAACGTTACGAATAATAACAAAATTCAATTACACAAGCAATTAATTAATTAATAAACTCAGTTTTACTCATTGTCTCATATACGAAAGTGTCTATACAAGTGAAAGTATTGTTCACGAAATGACGAAATAAAATTTCTTAGAACAAGAACAGGTAGCTCAAGAAAAGAAACTGAAGTGTATCTAACAAATTCCGTTCGTCACGCGTATGGTATGTACAAAAAAAAGTAATCGAATTCCCTTCCCTTCATCGGATACTTACCGGTTATCGAGCAAAGTAGCCTTAAGGTCGGCGCCGAGCCGGAATATTGGTTGATCATGCCTTGGGAATGGGCCCTCGGAGCCGGCATGCTCAATGTAATGGCCTTGTGGAATTTCCTTCGCCTGGGTTCTACGGTAACCACCGGAGAAACCGCTACTCCATGACCGAGCAACTTGGCCGTTAGCACAGGATCGATGGGCTGGGCCTGAAGAGAAAATTACACAATGAACCATCAATCGCTGGGAATAACAAACCAAGCGAGCACCTGACGATGTGGTGATGAAAGGTAGATTAGAATCAGACGCAAAATATATGAAAAAAGCGGGCACTTACCTCGAGAATTAGCCGTGAAAGGAAAAAGGATGTAAGGAAGACACAAAGCAAGGTTCGACAGCGAACACAAAAATAACAGTAAAGTATTTAGCTAGCGTGCACAAGTAAAATGAAAATGAGGATGATGTGATTGCAGAACGAGTTGTTGAGCTGAGAGCCCAATAAAATACCTAGAGTTTTCCCTATGTATAAGTTCTGTTGAACCGTGCTTTGCTTTCTGTCGAGTTTTGGCTACAACACACCTTTGGCAATTATCATCATTGGCTATAAAACTAAAAATCATGGTCCTTCCAGTGTGTTTCTGATAAAAAATTAGTGCCCTTCGTTATGTTGTAGCCAAAAAAATCGCTTTCTTTTAAATGAAACGTTAGTTATTAGTACAACTCAAATTTTATTGGGCACTCATACTTTATACATAGAAGATTAAAGTGTTAAGGAAACCAGTGATAATTACATGTTCGAAATTATTATACGAAAATTACATTAAATTTAAAATATTACATAACGATTACGTGGATGAGTTATAGTACGTTTGATGCACTTATCTATTAATTAATTAATATTCAGAGTAGTAAAAATTTGAAACTGAAAGTGCTAAATTATTTTTAATACAATGATTCTGTTATAATTTGATGCGAAAGAACTTGTTTCTGTTAATAAAAGTGTTATTGTCGAATGCACTTATGAAGAGAATGTAGTTCGAGTTTTTTGTGTTGATAAATAATATAACTAGAATACTGAAATAATGTAATAAGTGACTTATCTTAAGTGTGTTTTGAACTATAAAAATTATTTGTACTATAAATTTACAAAAAAATCGAATGAACCAATAAAGCACGGTTTTGCAATTACTTATAATAAGTATTCACAAATCTATGTTAAAAACTGCGAAAACTATTTTAAAATTAGCGTAAAAAATTGTATACTATATTTTCGTTGTTTTCTCTATGTGTTCATTTGGCGGTTTTTATCGCCGTTCATTTCATAGAAAAACACAAATGAATTGGAGTTCAAATAGCTCTATTATGATAAATTATGTATTGATTCAATTACTTTTAAACATAAAAAAGCATGATAAAGTTACTTGAATTTTAAGTATCATTAATATTATAATAAATTATGTTATTTCGGTAATTTAAAAACCGGGAAATAAACTATTAAAAATGACTAGAGAGAACAGGACTAGATTATGTTTTTCCTAAAAAAATACGTTATTTTTATTTGTAAAATAATCTTTTTTTTGAAAAATACCTTTCATAAAACTATATGTACATTTTTGGCAATAAATAATCGAAAATGCGAATTGATTTGATAAGTAATAATGGTCATAAAAATTGTAACAATGTTTTTTCTCTCTCTTATATCTTTTAGTTATAATTAGATACAGTATTGTCTTTGAATAACGATTGTATTAGCCTCCCATATTTCTCTACCCTTATGAACCATTACAATTTTTCACCATTATTACGCTTCCAAAGCTCGAATTACCAAACCAACGACCACCGCTTCTTTTTCGGTATGTGATTAACAGTAATTTTCCTCAATTTCTCGAACGGTACGCCCTTGCGAGGCTTAAACAAATTTACCTGAAGGCCGACTTTGATCTTTTTGGTGAGCGCGCCCTCGGGGAACACCGCCTGCACCTGGGGCACCACCGTGCTGGACACCATCCCGCCCTCGGGGCCGATGGCGTGGACCTCTTGCCGAATCCTCGACACCACCGCGAAATACTGCGGAAAGTCCTGCGTTACGATTCTGGTTATCCTGCCCGAGGAGACGTCCTCCAGTTGACTTAGATCTGGACAAGCACACAATGGAAAATTAATACAGTGAAAAGGGGAATGGGAATCGTGAGAGTACCTTCGGCTTCGAAGCTATCGTGGAGGACTTGGTTGAGTATTTCTTCGCTGGCATCTACGGAGTGTTCTTTCCAGGATTCTCCGTTATCGGATCTCAAGATGACTATTTCGCGCTCTTTGCCGCGCAGTGCTGCAAAGTGCGGCACTTCTATGATTACTGGCCTGTAATAAAATTATCAATTATTAAAAAGAAACGCCCAATATTACAGGTGTACCCTAAATTTCTAATATATAATTATTTATTTACATCTTAATTGCGCAGTAAAAAAATCGTTAAAAAAACTATTCATATTCCACATTATTTACTTAACCCAATACCCGCTAATCGTCGTTGTAAACAAATATTAACAACCAATTAAGACCTCCGCGACATTCCTGGCGTTCTTCGAATTATTTAACATTAATTCCAACGCACATGACCGAGAGATTGTAAACAAAACGAATCTCATTTTCGATATTTCTCTCCGCGTTCGCTTATCATCCTTATAGTATTCAAAGGCACGCCGTAATTATTATTCATTCATGAAACGTGAATGAATTATTACCAAGACTATTGAGCAAGATTTTATGCACATAATAACTCGCACATACATACAATTCAAAATTCACACCAAGTAGTAATTACAGTGTGTCCCAAAATAATTTGGCCGTTCTTACCCTAGGAATTTGGCGCCGACGGGGCCGAGCTCCAGCACCCTGCTGGCCAGCGCCTCGCCCTCCATGAGAGGGGGCGGATGCGGCGTCCTCTGGGGCCTGACATATCTGCAGGTGATCCGCGTGGGGCTCGGGGCGCACCTCGGGGGCACTATCACTCTCACGCCCGAATGTCGACAGCCGCGCATCGCTCCGCCGCGGGCGTCCACCAGGAAAGACACTAAGAAACTGCAACAGAAAGAGCGGTTAATTGATGGGTAATGTTCTTCTGGTAATAGAGATATGTAGTTCAAAATGCGGGATTGTTTTAATCGAATTAAAAGATGAAACCTTATTAGAGAGGTGCGTGAATCTATTACGAGTAGGTTTTTTATTGAAGGATTGCTTGCTGTGAAATTATTAGAATTAAAGCAAAATTTAACTTAGGAATAGAACAATTGGTATTTCGGCGACACAAAACTATTTAAAGATATTAACTCATAATCACGATTGCATAAATTCACGTTTAATAATCCTGTGGATTTACCTTGAACAAAATTAACGAGGATTTTTTCACTCTCGCTACCTACTCTTTTAACGAAAAATTACTACATTTACGAACTTACTTACATATAATAATTTGAATTGCTTTTGTAACAAAATGTAATTAATAATCGCGCACGAAATCACCGAATATCGACTAGATAGAATTTGAAAAGCGGAAAAAGCCACTGCACTGACCGCACTTGCATGTAACTCTTCCTAAGCTTTAGCACTTATGAAAATATATAAATTCAAATTATTGTTAAGCGTAATATAGTCAGTTTAGCAATGATGTGATTGTTGATTCATCGTTCGGTAGATGGTAGAAGTTATTAGCATAGTAATGAGAAGTTGTCGTTTTTAGAATGTAAACTTATTTGCATATTTTCATTTATGTTTTCGGTCGAGTTTAACATAGGTTTTGAAGTTTAACATTTCAGTTAACTATTATTTACGGTTAAATCGGTACTAATTTTACTTGTTTTAGGTAAATATTAATTGTTTTGACTGCAATGAAAGTGAATTAATTCAATATTATGCGGTCATGGTGAAGGTAGTATTTAAATGTTTCTATATTTAGTGAATTAATTAATGTTAATTTTAAGTGTTTGTTGTTGTGTCAATGTTAGTGTGTTCCTTACGAAAAACGCTAAATAATCAGTTTAGATAAGTATAAACCGCAGAAATTTGTCGTGAATCAACTAATCTACTACTAATCGTGCAAGCTACTGGTAAATCTTTCTTAAAACTCCCATTAATCACAAGTTCAAATTCCAAAAATATTACTAAATGGAGTTTTAAAAAAATACTAACAAGCGTATAGTAATAAAATATTTCGCTTTAAAGTTTCGCAAGGTTCTTTCGCGTAAAATTTCGAATTTTCCGAGCTTTCCTCGTACAAAGGTGACTCGTTAAAGCGCAGTAAACGGACGATTACGAGCAAACGGCTCGATTATACACGGATAATTCGAATAATTGCGGATTTTATTACGAACGCTTACTAAACTGTGACATTATTCCATGGAACTTACTTTTTCCAGTGAAGCTTCCTGAAGCGTTACGAAATGGCAAAAACAAAAAAAAAACAGACACCGTTAGTTTCACACCAGTTTGTTTAGTCATAAAAATTTTAAGTATTGCTCTTTATGAAACTTCCTTCATTGTGACCCACCCATACATCGATCGTTGAAACAGAATTCCCAACAAACGAAGTTTCAAAACAATTCAAGCCAATTGAATTAAGTAGTCCCAAAACACCGTTAAAATTCAATTCGTAACACCACTTACCCTATATTAATCGGATGCCTGGAGATGTCTATATTATCCGGGGCGTACTTCTTCATGTACTCCATGTAATTCTGGGTAATGTGCTCGGGGCTGATTGTATCTTCGATGATCATCGGGGGCATCCCGTCCACGGTGGTGACCATCCTGTTGGAGTCTATTCGTTCGTCCCTGGTAACATCTATGGGCAAGGAATCGTCCCCTAAGGACTTCATTTCGTCGGCTGTGAGATACCTGTAGGTGTGATCTCCCAGTACGGTGTCTTCGCCTGGAAAAAATTTACAAATTAGCGAAGAGATATTTAATTAGATGTTGGTTGAAATGCGTTTTCAATCAAATAAATAATGTGAGCATTTACCAACATCGAGAAGCATTTAAGCCGGCAAATAATAAAAAAAATATATCATCGTTAAGCCATTTGCTGAATCGTTACTCTCGTGGATTAACAACTGGCCTAATCGTTCATTTCTATACAGTGTTTATTTGTTTTATTGTGTTCATACAATAGCTTACATGTGGATAATAAAAAAATTGCAAAACCGAAACAGTTAACATCTCTTTTAATGAATTATTAAAGTGTATCTTTCCCCCGCATTTCGCAATGTGTGTTTAGAGAGAAAAACCTTGAATGCTCGCGTAAAATGTTTAGTTTTCTACAGTCATTTCGAAAATTTATTACACGTTTTCGTCTCAGACGCGCAGGATTAACATAAATACGAGTACTGTAACTATTGTATCAACTAAATTATTATGTACTAGGTGTAGTTGGATCGTACTATAGTTGGTTTATTCGATATATTCTGTAGTTGGTTCTTATTGTTGTTTGATAGACTTACGATTCAACATTGAGGTACCGCAGAAATATGGCAGATAGACGTGTCGTTCGTGCGGAGCAGTACCGATTCCCTCCAATATATCCTCCCCTGTTATTGATGATTAGTGATTTAGTCATTTAAAACAACTCATGTTCTGTTTCAAGAGCAGATACAACATCGTGTTGAAGTACGTTAGATGTTAGCAATAAAATTCTGCTTTTGAATCGATTATTATGGCAACATATCCAAAGCGTATTGAAACGTAATTAAACGATTTCAATATACCTTGTACAGTAACGAGTTACTTCCATCGAATAAATCGATATGTAGTCACATTAAGCACAGTAAGCGATTGGTCAAGCGATTGGTTAATATCGATTTAGGTTTTGATTCATAAACTACGTCATATCTGTGAGTTAACTATAGGTTTTAAATTAGTAAATTGGTGAAAAATTCTTCATTGAAAGTATTAGTTAACGGTATGTGTTTAAGTGTAATATAAAATTGACCTATGTACTTGAAATTATATTCGAATGTACACAATTAGAAGACGATTTATTACGAAAGCATTACAATTCGGGCTGTGGAGGAAATTTCGGCACCTTGCAACCGATTTGCTTGATGAAACTAACAGCGGTATAGCACCCCAATCTGCAGCATTGTATGAGGGTCTTGTTCTGGCACAAACCGGCCACGAAACCGGCGGCGAACGCGTCACCCGCCCCGATCGTATCCTTGAACTCATCATCGCTGATTTTCATCACTTCGAACTCCAACACCTGGCTGTCGCCGTAGAAGCATTTGCCGTTTTCGCTGCCCTGCGTTATGATCACGATGGTCCCGTATTCGCACACTTTGTTCTTCGTTTTCTTCACCAAATAATCCGCCAAGTTGTCGACGGAATCGATGTTCATCACCTTGCTCAGGGCTTCGTATTCGTAGATATTACCGATGACGACGTCCGCTCTGGTGATGAGATCGACGAGAGCGTCCGGACAGAGAGTGCTGAGGTACACTCCGCATATATTCCCTATGATGATTTTCCCGTGTTGTTCGCACATGTTTAACACGTGGTTGGTGGCGGCTTTGCGATTGGGCAGGAAGAAACCTTCGATGTAAACGTAATCAGCATCGCCGATGCACCTCTCCAAATCCTGTATGGCCAGGAGATCTTCCAATGGCAGGATCTCCGCGGCTCCAACGTAAGCTACCATAGATCGATTGGCGCCGCTGATGATGGCGACGGTGCGGCCGGAGAGCTGCGACTCCTGCACCACGTACTTGCATTGCACGCCGTCCTGCTGGATGAGCGTCCGGATCTGCTTGCCCACGTCGTCGTTGCCGATGGATCCCACTATGGTGGTCTCGCAGTTGTTGTTCATGATCCACTGGAAGGCGCGCAGGAAGTTCTGCGAGCAGCCGCCCAGCGTGACGGTCTTCTTCATCGAGGCGATGTCGGCGAACAGCCGCTCCATCTCCTCGTAGGTGAGCTCCTTTTGGCTGTTGAGCGGCACGTCGTATTTGTCCATGAGGAAGTTATCGTCGGAGTGGATGATGGTGTCGAGCAGCGGGTTGCCGAACGCCAGGATTTTTTTTAGTTGTCGCTGCGCGCATCGCGGTTTGTTTTGGCCTGTTTGTGGCGTTGTTTTAGAACTAGTTCATGAGTACCTCGCCGTAAAGGGTCGTGTAGATTGATGTGTAACGAAATTTCTCGTTGCAGTACAAACAGAAACTCATAAAGAAGGGTGTTTTGGAATTGTTCAGTTAGTAAGGAGGTTAATCGAATATATTTTTCAAGCTACAAATTTTTTCAAGACTTCCCCAATTCCCTAAATCATCCAAAATGTGTCTAATCTAAATTAGATGCTACAAAATATTCTTATATTCATAATAACAGAGCTACATTATAATCGGTAAAATTACGAACCTGATAAGCATTGGAAATTCTATTAAAATCCTTACTGTCATTATGAATGATGTTATTTCAAAATTATCCAGATTTTTATTATCATTTTTCACATATTCCAAACAACCCTTGCCTGCGAGAAATTCCGTTAACTCTAAGGTACTTATGAACTAGTTCGAAAAATTTTACAGTTAGGACGGGTACAAGGTGAGTTTTTTTGCATTGCTTCATGGTTAAATAAAATTCAGCTGATTTTAGACTTGTCTAATTAATGAAAGCTGTCCGAAATTCGACTACTCTATTAATCAATTGTCCTGTCGCTAATTAGCGCGAATTGACGCGAAAACTTTGAATATTTACCTCTCGATTATTGCCCATTCCGATCGAACCGATTTCTTTATAATATAACGATGCCCGAGCAAACCTCACGATATATGATGTGTAATTTGTCTAGCGTTTAACTTAACTGCAGAAGCTAAGAAAATTATTTTTAGTTTTCGAGGCGCGATCGAACACAGTATTTATTTTACTAGATCGCTGAAAACCAGTGGCATGCCAAATGGTTACCAATTTATTACCAATAAATACCAATATTTATCACTACATCATCACTATATCCCTATACTAACTAGTGCAATATTTTGGTAGTACAAAATTCATATTTACTACAACTTATCTTTAAACTAATATAGCATGCTTTTTATTTACATCCTAGGTAAGCCTTCTTGCGTGAGTGGTATTAGTAAAAATTAAAGAAATTTAGGGAGTTTTTTGAAGGCTCTGTATAAATGCGACGACGCCGCTGAAATAACACAGGTTATTTTCAACTGCGTCAATTTATGCTATTCGAAAATGAGTATAGTTTTCAGGGATATTCGCGTTTAAAAGCGAAATTTCTTCGGTATGATGTCATGTTATTTATTACAAAGTTTTAATGATCGTGTGTGTACGTTTTAGATAACTAGGTACTTGTTCTGTGTACAAATATCGAAATCGTAATGGTATTTACATTATTTTCAGCATTTACTGAAACTGCTAATGTGTGTAAGAATCCGTGAAAACGCCGGGTGGAATTGATTTTCATTAATTTTACATCTAGTAATTGCGAAATCAAGGTTTTATCGGACTGTATTGACTGTTGATTTGAATAATTAGACAATTAAAATTATCATAATGCAAGAAGCTTTGTTTCGTTTGCTATGCTTAAATTAGCAATTAAGTAAATTGTAAATAAGTCATTTTTTGATAAATCCACAATTATTTAATTAATGACAAAATTTTAGATTAAGGGCGATCAATAATGTCTATTAAATAATTCAAATTTATGCAATTTTTCTTTTTTGTTTGTATTACGACACCCAACATTTAATTTTATACATCAGAGTAAACTGATTTACATTTTAATTGAAAACGTTGATAATCGAAAGAGATTAGGAATATTTCAGCGAGTTTAAAATTTTCATAATAATTGGATTAATAATTCATTAAGGATTATTTTATGCTTTAATTTGTTGCTCTGCCATAAACACAACAGTTATTTTAGAAGGTACTATACCCTTCAATTACTTGTACAGAATTTATACAGAAAATGTGTAAATTTGTTGAGTATTTTTAAAAGGAGTCAAAACAAAACCACTTACTTAACACCCGCCTAATATGCATCTGCTTTACTACTTTCTTCACCATTTTTCTTTGAATAAATCAACCACACAAATTAAAAAAACCACCACAAGGTACCCTCGAAAGGGGTTTTATTCGAAAATCCGCGCGACGCACAATTCAATCTAAACCGCCTGAAATCTCGCTAATCACAACACTGAGATTAGAAGCACGAAAATTCCGCGCGCTTGTTGGAACAATTTGTTGATAATTTTTCATTCAGAGTTAATCGTTTTACGTTTAATTACGGCGATGAGTCAGGCCGCAGAGCGGGATCGTGTTCGGTCTACAATCGTAAAAAAATGATCGTCTCTAAGAGAAAAAAAGCGAAATCTGCATAAGCATTGCCTTTGTATTTTTCTATTGCCTACATTCACATCTAATGGTCCGTCATGCATGCCGTAAGGAGTAGTGGATTTTGTTAGGTTTGGCGGCCACATGCTGTTCTCGTTTACATTCGCAATCACAACCGATGCTTAGGTAGATTATCTACAATTCGATAGGAATAGCTAGAGACGTTTACGCTCTGCGCAGGTCTTGTCTTCAGCTATTACTTCCGCGTTGTAGATACTACATTATAGACAACTACAAATCAAACCTCTTTGGATAATTAGATATTCCAGAAGAACTCTCTATTAAGTTGCTTCACTGGAGCATCACTTTTGACTACGACAGTATAACGAGACAATCATGAGAGAATTTCCTAAGCCATAATTACATTAACATTTCATTTCTCGAAGATAAAAAATGGTAAACCCGCGTATTAAAATGATTTAGTGGTCTCTGGGATCGGCTCAACTCCTTCACAGACGCGGTGTTGTACATTTTTCGGAAGGTTCTCGCTAATAGCAATTATGATTTTAACATTTTTATGATATCATGATGTTTTTTATTAGCGCTAACTATTTCACCTTTGGAATAATTACATCTGCTATTTCTGGTTTGTTTATACATAATAAACGTTAACAATTATAATTACTGCACCAATATAAATAGATTTAATCTAAATAAAATCTCACGACGTTGGTGAGTAAATATTATTTTCTTGAATTAAACTGGGAAATAATTCTTAGTCCAAATAATAAAATCCTTTGCTTCCTAACTACATAAACTAGGCTCCACGGAATGAGATCATTAGCTTGTTTCTACTCACCCAATTCCAGGATATCGCGTTAAATGATTAACATAAAATTCTAACTACCGATATTACTAATTTACTACAAAATAAAGCCATTGTTATTTTTAACTTCGCGCGAGTTTTTTTAATACTTTCAACGATTCATTGATAGCATTTGTGCCATACCTACCAAACTGAATGTAGGTCGGTTAAAACCAAATCATAGCAGAGTTAATTTTCGAAGATCGGAAGGTCAAACGGTACAAATTTAATAATATTTAATTACGTTGGTATTTTTGCAGGTGGAATCATTTTATATGGTATTTCGAGCAATTAAACATCATCAAAAGGTACCTTAATTCCCCCATAAATTGGAGTAAATCTGTATATTATGTTACATATTTCATTCTTAATATAGATAAATTAATTACGAATTAAATTTATTAGGTACAATTAATGGACTCCCTCTAATCTTCATTGATTTATAAAGCTAATAAAAGGTAAATCTGAGGTTTTAATCGGCTTTCTATTGGGAACTTGACGATTGGCCAATGCTAATTAACTTACTCGAGCATAAAAATTGTCGCATAAAAGGACAAAAATAGCTTTTATTGCCGTCCTGGAACGAATAACGTGCCAATCATTGGTAATCGGCGCAACATTTCAATTCGTACAGGAAACGGGTCGACTAATTAATCGCCATTTAATAAAATAAATATCCACATACAAGAGTAAATATGTCGGGAATTTTATCCGAAATTTTCAAATATTTGGCCTTGTCGAAACATCCGAATTATATCCGAATACATATGAGCGTATTCGCGTCACATCTCCGCTGTGTTTACCCAACAAATGCATTGAGTAATTTTCTAAACCACGGTTGGAAATGTAGGCGAATCCGCGACCTTCACAACTACGTATTTTACACACAAATGCTTGAGTTACGCGCGTCCAAAGGATTCTACTCGGCAAGTAATTTCCAAAATTGCCGTAATTTTCATTTTCATAATTTTACTGCCTGATTTTCGATTGGAAATTAATTAGTTTTCATTGGCTGCCAAATGAAACAATCGCGAAATATCGGGTTTACGATAGAGGAATTAGATTGGAAAATTAGATTGGAATGTACTCTAAAATAACTTCGGAAATTCTCTCATTCAAACGGTTTAAAATTCGTGAAATGAAACCAAAGAAAAACAACGTTTCGGCCGTCTTACCGCCTTCTTCTTCGGAATCGGACATGAAGGTCTCGTGCATGAGCTCGGGAGCTTGGACTTTGTATTTTTCTTCCACGTTGGTGGTGGTTGTGGTGGTGATTTTGGTGACGGTTGTAACGACTTTCAGCGTTTCGATCACAGTTATGTAGCCCAATTTTTGGGCTATGTTGTAGGGCGTTTGGCCGTTCTGAAAAAAAAAGTATAACATTTTTACGTCCATCCCGGAATCGACTATGTATCAATTAACGTGGTAATTGTTATAGACCTTGACAACAATCTGCTCGTTCACGCAAATTGGCCACAAACAAATACAATTTACATGATACATTTTATACAATTGAACGAAAATAGACATTACTAAAGCTGCGTATGAGTTGTCAAGATTTTTATGAAGAGATTACACTTTACTTTTGCTCCTCTAATACCAATAAAACTTTTATAGAAATAGCGATGTAACTACAGACATCTGTTGTGTAACTAATAAATATTATAGCAGGAAACTACATCTTACAACAAACAGCACGATTAGATTTCAATTTACCGTTGTTACTGCATTAGGATCGGCGTTATGCTCCAATAAAATATTAACGATAGTAGCATGGCCCTGCTGAGCGGCCTGATGAAGGGGCGTGTAGTTCAGAGACGTCGTCGATTCGATGTTGGCGCCGTTCTGAAGCAGGAACCTCACCATATTCACCTGCCCATAGTGGCTGGCTATGTGCAGAGGCGTGTAGCCCCCTTTGGTGGCGCAATTTACGTCGGCCCCGTTCTTCACCAGCACCTCGGCGACCGGTACTCTGTCCTCCTGGGCGCAGAGATGCAGCGGCGCCAGACCGTTCTAAAAGCAACACAAGCCACTAAAGTTAGCAATTTTTGTATTAAAGAAATTATAGATATCTAGCACCAGTATTGTACCGGATACAAGGTTATAAAGAGCTGGTCAAACTTGCTCCAAACTTCCAGCTCCAGATAACGAATTTGCGATAAATTGGTGAATTTCTAAGTACCTTTGCTTCGTGATTGGCATCGCCTTTGTGCTCCAACAGCAACGCGGACATTTCGGCGTGTCCTTCCTGCGCGCTGAGATGTAGAGGAGTGAAGCCGGCTTTGCTTTCGGCGTTGGGTTTCGCGCCGTATTCCAGAAGCGTGTTGGCGATGTCCATTTGGTTCTTCCTGGCCGCGATGTGGAGAGGAGTGTGGCCGTTTTTGGCGGTCGCGTGCGGCGAGGCGCCCTGAATAAATAACGAATTAGAGTCTTGTGAAATCTTAGCGAAGTTGGTACCTTGTCGAGTAGAAGCAGGGCGACGTTTTGGTGATCGTAATGCGAGGCGACGTGCAGTGGCGTGACGCCGTTTTTGCCTTGAGCATCGACCGGGGCTTCCTTCTGCAGCAGGAGTTTCGCTACTTTTAGATGGCCGTATTTCGCCGCCAAATGTAGAGGCGTAAAGCCTTTTTTCGTGGTGGAATCTAGCGAAGCACCGTTTTCCAATAACACGCCAGCGACCTGTAAAAATTTGATAGTTACCACACAATTTAGTCAAATATTCCAGTCTTAATTTACCTCATCTTGTCCTTCCTTGGCGGCGATATGAAGAGACGTGTACATATCTTTGGTAGCGTTATCAACTTTAGCACCGTGTTGCAAAAGAAGCATGACAATATCGACGTTTCCTAAACGAGAAGCTATGTGAAGCGGAGTTTGTTGTTCCCTAGCCCTGGCGTCTACTTGAGCCCCGTTTCTCAACAATATCCTGATTATATCAGTCTGAAAAACCGCATACATCACCAATACTTCAACCACGTTAATTCGATTTTACCTGATTCGCTCTAGCAGCTAAATGCAATGGTGTTTCACCACGCACAGTCGGCACATCCGGATTAGCATCGTGTTGAAGCAGATATATAACAATATTCATACAGCCCATAAAACTAGCTACATGCAACGGCGTCAAACCGCTCTCAGTTGTAGCACCGATACCTGAAATCCACGCAAAATTAACACATTACACGCCTCATTTTATTTATTAAATCGACTCACTTGCGCCGTGCTTGAGCAACAGCTCCACCACTTTTATTCGATTCTTCTTGCAAGCTATATGCAACGGGGTGAATCCGTTCAAAGCGCGAGCGTTGGCGTCCGCCTGCCGGTCCAGGAGCATTTTGGCGACCCGCACGTGACCGCAGTGAGCGGCCACGTGCAGAGCGGTCAAATAGTCCACGGTGACCTCGTCTACGGGCGCCCGGTGGAAGAGGAGGATGCGCGCCGCGTCCATGTGGTCGCCTTGAGCAGCCATGTGAAGGGGCGCTAGACCGTTCTAGAACAATCAAACACATTAATTAAAATAAATAGGTGATGTTGAAGGTGAGTACTTTGGTTTTTGAGCTGATAGGAGCGCCTCTGTCGAGCAGCATGTCGACGACTTGCTCGTGCCCGCTTCGGGCGGCGCAATGCAGAGGCGTTAGTCCGTCTCTGGTTTTGGCCTCGATGGTAGCTCCGTGCTCGAGGAGCAGAGTCACCATGTTGCTTTTGCCCCATTTAGCGGCGACGTGCAGGGGCGTGATGTTGTGCTTGGCGGAGTAATTCACATCGGCGCCCTTTTGGATCAGAAGGTTGCCTATTTGCTGGTTACCGTAATGCGAAGCTATATGGAGAGGAGTAAATCCGGACTTCGAAGTCACGTCCGGATTGTGTTCGTTCTGGAATATCATCGAGTTAGTTTCGAGTAGAAGGTGAGTTTGCTTAGCGGCGTACCTCTAAGAGTAATTTCGCTGCTTTGACGTCGTCTTTTTTAGCTGCTATATGCAAAGCTGGAAGTCTTATTTTGCCTCTAGTGTCGTTTTCTAGTAAAACTGTGACTACTTTATCGTGACCTTGTTGCATGGCCACCGCCAACGGTGTGAAACCATCCTGTAATAAAAGAAAGAAAAAACGATCTAGATTCTATTTAATACAACAAACAACTCCCTCACCTCCGTCGATAAGCTTTGGTTCGCCCCGTTGGCGAGCAGGTACTTGACGACGTTGTCGTGGTTCTCCTGGGCGGCCATGTACAACGGCGTGAAGCCGTTCTGGCTTTGCACGTTGACGGAGGCGCCATGCTGCACCAGCAGCTTGACCACCTCCTCTTGGCCGGCTAGCGAGGCTATGTGCAAAGCGGTGTTTCCCTTCTTCGTCGCCGCATCGACGACGGCGCCGCGCTTCAGTAGCTCTTCGACGATTTGAACGTGGCCGTCTTTCGAGGCGAGGTGCAGAGCGTTTAAGCCGTTCTGCAAAGGCAAACGGATGTGGCAGTTTATCGAGGAAATTGATCGAGATACTAAACTTCATCCATCCAACCAGCGGAGTAACCAAAACAAGATTTAGACGCTTGATCAACGATAGGAGGCTGTTTTATTTTACCCAATAGATGCAAATGTGCGTGGTGATCACACGTCTAACCTTGTTTTGGGTATTCTGTTGGTTGGATGGATGAAGTATAGAACTCGTTTCTATTTGAAATAGATAGAACGGTTTGAAGAATCCAAGAAATAGAGACTGCATAATGTTTTCGAATCGGTTCGATATAAATAGATTTAATACTTACTGCATTGCTAGTGTTGATGTCGATATTAGATTTCAAATGTTCTAAAACCTTATCGAGTTGGCCATTACGGGCAGCACGCAAGAACGCTGTATTTCCGTCAGACTGTAACAAAAATAAAACGCGCGTCAGACTTTCGAGTGGTTCGGTCAGTGTTACATCTTATTGATTTATCGCGGAAATATTCGTTTGAATTTTCAAGTTCAATTACTGCCTGGTTTCGAATGAAAAAATATGTGGAATGAGTAATCCTGTACGCGTGGCTTGCTCGTATAATTTTAATGAATGCGATCAGAAAGATTCGCCATCCCCTAGGCCATTTATCGGAGTCACCCCACCGTGAAATTTTTCACCCCGCCGGCACAGCAAGGTGCCTTCCAACCCCGAACATCGTGCACTTCGCACCCCACGGACGCTTCGACAGGGAACAAGTGTATTCCACCATTATTTTATAGGCTTGATTTTTGGAGCGCGTTGCTTAAAAATTGCAATAAAATGTAACCTTCTTATTTTATTGGCATCTGTGCATTTTCAGCTATAACTTTTTGCAAAACGTAAACTTCCTGAACTGAAACTCCGTTGCGTTGAACTTTTTGATATCATCGGAGATATATTTAGTACTTCTACATACAAATGCAAGTAAACAAACGTAGAAAATAGAGTCATTGAAATAAACGAAAGCAGCGGCGTATCGTAAAGCATTTTTATCTTATGCACCAATCGATTAAAAAGTGCTCTCTTAATGCAAGAATAATTCTTATCGAGTCGTTTAATTTTATTGTATATTTGTGTTGTTGTATATGAGACGCTACTGGGAGAAATTTATTAACGTTTGCCAAAAAGTCATTACGAAATAGGTGTTTATAAATAAACAATGGCTTGTCTGAGAATTACCGAAGGCACGCAACGTGGTTCATTACCATCGGATTTAATTACGGACTGGATAGGTAATTGATGGCCGGTAAATCGAAGCGATTTAATACCTTCGCGGGATCTTTGCACTTCTTCGTCCAGCACGGAATAATTTTGAGATTTTTAACAGGAAAAAATAGTTTAAATAGCAAAGTTCAGACATGAAACCAATCGATAAAAAATATAGCGCTGAAACATAACAAGGAACAATAGTTCCTGGTACAACTGGTTTAATAGCTGCAGACGTGGTTTATCGAACGAAATCTTTCCGATTGTATCGCAAGAAAAGCTTTTTTAATATCTACATGTAACACGTAAACGTTTCCTAATCACAAAGTTACTACTACAACAAATTTACTATAATTGATGCATTATTAATACCACCACTAAACTATTTCTATGCAGATATCCAATAAAAAGCGAGTTTTAGAAAGCCTTTCCATGTCCTACATTTCGAACAAATAGACATAGGGCATCCATCTCCCTCGGCTCGTACCATAAACTCTAGCACCTACTGTAATTAATTAGGCCGGTTCTAATTGGAACCTGTCCCTAGTTTGCGTGTGAAATATTATCCCGAGTCAATAGATAAACATTAAACATCGGGAATAATCTGTTACTTTACGTCCTCGACGGCTGCGTCCACCCCTTTTCCCGTTTTATTTTTAGGGGCTCGCCGGGCTTAATAAATGATCGCTCAACACACACACACGACCCGCGAGAGCCGGGTAAATTTGTTTAAGAGGAATATTTTGTGTCAGATGTTCCGTTTACGGCAATTAACCGTGTGGTTTGTAATAGGGTTTCGTGTCAGGTGATGGCTAAAATTTATTTGTTTTTATATAAAAAAAATCGGAGTAGTTTCTGTTGTGTGATAGAATTTGTGATAGAAACTCACCATCCGTAGAAATCTCAAGCACAACGACATTATACAAAACCGCACATTATCGCAAGCATCCCTTATCCCTTAGCGATGTAACACTCCATTTTGCTAACACCGAGAAACGCGCATCTCTAATATCGGAAGTCAACAGGTAACGCGCCGGAAATCGCCGCACCTGCAGCTAAATAACGCGGAAATATCTCGCAAAATAAGTCCTCCAGTCACACCGGCGAAATGACCGAGCTCGTGGTATCACAGCCGAATGGTTACAGTTATGGAATATGGTCGTGATGTGGATGCAATCCGGTTGCGAAAGAAGTCCATGCGTTGGCGACGCCGACGCCTTCTTACGTCACCGGTCAATACTTGCGTCGCGACGGCGCGTCTCGCCCGTCGATCGGCTACACAACACCCCCGAAAATTTTACCGATACACCCTATGCGATTATTTTAATTCCCGGCCAGATTGGCCTTCTGACATACATAGTTTTCATGCTAGATTTATTTACTTACAATTAGAATTTCTATTATAATACATTTTTGATAAAGTAATATCGGGTAAAATAATAAAAATAATATTTGATGTATTGACTCGTACGTGATTCTAAAAATAAATTGAATTCGAAAAAAATATGTTGAATTAATAATGTGATCGTTTCTTTCAAGTCTATCGAAGTTTTATAATATTCATATTTTAATGAATACATACTTGGGTTTATTTGATTTTTGTGCTGTTTATTATTCATGAAACTACTCTGTGGGAATAAAATAAATAGGTATATCAAGTGCGTTTGAGACGTCGAGTTTCAAAGAATTTTCAAAATATATGTGGAATGCTCAGTTTTCAAACACTTATTGTCTGGAAATAAATTCTTCAACTTCCTTCCTCAGAAGTTTCCAACAAAAGAATATTTTACCATATGCAAGATGTTCATTTGTATTTTAGAAGTAATGAATAAATAAAGAATTAATAAGAATTTAAGGAATTATTAGATAGGAAAATTTGAGGAATTCTTTTGAAAGATTACTAATTAATCCATTAAGCAATATTAGGAAGCGGAGCATTTTATTTAGAGCAAATAATACCGAATATTTTTAATACAATACTTATACTATTTTTCCAATTGATCTGCATTTAAATATAATAATTTTAAGCTTTAATTTTTGTCAATACATAAACATTTCTTTCTTCATCTAAAATACAAAATATGTTCATTTTTCAGTACTGTGAAATACAATTTATCATCATCAATTTTCATGAATTTTGCTTGCTTTTCCATCATCTTAAATTTAATATAAATGTAACGTTGACGAGACGTCTAAATAGAAATGAATGAATCTGTTGGATTACGAATTAATAGCATAATCAATAATTTCTTTCCCTTTTCACCCTACTTATAATTAGTTATGAATTGGGGGTGCAAAAAAAGGGTCATGGTAACGAAATCCCAGTCGTTTGTATTAATAACAAGGCGTAGAAACAGCTCAATAAATTCGCTTATTTTACACAAACTATTTAATTTATTATTAACTAAGCAATAAAGCGTTATAATAAATAATAGATTCGGCCGTTAGGCATGTTATTAGGTTTAGCTGGGAATTAAAATTAGTTTTGCTTCAAGTCGCTATCCGGAAACTTTTACTGCCCAGTTTATGCCTTCGCGGTTCGCGAGCATGAACTTTTAACGGCTTCAGAACGCAAGGAGCTTTATTTAAAATAAATGCGGCAGTAAAACGAATTTTTCGTCGGCGGAATCTCGCCGATAAAATGAATTTTTTCGATTCGAAAATTGGTCTTAGGTGTTCCTCGGATCGGAGAAACCTGGCGATACCGTTGTATTTTTTTTAACCACCGGTTAGCACATCACGCTTTTATTCCATTCCGCCCAGTCTAATTTTAGATCGGTGGAATTCCTGAACGTTACATTCGAAAGCGAGAGTAATTTTCACGGGAGCTGAATATCTGGAATTCTTTAATACACTAAAAAAGAAGATTGTAAACTCAAGAGCTTTATGAGTCATTATTCATTGGCTTATTACGCAACTAAAATTTAAAATTAGGCGCTTTATAGTAGATTCGGGATGTGCGAGTTCCAGAAAATCTCGATGAGGTGGTCTGTTGAATGTGGGACAAGTTAATTGAAAATTGTATTAAACAATTTAATGTTTTAAATCAATAGAAATAAGGTGCGCAAGTTTATTATTTGTAACTTGAAGGGAGAAAATTAATCTGGTTGTGATGTTTCTAAAGACACACACATTTTTTTATTATCCTAAAGGGGAAAATAATGTTACGTTTCGAGTATTGCCGGTGGTAATTTTGTGAAAATGGCCCTCGACTTCGTACCGCAAATAAAACCGAAATAGCTGGAAACTGACAAACATTTACGGCTGGAGCCCGTCGAATTTAGACTTTTCCAGAGCGGAAAGTTCGTTCGTAATGGAGAATTTATGTAAATCCACGGGTTTTTCTTGTTGCTAGGATAGATCGTACATCCCACACGTGCTGTTCTGGATTTAAAAATTCAGAAACTTCTTCAAGTGGGAACCTTGAGTTAATTCTCGGTTCCCATCAATTCCAATTAACATCGACCACTGAATGTTTCTAGTATTATGTTTATTTTTTCGGGCTGGCAGACGGTATTAGACGCCGGTGTAATTGATCAATATCAGTTTTATTAGTAACTAAAAAAACACGACAACGTAGGATGTTGTCGATATTTGCTTTATGCACCCTTCCCCTGTTTTTGATGCATTATTTTGTAACATGCAAGTCTAAATACATATTAAAGTACGAGTCATTTCCATACCACCCCCAAACACTGAATCGATATTTACAGTTCAAAGCAAAGAATCTCTACAAACAAAGCTCTGAAAAAATATTAGTTGCAATATAATTTATAGATATGTATTGTAATGTTGAATATTTAAAAACAAAATTTAACTGAATGCAATAATACTTAAGAGAAGCTTTTGAACCGGTGAATTAGCTTGGAGATTTTTGGCAACGATTATTTTCAAAGTAGAAATGCGTTTGCTTTCTCACGTGATGTTTTTATTTTTGTTTCGATTAATAAATAGAAATAATTTGGGTTAACTGAAAGGTGTGTCGGGAAAAGTTTTCGTTTTTCTTTAGTAGACTTAATGTAAAGTTCGCTAAATATCTTAACCGCGTTTAGATTGGATTTCAATTGTGCAATAGATGGGAATAAAGCTCGTATTTTATCGACTAAAACTATTAAAAATAAAATTACGAACCGTCGTCTGATATAATTGAATTCTATTTCAATACACGGGGAATGTTTATTAAGTTCCTCGCTGGTTAAAAAAAAATAAGGCAGATTTTAAAAGAAATAATCAACAGCAAATTTAACAACGATTTCTTGAGATATTTCCAGGCGAATTCAATATTCCAAATATTTACCTTTTCGCCGTTATTCTTGTCGACAAAATTAACACTGTTTTGAATTCACTAAAAATAAATCCGAATTAATATTACAAAACTATTTAACGGCGTGAAATATTTGGCAATATCTCAATAATTCGGAAACGTGCTCGAATGAAATTATCGGTAAACCCTCGATTCCTATTAAGCTATTGATTGTTTTCAAGAAGTTAAATATACATTTCATTTTCCGCCTCGCCAAACCCACTCGGAAAACTCCATGTGAGTTGGAAGCAACAACCACGACATCTGCAGGACAATTTCATCCTGCAGATCCACTGCGGTATAAACAACAACTCCTGCTGTACATTTAACCTAATATAGACTTGATTTGAATGAAACAACAAATATTTCGAACAATAATAGTAACATTAACTAACATTAACCTAGTTTGGTAATAATTTAAAATAGATTTAGAAGGTAACTATGGATTTTGTAACTATGTAAAAATGAAGTAGTAAATTTGTTATAAAATGTTATCAATTAATTGGATCTATTTTTGAACACTAAATAAAGAACATCGATACTTGTACCTAGAAGAGCATTTTATTGATATTATTTTTTATCAAATCCAGTTGAATTTGGAGAAACTACCCATAAAAATATTAGTGTTCAATTTTAGAATTCAATAAATGTTGTAATATACATTTCACAAAACGAAGGTCAAGTTCAATTCTAACTCTCACCTGTCCGTTTTCGGTTACCATATTGGTCCCTGTGAGTCGACCAGATCCTACCTAGGCTACACTGACTCTACTCGAAAGAAAAATATATCTCTGTTGAGCAAAACTCAGGAATTATCACTGCGAAATACCGGCATAATTTTTCTGCGGTGACCAACTTTGCCCACCAACTTTCAGCTACTGACATAGGAAGAAAGGGCCGTCGACCAATGGCACTGAGCTACCCCGGTATCGACCGGAAAGTAGTATCGATAGCACGCGAGGGCGCTTTTCCTACCCGGAATACGCAGACTGTGGCTCCAGGAATGGACCTGCTCCAGAATTGTCTGTTCCAGATGCACCAGTAACACTAATATTCATACTCCGATATAAAAAGTAAATTTGAACGGAACTACTGAAGAAGTAGAGTGTACTTCATATTGAAGAAGTAGTTTTAGTATTTGATATTTGTTTGATTAATTATAGGTGCCCGAAAAAAAGGGAATATTCCGGGACTGATAGGCTGGCTTATATAGGGATAATTCCGGCCTGGAATGCGACCTTCGGCTTTCAGGGAGGTTTGTGGGGAGACGGTGGGAGTTTATCCACAAGAAATTAGGCCTCGTTTCTGTCAAAACGTATTTTATCGCTTGTCGTTGAGATTTTTTATTAGATTGTCTCCCGGATCCCGAGGATTTTCCATCAGCCCGAAACGCGTTACACTCGAGCGATAAAATCAAACTTTTTTCTTTCTTCTATCGCAGTTACATCAGGTCCGAACTCCCTGCCGGTTTTATCGGTTTATAAATTCATCGGGAGCTAAGTAACAACTGGTCTATCTCACGTAGCAGGTGCTTTGTTATTCCCCGCGAGTCGCGTGGAAAATAGGCCTTATGTAACGCTCGCTTTCAGTCGGTTCTATTTCTGTGAAATTGTCTTCGCAGGGGTCACAAAACAGTATCTAATTTTAATTTCGGCAGGCATTCGAGATTTATTGCCGGCGGATAAATGCAAGAACACAGTGCAACGAAGTAAAAAAATATAGGTATAATATATTACATGCGAGCGATGTTGCCAATTAGAACGAAAATTCGCCATGTTGGGGACAATTTTAACAAATTCCAAAAGGTCGAAGCGATATTTTTGCAATACAAACACAAACATATTTTATGTATGTTGTAGAGGTAATTATTGTCATTAATTACACACTACTTAACGAAGCAGATGTGATTTTAATTCGCCGTGTACTAATAATTAATTATCAACAAATCGAAAGCATATGTAAATAAACACAATTTCCATCTATCGACGCATTTCTGAGTAATTCCACTTCTAAAGGGGCCATTAAAGTCGACTAAATGAACAGCAAAAGACGTATTATTCGAACCACTAACCACATTAAGATAAATTTAATACCCTTACAAACCTAGTTACATTACACAAAAATTATTAATTAAAGAAATACTTTCGTAATTACAAAATTCCCTGTCCCCGGTAAAAGGAAATTAAGCGAGCGCACGGAGCCTGAAACAAGTCTAAAACAAAACGAATTACTCCTCTAATAACCCCGAATCGATCGGTGCCTTTTTGTTAGTGGGGTAGAGGAAATGTTGGAGACATCCAATCCCTTTGAAGTCCCGACAACCCCGATGGATACAACGAGAGCGGTTGAATGTGTGTATTAAAGGACAAATGGCGTGGAAGGATTGATTTACACGTAAAGTCCGGAGTGTTAAACTCTATCTATGAGAATACCCGGGAGAATGGGATTTATTTGCGTATATAATTAATGCATAAAAGACTCATTTAACTACTGCATTGTCATATTAGCAGCCTTTAAAAAAATTATAATTCGTTTATGTACTCGCCCGATATAATTTTCGTTGTTTTGTGCAGGATAATAAACAACAAAAACTGCCAACAGATGTGATCACATTGACAAAAAGTGCTGGCGTTTTTCCAGTTTCACGAGAAACCAAAACAAGCTGTCATTGCTATAAAAATTTGATAGACTTTTCCTGAAGAATAACCGCTAAGTTGCCGTACTATTTAAGAATCACGCGGATCGTTTATAGGTTTCCTCGGATGTATAAGAATTGTTACGAAACCGAGCTTGATATATTATTAAAAAAAAATGTTTATTTTGAGATGTTCGTAGGAGGAGTAGCAAATCTATCAGAAAAACCAGGAAGTGCACTTGCTATAAATTCTGGAAAAACGTAAAATAACCGAAGCTTACCTCTAAATCTATGCTGGTGAGAGAGGGAAATCTTCGTTTCATCAGTTGCGACATATTTATTCGGTCGGTTAATTAAAAATAATAACAGGACACTAACGTAAATAAAACGTGTTTCGAACTAACGGGGAAAATCTACGTGGAAAACAGCGAATATTCCGTTAAAAATTTTCTCATTTTTTTATACAAAAAAAAAGAGTTCATTTAAATTCTGTTCGAATCGCGAACAAATGCAATTGACATGGACTACTGTCCATTTAAAACTACAATAAACGAGGTGAACCGATGACATTATGTCACTCATTAAAATAATTAGTTACGTAATTTTATTAAGAGCATGTGCTACTGGAATGGATTTTATTTCTATTTTATTTTTATAGAAAAAAAACCGTGCCAATGTAAATTTTAACTTTCATACATTTTCCAATATTTCAGTCAATTTTAAATAAAATGAAATCAGATTATGTAAATATGCTTCTATTAAAATTTAATAAAAATGTTTAATGTAGTTTTAATATTGTTGAATGAAATTTATAAAATTGGGTTTGTTAAATATGCTAACAGAATAAAATGCCCTAATAAATTAAATTTATAGACTAAAAAATTACAAACTATCTAGATAATTGGAGAATATATGCTTTTAATTCAAATATTTCATATTATAACTTTGTTAACTTAAAATGAATTGGTCGTAAAAGTAGATGAAGCGAATCCTGTGTCACTCCAATTAATTATTAAATCAATTACACTCATAATTTAATTATTAATTATCCATCCCATACATACTCAATAGATTCCTTTATGTAACTATATAATAATCGAATAAAAACTACTATAGGAGAAGCGAGTATAAAAACGAATAAAAAAATTATAACGGAACAGGTATCGATTTTTCCGGCAGATTCACACTATCTCGATCGGGCTCGTTGTAATTTTCGCGCACTTTCCCGGCCTCTTCGGCATACAAAAAAAAACAGTTTTTTTTTTCTCGTGGGACCGACCGCGATAGTGTTAGGCCGCAGCAAGGAGGAAAACTGGCGAAAAGTCGCTCAGTATTTTCGTATTTTTAGCGGTGCTTCACTCGAATCTATTTCTATAACGCGGACCGCGAACGGCGGCTTCTCAATCATTAACGGCTCCATTTCGAACTGGCTACTGGACCTACCCAGAGAAGAGCGAACCATAGCGAAAGAGTCGCCGATTGTGGGTGAGGTAAATTGACGGTCGTTTCGCCCATTTGCGATAAACTAGACGAAATTAACAACCGCACGTACCGTTCGTCAATAAAAAATAAATAATAGACGGTTAACGGGACTATGGTGATTTAACTATAAACAAGCGACCGAGTGTTACATTAAAAGGTAGAGTGTAAATGTAGGCAGTACTAAATGTAAATGTAGACATCAGTATCTACTAAATATAGGTAGTAAATGTAGGGAGTAAAATAGAGAATAAAATGAAGGGAGCAAATGTAGAGAGTATAGTAGAGAGAAAGGGAGTAAATGTAGAGAGTAAAGTAGAGATAGTAAATGTAGGGAGTACAGTAGAGAGTAAATATAGAGAGTAAATGTAGGGAATAAATGCAGGAAGTCAATGTAAAGCATAAATGTATGGATTAAACGAAAAGAGAAATTGCAGAGAGCAAATAAAGGGAGTAAAAGTAGAGAGAAAATGAAATAAGTAAAAGTAGAGAGTAATTATTGCGTTAAATGTTGAAAGAACATAGGTACATATAGGAAGTAAATGAAGGTGTGTGTGTAGAGAGAAATTGTTCCAACATAATTTTAGAAATTCCTAAAGTATGTAGAGTTTATTCAACCACCCTGTAGATACTTAAAGAAGCGAAGCATGCCGAAGAGATAAATTTATCCTTAACATGCGGCAAATCAAAGCGTGCAAAACGAACGAGTGTTTTAACGATTCCGAATTTTTCCTCTGCACATCCCTAATTTCTTCCTGATGACTATTTTCGCGAACGGCTGACATCATTTCCAGCGGAGTGTTGATCTCATCGGCCAATTTCGCGCAATTCGCGACCGAAATAAAGAGCCTACAGTCGACAATGCCTATCGCAGAATAGGACGCGTAGGCCAACCGTAAATTAACTCTTTTTATTAATACATTTCTACATTTACAGCGGACGTACAACGGTGCCGAGTACTTTATAATTCAATTACTTTGTTAGCGATATTTATGTTATAATTTAAGCAACACGCATAAGAAGATAAACTTAATTGTTTATATAAATAGTGATAAATTTAACTTACAGCTTCAACAACTTTGTGAGTATCGTTCACAGTCGTCATCTTGATAACATTTCTTCGCTAGGAAGTCGCAAGTTTGAGCACAACTCACAAACTGAGCGAACTTCCCACAGGGTTCTCCTAACCTAGTAAAAACCAGCCGGCATTATGGGTGCAATGCGTCTACATAAGACTTTGCCGGCATTCAGGAATACTTGCCTACTGTAGTCCTTTTTATTGGTCGTCCTTTTCGCGGAAACTCCGCCTCCGGCTAATCTCAAGGAGAAAAAGGATAATCGATGCCTCCCAGAAGGCTCAACAGTTTTCTCTAGACAAGGATTTGCGTCAGCAGTAACGAGACCGGACGTGAGGGAAATTGGAAAATGTGCTACCTATTATTAGCAGGATACCTACAGGATTCGTGAGAATGTGTGAGGGAGAATTGCGAAAGTGTTTCCTTCAAACTAGCTTCCATTGTTCTAATATAAACGATGATTTTCCGGCTAAAAAAACGAGTTCAAGCAAGACTTTTGTGATTTGAATTTTTAAAGAACCTATTGCATAAGTTAAACATTTGTGTCAAAGCTAATCGATAAACCTTTGCAGTTGCCATAAAATGTTGAAACTAGGAGAATTTCATAAAATACCTTTTCCGCATGCACAGTACAAGGATATTTCGCAACCCATAAAATTTTTTTTGGAATCTTGCCTATTTGGAACGAAAATCGGGGGTTAAAACGTTGAGTGTAGGGGATTTTTTCGTGTTACTTCAAGATCACAAATAAGTTTGGCTAGTTGCCTATTTTCCGATATGAATTGTATAGATTGAGAAAATCACTATACATATTTCTACAGTGCGGCAGAAATAGCTGCGGACGTGACTTGCGCGAACTTCATTGCGCATTGTACTCCCCCACGTCTTCTACTTTACGAACTTCGCTGTATATGGAAATTTTGTAACAATATTTTAATTACTTCCAACTATAAATAATTGCTGGACTTTTCGCCGTGATTAGAGCATCTAAAAATAGAAGTGTCTGCGCTCATTAAACGAACCACCTGAGGCGACATTTCGCCCGTTTATTAGTTTTAATAAATCACCATTAACTTCATGACCTATTTTTACGCGGAGCAGCTCCGTTTATCCGCCCATATCATCACGCCCGACGTGCACACACGTCGTTTAATAGCAGGAATTCCGTCAAATGGAAGGTATGCCGCAGGCCAACGGGGTTAATTGAACTTTTTCATACGATACTCTACGCAAACGTACGGCGAATTACTCGATTAGACGGCGCGATAAGAATTTTTTAGGACTTTGTTGCGAATGGAAAATTGTGTACAATAGTTTGCTGAAATGGTGGAATATCATTTTGAATTCAGTCGTCGGTGTGTCTGTTTCGTGTGATAAAAAACGCACGAGTTTATTGGTTCAATTTATCGATTTATTTCCACATTGTGCATAAAGTGACATCTACTGTGGAGGAACTAAAGCACGAATGAATGTCGTGGAAAGGAATTTTCCAGATCGAAACTGGCGACTTTTGTTGGATAAAATATAGATGAGAATATAAGTTTTTATGTTAACGAACGTAGTAATTTGATAATTATCTACCTATAATCATCTTTAATAGGATTATTGATCCTATAGGCAAGTATTTAGGTAACGACTTGAATGTATTGAACTACAAATAATTCAATTAAAAGATTCCCTAGAAACAATGATACGTTTGCAATAAAAATACTCATTTAATTACACTAAAAAAATATCTGCCTCGAAACGACCACTTAATTTCATGTAAATAGTATCCCCACTATACCAATTCATCCTTTTTCCCGAAACCCTCCTTCAATTTTAACGAATTCTTTCCAAATACATACAGATATCCAAAACACATTAAAATTGCTAATGGAGTTCACCGAAAGGAAACTTCCAGACGCGTCCGTTCGTCCGTAAACAAACAACTTCGCGATGAATCACCCTCTCTAATGGCATCTCAAAGGTCGTTTATCCTTCCCGGCCGTCCGACTGGCACCGCTTCCGCCCTGTTCTCGCGCGTCCTTGGTATCCACCCCGGACTTACATAACTCCCGGCGACCTTTTTTCCCCGTCCTTCCCGCTCCCCAACGCTCCAGACTCGACGCTTAAGGATAAACCGAAACCGGCGTCGAGATTAGAACGAGTTGATAAACACGGGATGGATAAGATATGATTTATGGAGCCTATGGTCATTTTATTACTAACTTTTATTTAGATATAGCTAGTACTTACATGGACTTTGTTTTCCGAATGCACCGAATGGAGATCTATGAATTGAGGAGGCGTAGGTCGAGTGGTTTCCTCCTTATAGGGCGATTTTCTGGGCACCGGGTGCTCGTCCTCGATGCCGTGCCCGTGGTAGTCCCTGTGGATGCCCTGGGCGTCGATGAAGTGCAGCTCGAAGGAGTGCGAGATGCCGTGGGAGTCGTAGTACTGGCCGGAGTCCCTTTTGCTGCTGCTCCTGCTGCCGTCGTCGTGGTGGTGATGGTGGTGGTGGTGATCGTCGTGGTGGTGGTCGCCGGGGACGTGCGGGAGCACCGGGAAGTCGCGCTGGTGTCCCGGAAAGTTGCCGTGCGAGTCCGGTTTGTGGGGGCTCTTGCTCGTACCGTGGTGGTCTTTGTCTTTGTGGTGGTCTTTGCCGTGGTGATCTTTGCCATGGTGGTCTTTAGAGTGGTGGTGGTCTTTGTGATGGGAATGGGGCACGTGGTGGTGAGATGATTCCACCAAGGTCGGTTGGATGTGAGTCACGAATTGCGCCATTTTATTATTCACGGTTCATTAGTTATATTTTTAATGTTTAAGCTGGAATGATAGAGGATATCTTATCTTAGGTGAAGAGTTGCAGGTGTGCAATTGATCAGAAATTTGAGTGGTTTTTTTCAAGATATTATGATTTAAATTATGAGTGATCTCGATTCGAAAAAACGTGGAAAATTGTAATTTTTTATATCGCGTTTAAACAAGTCATTAAGATTGTTATAATGTTGTTATTGACTTTTACAAATTTTATAATAGCACCTACTGGAGATTTTCGTTGTCAACACACGGAATTACTTGTTACACTTTTAATATTCTACAGTTTTCGTGACTCGATAATAATTTTTTAAATGATTAAAATTTCGTTTTTTTGTAATAGAAATATTATTGAAATAATGAAAAATTTTAATTTTGTTTCATTATAGACAATTGTGTATTTTCTTAATAAGGGCCAAAAAGGAAGAGCTACAAGTTTCTGATATATCCTTACATCATAATGCAATATAAAATTAAATAAAATTCCATCAAAAATAATTAGATTATTTACCCACCAAATTTACTAAATATCCTCTATCACATAAGCCAAAATTCCACTACTTTAAAATCAACGAAGCCGAAAAAAAAGCCGCACGACTGTCTATAAAAAATCGCACAAAATCGTCCTTATTGCACTACATAGGAACTTCCATATTATCGCTATCTACATATACTCTATTCGGATTTTCGATGACTGTTAACCCCGAAGAAGCCGACGAATGCTGGCCTGACAACAGACCGAGAACAGATGAAATTCGGCATCAGAGACACTCGCAGTTTTCCTTCGTCGGAGCTTTCCCGGAACCAAATATTGAGATTTTCCCGCCTAACCCTACAATCAATACCCAACCCTACCATCAGCGTTACAAATGGGGCTGTGAAAATGCGAAACCTACGTGGTTGAGAAAATGTTTATTCATTAAAGAATTCTGGTAAAATTGGTCCTAAGTTATCGGTATTTAAGTGAACGTTTTGTATAAGATAGAAATGTGTAGTTACCGGTTTTTTTAGACATGGGAAAAGTTGTTAAAAGGAATTAAAGTAGTTCATCCCCAAGTTTACCAAATATTAACGTTAATATTGCAGTATTTAGTGGAAATTTCCCATTCATAAAATAAAGGAGTTATAGAATCTCCTAAAATGCAACCCTTTTAAAAATCCAGTTGAAACTGCACTGTTGAAACACAACTAACCAGAACGTAGTTTTGTCTAGCCAGGGCTACGCTTTCGCACGGTATCGCCCGCCTTTAGATCTATATTTATTTCTACATCCCCATCACAACGCCTGGATGGGGGTCGTAACTTGCGCAGAAGGGCGCCAGATGACGAGTCCCTACCCCGTAGGTCAATTATTTATTTACTTTGCTAATTTCCACCACTATCATCTCCTCTTTTTCCATTGGCAAGATTGTACATGAAATTTTATGGCGCAATTCGGCGCGAGTGACGGCGCCTGGAACGTCGTCTAGACTGGTCTGGAACAAACAGGATTTCCATTATCCGGGAAAGCGGAAACGATTTCTCCAGATTTAAAGTTTATGACACTTTAGGCGGATCTTATTGAATATTCTCTTCATGTTAGATCGTTTTGTTTAGTGTATTTTCCGTGCGTGGTTTTTAGTACTGGCGCTGGGAATCGACCAAACTGCAATTATACAATCAAAGTTAAGCAATCAACGATGCAGATGCATTGTTATAGAGTTATCTCTCATGAAAACCGGGCGGAATGCGATTAACGCCGGAAAGCATGTAAATGGGACATAAATTTCCAAAGCTATTTGCGCCTCTATTGCAGCAATGCTCCCGAATATCGGGGAGATTGACCTAGATCTGATTGAAGAAAAAATTGCATAGGAGGACAGTCGCGCTCTTTGCCCATGGACTATAAATCGAGTCGAAGAAGGTGCCATAAAAATTCAATATTGATACGGGCGACTTATATTGTTTTAGAAAAACTTTGAAATATTAAATACCGAAAATGAATCAATAAAGCAAGAGTATCAACAGGCCCGGAACGTGAGTGAAAACTCTGGCGGTTAGTTGAAAATCATCTATAACTCTAAACGGTCGATTAAACTGGGAAATATTTTTCGCGCTCACGTTTTAATTCCACCGAGAGCTGTTGGTAGTTTATTTCGATTGTTTGGAGGTGATGTACTCGGAATTAGTACAAATACGAATGTTTTGTGATAAAACAAGGTAACAAAAATCCACTAATATTATTCCAAAAACTGCCAATTTTTCAAAAGTTTTACGAAATTTGCCGGTTATCTTGCAGCGCAACGAACACAAACTTGTTTTATCAGCGCAATTTACCTAAACATATTTTTAATTTTTGTTATCTTATCGTTAAACGAAAACCATCAGACAAACGAGATACGATTTAATTTGTTGCAAAGAGAATGGGAGTACCTTTGAACAGGTGAGCTTGTTCGTTTCCCAGATACGCGTAAGTACTTCTCGAAACAAATATGTTATCGTGAAAATATTAGATGAAATAAGTAAAGGGAAGAATGTCGAAATTGTTGTCAACGAAACGTAAGTTTTATTTTAAATAACCAACTCATTAAAAAGTATTATTTTTTAACAAACAAATTGAGCAAATTGCTACTTATAATTAGCTTTCTACTAGTTACTTTTTCATTCTTTATATGGTGCGTTATATTTTACCTAATTTCTATTCGATTCATGAGAATATGAAGCGAGAAAATCGCAAAAATCTATTAGCACAGATGTGCAGAAATCTAAATCTATCACTGATAGACAATATTATCGCTAAACCGCTGCTTGATCGTGTATTATTTAGTCGCCTTGCGATGTCACGAAGGTGGGAATTTTCGAATTTATTCAATTATTTTATAATATTGGAATTCGATATCGTTCGCCGGTATTTCGATTAGATATTGTCCACTCGCGACTAGACGATTCCGTGGAGTTTCGTTGAATCACCTATCGTGGGTGAATTACTTTTATCTTCCATAAATTTATCATCTGTGTACTCGGTGCAATGAGTAATTTTGGTAAACTTTAACCTCCCTTTGTATGATTTTCAGGCCTCATAATTACAATTTCAAGAAACCCTCCAGCAAGGGTAGAGACCTGCTTATACACAGTGTAATTATTGTAGTTACTCGTTCAAAGTTAATAAATAATTAGTTAGCCTGTGAAAAATAAGGTTAACACTAATTACGAGAGAACTAGACTAATGGAGAAGCCTCGATCGATTTTCGATTAGCAGGATTACGAAATACGTTTTCGAAAATTACTACAGTAGTTAGTGGAAAACGAATCGAAGCAATTGAAAAATGTAATCTTCGCACTCTATCAAACTCAGAGTACCTAAATCTATTTTTATAACCCAGCGATAATTATTAGGCATTATTAGGCACTTTAAGTACTAGTTAAAATATTATTTTGTTATCTACATCAAACTAGATATAGTATAAAAAGTTGATTTTTTTGATAAAGATTTATTTATGAGCGTAATAAATATTATATTAGAATTGAGCGCGGGCGTGCTCGTGCAGATCGCGATGTTAACACGGAAAACTCGGTATTTTCCTGCTATTTTTTCCACCGTCGCAAAGTGATACATTAAAATTCCCCCGGTAAGCCAATAAAATCAATTTATCAATTTTATAGCATATCAAATATGAATTTATAACCAAACACGTCAAACAAAATTCTATATAATAAAAGATAATTTATAGGCGAGATCCATTATTCAAGAAACAATGTGCGTTTACTCCTCATTACCTGAATTATTAATCGCTTCTTACATCGAAGAAATAAAAAACTAATCGTAAACAATGAAGGTTACACAGAAAAGTTTTCCCCAAGCAATAAATAATCGAGTCGATATTTTTCCACAACTTTACTCAATGTCGCCTTCCTTGTTGTAGTCCCCATTTAAATCCAGCTGAAAAGATTTCGACGGTCAAATGCCTCAACAGGGTGAGAAATTAAACGGCTCCTCAACCGCCGAAATGTTGAGACGACAAAGGCACAGTTTACAACCGAAAATCAGCGAAATACCCGCCAACAGCTTCAGGCATACGCAGTCACATAGGTAAGTACAGACCGTCGAGAATAGCAAGAGACGCGAGAAGCGCCTCAGCTATACCCGTCGGTCTGTAAGCAAATTTACTATTCCTTTAATGAAATATATATTTTTACTGTTAGGTACGATTCGGAGGGTCATAATAAGCGAACGAAAAGGGCCGTGGTGCTGCCTCCAAGGCAATCGGCGATAAACGAGACGTCGGAAATCGAAGAAGAAGAGGACAAGAAGGCGGAGAAGAAGGGCGAGAACGTGGAGAAGCGAACCGAGTCGCATGTGTTTACGATCGAAAGCGAAAAGCGCTCCAGCAAGTCGTCGAAGAAGAGCGACAAATCCAGTTACGCCTACGATAACGCCGCGTACGATTCCAATTTGGATAAAAGGAGCATCTCCAGCCGGGCTGGATCCTCCAGGCAGCCCAGCGTGCAAAGTTTAGAGTATGTTTCTATTACATTTTCCTCTAATTGAATTGGAAACATATATTAATAAGGTCCTGGGTAGTAGAAACTAACTCCTGTTAAATTATTCGCTTCCATTTTCAACTCATTCATAATACTAATTCTGAATTTAGAATCTGCTAGTCTCGCTCACTCTGTGAGCTCGTTTGGTATCCTTGGGAATTAGTGACCTTTGTTGTCAGGACTATTAGGTTAATATTTTAATAATAATTTGTATAATGGGTTTTTTTTCAGGGTTGTTCGCGAGCAATATTGCTGTTGCGCCAAAAGGACTAAATGTGAAAAGAAACTTCTACTAACAGTGACAGTGCTTAGTATGGTAGTAGTAGTTTTAATAATAGTATTGGCTATTGTGGCGTCGAATAGGAATATTAAAGACGATTTAACAACGTTTGCCGGTCAATTTTAGCGGCGTATTTCTAAGGAAGTATGTTGGTAATGAATTGTTTTACTATTTTTTTTAATTTAAACGAACTGATTATTGATCTTAGGCGATTTTAGTTTTTGTTATTATTTTTTAATTACGTGCATAGTCTTGTAGTTGTTTGTACATAGAAGTTAATGAATTGGCTGTAATTTTGTCATTTTTAAGTAAAGAATTAAAAATTTTATGGAGTTTAAAATGGAATGCTTTGTAATGACGGTTTTCCATTAAATATACAAACAGAAACAAAACCTGACCTAATGTCGAAGAAAACAAAACTGAAACTTTTCGCGAACTTTTTGAAGACGGTTGAATGGAGTTTTATGTTTATTGGAAAACCGTCATAAAGTATTAAATTATTCGGTTCTTAAATAACTCTTTTTATCTTATTAAGAACTTGAAACCCCAAGAAATTTACTCAACCCCCAATTTATCACAAAAACCTCAAATAAAACATAAACGTTTAAACTAAATAAAATTTATTATTCACGCATATTAAATTTAATTACATTCTATCATCAGCTTTTAACGAATACGTTCTATCTAAAATACAAAAAAGAGATTTTCTAAGCAACTCGTGGGAAATGTTTTCGATTTTCGCCTTGGTGTCATCGTAGATTTTCCCCTTTAATTTTTCATAATCACCCGTCAATAGCGAATTTTTGTATACATTATTAACCTTCTCGATCGATTCCGATTCTAGTTTACCGTAATGCTCCTTTAACACGGCTTTCTGTTCACCATCGACTTTTTCCAGAGATTTTATCGCCAGCCAAGAACAATACCCGTGCTTAATATTAAAGTGTTCCGGTAACAAACCAAACGAATCCAAGTAATCGATCTAAAAAATGTTTAATTACGATTTATGTGTTTAGTGTATTCACGATAATTAGATTATGATGTCACGAGTCACAGCGATGCCACGTTGTAGAAATTTTCTACCAACTTCAGGATTTTATTTTAACGTCATCACTTACCTTAATTTTTTTTAATAAAGCGATATCTTTCAGAACATCCGCGATTTCTTCGGTGTAAACAATGTGGCTATTATTCGACAAATACAAGGCAGATTTCAATGGTAGCTCGAACGACATGGGTGCTATTTTCAATTCAGCGATATTTTTCAGCAAGTTATAATCGAATTTTTCCAAGTCTTTGCTGATCAATTCCAAGTTACGACCGGCTAAAGAATCGCTGAAGGCCTCGTGGAACGTTTCCAGAATATTAACGTAGTTCCTGTGAGTGCTGAAGTATTTTTTCAGCTGGAGGAAAACGTAGCTTTCCATGAGGACTGTATCGTTGGATACTTGGTTGTTGTAAGTGCGATCGGTGTGCCATGATTTGGTATTGTTCCTCGTTTGTATGTCGTGGAAGGAGTCTGATTTTATGCTAAGAACACCGTTTAACTGAAATAATTAGCGTAATTATACCGCGAATTTTGACCTACTGGATTTTCTAAAGAAAACTCAAAACACATTTAAAGCTCACCATTTCCATTAACCATCCCAACAGGTAAACTAGATCTAATTTTTGTTCGTTGGGGTTCAAAATTTTGAAAACTTTTAGAGTAGTGTTAGGAGACTCCATATCGCCTATGAGCCTCGGATGCTGCAGTAAATTTTTCGTTCTCTCCTTGAGATTCCCGTATATTTCGATATCTTCGATCTCATCCACGTCTGCGATGATTTTCTGGGACACTGCGATGAACGGTTGGGCGAGATTAGAATAGCACTTACATGCTTGATAAAATACCGGAAGCCTCCTGCAAGCGAATCCCAGCTTAATCTCGAATATTACAAAAAACTACGAGGGTAAGATGAAAAGTTCTCGAAGTTCCCGGCCTGAATGGAGAAGTTGAGAGAGTAGTCGATGAATATTCTAGCAGATTTCCAGACTTGGAAGGTTATAAGTGTATTGAAGTCAAAGGAGATGCAGAAAAAAATGTTTAACTGAAAAAGACACTCTTCCATTGTTAGGCGGAGAACTTTTCTCCTTACCCTCGTAATTTATATAAAAACTTACTTTACAAACAGTAGCCTAGAATACACCAAACTGCTCATTATTACTACAAGCGAATGCTAGCGATATTAATTTTAAAATGGACTCGAACTCGAGGCAATCCGTTCAATTAGTATTGACATAAAAAATATTATCGCTTTAATTTAAAACTAATTATAATCCGTTTGGGAACAATTAAATTAGTAGAATAAAGGACGACGAGTCATAAAAATTATTTGACGCGTTTATTTTTAATTAGGCAGGGTAATTAGTTAATACGACATGAAATAAAAACAATTTTTTGATGATGTATTTAAACTTCTTTATTAGTTTCTTTACTAGCGTATTTTATGGCTAATTCTCGTCTAGTTTTAACTAATATTCTGTGACCCTTACAATCTAAATTCTGTACGTAACATCTGTCTTTGCAGCATTTTTTGCACAGTTTGTAAGAACATTTTGAACCCTAAAAATAAAAAAAAATTAGTTCAAAAAATTAAATAGCAAGTGAGTGAAACCTACTAAAGGATTGGCGCATTTTGAACATTTTTCTAAAGTCCTATCGGGAAGATTGTCCGGCTTCTCCGGCCTTCTACTAATTCTCCTCAACTTTTTCATTTGCTTCCTGCTGATTGTTCGACCATCCGCATCCTCGTAGTGCCTTTTACTATTCAAGTTCTACAAACAAATACACTCAAGTATAACAATTCAATAGAATTACAAGAGGAATTACTTCTCTTTCTTCCGCTTCTTTTCTATTAATTTCCACCTTTTTTATGTGATTTTCCGGAGTATCGCGCACATAAGGTTGACATAACCAAGGAGGAAGTACAATATTTTCCGATCCTTCCTCTGTTGTTTGCTCCCATAATTTCAATCCTTCATGATACGATTCATATGTGTCTTTAATCTCGTTTACAATTAATCTAAATTGATCCATAGTATTGGCAGCGCCCAGACGAATCCGTAAATTATTGTTTGAAGGAATACATAAACTATTAAAACATATTATTAGTAAGTAACTAATGTGTAAACAAATCCTAAACTTACACATGGTGGAATAATTTGAACAAATGGCCTCGAATGTAAGATAAAGGACAAGGGTATTTAACAGCCAAATCTAAATACTCAATAGCAGGTATCCAAGCTGGAGGATTTTGACCCATAAATAATGCGGGGTTGTATAAATTTCCTTCTGCAGTCATAACACCTACAGCTCCGGTTTCTGCCAGGCATCTTTCCACGTCTTGAATACATTGAATGTTTCCATTCGAAACCACTGGAATATGAACAGCATCTCTAAAACAATTTACATTACAATCAAGTTGATTAATTAATTAACTCGTAACGAACCTCACAGCTCGAACGTAACTCCAATCAGCTAAACCAGTCAACGGTCCCTTCTGTTCTCGTAATCTACCATGTACCGTTAGCATTTTACAACCGGCTGATTCGAGCATCTTCGCATAAGCTACGGTTTTGTCTTTGGTTTCAAACCGTCTAATTTTACATGTAACAGGAACCTTCAAGTTTTTGCTCATAGTACTCACTAAAAGAATATCAATGAAATCTTGAATTGTTAGTTCAGCGAGGAGTATTATACCCACCTACCGATATTGTGTAGAAGAGGCCATTCATCCTGGAGAAAGGCACCGTAATGTCCACGTTTGGCTATAGCCTGTGGACATCCTAAATTGATATCTATAGCCACACAATAATCTTGCGCTAGCAAACCTGCTTCGAGCATAATATCTGGATCATTACCGCAAAACTACAAATGATAGGAACACAGTAGAAGGCTTATTAATTATTTATAGTTATACTAACCTGGACTATTAAAGGTTTGTCTTCCTCACACGAAGCTAAAGCCTCTTTCCTGTATTTAGGATCTTTAACAAATATACCACTGTGTAACATTGGTGTGTAACAAAGTTCAGCACCATATTTTCTACTCAATAGCCTCCAAGGTAGTTCGCTGGCGTCCACCATTGGAGCAACTATTTTTACAGGTGAACCAAGAATATTATTCCAAAATTCCATAGTTAACAATAGTTTTCAACCATTTATTTGAGTAAAATAGCACCACACGATTCACAATAAAAATAGATAGGTTAATTATTGTCAATGTCACTGTCAAATGTCAGAAAATTGTTCAAGAAGTATCACAGAATTGTGAAATAAGACTTGCAGTTTTGTGTTTTGTGACAATTTCGAATTACTGAACGTAGCTCTGTCAGTTGAAAGTTTGACGTTTATAGGTTATGTTAGTTTGTTTGTTGACAAAATAGATTCAATTTAAAACATGATAATGAAATCAAATGTTTTTTTACCCGTATTTCATTGCAAAGTAAAAAGTAAACGTTGCGATTTTCGGGGATACGATTAACAGTTTTAAATACACGTTCGTGCACGTCTCTAATATATTTAAATAACTATGTGTGATCCTGCTACATTTGTGTCTTCTATTAAAGTTAAAGGAATTCATCTGTTACCTCCTGTGGTAGGTATATTGTTTTTAAATTGTTGTCGATATTAATTACCGAATTTATAGATAACTCCGAAGAGAAGAACTGAATTGGAAAAAGACAGACAGCAAGCGATAAAATTAGAAAAGCGATTAGAAAATACTAGAAAACTAAAAAGCGATCTCGAGGAACTGTTAACTTTAAACAGCCTATCAGATAAACAGCCGGCATTTAGCAACAGCCACTCAAAAAAGCCCAATCTTAGTAAAGAAATCCTCGAAATATCGGAATATCGAAACGACATCAAAACATTTTCCTCGGATTTCAGCACAGTCAGTGGTTCTTCCAAAAGCCACGTTAACAGCAGCAGTCAACAAGACGTTGATGATTCATCGATTAAAACTAACGCTTCTTCCATTATATCTTGCGATGTTAACGATATTAACTCCGCTTCTTCCTCCACCAGTAAATTAGATATCTGCCCAGCACTAAACTTAAGTAAATTGAGTAGCACCAGCGGGGTAAGTTCTAAACAGCTAATGTAATGTATTCGTTTTAATGTTGTGTAATATTCAGTCGAAGACTCCTTCTCCTCATAAATCACCAAAGCCTCGAATGATCCGCAGCAATTCTTATACGCTAGAAGCACCGAGTCCTATACTCCTAGCTCATTTGGAAAATTGCAGTAAAACAGCAATAGATGATACCGCGGAACATGAAGATGCTGAATCATTGCACAGATCATTGTGGGGTTCTCTGGATAATAATTATGTACCATTCGAACAAAGCCAGTTCAGCAGTTTGAATACTGTTTATAATTTCAACGAAAACAACTCCGAAGGTTTATATTCATTAAATAATATACACTACTTTTTGTTAATTAATAACGTTTTTTAGAATCTAAAGCAGCAACAAATACTGTTAAAGATGAGGTAACGAAAGAACCATCTCCATCAATCGAAGTAGTCCAAACCGATATATCCGTACAACAAATAACCGTAAATGCCAATACGGAAGAACTACAACCGGTTAAAACGACTATAGAGCTAACCGACCCCGATTGTCAGCTGATGCAAGTCCTAAAGAAAATCCCCGCAGAGTACTCCAAGCAAATCATCGAGCTGATAGAGAAGCAAAAATCCGATCACTCGCTCAAAGTCGACAAGTTCAGCAAACAATTCTGTTCGACACCGAAATCAATGGACGATACGAGGCCTGCTACCGCTTCGCCTAGCCAGTCGCTTTATTACAGTTTCAGTTCCTCCGACACCATCGTGCCTACTTCTCCGTTCTCCAAAACGCCCTACTCGGAGTATTGCGATGATAATGGTAGTTTCAATAAGTACCAGAATGTTGTTAAGAAGATTAAAAATCAATCGGAATGCAGGGGGAAAATGTTTCATACCAGCAAGAATATCGATGCTATTAAAGAGGTAAATGAGCTGTTTGTATTGATTGTTTAGGTAATATTAATATATGGTTTTTTAGGAGTGGGCTGCTTCTGTGGTATGCGCCCATGTAAAGGGTTACCTAACCCGCCGGCTTCTTAAAACCGAAACCGTACAATCTGTGATCGATACCATCAAACACGCCCTTCAATGTGCCTTAGAATTGCATAATATCGATAATATCGATGAATCGGATATCGAGCTACACAGGAGGCTGATTAATCAGGTAGAAACTTGGTGGTTTGGGTTAAAAGTATTGTGCGTTAAATTGCGTTTTTCGTAGGTTTCCGCCGCTTGTTACGAGTTCCACGATATATTTTTTTCGCTTTCGACCAAGGAGCAAATGAACATAATCGCCGCCGATCGGAAGAGGCTGACCGAGAAGAATCGAAGAGCCAAATCCGGTTCGAACATAAAGAGATCCGTATCGAATTCGAGCCGATCGTCGATTAGAAGTAGGACTTCTCTCATGTCGACGAAATCTAACTGAAGCGCTGCGTTTTTCATACGAAATTATTTTTACTAAAAACGTTGAAAGTGCTTCGAGTTGTAAAACATGTTTATTGATCATTTTAATGTGTTGTTTATTGTTCGTTAGTGTTATATATATTTTTGATACGCTATTTTTTAATTATTATTCGCTAGCACGTTGTAGAAAACATATTCCAGCACTATTTTTTTTCGAATTTACTTTGAATCAGATTTAGCTATTTTTTTATCGAAATATCAAAGTTGCAAGCAGAAATAAAATGTTTAAAAATATCGCTTTGTTTTATTGTGAAGCATTTTCGCGCTTCCCTCTTACGAGAATGACTCTCTCATCAGGTCAGGTTGTATATTTTGCGATAAACGTGATATTATTAGCACCTTTAGAGAAAATGTCCAATCGAGTTTTAATTAGTTCTCGAATAAGTTATACAATTATTGTAGGCATTCACACAACGCAACCCGATAAGATCAAAAACAAACAGAAATAGAACTTTCTTATGCTCTGTACACTGTCAAAAATTATCAACCATTTTTACTCGCCAGTATCAAAATCTAACTTTTCTTTATTAATTTTTTACGAATATTCTTACTTCCCTTGTTTCATCTAGAAAAAAAATCAATATTACAAGGCTAGAGTGAAAAGTTCTCGGCCTGAATCATTTAGAACTGTCTAGAACCGTTTAGAACGCTCCAGAATCAATTAGAACTGTCTAAAACTAATGATTTCGTCCTAATAAGAAGTATGTAATTATTCAACTGAAAATCGCGGTATTTTATTGTCGATCCGAGAAATTTTCAACTTACCCATGTATGTAAAATTTCTTTAAAATTTCTCTAAAATTTCTTCGTTCTACTTTCTTTTTCCCCATACTGGGTGCAAGTCAACTGATTGCATCATTTATACTTCGAAATAAAAATATCAATTTTTTCCAATTTCCTGCCTCAAGTTTAGCAGTGTACGAAAATCTCCAAACACCTCGATGTTTGTTTCTTTGCTAAATTAACGGGAGGGAGTATATACTATATAAGGGTGAAGGCAACAAACGTGCTTTAGTCATAACTAAAATATATCCTCATCCAGAATGGTCCAATGCATATTAATAATTTAATTAAAGATAACAGACATGTTACCGGTGCTCATCGTCACATTGCTGGTGCTCGAGTCCTTGGGACATTTGCACACGAAGAGCAACGCTTTCCCCCAGATGGGTCGGGCAATCGCCCAGCAACCCTTCGACAAGCTCATAATAGATACCATTTACACTACTGTAAGTTTTTGAAGTTCTACCAACTGTCCTTGATTAAATAGGTATAGCCGCGTAAGTTATTTTTTAATATGTTTTTAAAGCAGAATGTATTAACAAATAAAATTTGCTCTGCTTGTACTCGTATAATGCATTATAAATTATCTCCAATATGTACTATAAATTTGTGAGAAACAAAATTGTTCACCGGCTTTTTCCTTCTTATAGAATCAAAAGGATGAGCAAGAGGAATTGGACATAATTTCCAAGAATTTTCACAGTCGGAAATTCTTCGATAAAAACGAGCAAACTGTGCTCGTGGTGAAGACGGTGCGGCATAGAAACAAGCGGTTCTCCTCATGTAAGTACTCCAAAATCTCTAATAAAATCGTGGAAAAAGTGCCCCTTTGCTCTAATCTAATTTGGTATTATTCAAAGCCCGTGTTATGTGGTTCCTAGCAAGTAAATTTTGAACAAAATTTCTACGACTTCTCTAAAATAACACATCAAATGTTAGTCAGAAACCTCGTTGGGTAACATCATTTGCATAACTAAAACTTGCCGAGTACACTAGAAAATTAATAAGCGAGTAGTGCACTCGAAGAAGTCCGGTAAGAGTTCCTCAAAGGACGGCAAAGGCCAATTATATAAAGAGCAAGATGAAACTTGTAACGCTTTATTTGCAGAATAAACACACGTGAGCATCCTCGTGTTATAAATAGAAACTCATAATATATAATAATAATAATATAATTGTTATAAATTGTTTTCTGTTGCAGATTTTTCGTACTGTCCATTCAAGATATGCAAGTTCGGGCGACAGAGACGGCTCAAAAGTTTGTTTTGAACAATGCGTTTTCGAACAAATCACCTGCGTGTTTCAATTTATCGCGTCCATTTTTCTACTTTAATTAAATTCAAACATTTTAATTTTAAACTATAGCGAATTGATCTAATTAGCAACTAATTACCTTGACACGCATTCTTAAATTAGTTTGGTGGAGTAATGATTAATATAACAAAAAATATAGAGATTGTGACGAATTATTTGCTAGTTTATACTATTAGGCTGCTAATTAATATATTTGTATTTCTGTAGTGCGTAGAAATGTAACGATAATTTAGTGTTAATGCGTTTATAACATTCATTGGTATGTTATAATTTATTGTATAGGACCTACTTACATGATGCCTCAATAAGATGTGTAGTTGTCTTAGTTTTTATCTATTTTATCAAATAAATGTGTCTAGACAAATTTGTTTCTATTCTACAATATCTATTATGTAACAAAAGGGGGCGAATTCGCATTGGCAACAGTTCCAAAAATAACAAAACTAACCTATTTAGCATTTAAAATAGCTCGAAAATTGCTATTCAGAGGACATTTAGCTTATTAAATATTCACGAGAAGACGTAATTTACGGGAAAATTAGCCTGCCCCGAGATTTTAATTATTACTATAGTGGTCTACAAGTGATAAAACTATAGGAATTTCTTCTAATAAAGGTTCTAAGCTGTACTGAATTTTACCGCGTTTGTACCCAAACCTAAGAATAGTTTAGTGCAAATTTAGATTGGTTCAGAACCTACACAGAGAAACGTAGATTTAGAGAAAAAATGATAAAAGAGTGGAAGTAGTAGAAAATGGGATCCTACCAAAGAGACTCGAAAGAGAAGAGGTATCAGCGAATCCACCTGGAGGCGGATCGTCGCGAACCATCCGTACTAATACCTGCGCCCGAGCGACGCGCCCCCGATCGATACCGGCCCGCCGCCGGGCGTCCCATTTGCCGCCGCCTTCGCCGTCCAGTACGCACGTGACCGAAGAGCCGTCGAGACGTCGAGCACGCGGCGCCATCGCCATGGACTCGGACCTCTGCGATGTTAAACACGGCAAACGGTAAAGGGAATTTGGGCGACGGCGTCCAGACCGCCAGGCTGCGCCGTCAGCACGGCCTCCAGCTGCCGTTGCATCCCTTGCAGGTGAGCCGCACTCGGTGCACCGCCGACGGCGATGGCGTTTTCCTCCTGCTAATAGCACTGTTTGATTTTTTTCTTTGCTCGACTGTTGTTTGATGGCGATTTTTTCGGAGGATTAATCGACGAGGATTTGTTTGGGCTGGATAACCGGTGGCTTTTTGATTATTGATTGGGATTTTTTTGTTTTGTAGTATTTTGATTACGTTTGCATTCGCTTAATAATTTACGACGAAAGCTACTGGTTCGATTGGCAATATGTACAAACCAAAATATATTTGCTTCACTAAAACCTTTTCTATTCTTCATATTTACACACACACATTAAAAGCAACTATTTTTTTTATCTTTAACAAGCTTATAACACTCTCTTTCATAACTTAATTCTTAAATTCTTCGTATTCAAGAGAAAACGTTCCTTTCAAATTTCCTCTACTTATAATGAACGAATTCGAATACTCATTAGGTTCAAACATCCAATTACTAAATGTTATTTTCACGGTGCATGGCAAACAAAAATGTATACTCATGACTACACGATTTTGTCGATATTTAATGCAAACGCTATTTTCGTTCATTCATTAGATTGGATCGTAAATCGGGGATTCCGTGTTCAGGGGGTATTATCGTCGAATGCAACAAAAGTCCCCGATAAATCTATACGTTCTTCTTCCTCTTTTCCTATATCTAAATCGGTATTGCGACGGACGGGAGTCCTGATAAAATGACTATTCACCATAACAACGAACTGCCTGCATGTGGTTGTTTTGTTAATGTAATAGTTTTGTTTGCGAACATAAATGAATAAAATTATAATATAAAATATTCGTATCGATTAGTGTAAGTCTACTGATTTTGCTATACGATGATTGTACGAGTATTGCAATTAAACGCTCATTTATATTGATAGTGCAAAAGTAGTTCAAAGTATTTTGTGTAAATATTTAATTTGATTGGAGGATATTTTCGTGACCTTTTCCTGTAAAAATTAGATAATATTGTGTGAGGTGCGTCAGAAAGGCGTTTACCTCTGGAGAGGAGGTAGTTTAATATAGGATACCTCAGGGACTATATTTTTCTATTAGTTAATGTAATTAAATGTTGCATATTTTGCACGGGGAAAAATATGTTTGATACAAATTGATTAGCAAAAAATGTAAATCTATAGAAGTATTATATTACATTTAAAACTTTCCTCAATTTAATGCTTCGACAATTCATTAAAGACATGTTTTACGTTTTTCATATTTAATAACTTCGTTAATATTATTTCAAGGCCGTCATTTATTTTTCAAACCGACGTCCAAAGTATATTCCCTTTACCTACATTTTTTATTGCTTGGAAACATCCTTAACTCATCCGCAAACAAATTGATCCGCCCGTGTTCTCTTTCATTCGACATTTTATTTATTATTTAATTTATTTATTATACACATTCCAGCTCACCGGTTGGTTAACTTTGGCAGTCCTCTCAGGAGGCTCGTTTTCGGTACTGATTCCCTCCTTGCCCGTCACCGCTCAACCACCGGTACTAGCCGTACTCTCCCTTTTCCTGCTGGTGCACTTGGCGTCCCATTTAGGGGCCGCTCTGGTCGACCCCGCCGAGGCGGCGCTCAGAGAAAGGGCCCCCGTACCAGTAGCTCAATTCGATCGGTGAGTACTTTTATTATTTTATACAGGGAGCCCAAAAAAAGTAGATTTTAATAACCCATAAACGATATTGCACACTTACACACACTCAAAAATGTTTATCATATTTTATAGCTGAAATGCCACTGCTTATTTATTATTTAAAATGTATTTTGTTAAATTGTTATTATTGTTAATTTTAAATGATGTTTAGGCCTTTTGGAAAATAATTTTGATGAGTAATTTTACAAATAATTCGTTGTATTAAATGTTTATTCTTTTATGCAAAACATTTTTGAGAGTGTGTATGTGCATTGGATTTTATTAGCAGAGCTTCAATTATGCATAGTAAATTTAATTCTATAAGAAAAGTGCTTTGTAATGTACTCTCCATAAAAATATTACGATGGAGGAATTTCATATCTCGATATAGAGAAAAACTCGCACCTCAACTTTGACCTACATGCATGTCAGAAAAATCCACATCCACGCAACTTCCTCCATCGGCAATCGATAACCACTAGTAAGATTACCGACGATTCGCCGGCTTCCAGGACGAAATACGCTCACGTCATCGAGAGCGGCCACTGTCACCTGTGCCTGATACCCATCAGCGGTCCGCGAACCAAGCACTGCAGCTCCTGCAACAAGTGCGTCGCCCGCTTCGACCATCACTGCAAGTGGCTGAACCACTGCATCGGCGCCAGGAACTACGCGCTGTTCCTGATGTGCGTCTCCACGGCGGTGGCGGCCGCCGCCGTCGTCACGGCGCTCGCCGTCGCCCAGCTCGTCCTGCACCACTCCAACTGGTACTCCGGCGACAAGCAGGACGATGGCGACGCCGATAGAAAAGTAACTTCTTACTCCTTTCGTTCATATCTGTTAGTTGTGTATGTTTAATTTGCGCAGGATTCCCTGTTGCCGGATTTAAACTCGACTACACCCTTGCCTCCGTCCTCGCTGCCGTCCAGCGACGCTGCGTTTCTAGCCGTAGTGGCAGCGTTAGGTCTGCTAGCAGCCATTACTGCGGGCCTGCTGCTGCATCTGTGCTTCTTTCATATTTACATCTCCTTCCTGGGACTCACCACCTACGAGTACATCAGGAACCAAAGGCAGAACCAGGTTCCTGCCACCGTTACCGAACAAGAACGAGAACAGGTAATCATAGCTTCAATTACAATCGGATTTTGGTACTATGAGTGTATTGTGTTTCATATAGGAAATAAATAATCCGAACCTCCGGCATCGTCCGCTAGACTTGTGTTGCGGCGAGCAGCGCACCAAAACGACGCTGTTCACGTGCACGGTACTGGAGGAGACGTTCTCGAATTGCAACGTGGAACCGACGCCGACGCCGCCGAGCACGCCGCAAGACTGCCAGATGTGCATAATGACCAACAACTCGGTGGCGCCGGAGACGAAGCCCGTCCAACAGAGAAAAGTGAGAAAAAAGTGGAACTGCTGCGTGTCGGTGCCGGACAGCCCGGACGATCCGCACAGTCCATCGGAACCAAAGTGTCTTATATCGCTGTGCAAGTATAAAGTCAAGGGGAAGAGCCTGCCGGCGCTCGAAGGTCGACCGCACCGGACGCACGGCCACTGGTCGAGCGCCAAGCTGCGGATGATATTCAGGGTGCTGGGCAACTTGGGCCAGGCGAAGCGCAATACCACGCAGCCGGCGAAGCCGCCGGTCGAGCAGCCCGCGCAGCTGCAGGTGCAGACCATTAACAACTTAGTGCCGATCAGTTACCCGCGGGCGGGGGCGCTGCCGACGCTGCCGGCGCCGGCGCGTCGGCGCGTCATCAGCGAAACGGAGCTGGCGAACGCGCTGGCGGTGCTGCAGCAGCAACAGCAGCGCTGCGGCGCGCGCAGGCCGCTGTACAGGAGGAGGAGGAGGAGCGTGGTGCACAGGCCGAAGACGCCGGCGTTGTCGCCCATCAGGGAGAGCGGTTTGTCCAATCCCGCCTCGCCTTCCCGGCAGACTTGTACGACTATCGAACGTCCTTAAGATTACCTGCTGTATTTGTCCATTTTGAATAAACGAGTAGGAAATTTAGATGCAAGAGTTTCGTCGAAATTGCAGAAATTAGGTAACATCTCTACTCTACTATACCCAGGAATGTTTCTATACATACGCCTAAATACAAATTTTAACAAACGCGAAGGTACTAACAATGTGAGTCTAATGTTTTTAATAAATTTCAAATTGATTACTCAGAATATTATCTTCTATACAATCCGTTGTAATTCCAGCAAAAATCTTTTGAAATTCGTAACTAATAATTTTACATAATACGAGTAGTCTATCGAAGCAAAAGTGATTTATCGAATTTTACCGGTAAATAAAATTGATATAGTGGGTTAGAAGTAGAAATAAATAATCTCCGATTCTAACATTAAAACAACAAAATCTTTACTGCGTATGTCATCTAGTAACCGGTTCGAATTTCGCATTTTATTTGGTACAAATTGCTGATAAATTATTGACCAATTATTCTAACGAATAACGTTTTAAAGACATTTTACTGTATATATACAAAATAAGTTTTCATGCACTCAAAGGCGATATTACTTTATCATTTAATGTACTGGGTGTCCGCGAAAATAATGCTTTTTCCTTTAAAGGTGGAATGAATTTTAAGGCAAGAAAATTTTGAATGGGTGTAAAGGAATTTACATCTTTTTGGGGACACCTTGTATTTAATTAGCTTGTCAATGTAAGTGTATTTACAATACCTGCAATGACTTCAATGGAATAATTCTTTTATATGAAATCTGAATCAACAGTTAAAATCCTGCGATATTTTTTCGTGTAAAGCGAGAATGTTTTTTATAAAATATATTTTAGCGATTTGTTAATTCATTAAATTATATCAATGTTTTTTGTGTGCATTGACATTGTTAATAAAACTATATTTCTGATATTCCGGTGTATTATTCTAACTAAAAAACACAATTTTATTTTCTCAACATTTTTTATTGTTAAGCACCAATAAAAAGCACATTTACAAACACTTATAAAAGATGAAGAAAAACCTACGAGTTTATAAAAAAGATTCAAAAGTATTGTAGAATGCCCTACACCCTCTCAAATATATACTTAAATAATCGAGACAAAAAGAAAGATACAAATTAAAACTTCTCACATCGAACAACAATTTTTATAATCTTACAATAAAGCTCTGTGAATTCATGTAACAATTAAGGCCACCTAAACTAAAATAATTAAACAATAAAAAAACGAATACTTTAAACTAAAAAATGTTGCATTATTTTTACATGAACATCTCGAAAACCTGAGTGATTGGACTTTTATTTTAACCGTAACACACAAGCTGTATCAAAACGTACTTTATTTCGCTTGGAACGTCATCCTGCAAATGTATAAAAATATGTAAAGTTCACATGCCCACGATTCGGCCCCGAAACGAATTAGAATACAAAATAAATGGATTCCAACCCGTCGCAGCACCCTCGACAATCGAGCACACAAACCAAAAACATGTCTGCCGAACAGCAAATACAACATTGACGATGAAACAATCGATTTCAAATGTAAAATCTAATGGCAGTATGACGAAAGCTAGTTTTTTTTAGTGTGAAGGCGTACATTTGTTTCTAGGATTAAAGTTACAGTGCTTTTTGACTTTGTTTACGTGGAAATTAGTCGATAATGGCCAAAAGGACTCTCTTGTAATCGCCGGAAGTATCGCCCTGCAAAGGACAGGAAATGTAAGTAAACATGCAAGAAGTAAATTTAGATAGTAATAAAGAATAATTGCAAACGTCTCACGTCTACAGCTATTCCTGTCGAACTGTACCTACTTAGAGCTTTTCGTTGATATTTTCTATTTACAAATACGAGGGTAAGGTGAAAGTTTAGTTAAAAAATTATATTATTTAATCTCCCTTGACTTCAATAAACTTCGGAGTCTGGAAATCTGCTAGAATATTAATTGATTCTCTCATCAACTTCTCCATTCAGGGAACTATTCACCTTACCCTCGTAAGAATGGTTATTTCGAAAGCGTTAACCTCCCACCAATAAATTCGATTTTCAACAAACTATTCGAAAAATTTCTCTCTTAAGCAACCTCCGCGAACATCTAACGACATAAGGTCATCAAACCCACTCGAGAACGTACACAATACGAACCTATTACAGAATAACCATTAGCAAATTAAAAGCTCTTATTACGACACGACCGGATAATAAATTAAACACACCGTCACCGAAAATGAGCCCAGCGATATTTACCTGGATCCAGCTCTCCAACGTTTTCCCGTATTTATCCAAGAAAGCCTGCTTGATATCGGCCAAATCGATTTCAGATCTCGACACGACGATGCGGATTAAAGTCTTGTCGTTGGTTCCCAAGCCGGACATCGAATCGTGAAGGCGCTCCGCCAGATAGCCCACTTTGCTCTTCACGCATTTGACTGAAAACCAATCCAAAATTCAGCAATTGGCTTCTTCAAGTTCAAAGACATCTACTTTGAGATCTACTCTGAATCTACTTTGAATCTAGCCTGAAATCTACCCTGAAATCTACTCAGAAATCTACTCTGAATATACTCTTAAATTTACTCTGAATCTACTTTGAAATCTACTCTGAAATCTACTCTGAAATCTACTCTGAAATCTACTCTATAATCTACTCTATAATCTATTCTGATTCTACTTTGAAATCTACTCTGAAATCTACTCTGAAATGTAGTACTCTATAATCTACTCTATAATCTATTCTGAATCTACTTTGAAATCTACTCTGAATCTACCCTGAAATCTACTCTGAAAATACTCTGAAACTACTCTGACATCTACTTTAAAATCTACTCTGAATCTACTCTGAATCTACTCTGAATCTACCCTGAAATCTGCCCTGAAATCTACTCAGAAATCTACTCTGAATCTACTTTCAAATCTACTTTGAATCTACTCTGAAATCTACTCTGAAATCTACTCTATAATCTACTCTATAATCTATTCTGATTCTACTTTGAAATCTACTCTGAATCTACCCTGAAATCTACTCTGAAAATACTCTGAAACTACTCTGACATCTACTTTAAAATCTACTCTGAATCTACTCTGAATCTACTCTGAATCTACTCTGAATCTACCCTGAAATCTGCCCTGAAATCTACTCAGAAATCTACTCTGAATCTACTTTCAAATCTACTATGAATATGCTTTGAAATCTACTTTAAAATCTACTTTGAAATCTAATCTGAAATCTACTCTGAATGAACAAAACTTACTGATTCCTAAAAGTCCCTTTTCGATGTCGCCGGAGAACTCCTTCTTGACGGCCTGTTCGATGTCCTTGCCGGTCAATCGCTCGTACTCGCTAAAGGTGGCCCGCAATTGTTGGTAGCTCCTGGTGATGAGGATCTGATTGAACATGGACTCTTCGGTGCCCCATTTCGTTTCGCCGGCTTCGATGAGCGCCTCGGCGTCGGCGAGAGCCTGTTGCTCGTTCACGCCTTGGTTTTCGTCTCTGTTAGCCTGGAAACAGGTGCATTATATTGCGGAAAATGTAGCCGCTCGATCGAGCGCGAACGAATCGATTTTCAATGGTCAATTTTAGATCCATGGTAGCGGATGAATTGCAATTTATTGGCGGAAAATTCGAGTGAATTACTTACTTGAACTAGAGAAACGCACAGTCTCTTAAAGTGGCCAGATGTGTCTCCTTTTAAGTCTTTTTCTAAATTTTTACCATACACTGAAAATTGATTTAAAATATGTTAATAACAGGTTAAATGTCTACTTTGTATTTCGGTTGATTGAGTTTAATCCAATTACTTTAATCAAATTAATTTGATTTGAACTGCTATTTATACTTGACACTATGCTTGACCTAATGGTTGTCTAATAATTCTCTATGAGACGGAATTTCATTTAAACTATTTGTCATTTATTTGTACGGGGAATTTAAAACTCCATAGAATTGCAAAATAAACAGAAACTTCCAGTCCATTGTAGATAAACATTATTTACGATATTTACATTATTTAAATAGCATTTGTTGCGAAGTTTACTTCAGTCGACTAAATTTAAATCACTATATAAACCAATGGAAAATTATAATTTCGTAACAAAACCGAAATAATAAAATTAATAATTAATTCATCGCCATAAATAATCGGTTTTGTGTATATTATATTTCGCCTCCAAAAAAAATACAAGTAGTATCAATTACAATTAATTTAACGGTTCCTTCGGGTTATTACGTAATTCAAATTTCGAGATTATTAGCGATTACACTAAATTTAACGAGGCACCAGACAATACAAGCGAATTTTAAGCCAAGGTTACAGGATTTCAAATTAAATTCCATTCATACATTTAAAACCAAGTACACACACACACAAGCAATCGAGACCTCTTCTAAGGAACTTAAGCAATCATATAAGCACTTACTTTGTTCATAAAACTGGGCGATGGTGCGGATGCCGTAGTTGGACAGCGTGCACAGGATCTCGATGATGCCCTCCTCGTCGGTGCCCAGCCCGGCGACGGCGTCGTGCAGCTCCTTGGCGTAGAACTGCGGCAGCGGCGTCATGAGGGCGACGATCACGTCCTCGAACTTGCCGCCCAGCTCGCTCTTCAGCTCCGAGACGAGGTCCTTGCCGTAGGAGGTCTTGAACGTCTCGGCGATCTCCAGACGCTGGACGATGCCGCGCCTAGCCAGGACGTCGACGATGGCCTTCTCGTCGGTGCCGAAGCCCTTCATGGCTTTCTTCAGCGTGGCCGCGTCGGCGACGGGATCGAAGGGATCCGCCGGGTACACTGTTGGTGTACACTGGAAGAAATGTGATGTGAATATCGATTGGAGTAGAGTATGAGATTAGAGATGATGGAAGAAGATGGGAAAAGATGGGAGAAGATGGGAGAAGGTGCGAGGGAAGGTGAGGGAGGGTGAGGGAAGGTGAGGGAAGGTGAGGGAAGGTGAGGGAAGGTGAGGGAAGGTGAGGGAAGGTGAGGGAAGGTGAGGGAAGGTGAGGGAAGGTGAGGGAAGGTGAGGGAAGGTGAGGGAAGGTGAGGGAAGGTGAGGGAAGGTGAGGGAAGGTGAGGGAAGGTGAGGGAAGGTGAGGGAAGGTGAGGGAAGGTGAGGGAAGGTGAGGGAAGGTGAGGGAAGGTGAGGGAAGTTGAGAGAAGATGAGAGAAGGTGAGAGAAAATGCGAAAAGATAAGAGAAGGTGAGAGAAGATGGGAGAAGATGAGAAAACATAAGAGAACATAAGAGAGCATTAGAAAACTTCCTATAGCATCCCAGAATGCAAGAGTTAAAAACTATAAAATTTCGAACTCTCCGGGATAAATTGATCAATCTGAGACATTTTATCTAATCTACATTGTTGAAATAGCTTATTTATTCCTGTACAATTATTTCATCGTTCTTCTCTCTTTCATCATTAATTTCATTATAAATTCATTAATATCTACTGTTTCTCGTCAAATTTCAGTGACCCCGTTATTCCTCTCGGATCGTGTCGCATATTCGAAATCAAGCGAGAACTCGCAAACGATGTTGGGCATCTAAATTTAGGAGGATTATTAAACAAGAGAGGTGCGGTCGAGTATTGCAAGAATTAGTTTATTTACTGGCCACTACAATCGTAAGTCTTCGGGAAACGCGTGAAAACCACGCGATGAGTATAGAAGTAGAAATTCCTCGTCGATTGTGTAACGAAACCCATTAAATTAAAACTACCATTGATTTCCATTTCAGCCGTACTATTACTAATAGTGAGTCATACATGCAAAGTGTATTTAGTAGATACGCTCATTCATTATAATCGCTCTTACTATTTATTGTATAAGTATACATAAATGTCGTTTACACACCTCCGCGTTTCGTCTGGATTCTCGGCAAATATTTTTGTAGTAAGGTAAGTGCCCATTATGCGAAAGGTTACATCGATAAACTGGAATGAACGAGTGGGTTGCGGTTTGGATTTTAATGTCAAAGGTGTACATCCTCCCAATTTGTAGATTAAATGAAAATTCGGCGCGAGTCGATAGGATCGCATTCGAAAAACTGTTTACCGGGAAGTCGTAATGATAACGGTAGAGTTGATAATGAAAAAGTAAGAAACCCAACAGGAAAACGGTAATTTTACCGAATGGAATTTTAGAGTTGTCGGTATCGAAGGAAATATTCAGCAGAAGCGGATTTATAAATTTATTAGAGTAGATGGAAAAAAAATGTCCATGGGACGCTAATTTTACGACCCGGCACTTTAAAACCATTGCAAATTAAACGTAAATAAGCAATTTCGCTAACGGATAAACAACTTATCCGTGAAAATATTCCAACGTTACGCTAATTTATGTGAAACGATTTTCTATTCACTCCGTTATTTATAATCGTTAACGCATTCGTGACTCATCGTATGTGACAAAAAAAACATGCATTGAAAATTTTAAACCAAATATCCGCAAACCATTAAACAAATACCAAATATTATTGCAAAACTAATTGCTCAAAAATTCCTACACAGATATACCTAAAATTTGGTACATTTTGTAACAATTCACCACGCCTAGGAACCGGCCCTGCGTTACCCGAGCCTTTGACCCGGATTATCGATCTAGGTTACACAATTGCGGATTGCGAGGGTTCCGAAAAACGCAGAAATTACATGGTCTACTGTGGCAGAGCGCCGGCCCGGCTAGCAGGAAAAAGCACTACAGGTTTTAACGACATCACGGGGGTGATGGAGAGCGTTCGGCTGGAATAAGGAAGCAGAACGAAAGAGAAATTGCCGGGAAGAAAATTCCGTTTCGACGACCTTGGCTCGGCTCCCTAGTTTCAAGTTCACCAGTATTAGGATCGAAATTCGATTTACAGTAACAACTCATCGAAATACTACAGAAATTCGTTTCATTTTCGATTTAATTAAAACGCCGAACGTACGCCGTTCATTTGCATTTCTCCCACATAAATTTTACCAAGGATTATTACATAAATAATGGCGTAAATGCAGATCACGCCTGCGAACGTGAAGCTCCAGCACAGCGGCTAAGTCAAAGGTGGTGTACCTCGAGAGAGGCGGAGAAACGTAATTCTAAAAATAATCGTATTGCTCCAAGTAAAATAGCTGAAATATTCGAAGGCCAATTCGGAAGGTTAATTCAAGACTAGATGAGTCACTGTGGGTAATGGAAAATTCTTGCGAGATGAAGATATCAGAACTACAATCGAGTTAAGGGGATAGTGTTATGCAAAATGGGTCAAGTCGCTGGTAGATAGAAATTTGCCAAAGTGTTGAAATGGAACTTCCTGGTACAAAAATAGGAAGTATTTTAAGAAATTATCCAAGAAACATTTTTTTAAATGACGTAGGTACCCTTAAAGGATGTAGAACCTTCATGAATCGAATCATTAACGCTGAAAACCTTGGTTGTTCATTTAATTGTAATCATAATTTACATATTTATATGGTACTGGTTCGTTCAATAACCCTCTGGGAGCACACAATAACACCCAAGTGCATCTGTTGCGTAATTTATGGTGTATAAATAGAACTTGATTGTGATTAGGTAGCCTATTTTCTTCTTAATTAAATGCTCGAGTTCGATGCACACGCACCGATAATTAGGAATATTCATCTACTACAAATTCTATCATCTACTATAACATTGAATTTTAATGAAGGGAATTAATGAAAAATAGTCAAAAGTTGTTGTACGGTAAATAAAAATTATTAAAATAAAATTGTTGACTTGTAACTGATAACATTAAATACACCTTGTATTCAAATTAACCGCACGTAATAACCTTTAACTAAATTGGAGAAAAACAGATAGTAAAAAATAATATTTATTTTAGAATAAAAGTGTTTCGTCACATCAATAATATTTGTCAAAATTTGCGTTTTAATTGATAATTTTTTTCGCGTGAGTATTGTAAACTCATTAACATCGTAATTTTTAGAGTAGGTATTAGTGTATATTGCTTCACTAAAATACCCTGTCATAATTCAAATTTAGAAACTCCAACAATTCATTCACTATGCATGAATTCGCTTAGGTTTATTTAAAATTCGTGGATTAAAACAGAATGTTTCATTCATTTAAAATAATAGGCAATAATATTCGAATGTTTCCTTGACCTAGACAAGCACAGGTGCTATCATTACCTGTATTTGTTCTTTTAGTGCTAACTGAAGTAAAAAATATAACAAACAAAAGTAGTACTTACTTTGAAAGGATAATACTGCTGGCTCATGTTTGCTTTTGTTACAAATGGACTAGAAATAAAAATAATTTAAATGAGTATCAAATTCGAAACTAACAAGTTTAGCTTATTGTTATTGGTCAACTACTGAATTCACGTAGCCGTGAAGAACACAGATATAGCTGCTATTGAATGACTACTATTTGCCCAATGACATCACGGTTTTAAATAATTATTACCGCTCTACCTATAAACATGATTAATATTACAAAGAATATAATGTGAATCGTCGGTTCATACATATCGTTAGTTGTTACTCATAATCGTAAAACGAGTATGAAAAGATTTATTAAAAAATATATCGAAATATCCAACACTTAAACCGGCTTTTCTATTTATACCTAATCTAAATTTAAACTTATAATACCAGAAATTTCACTCGGTACAATCGATACGCATTTCTAGCGTTTCTTTCAATCCAACAAAATACGACTTTGAATTGTTAATAAAAAAAATCGATAGGAAACGAGCAACATTTTCAAGCAGGTGTTTCCTACCCTCGTCATATTCGCACCCACCCAGCTACTTCGCAGATCAAATACACCCCTATTCACCGGCTAATTTCGAGCAATAACCGTCGAGATAAATCGATAAGGAAAGTGATAAGAAGATCGAAAGTTACACTTACATTCTACAGACGAACTGACCGAGTCACACCCACCGCACGTTCTAAATCTAGACCACGAATGCTCGACACTCTCGGGCAGCAGCGCGTTCGAAGGAAACTCTTCCCATCCATCCATTCACTTCGCTCGTACGAGTTATCAACGCGCACGACGCGTAGCGAACGGCCGGCCGTGGGCCTTAAAAAAGGACGAATTAAGGCTTAAATTCCGCCGGTATAACACTTATCTTCTAAGGTTTGAAGTTGTAAAGCCTGCGGTTTTTGATCGATGCAAAAATGCCTATGAAATGTAAAAAGTGCCGAGGTCGTGTCGCAGGTACTTACAGTAATATTCGTTACTGATATTGTCGGATGTCAAGTTCAAATTTTTGGGTGTTTGGATGAGATAAAACAAATATCCTCAATCTAGATTGTAGAATTAGTAACTTTGGTTTCTTGTTTACTCTACTCTCCAGTTTCTTTACGCTGTTTTAATTTTATTTTGGTCTCTGTTTTAATACTTTTAATAGTGTCATCTAGTACAATCAAGTACGGGGCTTAGAATGCCTTAGGAAAAGCCTAGTCAAAAAGCCAAACTTGGAATGAGAAAGGAATCATCGTATTGCTGAACTAGATTTTAAAGACACAAATTCATTATTTTTCTCGAATTCTACCGGTTATCTCCAACTTTCGAGTAGTAAATAAAAATCCAAGCAATTTCCGGGTACCCAAAGGAGAATAAAACGAAATATATCATTAAAAACGATTTATAGGTAAAGTTTAATATAAAATTTACATCTTAATGAACTATTTCAAATCTAATAAAACTCAATTTTATTAGCGATCTAGCTTAAATTAATCATTAATCAAACATACACGTGCCATTGCTGATAAAGCAATAACAAGACAATATACAACTATTATCGTACGTTTGCGTTGTTGTAATTTTTAAGATGATAGTTTCTCAAAATGCACAAATCCTTGGCCATGTTTAGCCTCCCGGACGAGCTGTGAACGTCGTGAATGTGCAAGAGTAGGGGATAACTGAACAATTCCGGCATCGTTTTTAACAAATCCGATATCAAAGAGGACGGTACGGCGGACAAGACAGCACCGGCCGCCGGTACTTTGACTTCCACGAGAGATTTGATGAGGTAAAAAGCGAAATAAGTCTGTTGAGTTATCGATCCTTCCTGAATCACCCCTTCAAACATATGCAATAGATGACGCAGGGAGTTTAGCAGTTGATCCAGCGGTTTGGTTTCTTCTTCCTTATCCAGCCTACTGATTTTCGCCAGCGGAGGCTCGGCGTCCACATTCTAAACCAAACACATATTATTACCCACATTAAAATACTTCCCTAATATCTCAAACCTCCGATAAAGCATCCCAAGCAGTATACACGCAATAACTCGTCAAGTAAGCCAAGGCCGGTAACTGGGGCTCCATCAGCATATTCGCTTGAATGTCGTTGTACAACAACTGGGGCAGCACGTGGGATAACAATTCTTGAGTACAACCCACTATATCCACGTGAAACATAGCTAGAGCCAAATCGATTCCCTTTTGCAGCTGATCCCTGTATCTCAACTTAACCAGTTCTTTGATTACCGCAGCCACCAACCACCTGCTTCCAGCCGTATCGAGGAGACAGTGGAGGATCCTAGCTGAATCGTGATCCAACCATCCTCGTAATATACCTGAAATGATAACGAGTGAACGAATGAATCTCTAATTGAATGTCTCCGGCTTACCCCATTTCCAAGCTTGGGCCAATTGCTCGTTAGCCGGCTGCCTGGACACCAAATGGTGGCCGCTTTTAGTAGGTAAAGGCAATTGCACGTCCCGCTGCATCTTCCTGATAATTTCAAACGTCAATTGCCATCTGTCGGTCACGTTTTCCTCTTCGGAAGCGGGCGTATTAAGTAGTTGCTGCACCTTTATCAAGCATATTAATCGATTTACAATTGATCATACTACGAACTTACCATGTTGATGGGCTTCAATAAAGTTTCTTGGGGAGCCGTTGTCATGTAGGCGCACAGCCAAGCGGCCGCCGCTATTGTTAGACAGCACATTTTGCCTCTGACTGCGTCGAGGATGCGTTTGACGTCTTGCGGTACTAGGGCTCCTTGTTCCCAGGCGACTAGTACTTCGTGCATCACGCCCGGGATGTTGAATAGCACGTCCTGCCATTTGATGCCCGGCTTGAAATCGGATTCGCCCGAATTGAATTGCTCTAGGAGCGATTGAACGATCGCAGGATCGCCTAAAATCCAAAACAATTAGCGTATGTGTTTATTAATTAATGAGTTAATTAACCTAATCGTAAGATTTGATCGGACGCTTTGGGTTTCTGCCGTTCGATCATGCATAATTTAACCCATTGCTCGAACAACGAGTCGCCGTCGCAGTCTTGGAGTACGCTGGTGCCGTAGTTTTGAACAATTGTTACCAACATGACGAAGGTGATGTCGAACAGTTGCGATTTGGCCTCTCCGGCGGACTTCGAGCATTCGTTGAATTTAATCAACCTGTTTACGAGGGTGCTGAGCTTGTCTTGAACGGTCGCCACGGCGAGGATCAATTCGAAGCTTTTACCAGCCAGGACTTGATGGAGCATTTTTAATAAAGCGTCCTGAAAACGAGATTGTTATAGTTGTATGTATTTCGCTCGAAACGAACGTGTTTACTTGGATTTTTTGGTAATCAGACGACAGCGTTTTTAGAATTCCCGTTAGGGTAGATTCCGCGCAAATGTGCCAGTATGTAGGCATGTTGTTTCCCGGTCCGGCGTCCAGTTTTAAATTAGGCGGGGTCTTTCTCTTCTCCAGAAACATTTTCACTTGCTGATCAACGAGTAGCTTGTTTTTGGACAGCTCGTTTAGGAGACATTCGAAGCTCGAGCACGAGCTGTTCGCGTCCATAGCATCCAACAAAGGGCTGTGTTGTAACATGAGTTCTAAAGCCGTAACTATGCTGGAACTATCAGAATTCGCCGCTAATTCTATGAGAATATGGGGTACTTTAATGAAAGCGAACGCTCCCCACTGGCTCTCGTGAGTTGTTTGGTTAACGTTGTATAAAGCCATCAAACTGCCTCTCATTAATTCAGCGTACAATCTCGCGTTACTGAATCCCTTCAGTTTCTTAAATACTTGCAATTGTTGGGCCAAAGTGGCTGTAGATGTTCCAGGATTACCTGTAAGTTTCACCTCGAGCCAACATTGGATGAGCGAACCCGGCCAATTATCACATTTAACGGGTAACTGTAAGACACCGACATCTATATTTGCGAGTTTCCTTATTTGCTTTAAATTCTCATCTGGTTCTTTTATAATCGATTCTAATTCTATGCATTTCCGATTCGTCTCGTTGAATAGTTCTAGAAAGGAGTAATGTTATTGAAGAATAAAATACTTTTAAAACGAACAAACCTGGATCGATATGCCTGGCAAGGCACATCATAGAAACGTAGAAATCGTCAGTAAGCAAAACTTTCAACAATTCCGATACTTTCTGTACAATTTTTGCGTTAGCATGGCAATGCTGTAAGATATTCAACAACCACAGGGCGACTGATAGAACGGCTGAAGCCAGAACACTCTCTTCCGGCTTTCCACAACTAACCGTAATGCCAGGCAACATACCTTCCAGGAACTCCAACAGGCTGTAAACACAGTGGACCTTACTCATTTGACTGTATTTACTCAACCTCTGCAGAACGGCCGCGTGAGACACTAATTGGGCGCTAAGCGAGTGCCTTAAGTAGCTCAACACTAATTGATTAGCTCCGGCGCCCACGACAGCCTGCTGGAGAATGCAGTCGGCTAAATTGTACACGTCTCCGCTTACACCTCGGGGTAAGACTGTTTTTATGTTGATGCCCCATTGCAAATCGGACCATCTTTCTCGCCACGCACGTAGTAGGAGAGCTTTCAAGCAACTGGTTTTGCTTGTTGTTTTCGATTCCATTACCATGTCTAAGATCGAGTTTTATTCATACATAAAACATTCTTAAAGTTATATTCAATTTATTGTGTAAATAAATTAATCGACGGAATTTTAACCACAAAATAACTCACAAATTTGAAGTTGACAACAATAACAAAAATCATAGGTGACATTGAGATGTCATATGTCACATGGGTCTCGTCATTTCAGGTAAGCAGTAAACAGTTATTTATTTCGTGTTACCAACACACCGCCGCAAATTTACTAGCTACTAGCTACTTAACCTCAATTTTTAACATTTTTTAAATAAGTTTTCGTGAAATATGTGATTCCTTTAATATTGCTAGAGTATTGTCCCCATAAAGTTTACAATTAGTGTTCTAAATTACCCTATAAATTAAGTATATTTAGTATAAAATAGAGCTAGAAACATGCCTAAAGAACAGTACAGAGAAACTGATGTAGCCAGAAAAATGTGAGTATTATTGCGATTTATTTAGTAAGAGGTTTCTTAAAATATGTAATTTTTAGTTCGCACGTTAGTTTTGGCGTGGAAAGTGCAGAGAGTATGCAACAGCAGTCCCACATTCACGTTGTGGCGAAAAATTTATACAATCAAGATGTTCAACGAACGCCAATTCCCTATGGTGTTTTAGACCAAAGACTTGTACGTAATTAAATGCTAATAATAAACGTAATTTATTAGAGTCTTTGTTTTGCAGGGATCGAATTCGAAAGAAGCTCCTTGCCAAACCTGTGGTAAAAACATCAACCAATGCGTAGGACATTTTGGCTACATCGACTTAGAGTTACCGGTTTTTCACGTTGGTTACTTTAGAAGTATTATCAGCATTTTGCAATCGATATGCAAAAAGTGTGCTCATGTTCTGCTCGAAGAAGCCGATAAGCACCAATACAGAGTGAGACTAGCAAATCCTCATCTCAGTTACATGACCAAAAAGGCCATTAGGAAGAAACTAGTGGATAGATGCAAGAAAAACTACAAATGTCCACACTGCAAAGAGGTAAACGGTTTCGTTAAAAAAATGACCGCCAAAGGTAGCACTGGAAATTCGGTATTAAAAATAGTCCACGAGAGGAACCGAGACAAAGACAAAAAGAATCTGTTGGAAGATCAATTAAAAGAATACACAGTAGCAATCGAGAGCAATCCTGAGATCAAAACAGCGTTATCCGGAACTCCAATATCTGAAATATTAACTCCTCTTGATGTCTTGAAACTGTTCGAAAGAATACCCGAAAATGACATTATCCTTCTAGCAATGGACCCGAAAAGATCCCAACCGAAAGATTTGATTTTTACTAGAATGCTGGTACCCCCTGTAACAATACGACCGTCTGTTGTGTCCGATTTAAAAGCTGGAACGTAAGGTTTAATTTAAATAATACATCAAAAAAATTGAATTGAATATTTTTAGCAACGAGGATGATTTGACGATGAAACAATCAGAAATCATTTTTATTAACGACGTTATTAAAAAGCACAAGCAATCCGGCGCTTCTGTAAACATGTACCAAGAAGGCTGGGACTTTTTGCAACTTCAATCTGCACTGTACATAAACAGCGAATTATCCGGAATTCCTTTAGCAATGATGGTGAATATTTGATGTTTTTTTATCCTACTATATTTAAACAAATTAATTTTCCAGCCGAAAAAACCCGGTCGGGGACTCGTGCAGAGATTGAAAGGTAAACAAGGTCGCTTTAGGGGCAACCTTTCCGGCAAGAGAGTCGATTTCTCATCGAGAACCGTCATTTCTCCCGATCCTAACCTGGAGATCGATCAAGTCGGAGTTCCCAAGCACATCGCAAAAATATTAACGTTTCCGGAAAGAGTCATACACGCGAACATCGACGTTATGAGAAAGCTGGTCATCAACGGCCCCGATAATTGGCCGGGGGCGAATTACGTGCAGCAGAAGGGCTCCCAATTCAAGAAGTTCCTGAAATACGGCAACAGGGAAAAACTGGCGCAGGAGTTGAAGGTATCCTGACAAGCTCTCGATGACTCGATGAGCTTGTTTTAAAAATTTCGAATTTCTAGTTGGGCGATATGGTAGAACGGCATTTGCACGACAACGATGTAGTCTTGTTCAATCGACAACCGAGTCTTCATAAACTATCTATCATGGCGCACAGGGCGAAAATCCACAATCACCGGACGTTCAGGTTCAACGAGTGCGTTTGTAATCCGTATAACGCGGATTTCGATGGGGACGAGATGAACTTGCATTTACCACAAACCGAAGAAGCCAAAGCCGAAGCTCTAATTCTCATGGGCGTTAGTACTCGACTATTTTTAACTCACTATTTACTAATTGTAGCTGTTTCAGAACAAAAGTAACCTAGTAACGCCGAGAAACGGCGAGCTTCTCATTGCCGCTACGCAAGATTTCTTGACCGGTGCTTATTTATTAACGAGGAAAGATACTTTTTTGGATAAAACGCACGCCACGTATCTAGCGGCTACTCTTTTAGCCGGGAACGATACTCACATGCATATCGATTTACCTACACCTTGCATTATTAAAGTAAGCAATTTTAATAAGTTCTCTGAACTATTTCGCATTTACGCATATTTTAGCCCGTTCCTCTTTGGTCCGGCAAGCAAATTTGCAGCTTGATATTCAGACCCAACAAAAAGTCGGTCGTCAAAGCCAATCTCGAAGCTAAAGGTAAAGCTTACACTAAAAACAGGGAAATGTGCGTGAAGGATTCGTATGTAATAATTAGGAATTCGGAATTGCTCGCCGGTACTTTGGACAAAGGGCATCTGGGTAACGGTGGCAAAGGCGGCAATATTTTCTACGTTATATTGAGAGACTTTGGCAAAGAATTCGCTATCAGATCCATGTGGAGATTAGGTAACGTAAAATTCACTCTAAATACCATTAATTATTATTTATTGTTGTAATATTGTTACAATTTCAGCGAGAATGACTTCTACGTATTTAATGAATTCGGGATTTTCTATCGGAATAGGCGATGTTACTCCTGGTGAAAATTTAGTACGAAGAAAAAATAAACTTCTTAGCGAAGGGTATGTACACAACAACACATTCTTACTTTCTTTTACACGAATAATTTCCAGATATACCAAATGCCAAGAATTCATTCAACAGATGAACGACGGTAAACTCCAAACACAACCAGGTTGTTCCATAGAAGAATCCCTGGAAGCAGTCATTTTGAAAGAACTCTCCGTTATAAGAGAACACGCAGGTCAAGCGTGCGTCGCCGAGCTACACGCTACTAATAGTCCTCTTATTATGGCTTTATCCGGCTCGAAAGGTTCCTTCATTAACATTTCTCAGATGATAGCTTGTGTTGGACAACAAGCTCTGAACGGTAAAAGAGTCCCTAACGGTTTCGACGATAGGTCTTTGCCGCATTTCGAGCACTTTTGTAAGTCTAAATAGGATAAAAATGTGTTGATTATTAGTCAACATGATTCCTGATTTTTTTCAGCAAAAACTCCTGAAGCCAAGGGTTTCGTAGAGAATAGTTTCTACACCGGATTGACACCCACAGAATTTTTCTTTCACACAATGGGCGGTCGAGAAGGTCTAGTAGATACTGCCGTAAAAACTGCCGAAACTGGTTACATGCAAAGGAGATTAGTTAAGGTATATTGATTAATACAAACTGTATGTATTTTTTAATGTAATTAATTATATCTGCAGGCTCTTGAAGATTTAGTTGTACATTATGATGGTTCAGTAAGAAACGCGGAAGGCGATATTGTCCAAATAACTTACGGATGCGACGGTTTAGATCCCACTTACATGGAAGGTAAAGATTGCCCGGTGGACTTTCAAAGAGTTTTAGATCACGTAAAAGCCAAATGCCCTTACCGGCAAGAAGTCTCCCTTAGCGGAGATCAAATCCGAAGGGCCACTCAAGCTTTCATCGCGACGAAAGCACTAGACGAATGCAACGAGCATTTCACGAACGAACTAATGTAATTACAATAATCCAATCGCAAAATATCTTAATATATCGATTGTTATTTGTAGAAAATTCATGAACACCATCGCCGATAGAGTTGAAGCGGTTACGAGCAAATTCGGCAGTAGCCCTTTGGCGAAAGAAATCGAACGGTTGACCTGCAGCCAGTTGGTTACGTTCCTCGATACGTGCGGTCAGAAGTACACCAGATCGATAATAGAGCCGGGAACGGCCGTTGGGGCTCTGGCAGCTCAAAGTATCGGAGAACCCGGCACGCAAATGACGCTGAAGACTTTCCATTTCGCCGGCGTCGCCAGCATGAATATCACTCAAGGGGTTCCCAGGTATTCGAAACGTGCTTGTACTTTCGCCGGGGTTTTATTGGTTTGTTTTCTTTTCAGAATAAAGGAGATTATAAACGCGAGTAAAAGTATCAGTACTCCTATTATAAGGGCTTGTTTGGTGAATAATGTCGACCCGTGGTTCGCTAGGGAGGTTAAAGGAAGAGTAGAAAGAACGACTTTAGGAGAGGTTCGTTAGATTGTTTCTTGAAAATATTATAGCTAGAGACTGTAAGCGATTATTAATTTTAGATTTCTACGTTTATTGATGATATTTACACGAAGACAGATGCGTTTCTGTTAATCCAATTGAATTACGAAAGAATCAAGTTGCTTAAATTGGAAGTTGATGCAGAATCTATTCGATACAGTCTGTGTACATCAAAGCTGAAATTGAAACCATCAGATGTAATTGTAGAAAGCGATACTATAATAACAGTTCATCCGAATAGGAGTAAAAATTCAAGGCGATTGAATTTTGCTCTTAGCGAACTAAAAGAACAAATTCCCAATGTTGTTGTTAAGGTAATTATTTAATATTTCATAATATATGCGTCTATAATAGGCGATATTTTAGGGCTTATCGACAGTAAACAGAGCGGTTATAGCAAGGGAAGATAAAGGTGGTAAAACTACATACAGTCTATGCGTAGAAGGTGATAATTTACGAGAAGTTATGGCAACTTACGGAGTAGATGGAACGAAAACCCTTTCTAATAATATCATGGAGGTTTACCATACATTGGGAATAGAAGCCGCAAGGTAATAAACCGCAAACGAAGCAAAATATGAAATTATTTAATACATTTTCAGAGAAACTATTATGACGGAAATTAAAATGGTTATGGAAAACCACGGTATGAGCGTAGACTATAGACATATCATGTTATTAGCTGCACAAATGACTCATACAGGCGAAGTGTTGGGAATTACTAGGCAGGGACTCTCGAAAATGAAGCAATCTGTATTGAATTTAGCTTCAGTAAGTCTTAGATGGTTCGTTGTACCATTTGCTTTATTATATTTTATTTGTAGTTCGAAAAAACTGCTGATCATCTGTTCGATGCTGCGTATTATGGACAAACCGATAAGATTAACGGCGTTTCTGAGAATATTATTATGGGAATGCCTGCTCCGATTGGCACGGGTATCTTTAAGCTCCTTCATAAGCCTTTGAGTGTTGATCAAGCGCCGGTATCGGAGCCGTTACTGTTCGAAACGGCTTTGAAAGAAGTTGGTTAAGTTTTAATTTTTTAATCGAGTTTTATAATATATGTTGAAATACGAATTGTGATAAAATAAATAAAAGTCGAATATTCAAGATTCTTTCTTGGTTTGGATCAGCTCCCTCAAACTATTTGTAGCTTCTTTCAGTGAGTTTTCCAAGTAAACTTTGTTGTTTTCGATCACTTTGATCTTCTCTTCGACCGTGTTTTGCTTCATTTTTAAGTTTTCTTTGACCTTATCCATCGGTGTCAGGATGAACATCCTGCCTACCGATTCGTAGGTTTTAACGCTTTCATCTAAAGTACCCACTTCTCTACAAACGAAAAAGATTGCATGTTAAATGTTAAAAATTAGAATACAAAAAAGACTGTACAATTTTTTCCATGATTTATCTACGATGAATAATGACATTTTAATGACAATGCCTAAATGAAATTTGGCAGGAAAATTCTATACATTGTTCAATAAAAAATTATGTCATAAGAAGCAAGTAATTATACAAAAATAGCCTAAAATTACCTTTCTGTTATCGAAGCATGCTGTTTTGTTCTCTTCAAATTCTCTATTTGAATGTCGGCTATTCTCAACTTCTGTGTTGTTTCAGTTTGTTTTTCCTGCAATTCGGTGAAAGCCTGTAAAAATTGTATTAGAACCAGTTATAAAACGCTTAAAATAATTAACCTTCTTTAATTCCATGTCGACTTTAGCCATTTTCGCAAAATTATTCTAATAAACTAACCAAAATAGGTGTTTTTAAAACCGAAATGAAATTGACAACTGACATGAAATAACTATCACCAATTAAATAAAAGAAGAATTAGAAAAAATTGACAAGTCGCACGTCAAAGTGACAAGTGACTCACTTCACGTTCTTCCTTTCCTTCCTCATGGCAACTGTCTGATTGGTGACGTTTATTTTCTTCAATTTTTAAGTTGGAGAATTAATAGAAGGCAGGTGAGATATTTATTATTATTTTCCGTTGTTTCCTTAACTTACAGTCGAAATTTATGTAATGCGATTAAATTGCTAGTTTCATATTAACATTTTGAGGTTAGAACAGCCTGGACACATAACATATTGTTTCCATTTTCCAGACAAAATGTCCAGAAGAAAGGGACTCGAGGAGTCAGATAAACTCACCCGTATCGCTATCGTGAACGCGGACAAGTGCAAACCGAAGAGATGTAGGCAGGAGTGCAAAAAATCCTGTCCGGTGGTCAGATTAGGAAAACTTTGCATTGAAGTTAGTCCCAACAGTAAAATTGCTACTATTTCCGAGGAGCTTTGCATAGGTTGTGGTATATGTGTTAAGGTAAGTTATTTTTCGTTTACAAATTATCGTTTTGTATGAGTAATATGTATTTTAGAAATGCCCGTTCGAAGCTATTGCTATTATTAATTTACCGAGCAATTTGCAAAAAGAAACCACTCACCGATACGGAAAGAATTCCTTCAAGCTGCACCGATTGCCTATACCTAGACCAGGCGAAGTTCTAGGTTTAGTAGGCACAAACGGAATAGGAAAATCCACTGCCCTTAAAATCCTCGCCGGCAAGCAAAAGCCCAATTTGGGAAGATTTATGGTACATACACGAACGCTAATAATATTAGCATGTTTTAAGAAATAAAATTAATTGTAGGATCCTCCCGATTGGACTGAAATTTTGAGTCACTTCCGAGGTAGTGAGCTCCAAAATTACTTCACAAAAATCCTGGAGGATGACCTAAAAGCTTTGATCAAGCCCCAATACGTCGATCAAATTCCCAAAGCAGTAAAAGGCACCGTCAGTGCTTTGCTGGACAGAAAGAGCGAATTAGATAATTTGAACGACATCTGCAGAATGCTGGGTGAGTAAACGATTAGTAAATTCCCTCTTATTTTCTATTCATTAATTCATCTATCCAGATTTGATGAACATCAAAGAACGTGAAATATCGGCCCTATCCGGAGGAGAACTCCAAAGATTCGCTTGCGCTATGGTGTGCATCCAAGATGGGGATATTTTCATGTTCGACGAGCCCTCATCGTATTTGGATGTTAAGCAAAGATTAAATGCTGCCAGGACTATTCGTTCTTTATTGCACCCCAGCAAGTAAGTTGCCTATACATTTGCTTACTTATGCACTGTACACGCTTTTTTTTATAGATTCATTATTGTGGTAGAACATGACTTGAGTGTTCTCGATTACCTTTCCGATTTCATCTGTTGCCTTTACGGTGTTCCCGGAGCTTACGGGGTAGTTACTATGCCATTCTCTGTTCGTGAAGGTAATATATTGATGGTATTTGTTAAGATGTTTACTAATAAATATGTTGTAGGTATTAATATATTTTTGGATGGATTCGTGCCGACGGAGAATCTGCGTTTCCGCGATGAATCTTTAGTGTTCAAGGTTGCTGAATCTGCGAACGAAGAGGAAATAAAGCGTATGAACCATTACGAGTACCCTACCATGACGAAAACTATGGGCGCTTTCGAATTGAAGGTAGTCCAAGGGCAGTTTTCGGACTCGGAAATATTAGTATTGCTCGGTGAAAATGGTACTGGAAAAACTACGTTTATCAGAATGCTGGCTGGTAATTTAGTACCAGATTCCGGATCAGGTAAAGCGTTTTGATTTATGCTATTGCTTTTGCTGATCATTTTTATCCAATTTTAGAGAATTTACCTCAATTACATATAAGTTATAAACCGCAAAAAATTAGTCCTAAATCGCAAGGTTTAGTTAGACAGTTGCTGCATGAGAAAATCCGCGACGCCTACGTCCATCCTCAGGTACATTTCTTAGCATCTTTGCAATGCATGTAACTAATAAATCTTAACAGTTTATAGCCGACGTTATGAAACCATTAAAAATTGAGGATATAATTGATCAAGAAGTTCAGAATCTGTCCGGTGGTGAATTGCAAAGGGTCGCCCTGACCCTTTGCTTAGGCAAACCGGCCGATGTCTACCTAATCGACGAACCTAGCGCCTATTTAGATTCAGAACAACGTCTGGTCGCTGCTAAGGTCATAAAGAGGTACGCAAAACGTTCAAATTCACGTCGAATACGTTGTAATAAATGTTATATTGTAGGTTTATTATCCACGCGAAGAAAACGGGCTTCGTGGTCGAGCACGATTTCATTATGGCTACCTACTTGGCCGATCGAGTCATAGTTTTCGAAGGGTCACCTTCCGTTAAGACGACGGCCCACACTCCGCAAACGCTCTTGGCCGGAATGAATCGCTTCTTGGAACTGCTGGGCATCACTTTCAGGCGCGATCCCAACAATTTCAGGCCGAGGATTAATAAATTGGAATCCGTGAAAGACGTCGATCAGAAGAGATCCGGGCAGTATTTCTTCTTAGAAGAGTAACTTGTTTTATTATTTTTTTTTGGAACGCGAATATCTAATCATTGGTTGCGATTGTTTAATTTATGGATTGTATTCACTTTAATTACAAATAAATGGACATTACAATTTTGCAATAGTAGGGTTTACAAGCGAATTAAGAACGATACTATTCAAACCAATTTAATATTACTTTCCTATATTTATAAAATATAAACCTAATTATTTCTTAGGATGATTACAAAGAACAGTAAGCTGTCAAAAAACACAAAAGAAATGAAATCAAAACATCTTATAAAAGTGTGGGGGAATTTACATTTATAACAGTTTGTACATTTACAAAAGTTCATATTTAAAAAAAGAACTTAAATAATTTACAAATAAGATACTGTTTGTCTTAACTGTTAAAATCTAATTGGGACATTTAATTGCTATGTGTCCTTTTTGTCTACATTTGAAACAAATTGGTGCAGCTCTACTGTCATCGTAATCCTTCCTCTTCTTCGACTCTCGATTGCCGTGATTCCTGTCCTTCATTCCGAGTTCCCTGTCCCTGTTCCCATGAGATCGCTCCCTCATTATCTGGTCCCTTTCCTTAATGACCGGCTCTCGAGCTATACCAGACATTAACGGCTCTATTATTTGAGTGCTGATTCCGAAATTCGGAAGATTTCTCAGAAAGTCTGAGTAAAAACTCTCGGGTGTCAGATAATTCTGTTCCCTAGCCTCTTTCTGGATCTGCGGATCGCTCAAACCGTCGATTAAACAAGAAACTGCGTTGCAACCGGATATTTTACACGCTTCGATTAGATACATTTTGCTAAAATAGTACTGCGTGATGGTTTCTTCCGGTATTTTCAGCCTGTCCACTAGCAAACGTAACGTGCAAGCAAAGTCCGTGGTGTCTGGAAAGGTTTGGATAATTAGCATTTTCAATTCTGGCCAGGTGTATTGGTACGCATCGAGCGTTTTAAACCAAGCTTTCATCAATCCAGACATTTTACTCTGGATGAAATTTATGCAAGTAATCTCATCGTATCTCCTTTCTAAACACTCTTCACTAATCTTGTTTAACCACGCCGATGTAGTTATGTGGGAAGTTTTCGTAAATAAGTCCATAGAATTGGTGATTGCCTCTTGACCGTTATTAACGTGTAATATTTGCTGTTTGTTTATGCTGCTCTCCACTAATTTCTCCATCATTTTTTCTAAACGATCTAATCTGTCGTTTGGATTGGTGCTCTTCGGGGGTACGTAAGAATTGTGGGACATTTGGATTTGAGGCTCAAAATTACACACCGAGGGGTCTGTTATATGCTCTTCGTTGTATCTAGCACTGTTATCGAATGCAGACATGTGTTTGTAGTTGTCTTGCTTGGTCTTAGATGTTTTTTTGTCTCTTTTGTCGTTTCTCTCGTCGAAATGCCTCAAGAATCTCTTATTTCGGTCTTCAGACTTTTTCCTAGCAGACATGCTTCCGTGTGCTTTACCATCATAGTCACTCAGAGGACTGATACTGAAACTTCTCTCTTCTCTTTCGATTTTGGTGTTTCTGAACCTGGGGCTTCGACTTCGGTGATCCATTCTACAGACTTTGAAGGTATCTTCCTAATACTATTAGCTTCTATTATTTTTATACTGTGAATGAAGTTAATTGCAGGAATCCAATCTCTCCTTGTTGATAGTAAAACAAACTGGATTTGTTAAAGCATTTGGTATAAAATGTACCGAGTTATTGTGATATTTTAAATCACAATACTAAAATAAATATATCGGTAACAAATACATAGGAGATACCGAAACCCAACCAAAAATGAAAAATGACATTTGCGGCCATACTCTTGTCATTGTCATTCTTGTCAATGTCAAATCTTTCTATTTTTCGATAAGATCGATTGTTTTTAAATTTTGTTTGGATTCTTTTAATTTTCAAAATTTGTTTATTTTGTAAATATCTATTATTATTGCATTAAATATATAATGTACATGTAGCTCAAGCATGAAATGTGAAGAGTGGTAAGGAAAACCGAGGAAATTATACTTAATTCGATTCAAATTTCGAATCGATAATTTTGTTTCGATTTTTGACTTTGACAGTTGACTGACAAGTAATTTGACATTCTATTTTTGATGTTTTCGTAAAATTGTTGATGGTATTAGATTACAATTAATTTGTTTATTTTATGTTATTAGTTATATCAGCATTTATTACCAATTTTGCAATTTTTACCCCAGTATATTCTTTTAATAAATGTCAACATTATTAAGAAGTTAAAGAACGTTATATTATCAAAATGTCTTTACTCTTTCTAGAAGATGATCCATGGTAAGTAATAATCGCTTATCAATTAGATTAAATAAATGTAAAATAATACGGAATTCGGTAGGCTCTTGGAGCATGATTCTTGCGAGAAATTGCACAGAGATATCATGGAACAGCTTACGATTAGGCAAAAACACCCCCGAAATACTGACAAGTATTCTCAACTATCAGCAAGCATTCGATTACGATTAAAACAATACAATAATGAAGTAAGCCAGTTGAATCAAAAATTAGATGCTACCAGTAAATCAAACAATATGTATCCTTAACAAATGAGAACTATTTAAATCATCCATTTATATCATTTTTTCGCCTAATTTTGTTTAGTTTTTCTTAACAAACGCAAACAGAACACCTGCAGAAATTGAGAGAAGAACCAGGCAAATAGAAATCTTACATTCTAAGGGAATACAGATACAGAAAATGTTCGACGAACAGATTGCCATCAAATCTTTAGAAGAAAGAAGAGAATTAGTAGGCATAGGCACGGCTAATTTAGAAATATCTCCAAGTACCAGTTATTCTATCGGAGATTTAAAAGAAACACAGATACGAATGTTAGGAGGTAATTTATTTCTAATGAATTGTGTCGCATTTATTACTCTGTAAATATTTTAGAGCAAGACGAGGGCCTCAACAATTTGTCGAAAATCATTTCGAGGCAGAAGGATATAGCTCATACAATTTCTAATGAAGTGGATTATCATAATGGTAAATATAATTTTTAAATGCCACTTTAATTTTATTATTCCGTTTTATTATTTTATAGAAATTTTGGATGATTTGGATACGCAAATCATTCGAACAGATGCAAACGTTAGGGATGAAACGAGGCATGTAAGTGTAGTTGATAGAAAAGATAAAACATGTGCATATTGGATTACAATAATTTTACTATTCATTAGCATTATAATTGTCGTTAGTGTGTAAGTCAAGTTTAATATCAAAGCATTTATTTCGTTTATATTTCACGTAATTGTAAACGTATCAAACATATCTTTATTATATAATAAATCTAATTTGTTAAAGTTGTGTTAATGGAACCCACATTTGTCCAATTTAATGTTGCTTGAGCGTTTAATAATATTTTTTCTTCAATTTATTGCCTATTTTATACAGGGAAATTAATGAAACTTAGGTAATACTTTATTTTAACATTGTTATTAACAAAATGCTTTCGCATGATGCCATTCAAACTCGCTTATTACAATAAATAAAAATAGAATGTACAAAAAATTACTTTAGTTCATCTAAAAAGGGTACTCCAGCTAAGTTTCCAACAGATGCTAATGATAGTTTCTGGCCTGCTTTCTTAAGAGCCTGCAAATAAACAATTTAAAAATGTTAACTTATTAATAATTTGTTAACTTACATTTGCGACATCACTGGTAGAAACAGAATCTACTTGAGCCAAAAGTGCACTAGTACTTGTAACTTTTTGCGTCAAAATAGCTTCTTGTCCAATAGTTCTTACAATATCTGCCCCACTTTCAGCACTGAAGAGGATCGATGCTTTCAATTGATTTTTACCTGCACAAAATTTAAAAAATAGTACATTGTATTATCACAGTTGCTTATTAAAACGTACCTCTGGTGACATCTTCATCGGAGACTGTTCCACTCTTGAGTACTTTAACAGCGGTTTCTAGAGCACTTCTTGCCGACTTCGTCGGAACGGCCAGTAGAAGCCCAAAGAGACCTGTGTCAGAGTAACTCGCGTTTATGGCTACGGAACTAACGTCAGGGCTATTTCCAAGAGCCTTCCTGAAGACACCGCTGTCTGTAATTCCGTGTTTAACCTGGGGGCCTCCTCCAAGGGCTCCTTGTAGTACAGCAAAAGCGAGAGCTTCCTTGCTGTTTTTGAGAGCAGCACCTTCTCCTGCTACAGCAATAAATGCTAGTTGACCACCTTTGTTCGATCTGTAAATAATTAGATGTTTAGTAATTAATAAAGAGAAGGATTTTGAACAAACCTTAGTTCGCCTCCTTTGTAAGGAGATGGGGTGTTATCGCCTTCACCATTTTCTATTTTCAAAGAGTTAGCAAAAGACGTCAACTCCTTTTGACTGATTCCTGAACCTACGACCGCCATACGTCCGCTTTTGAAGTTTGAGCAAACGTAATGTTGCAGAGTTTCGGACGAAATTTTACCAATTTGAGTTTTCGGAATAAACAGAGAATTACCCAAACCGCGTCCTCTAAAAGCAGCATTGTGCAGTAAATCGATAGCTCTCAACTACAACAAATATTCGTATTAAAAAAAGCACATATAATACAATATTTCTTAACACCTGCAATGGTCTTGTAGCAATATCCAACTGCAATCTACTGGACAAATCGGAAACTTCCCAAGGTCTAAATTCTTGCTGGGTGGCTACTTCGGTTAAGAATGGTAAAGCGCATTCCACAGCCTCCGGGGTACCTTCCAGCGTGTAGCAGATAGTTTCTCTATCAGATGTGGCCGTTAAATTGGCTCCGACTTGCTGGATGTTGCGGATAATGGCGAATTGCGAACAGTTTTTCGTACTCAGACCAGCGGCCGTCCTCAAAACGTGAGCTACGCCTAAATTCTCGGGATCTTCGTTACGACTTCCAGCCCTAATGTAATAAAAATTATGAATAATACGATTGTGAAATATATGTAGCTGCATACCTGAATACGATTGAAACTCTGGTGAGGGACGCATTGTTATCAACAGCAGCGACAACAGTTTTGTTGGGGAGAACTGTACTTTTTACTTCTGCGTTCGGAATGCCAGAAAGTGGATGCGGAAGGGCTGCATAGCCCCTTGCCTAAAACAGACTTATAAGAACTGCGTTTATTAAAACACGACGAAACTTACGTTGATGATTCTTAGGAGCGATGTTCGAGATAAATTTGTAGCCATATTTCTGAAATAATAAAGTTCATATTACATAATTTCTACACTTAACCTTTACAGCATATTAACAATTACAGATAATTACAACTACAGCTAGGTCACCAGGTGATAGTAGAGAATATTTTTCGCATTATTTTTTGTAAAATAAACTTACAATTTAGGGGATAATCAATAAATTCCAAATCCAAATTCCAGCCAGCCAAAATTTATTGACAACTGTCATATGTCAATTCATAATCTTCTTTCTTTATTTTTTTGGGGATTTTTTATGTTTCCTAAAAGTACCCAACAACTGTCACTGTACTGTCATCCAATTGTCAAATTCTAGCTAACGTCAACACACGTATTTGTCAACATTTATCAACTGATTAAGTTAATATATTAAATTTAAAATCATGATTTGATTAGATGAATATCGCACGAAGTGATAGCCTACCAGAGCATGGTCGTTTATTCAAATTTCCCAGCGCTATCAAATAATGTGAATCAATATGAGCTGGTTTGATGCTGCTGGCCTTGCCAACATTGCCAAATCCGCTTTGAAGGAAGCCCAAAGGACGATAGATAAAGCGTTAGATATCAAAGAAGATGATCCGACAGTCGTTCCTGTTAATACGCCCGTCGATCCCAACTCGGAAGATTTCTTCGGTACTTGGGGTGCAATACAACACAGTTCGAAACAAGATATCAAAAAGCCTATGATAGGTAAAGCTTCGAAGGATAATAGAACTTCTGGCAGCATTTGGGGCTCCTTTACTGGCTCGTTCTTTGAAAACGCAAACGAACAAGAAGCAAGCAAATCAGATTCTATCACCAGCTTAGATGACACTCTGGATAGCGTAGAACCTTTTAGTCAAAGCAAACTAGTCGTACAAAATGTTGAAGACGTAGATAATCAATTAATTGGCCTCACTCAAAGCGAGGAAACTATAAACAATGCTAAAAACACAACGCTTGCTAAGACTAGTGATGAAATCACTGTTAATTTACGTAAGTACGAGTTATCGATACGTAAATGAGTTTTATAGTTTCAAATTTTTCTAGTCGAAAATGATCCAAGTGGTGAAAATTCAATTGCAGGTGACAGGGAATTACAATCTACTTCACAAAATAGGTTGTCAGTGTTGAGTGCAGAAAGTACTAAAAATAGTTCGGAAAGTGCTGATATTATTACATGCAGTACTGATTATATGACCAGTCCCGAATCCGAAATGCTATCTACTGCTATATCTTCTTCTAGTTCAGCCCTAGGTAAATTATTCATAGCATTAATCAACTTATAATTGTACATTAAATTTTTTATTAGGATTTCAACCTGCGTCAGATTCTGTAGAAATATTGGGAGATAGTTTAACGAGTCCTAGTTCTGTTGAAATAATCGGTACTAACAGCACAAACAGCCGGCGACAATCCGATTACACAGACGATGTCGAGGTGGTTTCTCCTACATCACCTTGGCCCGAAGAAGAAAAATACCAGTAAGACGCAATTGCCTCTTTACTTTACTTAATAAAACCTCAATTCGTTTGTAGCTCGGTGGATAAATTGTCCCCGGAAAGCGTCGAAATAATCCAAGAAGATCAGGACGAGAACAGCATAGCCGAAGACACGATGTCCTACACCTCCGTGTCCGAAAGCACTTCGGCTACAGTACTCGACACGGCTCTTAACGCCCACCTTAGGCCGCAAAAGATGCTTAAAGACACTTTCGGTTTGCAGGAAACTGTGAACGAACGCGACCTTAACACGAATTATAATTACCTCGACGCGATTACGAGAGCGCCCAGCAGGAGCACGATGCAATTGCCTTTAACGCAAGTTTTAATCGACACTCAACCGCAGAGCGTCAAGCAAGAATTACCGGATATTCTACAAAAAACTAACGTAATAGATATTCCTTTGGAATCGGATAACGCTAGTTCTAGTGAAAACCAAATGGATATTTCCACGGACGAGAGTTCGCAGTCGGATAAAACGATCACAGCTAGCGATAATATAATGGAAAGCAGCAGCGATACTTCTACTACAACGGAAACGAGCAGCAAGTCCGCTTATTTGAAAAGCCTACTAGCAGATGCGATGACGGAAAAAAGCGGATCCGATCAACAGAGCTCCCCGAAAACCACAGATTCTAGTCAAAAATACCTATTAGAAAGCATCTCGCTTTCTTCCACGGAAGCCATACCTCGGGAGAATTCTTCCATCAGCTCGGAAAGTCGATCGGACTTGGTGAAAATCGGGTCAGATCACACATCCGGGCACACGTCCGGAGACGAATTAGAAACGACCACTTCCTCGGACATCGAAATCATCTCCAGTCCTAACGGTGATTCGAGCAGCACGCAAAGCAGGCAAAGCCCCGCCAAGCAGACTTCAATGCAATGCAAAACCTCCTACAGCGCCGGCGATTCGTTACTCAACAAAGTAACCGGCAAGAAAGTAAAAGGCCACACTAGGGAGTTGTCAGAAGCGTCCAGCATCAGCGACGATCTGCACCCGCCCGAAGTCGACAGGCTGCTGAAGAAGATAGCGGAAATCACCGAGATTCTGGAATCGAGGGAGTCGAAGCTGATCGATCTGAATAGGAGGAACGCCGAGTTGCAGGAGCAAAACGGCGCTCTGCGTTCGCAGCTGAACGCGATCGTCAATCAGCAATTGGAATCCGCCGATTTGTCGCAGGTGACCGAAGAGTACACCCAAAGAATGTCGGCGTTGGAGAAGAAATTCCAGCAGGCCATTCGCGAGAAGGACGGCTTGAGAAAGCAATTGGACCAGTTGAAATTGGAGGCGGCGAGCCGCATGAGCAAAGGCGAAACCGACAGTTTGATAGCCGAAAAGGACGAAATCATCAAGGAACTGAGGGAGGAGGGCGAGAAATTGTCCAAGCAGCAATTGCAACATTCCAATATCATTAAAAAGCTGCGAGCCAAGGAGAAGGAGCACGAGAACTCCATTAAGCATCTGAGGTTAGTATAATTTTTTACTCGAAGTTAATTGTGGAAACTTATTTTATGAAAAAAAGTTGGGTAAAAAGTAACAGTTATTTTGTAACGTAAGTTACGACATCTTTATGCTCGATAATTTGTTCCCACCTTTACACTAAACGTCAAAAATTAACTTAGCATTGACGTTTTTGACAATTTTTGGATATGTCTAATCAACCATAATTAAGTGGTGTATACTACACCAAGCGTACTGTTTTTTTGAAAAAAAAAATGTTGAACTATTCAAAAACATATCATTATTCTTAAAAAAAACTGTTAAATTTTTCTCCAGTACCTCTAATTGGTTCTTCATAGCAAACTTTTGCACAATTATTTGCCATATTTGATTGTTATACTTGTATTTAAAAAAAATAGCACATTCACATTATCTCAAATTTCTGTGTTCGTTTTCCATACCAAGTGAATGATTAACGATTTCAAATGTACCATTTACAAAACAAAAATATGTTACTCACGTTCACGTTTACTCTTAAATTAGGGAGAGCGTTGAAAGTCTATCCACTGAATCCGAGAGATTGAAGAAGTCCCTCGCGGCCAAAGACGAGGTAGAAAGGACCCAAATAGAAGCCGTGCACCAATTGACTTCCAAAAATAAAAAACAAGAAGCCGAAATTAACAAGCTGAAAGGGCAATTGGACGATTTGACGCAGAAGTACGATACCAGCAAGAAATCGTTAGATGCCGCTAAAAAGGAGCTTCAAGAAAAAACCAGGGCCAGTTCGGAACTGCAAATGCGAGAACAGCTGCTCGATTCGTTGGAAGATCAAAAGAAATTGACCGAAACTCAAAATTCCGAGGTACTTATTAATTATTCCCTATTGTGCTTCTTTATTTGTAGAGTATTTTTTTCCTTCAGCTTTTAAACCAATTGGATGATTTGCGGCAACGACTGAGACAGTGCGAAGAAGATAACGGTAAAAACGAAGAAAAATTCAGGGAAGAAAAACGCAAATTACTGAAAAAATTGGAGCAAGCTGAAGCAAGAAACGAAGAATTAAGTCAATCCGTACTGGAAGTCAGCAAACCCCTAATCCGCCAATTGGATTCACTCCAAGCGACCCACTGCATGAAATTGGCCAGTTTCGAAAAGATCGAAGAGGAATTAACCCTAAAAATAAGTAAATTTAACACCCCCATTAATCACCGTACATTACAGCTAATCGTTTTACAGCGGAGTTACAAACGAAATTACAAAACTCCTCCAGCTCGGAGAGATCGATCAGAGACGAATGCGTCCAATTGCGCTCGAAATTCTCGGAGCTGGACAGCCAGTTGGGCAGCAGTCGCCACAAAATCGAACTCCTAGAAATGGAATTGCAACAGAAACACGCCGAGCACATTATGAAAGAACAAGAACTCACCAGCAAAGTCGACACTTTGAACGCTTCGATTAGAAGCTGTAAGGAAACCATCGCCGAAAAGGAGAAGGAAATTAGCGATTTGCAGCATTTGTTAAACATCGAAAAGGCTACATCAGAGTCGGAGAAGAAACCGAACTTCGCTGTACAGGTGAATAGCTTTTTAATCTACTGTTACATACTAAATTCATGTGATTTTCAGGAGCAAGACAATTCTAATAACCCGCCCGATCGTAAAATATCGCGCACAAGCAACAGCTCGCCTACGTTGAGCTTGGGCAAAGGCTCCGTCGCCGGTTCTATGACGGGTTCGTTCTGGTCTCAAGTAGGTTTATTCCATTCCAAAACCCTCGAAAACGTCGATTTAAATGTACAATTGCAGGACGAGCCGTTCGACATCGGCGCCACGCCTCGCTACACGAACATGTTCGAGATGCAGATGCTCCAGTCGAACTTGAAGCAGCGCGACGGGGAGCTGCAGCAGCTGCAGTGGGAGCTCCATCGACGCGAGCAGGAGCGTTCGCTGTTGAACAACGAGATATCCGCGCTGTTGACGCGATTGGAGGACCTGGAGGGGCGCGTGGCGGATCACGACGGTTTGAAGTCGAAGTTCACGGAGCTGGAGCAGCAGTACGAGACGTTGTGCCAGTTGTACGGGGAGAAAGTGGAGCAGAACGAGGAGCTGAAATTGGATCTGGAAGACGTGAAGGATATGTATAAGGGTCAGATCGATGAGTTGCTGCGTCAGCAGAGGCGCAGCGCCGCTGCTAGTAGTACGTAGAGCGTACGTTTATTATTATTTAACTACGTGCAATGATTTTAACTATATACAGGTGGAATTTATAAACTTTTTCGAGTATTAACTAGCACATTGAGTATTCTATAATATATTCGTTTGTATATAAATGTCTATTTAACACTTTTGAAGTTCACGAATTAGAATATGAATGTGCTATCTACCCGTTTACTGAAGTAATGAGAAAATATCAAAATCCGGCATAGAGAAGCTTAGAAAATAAAGATGCTGTAATAGATACAAAAATGTAGCTACGCCAATGTTTTACACCAAACTGTTTGGTTTCTGTTATCATCCCTATTGGCTTATTCAGTACTATTTTCAAATAGGTATAAGGTTTATTAAGCTGTGATATATAAAATTTTGATATACCTGTAATTTGATGGTTATTACATTTATTTGTAAACTAAATTTTTAATCTGAATTATGTTGATAAACGAATGATTACAAGTGAAGTTTTACTTTGATTATTTCATAAGATTTGATATGTGTAGATCTATAATTTTACATTTTTCATGTAGAATTTATCGAAAATTATTCATGTTGCTGAATGTTCATAATGAAAGAGGACGTAAATAAATAAGAAGATTTTTTTTTAAATTTATTGACAGGTGTCACGAATCAATCATTTGTCAGTTATGACAACTCACTGACGTGAAAGTTGTGGTGATGGTGATATTTTTATAATATGTCAAAGTTTTATATTTTCAATCAAAAATGTTTAGAAACAATATGTTTATAGTGTTGTTGCTTCAAATAATCCTTAGTGTACATAATGGGCATTGTACCCATTTGAAAGGAACCTTTAAAACGAGTGACTTTTTTAAGTTTCTCATAAAATTCGGTTTCCAGAAGACAGACCAACACCAGTCGGATTTAACTCATGGATATATCTTTGGAAATGTTACTTCCAAACAGAATTTCTCAGTTCCTATTACATTCGCAGTATTGGACAGGCCTTACTTTTTAGATTATTACAAAAATAGAATAATGTTAGATAAAAATGAGGCTTGCAAGAACATGTTTGCAACTTTAAATACTAGAGCATATGATAGCAAATGCAGCAACAACGGCAAGGACTACCTAAGGAGGATTCCCTGTACAAAGAACAAGCTTTGTATTGACGAAGATAACCCATGGAATGTTGTTAAAAACCATCAATTTACGTACGTTATACAGGATTTCAAACAGCCTAGGTATGAAACATAATTAAACAATATTTTCAGCTGCAATAATAGTTGATTTTTAGTTTTTGGTATTTATCAATGGTCGCTTGTTACCACGATAAATCGTCCTGCGAATGGCATCATTATGACCCGAAAATTCCACTAGAAATCGAGTACGATATTTGGTTGGTAAACGGTAGTCCCAATAGTTCTTCGACCAGCATATTGTCTTACCAATTCTCCTTCGATAGACAGAACACGCTAGAATTGTATTTGCTCTTTTGGCTGTGCTATATGGTCTTGGTACCGTTGCAATGTCATGCTGTTAAAACACAAAAACACCCTGTCACAAGGTAATTTTAAACGCTTAAATCTTACCTAATTAGTACTTATATTTCGTTGTGTTTTGTAGATTGTTTACTGCTAGTTTAGTTTTGGATTTCATTGCACTGTGTTTGATTCTCGTGCATACGTTGAAGTACGCATTGGACGGTGAAGGGTACCCTAAGTTAGCGATGACTGGTGATATTTTCGATATACTCTCGAGGGTAATGAGAAAAAGCGTTTCTTTTGAATGTATTTCTAATATTATTACGTTTTTTAGACTTCTTTTATGCTGTTGTTGCTCCTTTTGGCCAAAGGATGGGCGGTTACTCGCCTCGAATTAACATGGAAGCCCCTCGTGTTCGCTATATGGCTTTGCTATGGCATCGTACATGTGTTACTGTACGTTTGGAATTTGGTACGAGTAATTATTCAATCGGATTATGATGTTTTATAAACTAGTCTCTCTGTTGTTAGACCGAAGTGGATATAATAGAAGACATCGACGAGTACCAAACGTGGCCGGGTTGGTTAATAATCGTCTTCAGATCGTTGATAATGATATGGTTTTTGTACGAACTAAGAACAACCATGCTGTACGAGCACAATACGCAAAAATTGAATTTCCTCCTGCACTTCGGCGCCTCCAGTTTAGTGTGGTTCATATATTTACCCATATTGGCGCTGATAGCGCTCCACGTCAGCGCTTTGTGGAGATTCAAACTGCTCCTGGGTAAGTCACTCATCATTTCGAATGATTGTTACCGATGGAGATTATGCTTTGCAGGTATAACTTACTCTGCGGATTGTTTCGCGTACTGCGTGATGGCGCACCTGCTGTGGCCGACGCGCTCCGAGCAGTACTTCCTGCTGAAGGGGCCGTCGTCGGCGGAACTGGACGAGCTGGACGAGTTCAACGAGGCGCCGCACATCGTCAACAACTCGTACACGTCGATGTCGAGCATCAATTCGTACGAGATATGCAAGTACGACGATCCGCACAAGACGAAGTTGATCAATATCAGTACGTGAGCACGCTCGGTACGCGGTGAGATCTCGATTTTGATTATTATTTTCGTTGTTGTCGTTGTTGTTAGGTCAATTTGCTCAGGAAACGAAATTTCGCGGGTGGTTGTTTTGTCTGAGAGGTTTCGAGGCGATTTTTTTTCGGAAACGGGGGTTTTGTTTTACACCGATTGCACTAAAATTTTCTGTTTTATTAGAGTTCCTGTGATATTTTTGTTTTCGTGAAGGAAGTAATGTGATGTTACTTTCGTGTGTCTTTTTTTTTATTGGAATTATTATTTTTTCGATGGGTGAAATATAAACAGTTAATTTTTATTAGAATGTCTACGCCATGTGTATTCTGTGATTTGACATTCCGAGTTAATGTCGATGCGTTTGTATTACTGTTGTTGTTTCCTTAAAATATTAAAGTAAGGTAATTTTTATATAATGTACGTAAATAAGGAAATCGCGATATGTGCCAAGTTGTGAGTATTAATTACATTTTACTTTTCGACTCAAAAAGTTTATACTATTTCAATGGCCAAAAAAAGTGATAACAATTTTTCTTTTCGAACTGATTTAATTAGGTGCATGAACCCTTTATATTTTTCTTTATAAATTTGGCACATTCATGTAATTTGAGAGTAGATATAGTAATCGAATCATGCGTAAATCGTTTTTATTCATTGTATTTTTAGAGGTAAAGAAAGTGGATTGCACAGTTTTTTATAAATATTCTTTGCTCAATTGAAAGACAACAAATTTCACGTCCATTTTGAAACTGCACGTTCAGATTTTATGTATTAATGTTATAAATTTTTAACGTAAATTTGAAGCGTACTCGGTTAAATAAATAATTTGCTTTATTGATTCCCGTCATTTGGAATAAGTCATTGGATTAAATTCATAAAATTTTTATTACAAAAAAACCGTTAATCAATTACGCTTTGACTGTTGGTTTTTAGATTGTGTCTTAGATGGTCAATTTTAAAATGCCACATCGAGCAACTTAGTGTAAAAAAATTAATGTACAGATATATTCTTATAAAAACACATTATAATTAAATAGTGACGAGTTCTTGTTATTACTCCTTCGAATATTAGCAGTATATTTGACCCTTCTGGGTTGGTTGGTAAAAGAATCGAGTCCCTCTAGTGTTTTGAATATATTTTTTAATACACTTTTATAATTTACAACGAAAATTAAAAAGAAAAAAATCAAACTGATATACATATAAAAAAACAAAAAAAAATCGAGACAAATTGTGCTAATTTTGAATTGAGATCACATACAAAAATAAATCAACTAACATATTTATAAATATACGAAATATATGGTGCATTACGTTAAAATTTACAATAAAAAATGCACGAAAATAAATGCAATTGTTAATACAATATCACAAAGTTATAATTATATTAATTATAAATTACAATTTTTTTTACCAAATTGGTTATATTTTCATTTTTATACAAATCGCTCGCATTTCTGTCCTCGTTTCGCAGAGAGTAAACGTAACAAATTGGAAAATAATGTGAACCTAATTTTTTAAACGGCCTCCCCAGATACCCGAAGTAGCATAGATATACATTTTCCCTAGCAGTAAATACGAAATAACATTAAAACGCACTCTTTTACATAAAATTGCGCCAGTAATTTATTCGCCACCGCGCTCGAATACCCGAAAAACTCGTCTAACGCCAAAAATTAGGTTCGTCAATAATGACATTCGATGTATTACAATGATTAAATGCTATGTTGTCTATCGAAAGCTTCTAGTTGAAATCTATTCATTTTCTTTTTGTTAATTAGACGCTCGATTGAGCGCCACGTTAGAGCAATTTTAATAATACAATTAAAAAAAAATCATCGGCTAGATAGCCCGATCGCTTCGGTTTCCCTTTCACAAAAAGATTTTCCACATATTTAGGGGAAAACCCTAACCGAACTGACTATCGCACCTGACTCGTTTACGATCAACACTCTGTATCGATTAGAAAATCAATCGTTCCAATCACAAAGTATTGGTCGTGCATCAATGGAAGTCCTTAGGCTAAGAATATATATACAGGGCGTTACGCAGTACAAGATATGGGACGATAACTAGCGTACAATACAAATAATTAGGCGGCGTAAAGGAGGCTAATCGTTTTGAACCGACAGAATGACTGTCGATTTTACAAATATACAAATTGATAACGAATTAATTTTTTATGCAGTACTAAAAAACCACTGGGGGGATTGTGATTGATTCGTTTTTTGTCGATTTAACATAGAGAGGTAGAGTGAATTAGAATAGAACGACATTACTTCGAGGCAGTTAAAAATACCTACAATAGCCGTAGGTTTTTCAAGTATTCTGTACCCTTTCCCATTTTTTTTTAGTTTTCGTATAAAATTTGTATAAATATCATTTCAGTCTTTATTATATGTCTTGTCCATTGATTGGGAGAATGCACTTAGATAATACACGTTTTTAAGTAGATCAGATACTTTTTTCCCTTGTAATACTGAATAAATTAAACTGACTGTGCAACTAACATGAAGGGATGTCAAATTTGTGGGCTAAAATAAACGTCTTTTTGTAAAAAAAAAATCAAGCAAAGTTGATCATAACCCAAAAATAATCCCTCACTTCGACTGCGCAACATAGGAATCACTAAAAAAATATTTCAAATATATAAATTATGTATATATTTATAAAAGTAAAATAAATACCGCATGTCATTTAAGAAAAAACTTATCGAAAAAAATGTAGTAAAGTTTTGTCTCTTATCTCACGCCATCTATCATCTATCTAGTACTTTTCAGCTCTCAATTTTGTTTAAAAAAAGGTCGAAGAAACCGATTAATAGATTTGGTACTTATTTGAACTTTATTTTATAATAAAATGTCTTTTTTCTTCACGTTTTCCAAGTACAAAAGAAATCTTCAAACGCATTGAGCAATCAAACACCAAATACATTCATCGAAAACTCCAAAATTACGAAATTTTTTCATCCTCATAATTCATTTAATAATAAAATTACCTAGCTAATCTGTACAGAACAGCGCGGTTTCAACGAGAGAGAGAAATACTTTTTCTTCTTGGTTTACGAAAAAATCGACATATTTTTTTTTTGGTTTTGTTACTTATTAAAAAAAGCGCTTACAAATCTTCGTCTTACGTACATTTTACGTCTGCTCCACGGTCGGTGTAAAAACGATATACAAAATGTTCCGATAAATTTAATTTAAATATTTACTTATAGACGCGCGAAAAGTCCTTTCACTTCGCTCAGTTTCGTGCACGTCGAATTACCTTCGATTCAGTTCCGATTTGATTGCTGCAAATACACAAATAATAATTTAAAATCGATACATTACATCAACTTTCTTAGGAAATAAAACTCTACACTGATATGTGGTTACTTACCGTCTAAAATGTCCTGCTTCATTTTGGCGATTTCCTTCCTCATCTCTTTGACTATATCGTTTTTGAGACTCTCCATTTCGGTGGGACCGATCGACAGCCCGCCTACTTCGGATAGGCCGTTCACTTTCAATATCGTCTCCTCCGAAGCGGAGCCGAAACGTTTTCTCACCCCTTTCGGCGATTCCGAATTGAATTTCGACGCGTTGCCCGGCAACGTGTTCGTCTTCTCCCAAATCGCCGCTTTCTTATCGTCCTCCTCTTTGTCCGGCACCTTTTTCTCCACCTGCAATTTAACAACATTCTTCGGTTACAATACGAGGTAACTTGGCCGCCTACTAGCCTCGTAAGAGAGTTAAGGGGACTTGAACTAGGTGGGCAATCAGAATATTGCACTTACCGCTGCTCTTCTTCTCGCCAACGTTTTGGCCATTTCGTCCATCATCGAGGCCATACTGCCACCGCCTCCCCTTCCTAACGTACCGTAATTACTGCTACCCCCGCTACTGGTAGACGAACCGCTGTTTTCAGTCGGTGGTGGAGTATTCTAGAAGTTAACGTATTGTTAGCACATTTTACAAATAAATTCGTATGTAATCTATACCTTACTATTCCTCTTGAGCCTGGCATTCTGCAATTGCGCCGCCAGCGAATTGATCTCGCCGCCGTCGCTGCTCTGCGATCTCGACATGCTCATAGGAGGCGGCGGCGGCGGTGGCGGAGCGGATCCACCTGCAGCCGATGGCGGTCCGGGCGGCGGCGGCGGGGCCGGCGGGGCGCTCACCGTCCGCTGGTGCCCGCCGCCCGATTGATTGACCGCCGGCGCGTTCTGCGGCGGCGACACGGGACTCGGCATGGCCGGCGGCGCGGGCACCATAGCGTTTTGTTGGTGCACCATCGCGTTCTGCTGGTGCACCATCGCGTTCTGCTGGTGCGCCGCCGCCGCCGCGGCCGCCGGAAGCGGTTGTTGTTGCTGTTGCGGCGACATCAGGTTGGCCGATATCCGGCGCTCCTGCAATATGGCGACGTCTTCGCGCGTCATCGTGCGATAGCCCATGTCCTCGTCGTAGTGCAGCGGCGGGATCGGTTGCGGCATTTGTTGCATTTGCATCTGCATCGGTGGCGGCTGTTGTTGTTGTTGGATTTGTTGCGGGGACACGGCGTATTGGGGCGGCGGAGCGGGTTGCCTAACTATATTACTAAGTACCTTTAAAGAAAAAACAAGTTCAATTAATTTGCGATTAGAGTATGGTACGGTAGGTCTTACTTCTAATGAATGAAACATAGCCCTGGCGAAACAGTCGGCATCCTCCTTAGAGCTAAAGTTCAATCCGTAAACCTGCTTATTGTCTCTCCATTGGTGGAACGTGGATGTAGCTTGATTGTATTTCAGTCCTTTTAAAATGGCACAATTTATTACGACCTGCAAATTTAAACAAAAATCAACATCTAAATAATTCAATCAATTATGAGTACACATACTTCGTGGTCCTGGAGCTTCCTGCCGACGACCCGAAACGTCTGGTGCACGGTGTGTTGGTAGATGTGAACTTTGGAAAGACCCGACGATGTGCCCGATGGTATCCATTTTTTATTCACGTCATCGTAGACCATTACGCTAGCTCGGGCGCTGGCGATGGACTGTTCGCTGTAACAACGACAATATGAGATAAGACATTGGAAAATACTTAAATATTGCACCTAAATAGGAAGACGACAGTGCGGTATTTCTTTGTTTTTTTGTGCCTACATGCAATACGGGAATAAAAGGTAAACGTTGCTGGAATGTTGGTTCCGAATAAATTGTAACAATATTTATTGATAAATGATTTGTAAAGTATTTATCAAACAATAAAATACAATTGCAAATTCATTCGGAAAACACGACTCTTGTGTATAATAAAATGTATTTTTAGATTAACTCATCAATTAACTAAATATAGCAAGCGTATTGCTTCGTTTTTATTTTGTGCTTTGTATAAACGATAGTTGTCGCATTTATAACACCTAAACAGTATAAAAAAATTAGTGGATTTTCAGAAAAAAAAAAAACATACACTTACTTCAAAACATACAAATTTTCACTCATGTGGGAAACGTAAATTTGGCACGTTTTACTGTTTTACTTTTTGGTATTATACTGATAATAAACCTTTCAAATGAATCAAATTTAGCCAATAAATTTACCGAATTTTATCGATAAACAAACAACAAAAGGATTATGCAACTCGTTTATCTTAAAGTAAATAAGAGGGCGCGGCATTAATCACAAAATGATTTTTATTTCCTAATTTATTCATTTAGCAATATTTGCGCAAAGTGTCATAGCTATATCAAACCTAATCCAATCCCTCTATTCATCCCCTATACATTAAAACCTAGTACCAACATATCTGTATTTAAACACATTTGTGGGTGTTTGCAAACAATCGTGTATCGTTTTTTTAAGTTTCTTGCACCATAAACTTCTACTAACTTCATCCAATAATAACGTGGATCGAGCACGCTGCTTCTGTGGCCGAAATTGGAGCGCCTCAAAGTCGCTCCGCTTCGGCACAAATGCAAAAATTCGGAAATGCTGTGCCGCCTGTAGGCGACGTTTGGTTCGCTGTAGAGCAGATTGCGAAAAGAGCTTTCCGTTTCGGGGAAATTCATTTTCCGTCGCGACTAGTACGCTTTAACATTGATCGAAATACTGAAGGTACGATTCATTTGCGTAGCGGTTTCGTCGGTTTGATAATGCGCGAGGAAGTCGAAATGATTCAAACGAAAATTCTGTAACAATGCTTTTTTTATCGAATGCTAACTAAAAAAGTGATAAATTTGTCTGTTATTTAATTAGTGATAAATTAATACACAAAAACTATACTTTGTACACGTATTTGTAACGAAATTCCGTTGTTTTTTTGTGTTAAAAATTCCATTAGTACTAATACTAACCATGCCCAATAATCCTCCCACCCGCTATTAACCGACCAATTTTCTACATTACTAGATCTTCTAATGTCCCTCCTCAAAACTACATCAAATTCCTCTTCCAAACGATCCAATTGCCCGAACAAATCCTCTTTATCTGAGCTATCCATAATTTTATCTTCTGCGAGCAAGACAATGCAACCCACAAACAACACACGACTGTCTATTAAAAAAACAAAAAAAGTAAAATAAAATTGAAACGAGGAAGTGGCGATGATAACGCTCGTATGTAATGTACATACACCAGGAAGCGATACGTCGAGTCCACGAGATTATCCGTGAAACGCATAGGCGTGCAAAAGTGTTTTTTTTATTCGATGCAAATTCGTGTCAAAATTAAGGGTAGATTGTGTGTAATATACTCAAATCAATATTATTGTATTGGATAATGCAACACTAATAATTACATTAAAGAGCGTTTTCACACGGTGCAATATATTGCAGCAATTTATTGCATTGTAATTAAAATACAAACTTTCAAATGCGTAGATTCGACTGCAAAAATACTGCAATGCAATATTGCACAGTGTGAATACGCTCAAATAAACTAACAATAAGCAGGCATGTCATGTCATTTTATAAAAAAAATGTACATACACAGAAAAATTCATGCAAAATGAAGCATAACAATTATGCTTAATTAATATAACACCTTTAATATTAAACACAAAGCGTGTCATTAATAAACAAAATATATATCATTCGTAAACGTTTATTCACAATTTAATAAAAAAATGTAATAAAAGCCTAGTAATATGATATGCCTATACAGGTATTGTTGTTTTTGCTAATTTAAGCAAAAACGAGTAAAATCATTAATGAGTCACACCTTGTGAATTACAGCTATTCGAAATAATAATATTAATTACGTAAATTAAATTAACAATCATTCAAGAGTGTCGAGCAATAGGAATAATACCTTCGTCTAACTTCTTGGGAACCACTCATTTCGGCAATACTGAAACACGAATTTTATTTTTACTAAAACTGGGTAAATTTATAAATAGATTACATTAGGGAGAAATGCTAAATTTATTAAATAGTAAGATAGAAATTGAAAATTTAAATTTCAAAAGAAACACATGCATATGTCAAATTTGACAGATGTTAACGTCAGAATTGACAAGTAATGAAGTAATAAAAAATGTTTTCTTTTTGTGCTTAAAGTATCATTAATCGCAAAAAATGCTGTTATTTCTTTAACGCAGCTATTTTTATACATTAAGCAAAACAAAATATACTGCCAGGTATTTCCTTAATCATATCAAAACAAAGTTTCCAATTACATTACCCGAGCAGGTATATCATTGCATTCGTAAAAAAAACCCAATTCGCAGTAAAATAGAAAGTTATATTATTCATTGGCGTGTGATTCATACCTTACGCATGTCTGCGACATGGAATCGAATAGGGAACCAAACGGAAAACCATCTGGTCCATTTAAAAAACGAATCGAACAACAACCGAATTTGCCGACTGAAGATTTGTGGGACATTTAAAAAAGCACGCGACAGCAGGAAAAATATGTTTAAATAACTCCCTCGGCTGTAGGCGAACTGGGAAATGTCGACTCTATACCGAAGGCACATAAGGGTGGTAACTTCTGTCATTTACCAATATATAGGTGTATATATAGGGTTCAACACACCCAAAATGCATCCGAATCGATAAAAACATTTTCAAAATAACCACCAAAAACGGACAGAAAAACAAAAACAATCGACAAACGTTGCTATAAACAATCACCAAGCAATTATTACTGTCACTTTCCATTGTTAATAAATAATAGCAATTAACAGAAAATATTAATTTACCGCACACAAACTAATTACCAACACTCGAAATTCGGTAATAGAACCGGATTTTAACACATCGAATTCCCCAATTAATCGAAGGTAACGAGATAAATATGAAAAAAAGCCGATGAACTTACCTCATTTTCCTCTGTTTTCTGTTTTTTTATTTTGTTTCAACGAAAATGCATTTATACAGTCTTTGGGTTAAGGACGCGAACTATTCGTGGCGAACACTTTGCACTTCCGCTGCCGTTCGGTGGATCAAATTTTAATGACTTCATTTAATTGTTTAATAAAATACGTCCGAAACGTTTGGTGAGTGTTGGTTCAGCGACGTACGCCATATTTCGTGTGCGGCTGCGATGCGAACTGCGGCAGCACGAATCGATGCCGAAAAAAGCCGAAGACCTGACAGGTGACAACTAAATGACGTTTTACACTACTGCCAACCCTCTAATTTGTGCCTCAACTGCATCAGTTATCCAATAATTTAAAAAATTATTAAGTAAAAAGAAGAAAACCGCATGTTTTTGGAGGTTATATTTTGATTTTGAATCTTATTCGAATTTACAATGGGTAAAAACAAGAAAGATAAAAAGAAAGGAAAAGGCGCCGAGAAAACTGCGAATAAAACTGAAAAGAAGTTATCGAATAAAATGAAGAAGGAATTACAAGCGATTGGTGAAGTATGCGAATTGTTTACTCAACCCACAAGTTATTCTAATAATTTTCTATTACTAGGACGATATAGAAACCATTTTATCGCAAATAGAACAAGAGGAGAAAAAGAGATTGCAAGTAACAGAAGTTGTTATCGACCCACCGAGTAGAAGGCTCAATTTCAGTTTTATAGCTCATCCCGATAAAGAGCAATTGATATTGTACGGTGGAGAATTTTACAATGGACAAAAGGTTGTAGTACAAATATCAAAGATCCTAATAACTATTAATAACATTTTAGACGTTTGTATACGGCGATTTATTTTTCTACAATATCGTAAACAACACTTGGACGGTGGTGAAGGCACCAAATGGTCCTCCTCCTCGGTGCGGACATCAAATGGCTGCCAGTTCCGCAAACAAAGGCCAGCTGTGGGTCTTTGGAGGCGAATTTGCCTCCCCCACTCAATCTCAATTCTACCATTACAAGGATCTTTGGGTCTACCATTTAGGCAACAAACAATGGGAAAAAATCGTATCCCCAAACGGCCCGAGTGCCAGAAGTGGACATAGAATGGTCTTGATTAAGAAGCAATTATTCGTATTCGGTGGATTCCACGACAATTTAAGGGATTATAAATATTTCAATGACATCTACAGGTTCGATATAGAAACATATAAATGGATTAAACTAGAACCGACCGGGACACCTCCTGCTCCAAGATCAGGATGTTGTATGGTGGGAACAAACGATGGAAAAATATTAATTTACGGTGGTTATAGTAAAGAGAAAATCAAGAAAGATTTAGATAAAGGACACGTGTATACTGATGCCTTCTTATTAACACCCGATAGTAAGAAGTCGCTTACCATTTACGCTTTATAAAAATAACAATATTTTTTTATAGAAAACGACACTACTGGTTTAAAGTACAAGTGGCTGCAACAGAAACTAGGAGGAGCTTCTTTCTCTCCCAGATGCAGCATGCCTATCGTACCTGCAATAAACAATTTAACTGCATACACTTATGGAGGAGTCTTCGACATCGAAGACGACGAAGAAAACCTCTCGGGACACTTCTACAACGACTTCCTACAGTTAGATTTAGAGAAATTCAGTTGGAATAAAATCGCTCTAAGCGGTAAAAAAGACAAGACCAAGGCCAAAAGGAAAAAGGACGAACCGGACGAAGCCGCCGAGCAAATGCAAGTAGAGGAACTGGAAGAAAAAGTCGAGCACTCCACGATATCTGATGATGGTGTGTTTAAAGTAACCATCGGTCCAGCGCCCACTTGCGCTCAAACCAACACTGCTTCAGACAGCGCCAGCGTTTCCACGTTATTTCAACCTTCTGCTCGAATGAATTGCGGCTTGGCCATCAAACATGGCGTTTTGTATTTGTATGGAGGCATGTTCGAGGACGGGGACAAGCAAATCACGTTCAGCGATTTCTATTCGTTGGATTTGAAGAAACTGGACGAGTGGAAAACCCTTATTGCAGATGATACGTCGAAAATAGAGTGGCTGGGATCTGATTCGGAAAGCGACGATGACGAAGAGAGTGAAGATGATGAGGAAGAGTCCGATGATTCAAGCATGGAAATGAATTGATACAGGCTTTTCCGGAATACGTGTGAAATTCGTTCTACTGAGATAAAGGAGATTATATAAATTTGAAAAAATTAAATCGTAAAGTTTATTACAACCCATAAATTACCTACACAAATTAAAACTAGTATAGTCAAAATAATTTAAAAAATTGGGCAAGTTTAACCAGAGCAATTCAAACCGGACAACACGGATTTCTTTTTGTTCTTCATAGTTTCGAGAAACTCGACGTTCACATCGACTTCGAATATGTCCTGTTCGGCTATAACTAAAATTTTGTAATCCTTTTTCTTGCTAATCGAAGCCGATAGATATTTGACATGAATAATCACAGTACCGTTAGGTTTAATCCTACCTTCCCTTGGCTTCAATTCTATCTCTTGATGTTCACAGCACACTTTGAAATTAAGGGGCGCCAAGCTTTGGGAATGCAAGTATAAAGAGTCTTCGCTTTTGTACGGAAGTATAAAAAATATCGTAGTGGGCGAGACGCGGCAATTTTGAGCGCTGGTTTTGTTAAATATTACAGTATTGTCTTGGCAAAGCGACTGGTACATAACCGTTTCGTCCGATAGCTGTTGAATAATGGTTTGTTCCAAGTCTCTTTCGAGCGTCAACATGACTTGATAGTGTTTTAAGTACTTGATGAGATCGTGTATGTGTTCCGGTGGCTCTTTGTATTTAAAGAGATCGACCGGGATGCATTCTCCGTCGATTGGTTCTTTGAGTATATTCGCTACGGCAGGTATTTCGCAGCCGTTTTGCGCGCAAGTCTCGCAAATTTTTCTCATCCTCCCTCTATCGGCTTCCGATCCGAATATAACATTCAAACTGCCCAAATCGATGATGGAACTTTGCACGGATTGATTCAGCGATTTGAAATCGTCGTTCGAAGGCTTGTAGTTTATCGTAATCGTCTTCTTCTCTTCGGGCAATAGCACAAAGAAGCTCGGATTGACGCTTAAATTCGATTTCAGCGAGTTTATCGATATGTGTATGAACACCGGTAAGTTTCCGTTGTTTTTTGCGAAAAAATTCGACGTGACGACGCTTTTATTGTCCAATTTCCCGATGGAGTGCACGAATTTGCAGGCGTTGTAGAGAGTTAAATTCTGAAAGTCCACTTTCACCAATCCACCGTACCCGAACAATTTGACGCACTGCTTTTTAGTTTGGATAAATTGGGGATGTAACGAGGTGAAATACAATTCGCCCAAAGCCGCTCCGATTTCCTTCGGAATGAATGATACTATGACGGATTTCGATTCGTGCGCGTGCAGCGACATTTTCATGCTGTTCAAAGGCTCGCTATCGTTGCTGCAGTCTTTTCTGAGTCTGAATTGTCGATTTTGCATGCTCAGCTGCAAGTGGAGCTTCTTGGAGGATCTGTTTCTGATCACGAATTCCTTGGTAACGCTTTTGCCGAGTTTAACGCAACCCCAAACTACGTTGCATTTCGACGTTTCTAAAGGTAGTTTATCGTTGGGTAAGGAAGTCATCGCGCTCGAAGCTCTCGAAGAAGGCCTCGAGGAAATATCTAATGTGTTTTTCGAATTGGTGTCTCTCGTGGGCACGTCGGAAGCTGATAGTGAAGTATCCGAAGGTAGTCTTAATTCCACAGATCGTTTACTTTGTAGGGTACTCGAAGAATCGCCGGAAGAACTCGAAATTGCATCGATGTTTTCTTTATTTTCGCTACGATCGTTAGAAGTAGGTTGATTCTTATTGGACGTTTCCACCATTTTATGCAATTTATCGAGTATAGTTTGCACGGAGTCATCTGAAGCTACTAATTTTGCAATAGTTGTTGCAGTCAGACTTTTTTTACTATTATCACTTTCTATCACAGGCAGCTCCTTTAGTGATTCCCTGGTGACATCCGCGCTAGCATCACTAGTTTTAAAAAAAGAATTTAAATTGTTACAATTGTTTCTAAAATAACCACCGATCGATAACTCTTCAGCTACACTCGTTTGAGTAAAGTCCTTCTCATTGTAATCCTTGTTACAGGGTAGTTCGTATTTCTCCAGCCAGGATAATTCGTCGGCCAATAGGGCGCTGGCGGCTTCTTCTCCGGGTATGAATCCTTCGTCTAAAGAGAAAGATCTAATGTTCGAGCTGTTGCTCCTCAATGCCTTGTGAACATCGCTAACGACATCATCGATATTCACGCTCATGTCGCCTAGCTTGCGCGAAATCTGAGCAAACGAGCTGTGCAAAAGGGAATTCGAGGAACGAGGCGTAGACGAGTAATTCGGTGATAGCAAATCACTTTCGCTGATTGTACTTTCGTTAGGAAGGGATATTTGGCTGTCCATGTGGCTTAAGTTAGGTTTGAGGTATTTCAATAAGCAGTCATCTTGCGTGCTCGTGTGTTGATTGGAGTTGTTGTCGTTGCGTTTCATCGTGGAGTAGATTTTCGGTTCGAAATTGTCAACGTTCATCGTTTACCTGCAAATAAATAAATAATCTTCGTATATTTTAATAGAATATGTGCCTCAGTAAGTAGTAGACGGGTTAAATTTTTATATACTTCTCTTACGGAGGTTGAAAAATGTTGAGAAAGTGAATAAATCAACAAATTTGCACAAAAACTGACAGGTGTATTTCGAGTGATAAAAAATAACCAAACTTAGCGGCGTTTTGACAAAATAAGATATTAAATTGAATAATAATAGTACTTACGTTTTAAATGATATCACATAAGCTAGTACATATCTACAATATTTAACAGATAATAGAAAATGAATGAGCGTATTTCATTTTTCGAATCAACGGTCAAACAAAAACGAAAATACGTCAATGTCAACAACCGTCAAGTGTCAATGACAAAAAACAGTACTACCAACATTATATGTTCGAAACCAGTTTTGCGGTAGCTGTAGAACAACAACAGTAGAAACCACTTTTGTCAAAAAAAGAAGATATTCCTTTGTTTATTTTTTTATTATTGATATTTATTTTGTTCAAAAACAGGATTTTTAAACGGTCTGATGAACCCAAATTTCTATTTGCATAAACAAAGTATTATTATAGAATGTTACCATTCGGATACCAATGAATTTAAAATAGTTCATATAAAAAAAAGGACGTGACCGAGAGAGGATCAAGGGGCAAAGGGGATCGTCGGTGACCTCTTGCAACTTGTAAATAAATACATACGATTACGATTAACGATATGAATCTGAAATCGAAGTAGAAACGCTTGAAACTTGAAATCCACCCATCGCCTTCCCCACTCTCCCTAACCTACGTCGTATATAAACGATTTCACATCGCTTTCCGTGTATTTTTGTTGTATTATCAAGTACACAAATTCGTGCGGAGACCGATTACAAATATATCTCTAAAATGGCTACGAGAGACCGAGCAACCAACCAATTGAATGAATACAAAAAGAAGAACCAAGCAGTAAGTATTTCACTATTTTATAAATTACAAGTTAATGATAAACATGCGAATATGCGCTTATTAAGAATTAAATAAAGGCGTGTTTGTTTGAGTTTATTTAATAAGCCGGTAGTTGTTTGTTGTTGCGTATTTGTTTAGTAAATTATTATAAATAATGAGTCGGTTAATGTGCAAAGCATGACTTGATATAAATACCTACCTAAAGTTATTACAACGTAAGGCAAAGTAGAAAATTATGATAATTAATTCTCATTCAATCAAGATTTCAAAGTTCAATTTGATAATAGAAACAACTTAAAAAACCTGCATGGAAACTTTTATAAATCTAAATTTATATCACTTGTATAAAACTAAACAATATGTTCATAATTTTTTATTAATTTTACCCAAATACACCGTACGTGTACTAAAGTGCATTTTTATTTATTAAAGTGGGTCATGGGTTCGATCCAGTTATAAATTTACTTTCAAAACTTTAACAGGTTGCTTAAAAATTTCTGGTTCATGGCTTAATAATACTGATTAAGTTAATTATCCAGTATTATATAATAAAAAATTAGCGCCGGATTATCGATAAATATACCTATTATAAATATCTCTTCTTATTTCCTCCGCTAAATGCAATAATTCGATTACAACAATGTGCAAGTCATATAAATAAACGATAAATATTGTGTAAATATGTTGGTAAATATAATAATATCATATACTATTTTTACTTTATTGTTATTTTATGGAATATATCCAAATAACAATAAAGATAAGGAAAAGAAATTATTCTTTATAAAAAGTTAACAAACCACATAAAATATACTCTTCTAATCAAATTAGAAGCCAAAAATATTTAAAAATAACTAAATTCGTTGTAATACAGGAAAAGTCCCAATGAAAAGTAGCCCATTTAATCAGCTTATAACTTTTTAAACGCCTAATCATTAAAACATGCGGTTTTTGCAGATATGTTTTATTTTGTTAGAAGCTTTGTTTAATAACACAGAAATTACTTATTACCAATACATGGGATTTTATGAAAATCTCCTCATTTATATTCTCAGTAACCAAATTTTATTAAATAAAACACCCCGTATATGTAGAAGTATTCTGAAAGATACATTATTCTACTTTTCAAAAATGTATTATTTGTACATGTTATACTACAAAAGGTGCCCCATTTGATAAAATTTGGTTAATGTGAATTGAAAAGAGGGGATTTTCATAAAACACCCGGTAGAAAATTTGATTAAATGGGTTATTTTTCATTGGGAAAGCCTGTATATTGACTTTTCAATTTGCATATAGATTTGTTTTAGTCACAAATTTTATTATTTCTGCAAGTCATATTCATTTGCATTTTCAATTAGTTTTTCCATCAAAAGTTATGTAACTTAAACAATTTGAACAAACTTAATTAACAGCGCTTATTAACATTATTACATACTCTAAAAGAGTATTTTAACATTATTAAATTAGTTATTGTTTACTAATACAATTGTGTAAGATTGCAATAAAGCGCTTGGATTTTGAGTTTTTTTCGGAATGATAATTTAAATGCAACCTTGAACTTGCCATTATTTAGCGATAATTTAATGTAACTTTCCATAATCAGCTACATTTAATCAAAAACTGATAAGTGTTTTTAAGTTTGCTATCAAAATTAATAGTTAAAAATAAACAGCTCTCTGCGAGCAGAAGGTCAATTAATCCCATTACAATTATATTAATAATTTTCTAATAAACAAACTGGATGTTTTGAACTGAACAATCCTTTTCTTACCTCATTATTCTCCTCCAGGCCGACTCAGTAACCACGAGTTTCGGCAACCCGATCGGAGAAGGCGCCGCCTCCCTCACGGTAGGCGTCAAAGGCCCCATTCTGTTGCAAGATCAAATCTTCGTAGATGAATTGGCCCATTTCGACAGAGAAAGGATACCCGAAAGAGTCGTGCACGCCAAAGGCGCCGGAGCTTTCGGCTACTTCGAAGTCACCAATGACATCACCAAGTGAGTCGAACAGCCACTCGTCTAAATTCATATAATATAAGATTCGTTTTATAGGTACACGGCTGCGAAAGTATTTTCGCAAATCGGCAAGAAAACCCCCATAGGAGTGCGTTTCTCGACCGTGGGAGGCGAGTCCGGCTCAGCCGATACAGTGAGAGATCCCAGAGGATTCGCCGTGAAATTCTACACCGAAGACGGCATTTGGGACTTGGTGGGAAACAACACGCCGATCTTCTTCATCAGAGATCCGATTTTCTTCCCCAGCTTCATTCACACGCAGAAGAGGAACCCGCAAACCCACCTCAAGGATCCCGACATGTTCTGGGACTTCATGTCTTTGAGGCCCGAAACGATGCACCAGCTGTTGTTCTTGTTCGCCGATAGAGGAATTCCCGACGGGTACAGAGGCATGAACGGGTACGGCTCGCACACTTTCAAACTGGTCAACAAAGACGGGCAGGTCCACTTCTGCAAGTTCCACTACAAGACCGACCAAGGAATCAAGAACTTGGACGTCGCCAAGGCCGATGTGCTGGCTGGCAGCGATCCGGATTACAGCATCAGAGACTTGTACAACGCCATCGCCGACGGCAACTACCCCACTTGGACGTTCTACGTGCAAGTGATGACTCCGCAACAGGCGCAAAATTCACCGTTCGATCCCTTCGACCTGACCAAAGTGTGGCCGCACAACCAGTACCCGCTGATCAAAGTCGGCAAGATGGTGTTGAACAGAAATCCCGAGAACTACTTCCACGAAGTCGAACAGATCGCCTTCAGTCCCGCGCACATGGTGCCCGGAATCGAACCGTCCCAGGACAGGATGTTGCAAGGTCGTTTGTTCTCCTATTCGGACACCCACCGACACCGATTGGGCCCCAATTATCTGCAGTTGCCGGTCAATTGCCCGTTCCAAGTGCGCAACTACCAAAGGGACGGTCCGATGAACTACAAAAACCAAGGGGCCGCTCCTAACTACTTCCCCAACAGCTTCGGCGGACCCGACTGTGACGAGGTGGCTAAAGTTTTGGAACCTAAATTTACGGTATCCGGAGAAGTTTACAGGTATACCTATCTATTTTACTCAAGATAATTATTTTAAACTAATCGTTTTTTATGTTACAGATACGACACCTCTGATTCTGATAACTTCTCGCAAGCTAAAGTGTTCGTTACGAAGACTTTGAGCAAGGATGCGGTCGATAGATTGGTTTCGAACCTTGTTGGTCATCTATCCGGAGCGTCCGATTTCATCCAGGAAAGGCAAGTCAAACATTTCAGAGCCGTGGACAAAGCTTTCGGCGATAGAATTGCTCAAGGATTGAACACTCTTAAGCGCTCAAAGGCTAATTTGTAATTTTATGCTCGGTGGGTTTTTACTTCACGAGGTGTTTGTTTTCTTTATACTGAAATATACGATTTAATTTTGTTACCTTAGTATTGGTTTTTATACTCCCTAATCGGTGATATAAGAGGAAATTAAAAAAAAAACTATGTTTTAATTATTCATAACAAATTACCAACTTTGAGATATCTACTCTTTTTGGGGCTGTTGGTACAATTTGAAATCCATAGGTTTGTCCAATCCCATGATCCTAGCGTAATGATGGGGATCATCGAAAAACTGGGGATCCATAAACAATGGCCTTCCTTTCGCGAGTAATGTGGTAAACATTCCAGGTATATCCGGTACCACAACTTCGTTAACTGCAAATTCAGTCTGAAACATAATTTTACTTTACTCCCCATTAATTCATTTTGTTTAAATCTTTTACCTGTTTCCTCATGCAGAGGAAATTTATGGTGCTCGCCACGTAAGAGTCCGTAGCTTCTTTGTATTCCAAGTGAGTAACGTATTTTCTCGTGATGAAATGCAGGAGAAGAGGCGTTACGACTGTGAAAAATCCAACGAATGCATATGTTGCTGCTATCACTGAAGCGCTACCGCTTTGCACTATTCCATTGTACAAAAAAGGCTGAGCTATAACGCCCACTACACTCGAAGACAACGAAAATATCTAAAACAGAAATAACTTAAATACGGTTTTAATACAATCGTTAAGTCACTAGTACCTTTACAGCTTTTATTTGCGGTGTCAAGACGCCGTAATAGACGTGCTTTAACTGGTTTTTGGTATCGGTCGAGTACAATCTTACGTCTAACTTATTACTATTACATAAATAAAAGGACCTGCTACACGAGTTGCGAAACAATGAGGTGTGTATGAAGCAGTTGTGTTGTGAATTAACTAAGTTTTTCAGCAACGGCGTAATACTTCTGCACACGTTCAACGACATTATTTCTGTTAAATATAAATATCAAAATTTTCAAATAATAAATATGACATAACCTCACTTTAATGACAATTGTGACATTGACGTAACTGACATACTGAAATGGTTAAATATGCGATGTTGCCAGATTGTTTATCAAGTAGGACTTGTATAGTGTTGACATTCAGACAACGTAACTAAAAAGAAGAAGATTCATCAAAATTTCCCAATATTAGTTGAATTTCAACTAATTTCAGAATAAATTAATCACGAAGGTTTTATTATATTAATAACAATCTGAATTTTCTGTTAAAGCAAAACACAATAACAACCACCAATATAGCTTGTAAATATACGTTTCGTATGCGTGTGTTATAATTAAACAGAAAAATCAGGGATGCGTGAACGTCGGTGCAGCAGCTCCAGAGAGCTCTGGGTGGCTGTTCGCGATCCTCCGGTGGAAACGTGGAAGGAAAGAATCGTCAGAAGCGGCCAGTAAAGCCGTCGAATTTCGAACCAACGGCTCAGTTTAACTGTTAGCGCATTTAGAATAGCATGCGCTCGTGAGCGTTCCCAACGCGTTTTCGCGCAAAAATGACGGTATTTTTTACCTATTTGTTTTTCCTCGGATTGAGCCAATTGTGTAAGTACAAATTGCTTCTATATTCATTTAATCAACAACGGAGATTTTTGGACGCTTTGGTAATTATTATTAACAAGTATTCTTATTTTTTATTAATAAACAATTGATAATAAATATTATAGTGTCAATAGTATAGTGTCAATAAATATTATTGACACTTGTATGGAAAAAAGCACCTTAATTTATTTTGTTTTAATTATTTGTTATATTTTGTGAGAGTAAAGTTAAATCATTTTGTATTGCTAGATGTGATTTTAATAATAGGTTCTCTGCATAACAGTATTCGATGCTTTTCTGGTTTGTGTTTAGTTCACCGGAGTCACGACTTTGTGCGTAGTCCGGAAAAATATTTGCAAGTTCTCTTCTAGCTACATAAAATATAGTGCAATAATTACAAAAATCTTAACGACCTTGTTCATAAAAAATAATTAAATAAGGACTAGAGATTTTTCAGAAGATTAACTAATTATGCGTCTACTTTAGTGCAGACTTAAAATTGCATTTTTATGCGTTCTAATGAAATTCATTAACACATGTGCTAGTATAAAATCGTACATTAAAGCAAATTGCACAGCGAGAGCTATAAAATCTTACCATTACGGCATTCATAAAGTTTTCGCATACATAATATGTGTTCAAATCTATTCAGAGTTCCCCAAAGTTTTCCACAATAAAACAACGATTTCAAAGACTGATTTCAATGTTATATTATTGAAAACTTCATCCCTGGTCGGCGGATTAAATTAGCTAACAGTTGACGAGAAAACCGCATTTCTAAAAAGCAATAAAAATTAGAATACATTCGCGATGTCGGTCGACCATATGCTTGCGGAAAACTCATTTGGTATTAAGATTATTTATTCGCAAATCCCGATGCCTACGTGTTTTAAAAATACATCGGGCTCGTAAATTACTGTAAGCGAAGAAAGTTGATGTACTAACGACAATAAATTGTCCCTCGAGTGTGTTGGTCGTGCTAAAATTATTATTTTTCGTGTTTTTTTTTTCAAAGTAAATTCCACCTACCTTTATGTTGTCAGTTACAAACATTTTATACAAAACTTAGTCCATTTCAAACGCCACTCGTACACTATCTAAAATTGAAACAAATTTTCGTGTTTGTATTTATGCGGATTTTCATATCGATAAAAGCGGAATTTTTTTCCTAAAAATAATAACGCCGTGGGCCGTTCTTCCACATCGTTTTGGTACATATATCATCCTGAATTAACTTTATTTTTAGCGTCGAAAAAATGGAGGAAATTATCTAATTTTAAGTGGCCATTCTGTTTTCGTGACCGTAAAAACGAAGAAACTCGTCCGGGTTTTACGGTTTCCAACGGCTCGTAAAGCATTCGAAGCGCACCTGTCGCCGATTTTCCTATAAAAAGAATCGCCCTAAAATACACCCGCGAGGATCAGTTTGTTATTCGACTGCATTTCCTATTGATTGCCCATCGAATTCAGATCCTTCTCGGTCGATTTGTGGTAGAAATAAATACTGTTTACCATCGATACTTTCTTGCGGGCCACAAGCGAGTGTTAATGCACCGGAGCTCGATAATTACTTATTGTAACTCAATTACTCATCCGATACACTCCGGTTAATTACGTACATTTTTCGACGCGTTCCGAAAGAGTAAGAAGCTTTTCCCAACCAAACTTTACTCTAATCACAATTGTAGAGGTAATAACTGATAATTATTCACTCAAGAATACTTTTCTACACTCTGTATCTTTGCACATTTTTGAAGTGACTAGTCAACCTAATGTAATACACCTTCAATATTTTTTTACAAACGCGTTGTATCGAAATTATGAAATGTAATATAAGAATTAGATGTTTTTTTTTGATTAAATAACGCCCTTCCCACGCGCTAATATTTACGATACGACCGTTTATGGGCATTATGAAAAGAATGGGAAATTAAAAATAAATTTCGTTTGAAATTCCGGCGCGTGGGCATCGAAAAACTACAATAGAAAAGACATTAATTGTAATTCAAATGATTTCGGTATTTATTACCAAAAATCATGGTTGGGCGTCTGTAAATGTATACCTCATACTCTCCTTATTTAGCGCCTGGAATATTTTTCAACAACGAGTTAGGCAATATCGCCGAAAATACTATTACCGAAGACATTATTCTATTAGTTGTAGATATATTTATTATTCTCAGGTAATGGTGTCGAACGTAAAGGTCTCAGGGACGTTTTGGATTCGTCCTGCACAGAAGCGGCTCTTCCTAGAATAAAAAATGGCGTTTTCGTGGAAATAAAAACCCAAAAACTTAAAAACCTCAGTAATCCTTACAGGGTGGCTGAATACAAATGCAGTGACGGCTCGAGGAGGCATCTATTCTGCAGCAGAAGGAAATGGATAGGTGGAAAATCGCTGTGTAGAAGTAAATCCATTACATCAAACTCTAACAAATTACATTTTATTACTTATTCAAATATTGTAGATGAAACTACAATGGTGCAATTTCCCGTGTATTTAGGCAAGTGCTCGGAGGATCAGAAAATAAAATGCAAGAATTTTTGCGTTTTGATAAACGGAGAACCCATTTGTAGTTGTCCACCTGGTTCCAAAAGAGTAGACAATCAATGTAAAGGTAAATTACTTATACAGGGTGTTTCATTGGGAAAGGGCAATATTTTAACCCTGTATAGAGGTCACCCAGGGGATTACAAAAAACCCATATACTATGGGTCTTGCGCCCTTTATAACCGAGTTACAGGGTGTTTTTTGAATTTGGCCCATTTCTTTCGACACCTATAACTTTTGAATCACTCAGTATATTTTTTTGATATTTGGCATAGATATTCAATACCTTTAGGACAATTTATTGCCACATTAAAAAATTACAAAATCCAGGTCCGGATTTAGAAAAATTAATAAAATTTGACCGACCCTAAAACAACACCCTATACATCATATTTTTAAAAATTGAATTTAAAATTCAGAAAGAGCATAAAAAATTGAATGTATTCATCAACTTTTTATTTTCCCGCATGCCGTTTTTCTACCAAAATTTAAACGTTAAAAGGTACATTATGAGATTTTTGGTCCATGTAAATTGTAATTGAAGGGATTTTAATTATTTTTTCTTTAATAAAACCAGATTTCATGAAAATTCTTGAAATAGACCTATTGAACTTGAATTAACATTCACATAAACCAATAAAAATTACAAATACAGATCTGCACTTAATAAAATTAAAATGATTTCAATTCATTTAATAATTAATCATTGATTAATCAATGTTTACATTTCTACATGAGAAAATTCTAAACTTAACTATGTAATTTATTAGCTTCTTTACAAAAGATACTAAAAGTACTCCTTTCCACACCACCAAGAGATAGAACACATTTACCTAGTAAGCAATTTTAAAGAATTAAAAAACAATCCCAATGTTCTTAGAAGATTTATTATTTGCAACTTGATTAGGAGAGCTAGATTATGTATCAAACAAAATGGAGAACATTTTGAGCAATTGTTAAAATGACTTTTTTCTGGTGTTTTTTGTTGTTAGTTTGTTAATTATCATTTTGTTATTTATAATTAGTATTAAATTAGTAGATATTAATTATTTGGTTTAAAAACCAAATTTCTTGTTCTTTTGGCTTTAGAGTTGTTTTTTGTTAATTTTTTTGTTTATTTTTCATATTTTTTATTCATTGTTCCATTTTACCAGTTCGTGTGGATTAGCCCTATTGGGGATACCTCATTAGAAAAACGTGCCTTGTGTTCTACCTCTTGGTGTTGTGGAAAAGAATATTTATTCTAGTATCTTTTTTAAAAATCTAGTAAATTACTTAGTTAAGTTTTGAATTTTCTCACGTAGAAATGTAAACATTGAATAATCAATGATTAATTATTAAATGAATTGAAATCATTTTAATTTTATTAAGTGCAGATCTGTATTTGTAATTTTTATTGGTTTATGTGAATGTTAATTCAAGTTCAATAGGTCTATTTCAAGAATTTTCATGAAAGTATTAAGTAAATCTGGTTTTATTAAAGAAAAAATAATTAAAATCCCTTCAATTACAATTTACATGGACTAAAAATCTCATAATGTACCTTTTAACGTTTAAATTTTGGTAGAAAAACGGCATGCGGGAAAATAAAAAGTTGATGAATACATTCAGTTTTTTATGCTCTTTCTGAATTTTAAATTCAATTTTTAAAAATATGATGTATAGGGTGTTGTTTTAGGGTCGGTCAAATTTTATTAATTTTTCTAAATCCGGACCTGGATTTTGTAATTTTTTAATGTGGCAATAAATTGTCCTAAAGGTATTGAATATCTATGCCAAATATCAAAAAAATATACTGAGTGATTCAAAAGTTATAGGTGCCGAAAGAAATGGGCCAAATTCAAAAAACACCCTGTAACTCGGTTATAAAGGGCGCAAGACCCATAGTATATGGGTTTTTTGTAATCCCCTGGGTGACCTTTATACAGGGTTAAAATATTGCCCTTTCCCAATGAAACACCCTGTATAATCCTTATAGTCAGTAAAATAAATCAAATATTTCAAGATATAAAATCCGAAGACCGCATGCAAGCTGATGCACCAGATGAATACGATGATGATGAATACGATGATGACTATGATGATGATGATGATGTTGAAGACAATCAAATAAACGAAGGATCCACAAAACCAGTCAAGGATATTAGTAAAAATCGCAATGAAACCTACGATGAAACTAGCGATTACGATGAAGACTACGATGAGGACTACGATTACGTGGAAAAGAAACTAAACACAAACAAAACGATTCTACCGAGTAAAGAAGCGGGTACAGAAGATACAAATAACGCTAATAAACCTCACATTTCGATGGAAACGATAAAACAGATCATCGATGAAATCCGTAGAAACAGCAATTCGAGCGACAATTCAATCGTTATCGATTACGATGAATACGACTACGATGAAACTACAACAAAAACTCCGTTCACAAGCACCAAAAAAATTGACGAAATTAACAAAAATGTTAACGAAGTAATAGAGAAAACTGTGTACCACAATAACCAACCAAACGAAGAAGATTACATTGATAACACAACAGAAAACGAAAAAATTACTACTACACTACCAGCTCCCTCTACAACACCAATTCCTTTCACAAACAACGACGATATATCCAATAATCTATCACCTATAAATAACTTCGATACGAACCCGGATTCCCTTGACAAAATAGACTCAACAGATCCCTTTATAATCGATTTAATGACCACCATGACTGCAACAGATGATTTCCAAACCAGTACAAGAAAAATCGACGATAGAATCACAACTGATGATAACACACCGACCACAACAGAAACTTACAACGATTACGACACAGACATCGAGAACATAGACAGACAAGAGAACAAATGCGAAACCGGGTACACCATGAACAAAAGAGGAGAATGCGTAGGTAAATAACCCTTCATATTACCAACAAACCGAAGAGACATTCCGTTTAAACCCGATTTCAGACATCGACGAATGCCAGCCGGAGACCAACCCGTGCTCGGACATCTGCGAGAACACGGCGGGCAGCTACACGTGCGCCTGTCCGGCGGGCTTCCGCCTCAACAGCGCCGATCCGCACACCTGCCAGGACGTGGACGAGTGCGAGGCGCGCCCCTGCTCGCACCTCTGCCGCAACACGCCCGGATCCTTCCGCTGCGACTGCCCCGAAGGACTGACGCTCAGCGACCGGCAGTGCCTCAACCGGACTTGCTCCCAGGGCAGGACGAGGATCAACGGCGTCGTGCAGTGCACCTGCGATCGAGGATTCGTCCTTGGTAAATGCTAGGAAGGATCTGTTTTGTTTAAACGTTGAATTTATATTAAAGAAGGGACTTAGTTTTAGTAGAATAGTACCAGTAGGTAGAAGCAGTTGAGTACACTTCTAGGTAGAGGTAGGCTTACTGGTAGTCTTCTATTCTAGTTTCTTGTACCAAAATGATAGTAGTAGAGTGGCGTGCTTAAATTGGGAATTAATTGTTATTGCAGGAGCGGACGGTCGTTCCTGCGAGGATATCGACGAGTGCGTTTTGGAGCAAAATTGCGATCACAGTTGCAGGAATGTTATCGGTTCGTACGTGTGCGGTTGCAGGGAAGGTTATAAACTGGAAAGGGAGCGATATTGCGTTGATATCGATGAATGCGCAGGTACTTATACCAATTAGCTTCGCTAGAGAGTAGAGTAGATTGAGATTGGAGTATTTTTGGCTTTTCCAGGTCTCAGTCACGGTTGCGACCAATCGTGCGAGAACACCCCGGGCAGTTACAAATGCAAATGCGACGAGGGATTCGAGTTTGCCAACGGAAAGGACGTTTGCGTGGACATAGACGAATGCGATCCGGCCAGAGACCTGGCCGAATGCAACCAAATTTGCATCAACTATCGCGGTGAGCATCAAAACTTTTATTAACGAACGTTTATTGAACAGTACCCGTGCAGGTGGCTACGAATGCGCCTGCCACAGCGGCTTCAAACTGTCCCCGGACGACGCGACTTGCGAAGACATCGACGAATGCCGAACGGACAACGCCAATTGCTCGCACGTCTGCGAGAATTCGCGCGGCTCGTACGCCTGCAAGTGCGAGGAAAACTACGTGTTGGAGGCGGACAATCACACCTGCAGGATCGTCGATCCTTGCTTGGAGGAAAACGGGGGTTGCTCGCACGAATGCACCAACAGCAACGGCTTGGCGGTCTGCGGTTGTCCCAAGGGGTACGTCCTGGAGGACAAGGATTGCTATTTGCACGACGCGTGCTTGACGAACAACGGCGGTTGTTCGCACGTTTGCGTCAACGCGAACAACGAGGCGCGCTGCGAGTGTCCCGACAACTACGAGCTCGTCAATCGAACCAGCTGCGCTATGATGAACTTGTGCGCTGTGGATAACGGGAATTGCTCGCACTTTTGCGAGTTTCTCGGCGATGGAGTCAACTGCACTTGTCCCGAATTATTCGTGCTGCGAAACGAGACGCATTGCGTAGAAGAAAATCCTTGTTTGAGAGACAACGGCGGTTGCTCGCACGTTTGTACAACAGATGAAGATTACAACGTTGTATGTTCATGTCCAGATCAATTCTATCTGGTTAATTCCACGACGTGCGAGTCGCTGGATCCGTGCTCGAGGAACAACGGTGATTGTTCGCACATTTGCGATGCTAGTAACGCGAGGATTTGTTCCTGTCCTGCCGGTTTCCGGCTGAAAAACGACACGCACTGCGAGCAGTTCAATCCCTGCTCGGTGAACAACGGCGGATGTTCGGACATTTGCGAGAACGTTTTCGGCAATGTGAAATGCTCGTGTCCCTTTAATTACCGATTAGATAACAACAATAATTGCGTGGTTGTCGATCCTTGTTACGAGAACAACGGGGGATGTTCGCATTTCTGCGAGTATTTGGACGAAGAGGTATGAATACATAGAAAACCGTTTCGTGATTCAAACCAATTCGAATTTACAGATAATTTGCTCGTGTCCCGATAGACACGATTTGATAAACGAAACGACCTGCGTGAGGATCAACGCTTGCCTAACAAACAACGGTGGTTGTTCACACGGTTGTTCCGTCGACAACAAAAACAACGCGCGATGTTCGTGTCCCAAAGGCTACGAATTGTCGGAGAGAACGTGCGTGCCCGTCAACGTTTGCAACCAGAACAACGGCGGTTGTTCGCACATTTGCAGCAGCGTCGAAGCCAGAGTCGTTTGCAAATGTCCTCCAGGTGAACAACTTTTTAATCTAGAATTTCTTATTAAGCAACTTATTACTTGTAGGTTACGAATTGCTCCAAAAAACCTGCATCAAAACTAACCCTTGCTCGGTTAACAACGGGGGTTGTTCGCACGTTTGCAATAACCGCGACGGTGAGGCAGTTTGTTCCTGCCCGCCAGGTCACAAATTGCTCGGGAAAATTTGCATGGATGAAGACCCTTGCTCTGCAAACAACGGAGGTACTCTACAATTATCCTACTCTTAATTTCACCCTCTTTCAATCAATTATATTACAGGTTGTTCTCACTACTGTCGCAACAACGGAGGTAAGAGAGAGTGTTCTTGCCCAGCGGGATACGTCCTGCGACCAAACAAGCGGATTTGCAAGGAAGTGAACGAATGCAGGGTGAACAGAGGAGGTTGTTCGCACGGTTGTAAAAACGTGCCGGGCTCGTTTCAATGCACGTGCCCTTTAGGGTTGCGATTGGACCCGGCAAAGAACAAAACCTGCACGGACGTGGACGAGTGCTTGGAGAACAACGGCGGGTGCGAGATGATCTGCAGGAATTTCAAGGGAGGATTCAAGTGCGACTGTCCCGAGGGATATTTACTGCAGGTAACTTCACAGAAAGAAGTCTAACGGTGTCGAATCACATGAACTTGGCGGCCAAATTGACCCTACAGTAGTGTAATTGTTTCTAGAGGGATAAAAGATCGTGTAGAATGTCCAAAACAGCGCTTTGTCACATACCTGTAGCTCCTCTAAACGGAGTAATAAGATGCTGGGAGGATAATGATGAATCATCCTTCGTACCCACTGGCACAAAGTGCAACATTTGGTGTAACGAGGGGTACAAACTCAAAGGCGATTCTAAAATAACCTGCAACGAATCCGGTAGCTGGGAGGGACAGGAGCCTCGTTGTTTAGGTAACTGCTGGTAAGGATAATAATCGGGTAGATAGCAATGTTGATTCGATTTTAGTGGCTACTTGCCCCAAGCTTCCTTCGATCCAAAACGGCTGGTACCTACCGGGAGTGTGCAACTCGGGCAGGACTTACATAGGGGAATCCTGCAGCGTTTATTGCAGGAAAGGTTTCGCCATTCGCGAGGACGTGCAGAAATTCACCTGCGATTCGAATATGAATTGGAAGCCTTTAGTTAGACCCGAAATGTTGTACAACGCTTGCACTAGAGGTAAACAAACGGATATTTAAGCGCATGTAGTGGATTAAAATTGTTCAATTTTTAGTGCCTGATAATGTAGATATTAAGTGCCCCGAAAACGGTCAAATAGACTTCGTTTTGCCTAAAGGGCAGAGATACATGTTCACCAAAATTCCCAGACCTGAAACCAACGTCGATTGGAGGTAAGTACCGCTAAATTAATCTTCTAGACAGCAAATTTATAAGGGGTGTTATTCCAGTTTCGTGACGTCCCAACCCTCTTGGGGTATTGGACTGGAGACTACGTTACCAGCGGGTAGAACAGAGGTGCGTTTTACAGCGGCATCACCGACGGATTTCAACAGCACCTCTTCTTGCCGGGTGATCATTAATGTATTGGACAAGGAAGCCCCGTACTCGATGGGATGCCCGCAGAATATCGAAAGGCGATTGAATCAAGGGGAAACCACTCAACACGTTTACTGGAAAGAGCCCAGTTTCTACGATAACGTGGGGGTTGTGAACGTATACAAGACGAGGGTAATGTACACAAAATTCGCGGGATTTGAATGATTAATGGATGATTTTTTTAGGAACCTGGTAGTGAGTTTGGTTCGGGGTTGCATCACATCACGTACGTGGCTAGCGATGAAGCAGGGAATAGGGCGTTTTGCCATTTTAGTATAGACGTTAGAGGTATTGATTTTATTCCAGTTAAATCGTAATCTATAACTTTGAATGTTGTAGATGATTTGGACAATAATGTACAATCGAATTCTATTGAACAGTACTCGTCGGCTACTTACACCAGCCACAGAACGGCAGGGAAATATCGAGCTGTTCTAATTTGCCCTAATAACGCGGAGAATTCTAACAAGTATCATGTAAGTATCATCGTTAAATTCTTGTTCAATTCGCTTATTAGTACGTTTTAGTATACTAATGGAAATGAAGGGGGTTGTTACTGGAGACATATGAAAGTAACGAATCCCATTGAATCGCAAATTCCGAGGATATATTCGGAGAGTCGCCTTCCAGCAGGAGTTAGGCACAACAGGAGGATCCTCTTCAAATGGAGCCGATAAAATTAACGTTTCTAATGTTTCAACTACCAAATTACGCCATAATTACGATTCTTTTTAGACACCTACATGTAGACATTTTATAAATGTTACCATTTGTTTATGAATTTTATTTTGTATCGAGTTTGAATTAAAAAAATACCTATATAAAAGTAGTTTTTTGAGGTAAATAGTAACACAAAATGGAGACAAAAATATTTTAATTGCAAGCAAAAATGACTATAATAAAAACTCGACTAATCTCAAAACAAAAAGATCATTGAAAGACAGTCGGCATAAAATTTATCTAAAAATACAATTTTTTTAAGCAATCTCATAAGAGAAAATAAACACAAACCAAAATTCGGTAAACGATTTTAAATTCACAATTAGCGGAAGGCACTGGTTTAACTTTGCGACCCCTAAATTTTGGTTTACTTCACAGAATTACAATAATTAGTCTAGTCTTCTAAAATAATTAAATTGTCTTTTGTAAACGAAAGGAACAACCTCAAAAAGGATGGATACGAAGATATAATCACTGAGATCACCGGCAGTTTTCGTAGACAATACTTACAAGATTCAACTGATATATTATACTCTTACGAATTTTTTTCGTAAATATTCAATTCCATAACGTAATAGATCCTAATTAATTACGGATACATGGTTGATGAAAATGTATATAAATGCATTATGTATAGATTTTTTAAAAAATAATTAACTTATACGTTCAGTACCTTAATAGCCAAGAGGCAAGAAATACACGCCTAAAATAAATTGACTAAACACTAATTTACATAAGGAAAACGAAGTTTTTCCAGATTTCGATGAGAGAATGTGAGAGATTTTTGAGCAAAATTACGATTACTTAATAGTAAGTACAAAAAGACAAAATTCGTTGGTAACAAAATTGAGCGAAAAAAAAAATCTGAAAAATCGACGTTAAATTAACAAAACAACTTAATATACTAATATTTGTAGATATAAAATATAGCACTCGCACAACTCAGAGAGCATTTAAAAATCACAAAATTGTGATGTATTAAAAAAATAAAAAAAATCATTCAATTTGTACAAAAAAAAACAAACTAAAAATCGCTCTCCTAACACCACAAACAAAAAAAACTCATTGCTTTACATTGAACTGGATTAATCTGGTCAACATGCTCATTATGCACGGTATTTGCTTCTGACGATGCATCGTAGGATCAGTTGGCACGTTACTTTCGAAATGAATAGCCACACGCTGAGAGACAAACGTCAACAGAGTCACTAGATCCATTTTATAGGCATTTTCCGTCAATTCTTTGACTAGTGACTGTACGAACCAGGAACCATAGGTCGTATTCCTCCAGGAATAATACCCTAAAAAAATAATATTCCATAAAAACACAATATTTTGTCACGTCTAGGGTGTAATGGGTCCTACCCTGTGCTTCATTTAAGTCGGGGGGTATAGTTTTACCTTCCAATAGTGCTTCAAAGGGAGTAACTGGAAGTAGTAGATAACAATAACAACTTTATTCACTTACACATATTCTTCTGATAACACTAATGCTACTCCCTATATCCTCTACCAGAGTCCCTGATTCCCTTAGAGTCATCCAACTGACTCTATTGGAGCTCATCAGTTCCCTTACTGGGGCTCCCCTGGGTCTAAAACCCATGGCTTGTAAAGCAGTTTTCCGGGGACACCCTTTCGTGGAAATATTGGAGAAAATTTCCTCAAATTATGTTAGTACAAAAGTACTGCGTTTCATAATAAATTCTAATAAAATAGGAGGAAATGGTGAGCGATAAGGATATGTTTCTAACGCGAAGGCAATATGAACAAATGTGAAAGTTGATAAGACTCATGAACGTGCCGAAAAACGTAAATTATTGATTCCAATAACAAAGGAAAAATTTGTAAATATCTTATCTCTTTATATCATAATGAACAGAAAAATAAATTAAGGACAAAACTGCAATGTTTCGTTCGAGAACTTTTTATCGATTCATAGATAACCCATTTATTAATAGAACATAAGTCACATCCATTTAATTCTTTATACATATTTTTCGTAATATACCTAAAGGAATAAATAATCCAAGATCGCGGATAATCAATGCTAATAAAGACTTTTTATGCCAATTGGATAAAAAATATCAATATGTAGATAAGATATTAAATCAATATATTTGATTTCCTGCAGTTTTTTTAGGGTGTAAATTTTTTCATACATAAAATATCCTTACCTTTATAAGTCGAGTAAACGACGAGGAAATCAGCCTGCGCAGGAATTTTATAATTACTGTGAATCTCTCCGTCGGTCTCTGTACGACTCAAGGTTACTCCCTTATCTAGTTTATCTCCCTGGCAAGCTTGCAGGAAAAATATTTTTGGTTTGCCTAGAAACAAGGATATTTGATAGGCTATTTATACATTTTAACAAGTACGAACCTGCAAGAGTGGGACAGAGATCCGCTCTGAATAAAGACCACAAAGTATCAGGTACATACGACCTGTCTTTCGCGTATATTATTCCGCATTCTCCGTGCGATAGGACTGTTATTAGAAGACAATCACGATCGGAATGGTCCTCTTGGGCAGCTTTAATTATAAAAAATGTATTAATTGAATTTGTGCCTATAATTAATTACTTACTTCTTCTAATGCGGTCTTCGACTTCGTAGGCCGTTAGGTCCTTGTAAACGTGCACATCGAAGTGCAAATTAGATAGGCAGCCTTTGAGTTGTTTGCAATCAGCCTCGGTGCCCGCTCTCGATTTTAAATTGCCACATTCGAAGTTTTCGTGGTTGAAAATTATGGCTAGACCTCTTTTCCTGTGGTTCATGTTGTAGTGCGTGGCGTTCCTTTCCACCGGCATGCGTGCAACAATTTCGCCATCGGGAATCCTGACAAAAATTTATTAAGTAATTTTTCCTTAAAAATTGATGTAAAAAATATTTTTTTTCGTGTTAAGGCCTCAACTGCTTAGGCTATTTGGCCTATGTAAGAATTAATGTGAGCTGTCATTTGGAATTGTCATCATTTGAGAATTCCAAAACCTACTATGCAAAAGTAAAAAAAAATTGACCTACCTACGGGATTAAGATAAGCCTAGCAACAAGTTGTAAAAATATTACGCAAACTAAACGAGATTTATCCTTGACAATGACTAATTTTCGAGAGTTCAATAAACTTTGTTTTATTTTAATAAAAATGTAGTTCAGTAGTGATTTTCTTCTTAAAATTACTGCAAAGTGTCACTTCCAAAACCTACTGTGACAAAACCGAAAAAAACCCGTCCCAAAGTCTACTTGCACTTTTCAAACTCATCAACAAGTTGTTAAAATATTTAGCATATAAACCGAAATTTATCCTTGGCCATGGCTAATTTCGGAGAGTTCATTAGCTCGGTTTCGCGACCCACGTAAGATCGCGTAACGTGATTTGTAGTTTTTTAAAAATCTCACCCTGGCCTTCCGCGTGCATCCCGTTCATCTGGTTTTTCCTTCCTTCCGAAACACTGGCCGTCTTCGGCGTCTACGAAGTTTTCCTCGACCTCTTCCACGCCATTGAAACCGTTTCCCGCTTCGTCTAAACCGTTTGCTCTATCCATCTTCTAAAGATTCATTTAATTCCAAACGCAATACCGCAACAAAGGGATTCGAAAAACACTGTTGTTGATGCTCTTGTCAAAACACACACCTTACTTTCGAAGGTGCTCGTCGGTGGCATTTGTTTTTGTTATTTGTTTTGACCAATGGGAACAAAGAAGTGCGAACCCACTATTTCAACCAATCACAGATCCGATAACTATTTGTCACCAATTGGGAATTTTGTAATCAAACGTTGGTAGCTGAAGTCACTGCTGTCAATTTTTTAACATTTGACATTGACTTTTCTTATTTTGAGGTTATTTTCCTCATGTGTTTTTCTCCTGTTGATAGTGATAGACGTTTTGTTATTTAATACACAAATTTTATAAATTACGAACCTATTTACCATGGCAAAAAGTTTAAGGAGTAAATGGAGAAGGAAAATGCGCGCCGTCAAACGCGAGAGGTACAGTAAAAAAGAGTTGGTGCGTTTGAAGAAAACCCTAGGGATCGAGGATACTGCGGAGGCTTCCTCTTCTAGTAAACCAGACGCCGAAATGTCGGAGATAATCAATTTCACTACCGTTGAGGAAATTAAACAGAAACGAAAGGAAAAAGAAGAGAAAGACATAATGGATGAGAGTACGATAGAAGATATAAAGAAATTCAATCCGAAGACTTTGAGAAACGAAAACGGGGCTTACCCGGTTTGGGTGCATCCCAGGAAGATCAGGAAATGCAAGAAGACTAAGGAAAAGACCAAGAAAAAGTCGAAGGGGAAAGTTAATAAAGTTACGAAAGAATAAATGAAACAATTTGTTGTTATAAACTTAGAATTAAGTACGTTTTGTTACTTATCTTGTAATATATTTAATTTAAGTGTGGGAAATGTTTTATTCTTTATTAACAATTACGAATCTAATATTACAGTTTGGCAGTGTTTAAACCTACAAAATTCGACTTATTAACTAGCTTAAATTGTATCAAAATGGGAGTATATTTGTGGAAAAATGTTTACTCGTTGAAGTAACAATATCACTGGACACAGTACATTAACTAAAAAGATTTACAATATACACATTATTTAATCTAATTTTATATCAGTCGCGTTGTTTTCACATACAAATTTTATTATAAAAGGCACATTTTTTCATTCTATCGTACTTCACCACCAGATCGTCCACTTTCTCGGCTTTCTTCTCGATCGTGTTAAGCTTCGTTTTAAACACGTGCATATCGTTCTTGTAATTTTCCTATAAAAACTTACAACAATTAGAAAAAATGATATTTATTTAAGTAAACTTACCACATCGATTATTTTATTTTTCAAGTCCCGCATGTCTTCGGAAATGATGTCTATGTCTTTGTAGACGTTCCTGAGGTCATCTTGCGACACGTCGTTCTTGTGGCTCTCGTCCATCATCTAAAATAAATCAACATATTTTATTATCATCTACGAGAGTAGGTATTTGAAATAAATTACCGTTTCCAATTTGAGAAGCCTCTTATCCAGCATTTCGAATTCCAAATCCTTCGCTTCGATTCCCCCATCACTCCCATCATCTACAAAGCAATTGTATTTGTACCTACCGATTTATAGTCCTTTCGCAGAAGTTAAGCGCGTTTGTGAATGGACTATACGCTTCATTCGGGCGTTATTTTACCTTCTTTCCTGCACGTTTGGCCGTCTTTCTGCAGCGCAAAGTCCTCCTTGCACTGGCAGGTGTAGCTCCCGGGCGTGTTGTAGCAAATTTGATCGCACGGCTTCTGCTCCCTGCATTCGTCGACGTCTCTTTCGCAGAAACGGCCCTCGAAGCCCGCAGGACACCGGCAGGTTTCGTGCTGCACGCACTCGCCTCCGTTCTCGCAGGCTCTCGAACAACGAGCTGAAAGCGAAAGAGATATTTGCATAGTTAAGTAGGGGGATTCACTTACGGATTTTTAGGTCGTTTTCGCATTGGGGACCGTCGAAGTCTTTGGGGCAGCTGCAGGTGTCTTTTTTGATGCATTTGCCGTTGTTTAGGCAAGGCTTATGGCACACGGCTGAAATGTAATGGAGAAATCCATTGGAAAAAGGAAGAAAATTTATAAATACGTTGTACTTACGAGTAGGTATAGTCAATTCGCATTGTTGGCCTGCGAAGCCCTTGAGACAGGCGCACATTTCCGGTTTGATGCATTTTCCTCCGTTCAAGCAGGGCTTGCTGCAACTTGCTGTTGAATAAGACATTCATTGTGCTTTAGAAAGAAGATTTTTACTATAATAGACTCTATAATCCGTTCACTACCAGGAGAATTTTCGGAGAAAACCGCTTTGCTCAAATAAGTACCTTTTTCTACAAACTTAAGTTTGATACAGATTGATTTTTAGTGGTAACATTTGCACATGAACTATACTCTTTCCTGTGAGTATAAGATTCGTCGCAGTAATTCAAACAACACCTATTTTTTAATAATTTATTGTAGCCCCTTTGTTTTACTGCCCCAAGAAGGTTTTATTACTATCTCCTGATAGCGAACAGAGTATAAAATTCATCGCAGTAACGCAGCAAATCACCCAAAGATATACGCCAGTGTAATGTAACTTCGCACGGGTTGATTTACTCGGCCTGCGGATAAGACAGGAGAAAAAAACTCGTAAGAAAATTATATTATTCGATCATCCCGGTCGGACGTTTCGTCGCCGAAGACCCGTCTCACTAGCGCTTTTATTTTTATTCTTTTTCCGGTTTATTACTCGAATACATTACCCGCTCGGTTCCCCGTGTCATTTTTTATTTAGCCCGTCGGGCGGGATTCGGGAGAATGATCGATGGGCTCCCGTTGCAAAAACGAACCGCAATTAAACATTCCGAAATTTAATGGAAATATGGAAGCGCAATTAATTATACCTTTGTTGCATCCGTGACTTCTGTTGGTGGTTTGAGTCCAGCCCGGGCAACAGGCGAAGATGCGCTCGTTGGAGAGCTTCGTAGGTACATCTTTGTAGTGAGTTTCATACACCAATCTAAATTGAATTAGATATCTTAGTACAATAAGTAAGTGTAAATTCTAAACAATACATTACCTGACTCCTTTGCATATTTGGTTCCCTTGGCACCGGATCACGTAGTTCTTGTAGATGGGCTTGCAGTAGGTTTGCCTCGTTTTGGCCGGTTTCTCGGCGGTTTTGGTGCAAACGTGTCGCCTGCAAACGAACGAGATTTATTTGCCGGACGGAGTACGAAGTGCACGAATTTATTTCCGCTCGAAAGCTCCTCGTAAAGCAGTCGATAACTCAATAACGATCCATCATCGATACCGCACAATACCGTCAATATATCTCGTTTCGAAATCTTAATCGCTTCACTCGACTTATAATTTTCTAATAACTCTATCTAAGCGAGTGTATCAGCGGCTCGATCCGCTGCGTGCTTTTACCGGAATGGAGTTCGGTGTAAATCGCTAGTAATGGTAAGTACACGCAGTAAAGATAAACGGAAATGGTACTCACCGAAGGTGGAATTTCATTGCGGTCAAATGGAATTGGAAACTAGATAAAATTGCGAGTCGCGATGAGGAATTGAAGCACAACTTTAGTACTTGGCTCGATGAGCGCTCGAAATAGGCCAGAAAAGAGCGTGACTTTTGCAATTTTGATCCCGAAGATGACACTTTTTATAGTCGAAACGTCGAGTTTTGAAGTTCCGTTTATTTTATTATAAACGGGGAATTATACTGTTTTAATAATACCTAACGAACACGGGGCTATTATAACAATTTATTTGAATAGACCTAAAAATAAACTGAACTGGAAGAGCCTTTATGCTCGCACGTTTCGTTTTTTATTCTATTTCTCTCAGGATATATCACATCTACTACCTTAAATTCCTAAACGTTTATGTAGACGGATCAAAGGGACTACTCGTATGTATAAATATTGTAGATCGTTTGCTTGTTTCTAAAATAATCGAAGCGTGAGTTGCCCGTTCTTTCGAGCCAAACTGGTTTTCATTAGAATCATTTCAGTTAGAATTTAAACTCTCCGAAATTGTACAGAAACAAAAAAAAAGGAAAAGGTTAATTTGTCGAGCGCAGGCCGGTCACGTTCGAGACAGCTGTCACGGCCTTTCGTTATCCAAATTAAACTCGAAAAAAAATCCCCACGCAACACCTTAATTTCCTAAAAACCAGCTTCTCACACCCTTGCACCGGAATTATAACGCTTATATAGAAAAATAACGCTTATTTTGTAACACTCGTTACTGCTCCTCTATACCAAACAATCGATTTCCACCTCTGTTAAACTTCTGTCATAAAATGTCATTTGTCAATAGCGACAGTTTTCGTTCATGAAATAAACGCATCTTAAAGTCCCAGTTATTATCGAGTAATTTGTAACCTGTAACCAGGTTAAAAATTCGCTACTTAGTTCCAATGTATAAAGCATAAATCAAATTTATCGAAGGCATAAAACCATCGACGGGCTAATAAGCAAATAACCGGCGGTAATTCGCGGGGCTCCCCATCTCGTAGGCGATTAATCTCGCGATAATAAAAACGTTGTCGTTTCGGAACGGTCCGCACCAAACATATTGATACGCGTCACGTTAAATTGGTAATCTCCAATTAAGCTAACGGCCCGCTTTGGAGACTTTAAACAACTTTTTTACGATCGCTTTCGGCCGCCCCGTCGCCCCCCGAAGATTGCATCTCGATCGTCGCATGCACATCAGGCAATAAACTTAATTAGCGTACATAAATTAATTTTCGGGCGAATATTTTTTAATACCCTGAATTGTTTGCGTTGTTTTTTATTTTCTTTTTTATAAGTTTGATTAAGGCCCGATGGGCGGACTGGCAGTTGACGGGAGTGATTTATGCACGCTTGCATATGCACAAGGGTTTATTTGTGCATATAATTAAGTTGTTTGTTGCGGTTGGTATTATTGTAGTTGTGTTTATTTAGGTGTATCTTGGATTAAATGACGAATTAATTTGGTCTCTTCTGTACCTTGCGGTCTTAATAATAGTTGATCAATTTTGATAAATTAACTAACAATTATTAGCTCAGAAATATTTTATTTTCCCGTAGGTAGGTATCTCGTATACCTCACCTATAATTGAGGCCTTAACAGTAGATCAATTGTCAACAATCTCCAATCATAACTGATATAATTTTGTTGGTATATGCATATTTTTTTATCAAGAATGCACCTCACGTCCCTGGAATTTTTTACAGACATGCAAATGGCTCTTTGTCACCGCGCACAGCACACAGCACTTAAACAATTCCGGCTGGATTGATAACTTTACGCAGACAAAAATAGCGTAATTGTAAACTTTGCTCGTTTTCCCGGAATGTCACGTGCACCGCAAGGGTGCGATGCATTTCGAGAATCGACGACTGCACGTTCTTGCATCGCATGCACTCGAAATATACAGGGCGAAAGCAAAGCAGAAATGACCTACATCTGGAAGAAAAGAAGACTATCTGATGGGTGAGATGATATTTACCTGGAAGATTCGAGAATATGAGAAAAGATATTAACCTGGAAGAGAAGAGAATTTACCAGAGAGAGATGATAATTACCCGCAAGTGAAGAAAATTACCTGGTGGATAAGAATTACTCAGCAGAAAAGAATATATTGCCTGCAAGTTAAGTCAATTACCCTAGTAAAAAAACAGAATTACCAGAGAGAAATTATAGAACAGCAACTAGTTCTATATAGCTAATGTTACGACATCGGCACGACGGCTTGAACTTTACGTTTAGATAGTATCCAATCAAAAGAGCGCCGCTCTAGCAAATACGATCGGCAGATATGCGAGTATTTATGCGATTTTCCTTGCCAACTTGAATCATACGGGCGGTGCACCATTGCCCCATTGTTCAAACACGGAGCAATGTTGTGTTAAGTTTAGTCACTGCGAATAACTCGACTGCAATATTTAACTACCACTCCTTGTATGTACACTTTGAGCGCTTAGAATTATTACTAAACAAATACTAAGAAAAACTCCCTTAAAGAGAACTAGTAGGTACAGACCGATAGGAATAGCAGGAGACCTGAGTAAATCAAGTTATTGCGTATAATTGCTACTACATAGAACCTCGTGCGTTATAAGCACAGTGGGTAAATAATTACACAGCCATGTTTGGTAACAATAACAATACCAACCGGACACTCTTGAATATTGATGAGCCTTTCGAGGAGCGCAAAAAAGAAGAAGCGAAACGAAACAATAGTGGTTTGATGGCGCATGATGGATCCTTATAATCGTTAATCGAACGTTTTTTACCAAGGCAAGTTCCCCGGGAAATCGCAGAGAGGAAAACTGACTTATTAATCCAATTAAAAGCGATTCGCATGTCGCGTTTTAGCAGCTATCTGAAGCATTTAATCGGTACTGATAACGAGCGGAGACGCGTTAATCAATATGTATCGGCCGATCGTTGCATTTCGTACCGTTATTGTAGCGAATAAATTGCGAAGAACACGCTCGGTCTTGACAATGGGCGATATTCCTCAACACCCACGCATCAAACGTACTGACATAATACAACTATTCTATAAATAAATTACATGTACTTCGTACACCGGAAAATAATCTATACTATACCCTGCTTGTGTGTGTATTCAATCGGTTTTGAAGCGGGTATTTTTTTTTATTTTATACGACGAAGACGGAGAGTGGAGGACTCTCTCGTGCATTGAAATATCGAATGTGGCTGTTAAATAATTTAATGCTGGAAAACATGTCGATTTCGAGATAAAGTTTCGCTTGTAAACTCGACTGGACGTCGATTTGTCCGCATAATTCATAACGAAACTCCCACTGCGTTGCCTGCTGAAAAATTGCCTCTTTTTTTTCTCTCTCGAACTCGACGCAACTTTATTTCGTACGAAAAAATGTCTTTCGATAAACTAGGACCATCGATTAGCATTCGCTGGGAAAAAGTCGTGATTCTAATTCCGCAAATCGCGATATCGTGAGATTAGGAGATAAATCGTGATATCTCACGATATGCCGTGAGACCCGGCAACTCTGCGTGTTTCCTACTTTATTATCCATCGAAGTACGAATTTGCAAATCGGACCAACTTCTGCAGAAACCCCAAATTTATTTATTATAACGCGCGCCGAGCCGTCGCAATTACCGTTTTAATTAGTAGTTCGGTGCGATTGCATAATAAAAACGATAGTTACACTCACTTAAAGTCGAGTTTAATGAAATAGTATGCATGAAATAGGAGAGAAAAGCCGCTGGTGACGATTATAGAGGTGGGATATATTTCACTGAAGCGTTCCAGTAAGGATCAAACGAATCATTCCTTTGTATTGCATGTAGTGAGATTAGTAATTGATTGGTAATTACTTATACAATTTACTGCACAAAAACAAATTCATTAATACCGAAATTTATCAATCCCATTAGAAGAAACACGATTGATGTACCAGTAATTAAACTAATAAAAAAACGTTTATTACACAGCGCTGTACAGAAGAAGAATTGTTAACGAACTTAATGAAGAACGCATTCGTGTGTTTGTAGCACGATTTTTAAAAGGTTTTCATGAAACACCTGTCGCGCTATTGCATCATTTATACGCAGGTCGAGTGTGGTACCGTTGCGAGTGGTACTTACTGGTTTATCCTCGACTCGCGCTCGTTTTTTAGACACAGAAATTTAATCAAAACCGAGCAATTTCCAAACGCAAACTTCCACCCCAACTTTAGCCTCTAAAATGAGCCGCTCTAATGCGATTACTAACGCTCTGGATGTAATATATGGGTAAGTGGAAATTTGTTAATTTGGGTGCAAAAAACACAACTTCCATTAGATCTGTATACGCTTAGAAGCTAGCTCTATTTGATAACGAATGCGACTGTATAGAGAGGTAAGAGGCCAGTTTAAAAAAAGAGAAGAAGTAAATAAGGGGAAGTACGGCGAGTTTCTCAGTAAAATAAACGTTAAAATACCGAGCGACTGTGAAGGAAAGAACGAAACAAACTGGTTCATGGCTTCATGGGATCCGTTGTTGTCTTTATGAGCGCTACCGTTAAACAAATATTGTTTCAACAGGCAGGAAGGTCGCGTTTGCCGCATAAAGAACAACGCGACGCGGGTTTTATGTAGCGATTAAAATTCAACGTTCCGATTTTATTAGCTGAGAAAAATAGTCGATAAATTTTATATCGCGAGGGTGTTTGAAATCGGAATAATAATGCACCGGAGGCGTTGTTATTTCGTTGTACAGAAACGGCTCCGGCCAGCTCTCTTATCTCCGGCGGATTTACGAGGAAAAAATTAGCATCTGCGCGAGCTTCAAAGGAGAGGTTTTCGTGTGCTAATTTTTATTACGAAACAGCGCTATTGAAGTACCTATACTGTAATTTTATCGGGAATAAAACGCGCCTTTTAGTGCGCAATGCGAAATCGGTTTTAATAAAATAACCGGCTCTATCAGCACTTTGCGGTATCGAAACGCGCTCTTCTTAATTCGAATGTAATCTCGTAAAATGTAATTTTAGATTTGCTTAAAAGAGACAATGGGATCGTAAACGATGGACCGAATTAATTACCCAGTCACGACTGCATATACGGGGATTTGATAAAACTGAAATATTTAAAAACAACTAAAGATTAATTACTGGGATACCAATAAAGAGAAATTCGATAAATTAAAACTCCTTCGACGTTTCGATAAAACCGACACGCATCTCCGTCGAATGAGAAACAGTTTCTTCCATTATTCGAAAATGACAAACAGCCGTTTAAATTAAACGCACAAAAGGCCATCTGTCAACTCGATATTCACCTATTTGAATAACGGCGCGTAAAAAAATCGACGCTGAATCATCCTGTACAACATTTATCTATTTTAAAGGTCAACATTTCAATAAAACTTTATGTGCATCGCCTATCCGGCTCGGAGGTTTCGAATAAATCAATATAAGGTACAAAGATATATCAATTTTAATCGCAATACAATAGAGTCCTCGCATATACAGTCGATTTCATTATTTTTTTAGTATATGCATTTGTTGATAATGCACTTGTCTTGTTCGCAGCAATTGTGCATCAATACCGTGAAATATTTAATACCCAATATTTTATAAAACTATAACTATACAGTAAATTGTATCGGTTCATTGTACTGTATGGAAATAAATAACTATTAATTAGTCATTAATCATAATTAATTATTTAGGTAGATTAATATATTATACTATATACGGCTCGAAATGCTGGTATACGTTATGTGGGAGATGATAAAGATTGATGTGTTATTCACACTTTTATCGAATTTTGAAATAGTTTTGAGCGACAGAAACATTAAATATGATAAAAAGGCCGGTATAGGTAATTAAATTTCTCATGTTGGCAAACATGATCGTTTTATTGCTATCCCTATTGCACATTAACCCAAATAGCGTTAGCGTAAATGAGCACTATTTCTATTTAAAATTATAGAACTACATTCGAAAGCGACCGGCAGATACATCTATTCTACCACTTATAATGCGCCATTCGGGGCCGGGTGAGACGTTCTATTTTGAAAACTTCCTGTACATAATCTTTTTTCGTGGAAAACCTCGCGGTGGATTTCACTCGATTTTATCGACGAAGTTAGATGGAAAAACTTTCGGGCGAGTTTCCCGATTTAGCCGGAAATTAATTACTTCTCTAATTAGAGCTCGAATAATGAAATTTCCGTGGAATTTCGGATCGAAAAAAAGGCGAAAACCCGGCCGTATAATAAATTCGTCTAGCGCCCATTAACTCGGCAATAAACCTGAAATTAACGTTATTTTACGCTCAAAAGGAAGCACAAAACGCAACCGAAGCAAAACTTTTTCTTCCACCCGGCCAGAGAGCACAAAGAGCTCGCTCTGCACGCGGAATCGGATCACATTAGAAAGGAATTACCGCTCAAAAAGCGGCCAGCGTTTAGTACGAAACAACACCTGCAATTTCCAATAGTTCCACGGCTCATTTCGCCTCTAACTCTCGATTCTCGAAACGAGATAAACGACCCGCCGGTTACGAATGTTACCGTGCATATAGCACCGGGAAAAAATCCCCCACAATGCGCCAAAGCAGCTTAAGGCGCTACCTTTGTGCATCTCTCTGATAGATTTATTAATGCGATTTTTTACTCGAGTGTAATCCTGTTTTTAATGACCGCAAGAATGCACCTTACATTAGTTATTATTCAACTAGTGTGGCATCCTCACAGAGTAGGGTACAGTAGTTTGTTCACGACCTTAAATGAAAGTGCATAGGAGTTATTAAGTCTACTTTGAGTCTACCCAAGAGAGTCAATTATGATCCCAAAAATTGATTACATACATAATAGAGTCTATTATGTAGAAGGTACGAGTTGATTGGAGTCATTAATATACCTAAAAAAATCATTTATTCATGTTTAAAGGAGTTTTTTATCTACCCAATAGAGCCAATTGCCCTCCCAAAAGTTCATTACATACCCAAGAAAGTCTACTAAGAAACTACAAGACTTTGTCTACAACACTTTGTACCTACAAAAAAATCTCTTCATTCAATGACCTGGTGGAATTAAGTATAAAAAAATTGTCTTTCTCAACGAGCAACCCATATATTCCAATCAATTGTTAGGAGGAAACACCTCAAACATGGCTGGTACATGTTGTTCTCATTCAAATCAGAGCTGTAATTCATCTGGCAAAACGGGGTGATGTAGGTGTGTTTCCACCATATTCGCACTTCCACGACTGTGATATATTGCAAATTGAATTCCAACGGCTAATTCTCCGATTTCTCTCGCATCTCCTACGCGTGATTTATCTCCCACAACATTATTTTTTCCAGAGATAGATACCTAATTCAATTCTACGCGATTTTTATTTGAAGCTTTTCTCCCTGAATCCGGTCCATTTTCTAGTCATTTATCTTTCAAGTCAGTTTGTTTAGATCAGAAAATCCAGGAAACAACATTCGTGATATTTATTCCTATTCTCATTTCATATGATTAAACTGTACATATGTAGGTAAATGTTTTCTTTTACCGAGCCACGTTTGTCGAGATCGAACCGATATAGAGTTGAAATAGATAACGTTAAACTGTCGAGAATGTAATTAAATACAAATTAAAAAAACGGAGAAACGCGCTTGCGAGTTAATTTCTTCAAAATCTCGAATTAATTTTAATAAATCGCCGGCGTGAAATCTCCGTGACTGACTAACCCATGTTTGAAGTGTCGCTTGAGTAAATTAAACATTTAATTGGTAAATAGGAATGTCGATAAGCCGAAAACGGCATAAATGACAATTAAAATGCCGTAGAATAAATATAAGAAGGCGTCAGCTCGACCATCGAAATTTTCACCTACGAATTAATGTTAATTCCAAACCCATTCAAAAACTTTTATAGTATAATAAAAAAAATCAACACCATTAACAACATCAAATTTAAGACTCACCCTTGTGCATGCTTGCTGTAAGGATTATACTGGGCACCAGTACCCGCTTGTACCAACATCAAATTCTCCGCTCTCCCATCGGTACTCCCATTAACCGCCCTGTTACCGTGCCTGTGAGCCCCGAAATGCCGGTGAGAACTATTATAGTAAACAGAAGAATTGGTGCCGGGGTTGCCGGGACCGAGCCTCCTTCGGGCCGGGTGCCGGCGATCGCCCGCGGACTCCCCGGCGTCCGGTCGATCGGGGTAATGTCTGGCGGCCGCGTCGGCCGCCGCGAACACCGCGATCGCGTAGAGTGGGAACCGCATCGCTCGGCGGGCACGTGAGCACTTTCGCCTTCCGTCTTCTGGTGATTCGTGACTCGGTTGATTCTTCTGCTTTTCTTCCCACTCGCCGGGGCCGCCGGGCCGGCTGGTAGGGGATGGCCCGGCGCGTCGAGGTGGCTGGGAAACTGGCCGGTTCGAGGATCGGGAATCAGGTACATTGTGGGGGTATCTTCAGTTTGATGTGATTTTTTGTGCCTACTGTGTTTATTTATTTTGTAAATTGAGAGAATTAATAATTGTAGATTTTTTTTTCAGTGCATTTTTGATTTATGAATTTTTGATGTGCATTTATTTTGGTTTCGAAATGTTTTTTAAGTGTTAAATAATGTTTACATGTTCCATTTGATTGCCAATTATAAATAAAAAGTATTTAAAAAAATCTATAAAGTATGAAAAAATTCATTACAAACTCTATTAAATTGACTAAGAATCATGAAAAAACAATACAAAATAAATAAATAATGTATCGTAAGAAATTATGAAAAATCTCGTTAAAATCGCGAAATATTCTATAAAAAGATGATAAAAACACATCTGAAATTCACAAATTGTCATAAAAAATTGAAATTATAAAAAAACCTAACACCCCAAAAAAATCTCTATACACCAAAAAATATCCCTAAACAATTTCAACAAAACCATTGTTGTTGTTAATACTCAATAAAGAGTACTATAATATATTATTAACTTTAAGTAGAGTTAGAAGATCTTGACAGCATCCAGTAAATTGTTAATCGAATGGATAAATATTTGGCGAAGAATCGTCGCCGAATTAACTGGGATATGATGCAACTCGTCTTGTAAATATTTGGAAAAGTTCTCCGAACTACCAATAGGTGTTTAAGTATACAGTCGAAGATAAAATAAATACCGAATTAACCACAACACACTACTGGCGTTTATTTCAAAATGAAAATCCCGGTGAACTCGAATCGACGGTACGCGATATTTATTTGTCCTATCAGGCGCGTGTTATCGGATTTTTTTTTATTGTCCATTATCCTCTTTTACGACGCACATTCTGCTCCTTTCGCAGAAACGTTTACGTGGAAATCCAATACTTACGGCGTAACAGAAATCGATTTTTTGCAGACGACCGATTTCGATGCAGCTGTGCACATTGTCGTCAGGAAAAATTCGATCACGTACAGAACTATACAGGGTGTTAATTAATGGTAAATACTTATTTTAATAGGTGATTCTTGGACTCGTCAAAATTTGTAAAATATACCTTAATTTATAAAAGACAATACCACAAACTATTAGAAAATAAGGCTTTATTTTCGAAATATATTACAACTATTATAGAGAAGCTAATAAAGGAATTTTCACTTTCAAATTGTTCGGACCCAATGCAAATTCGAATTCGCTTTTTGTCGAAGTATCTTGGGCGATTTTTACTTTTTCAACTTTCTTCCTTGGCTTTTTGAACAGTTTCACACCGACACTCTTGTTATTATCATCGTGGTGTCCTCTACCGGCGTGCTTCTTCTTGTGTTTCTTCTTGCTAACGTGTACTTCAGTAGATTCTTCCACTGCTCGATCACCAGGTGATTTCTTATCTTCTGCAATAACCTCTTCAGTGGTATGTTTTTCCTCATCTATAGGTTCATTCGTTTGTTGATTAACTTCTGATACTTCCTCTTCAATGTTACCTTCTTTATGTTCATCATCAGCTAATCCCTCTTCTTCAATTTGAGCTTTATCGTCAGTTTCGATTGCTTCTTCTATCGGAAGATTGCGCGTCAACATTTCTTCTTCAGGTCCCGATAGGACATTCCCATCATCAAGCGGTAGATAAACCACCGGCACCTTCTCGTGTACATGCGGTCGTACAGTCACTCTTCCAGAAGGTTTAACAGCATGCACTGGATGCACCGGATGCACCGGATGCACCGGGTACATCTCACCGAGCATCCGCTTGGTGGCCAAGTAGGCGTCTTTGTAGTGGGTGTTGCTCATGTAATCCGGATTGGGGAGGATGTCTTTGAACCGGCCGAGCTTCTGAACGGGGCTCAGCGGGTACACGATCTTCTTGAGGGTTAGGCGACGGGGCTCTTCTTTGAGAAAATATACGGCGCTCAGCGCGTTTTGGGCGGCGCAAGCCAGCAGCACCAGCGAAATTAGCGCGGACATGTTCTGATCGAGAGTGAATACTGGCCGACGTCTTGGTAATTTATTTTCCAGCGGACAATAAATTTTTTTTTAATTAAAAATTTCGATTATGCACTAACGCAATACGGAGGTATAAAAAATTGATTGGGCGGCAAGGCGACGGGTTTTCTATGATTTATGGGTGTTTGGTGCGAATGGTGCGTGATAAGGTTTATAGAAAATTGCACACTTAGTACTATACGGTATTTGGTTTTATTAAATTATTGTTGTAAATTGCTTATTTTAATTAGAATTTCTAACGATTTTGTTAGTGGGTGGTTTTATTTGGTTTTGGTTATTTTAACGATGAAAGTTCTGATTTCCATAGGTAAAAGTGTTACTTTTCCATCGGGTTTTACTTTTGCACTTCTTTCCATTTCGCTGTTAATTGTCTCGTTTCCCTGCGTGTTCCATTTGAACTTATTATCTCTGTTTAAATAATCTTCCATCCAAACATTTGCCCCGAGAGTAGTCTCATTGATATCCTCTACTTTATAATCACCAAAAATGCTCTACAACAATAACAACCATTTAATCGATAATTATACTATCTTTTATATGTAATATTTACTCACATTTAAATCTACTGTCACTTCTTTAGATAGATTATCATCCTCATCCTTCTCCAATAAATGCTCCAATCTCAACAAGAATGTATCTTCTTCGTCTCGCCATCTTTCCAATGTTAATATATTGACGTTATCTGGCAAAGCTTTGCTTATAAACTGCGTCTAAAAATGGAAATTTAATTAGCACGAATTTACAACTTTTAATTCTACTTACTTTGAAATTCAAGAGCGATTTCAAGGTCTCGTATTTCAAATTATCCGCTGTAGCATCCGCTACTAGAGTGTAAGGCGATAAATGCATTCTAGATTGGAAGTCTCGTTGTACAGCAGCAAAGGAATTATCTGCAATTAAAAGTTAGTTAACAAACTCTCACATAAATTTGAATATTTACTACTTACTCTTCTCTTTCGTCGAGCCGAACATGAGGTAATGTTTCCCTCTAACAACTAGCGGCTGCCTGAATTCGTACTCATCTAAAGCTTCCGAAACACCTCGATTATCATCTACCAACAGTCTCCTGTGCACCTACAACCCAACGAATACAAACCAATGTCCAGCAATTCCCGATCCACCGCTCACCATCAACTCCAGCTCGCCGTCGTGGAGGCTCGATCCTCCCTGCGAGCGATCGTTGAAAACCGCCACCTCCAGCTGCTTCTCCTCGTCCCGCAGAGCTATCCTCGCCGTCACCGGATAGTAGTTGCTGCTGATCGGCTCCACCGTCGGATCGTACTCGTAGTCCACTCGCTCGTTCCTCCTCCTCCTCATCGTCTCCCGCCCGTTGGAGTCCGTGTAGAAGACGCCCGAGTTGTTGAGGCCGCTCACCGTGAAGCGGTTGATTATCTCTTTGCCCGTTAGGTAAGAGTCCGGTCTGTAAAAGGAGTCTATTTGAGGATATTGTCACGACTAGGGTAGCGTCCCGCCTCCGGGTCTCCAGTTCCGCTACCGCTAACGTGGTTCAGCCTTGTTGCTATACCCACTTTGGGTTATTTTATCCTCGAGGGGGTGGTAGCTCAAAAAATGACAAGAGGTTTCCCAGAGTAACTAAACTATTTATTATCGCTCAATCTAATGGTTACAATGCTCAGCAATATTTCCAGATATAAACCGACACAAAGTTTCCACGAAATCTTAAATCTACACCTACCTCATAATATTTGTGCAGCGGCGTCTGGATTATTCACAGTCGCACCGTTGCTGGCTAGGGGTCGCTGGGTGAGGGCACGTCACAAATTCGTCCACCGCGGATTCGTATGTTACTAACCGGTACTTACGCGTCCGTGGGTGTTCGCGCGTCAAGAGACACTCCCCGAATTTGGGTCAAACCGTAGAATTTAAAGGGTGAACTTGTGCTGACTCGTCCACGAGTCTTCACAAGTTCTTTTCGTAACGTTAAACATGTTAGAGTAAATATTAAATATATTTGTTATGATTTGTTGCTAAGTTTGGTAATTTGGAAATAAATAAAGTAAATAAAATATTTTCAAGTAGGTTAAATTTTAGTCTATACGGTTTGAGCCCTTTTTCCACTTGTGACAATATCAAGAGTGTGTCGAGGAGAATAGTTAGTTATATTACTGAATATTTGGACGAAGAAGAAAATAGTACTGATGTATGGTATCTACTTACACTTCTATAGGTCCAACTAACCAATCGAATTCAATGAAATTATTGCCCGATCCTTTATAGACTCTGATGATCTGTTTGACCCAATCGTTGATTCTAATGTGGGCTTCCTCGACGAAGTTTCCTCTGTATTGTCTCTCTAGTACGGGGTTGTCATCGGTGATGTTCTTGGCGTTTTTGGTTGAGGATTCAGGCCGGAATAGGTAGGCTCCGGAGGCTACGAAATTGATCACGCCTACGGCAGCCGGATAGTAGTAGAAGTCCTGGGTGATGTTCAAGGTGAGGCCGTTCATGGTCGCCGATTTCAGCCTGTTGGTCTTCGCGTCCAGCACGAAATTGAGGTCCTGGAGATACGGAGAAAATCGGGCTAATTGGACTCGTTAAATATTTAAGTTCGGAGTGTTGTGCTCGCCATCGTTTTGGTTAATTCATGAGTTCGGTTGTACGTCTGACGCTGGCTGATTCATCGCTACGCGATGTTGTAAATATTCATGCGCTTTTCGGGGTAAAACGGAAAATGCGTTTCCCGGACACGTGTACAGGGCGTCCCAGCAGATTCCCTTAGTGTATGATAATGAGTGGATTACCTTTGTACCAAAAACAAGATCCTCATCAACAGCAATTTCCTCAAATTCTTCTGGTGGTTGAGTTTGATTATTCCCTCCCTTTTTGGTAACGTAATACAATTTCAACCCCATCGGCGGCACATCCTCGGCGGCGAAAACCAATTCCTTGGGGCTCACTTCGCCGTCGTTCGAGTCCACGTAACCGAAATCCGAAATCGCATCGAGCACGTCGACTGCGGCAATCTCCTCGCCTGCGAATTACCGAAATTTATCGGGGGCGTTCGCCGCATAAAATCTCCTTACCATCGTCCCCGATCACGCTGTAGCTGGCGTTTTGAACTGGAAGCGCCACCGGATGGGACACGGCCTTCGATAAGGGGTTGTAAACCGCCACCAGGAATCTATCTTTCGACGAGTTCTCGCAAATGGATATGTTCGATAGCAAGCACGATGCGAATGCCAGTTGGTCGAATTTTTCTTGCGATTTACTCAGCAACGTTCTGGTGAACGATTGCATATATTTATTCGCTTTATTGTTGGTTATATTGTAGTTATTATTACCCTATGATGAGTCCGATGCTTTCCTCCGCTGATCGTATACCAGCGTTCATCATATCCACGTAGTTGTAAGTAACAGCTTGGGATTCAGTGCCGGTAATAGCGTCGTGATGCTGCATCACAGCTACGCTATCGCGCAGTGTATCCAAATGGGGATCGGTATCGGCCGTGGTATTAGACGATAATATTTTAAATACGGACCTGAGCTGTTTATTGGCCTGAAAATACAATTACGTGCATTTTTTGTAGTGCACTATTACGAAGAGCGCTGTTTACCTGAAGGATCTTATTAGCGGTGCGTTCGAATCGCTTGATGGTCGGGCGCGAGGTGAAGTACCCGGACCAGTAAGCGTGCTCGTTATCGGCGTAGGGCAAGATATCATCGGTTTTCACTGAAAGTTTCGGAGAGGCATTGTTCACGGATTTCAAGTAGCACGAGGGCGTCGAGTAGAATACGTTGTATTTACCGTCGTTGGCGAACAATCTGGAAATTCCAGTCGATTAATTCCAACTGAATGGTTCATTATCGACTTTCGAATGGTTTAAACTGCAATTAGTTACTTCTAGTAATAGAGCTATTGGTAAGAGAAAGTACAGGAAAATGGATGTATAGAAACTACAAGAAGTTTAGATAAAGCAGAACTAATTGATATTGATACCAGAGTGCTTGAAATAGAAAAGAGCATTTGAAATTAATATGGTAGATAATTACTAACTTTAAGAGCCTGTCGATATTAAGGTACTGTTCCTCGGCGGATTCATAGTTAAAATCGCCTCCCATGGGAATCAGAATGTTGTTGGTTGTTAAATGAGGCTCGAAGTCTTCGAGGACTTTTATGAAGAGGCTTCTCTGAAATAATTTATTGTTGTAATTTTTGATGAATATTGATAGTAAATACTTACTACTTGATCGGCGTTGTAATCGAAACTGCCTGGATCATCGTTGACGGGCTGGTCTCTGCAGGTGATGTCGAAGCAGAAGCCAGTAGGCGAGCCGTAGTGGTTCTTGAGGATGGCGTAGAAAATCTCGGAGTCATCTACGAAAATTTTATACACTTTGCTCGATTCGATCGTAAGTAGAACCTACTGAAATTCGGCGATGATTTCCACAAGAAATCCAATCGCTTTTCCTCGATTCTCTTCAGCCTGTCGTTGAAATCTAACCTAGCGAAGAAGGCCCCATCGAAGCCCAGCTGCCTGAAGATTAGAGCCTGCTCCCTGCTGTGGCCGAAGGGGTCGATCTGCCAGCCCACCCTCGGGGCGCCGCAAGGACCTAAAGTGTCATTCAAAATTCTGCAAAGCGGCTTATAAACATCCGAAAATCACCCGTTCACCTTAATCCTCTCGTGAATTGATCGATGGTGGATTGGTAATGCACGCAGGCCTCGTCGTTCATCGTGAATCCCCCGTTTGCGATTTCGATTTGCCCGGTTTCGACTAGATTTTTGTACTCGTTTTTGGACTTTTCGGATTGCTTGCGCCACCATTGCCAGAAGAACGCTGTCTCTACTTGTGTAAACCTAGAACGAAAGTTTTATCACTATTATTATTGAGTTTCTCGTGTTGATATAACAAACTGACTTTCTTTTCGGGCTCCTTTTCAATGCTTGAACCACGCTGGTGATGATGTTGTCTACGCTTATGGTCGCACCAACTGCAGGTTACAAAAATTACAAAATATTATTACAAATGTTTTTCATTTTGTATACTCGATTTGTATTAGTTTTTTACCTCCGGTAAAGTACTGATTTTCAGTTAAAACCCAGCCAACGTCGTTGTGGGAATGAGGAATAATGTGCACATTGATCCTATCAGATTTCGTCTGAGGACAGCTCTGTAATTAGCAATAATTTATTTTGGTATTTTAGCGGTTTAGTAGGTTACTTACAGCATATCCGCATGTGTTTTTTTGATGCACGGGGGTTCCCCAAATTAAAGGGATCGCGCATAAAAATGATATAAACCCTTCGAGTTTCATTTTCATTGTGATGATGATTTTTAGAATCGTCTATTTGTTTCAACGATATATTTGTATCACGATAAAATCTCATTAGTTCGATAAGATATAATATATTGTTTATCGGTGGAATTTTGAATTAAAGTGTCGTGCAGTTTTATCGGGGTATTGGAGACTTGAGTATTTATTTTTGAACTTTATAAACTAATTTATTATTCTATTATTTTCTGATGAAAAAATGCCTGTTTTCTAGTTTATTCGCCACGGTGTTATCGACATTTTCCAACAACTACTCACTATTTTTTTTCACAATTAGTCGAGATTCTGCTAATTGTTCGAATTCGCGATTATTTTCATGGAAATTCGTAAAAAAATTTTTCGACGCGTTCGATATAATTCTAATTAATCTCCATTTTAATCTGTTTTCTTTATTTTTCTTAGTTACTCAACCGTAGGGGAAACTTACGCTCATTAAAGTTTTATCTCGAAATAACTCATAAGGCTGTTACACCGATCTTTCCTTATCAGTACAAGGGCTTTTTATGAACTCAACTACAAAGTAAACACTTCAAAAAATTTTATACACGACTAAATTTCTATTAAATACTGTTCATATACCGCGAACAAATTTAATTGTGGACAATTTTTTACTGTAAGTAGAAAAAAATTTCGTTCCCATCGGATTTCCCACTCACCCCCAAACACGCAATCATCAACATTCGACTTTAACTAGTGGGAATATACTAATCGTATATTACAGCACTATTTTCAACTTATTTTGCATTGTCCAACAAACATTCAGAATGAACAATGCAGTTTTTAAAATTATTCTCGAACTATCAGTAATTGCAATAGTAGCTGAATGCCGAAAAGTCGACAACCACAACGTAGGGTGCATAAAATGCCACCCTCTGGATAAAAATAAAATAAACGTGCATTTGATACCCCATTCGCACGACGACGTAGGCTGGTTGAAAACCCTCGATGAATATTATTACGGAGGTAAAACCACTACAAAAGTTAATACAACAATCACACTAATTAATTTTGTAGTTAACACCGGCCAGATTAGTGTTAGATTAATTATATCTTCAGTAGTAGAAGCTCTGAAGAGAAACCCGGATAGAAGGTAAGTTTTATTAATACAGTAGGTTTATCTGAAGAGCTTTCATTCTTATTAAACATTCCCTGTACTTAAATTCTACACCTATTTATTAGGTACATCCAAGTGGAAACGGCGTATTTCCACAAATGGTGGAAAGACAACGAAGACATGAGGACAGAATTCAAGCAACTGGTCGATAGGGGTCAAATCGAGATGGTGAACGGCGCTTGGTCGATGAACGACGAAGCCTGCGTTAACTACCAATCGATCATCGATCAATTCACCTTTGGATTACGGTCGGTATTCCTTCAGAAACACTCTTCTGTGTTGCTCGAACGGTTGGTTTTTAGGAAAATCGAGGAAAGCGTCGGGAAATGCGGAAGGCCCCGCGTCGGCTGGCAGATCGATCCGTTCGGGCACAGCAGAGAGCACGCTTCCATTCTGTCGCAAATGGGATTCGATGGGGTCCTGTTCGCCAGGATGGATCACGACGACAAGAGCGCCAGACAGGCCAAAGGGCAGCTCAATTTTTTGTGGCACGGCAGCGCCAATTTAGGTACAAAATATCTAATATAATTTTCTTGTTACCACGTACTCGTAATTCTAGAGGACAGTACGATATTCGCCGGTTGTTTTCCCACCTCCTCGTATAGCGAACCGGATTCTTTTTGCTGGGATATCAACTGCGGGGACGATCAAATCGTCGATAATCCTAACAGTACCATTTACAACATCAAGAAAAAGGTAATTTCAGTAACTACAATCTTGCATCTTCCCCAACTAACAACGCGTTATAAACCAGGTGGACCAATTTACCAAAATACTAAAGAACTTCACCAATTACTACCCACCAGGCACCAAAAACATCATAGTACCAATGGGAGGAGATTTTCACTTCCAAGCAGCTGGTTACAATTTCCTCAACATGGACAAACTGATTAAGTATACTTAAATGTTTTCCTCGATATTACATCAACACTAATTTCTACTCGTTTATAGAGGATTTTCAGAGTATAACAGCGAGTTTAATGTTATCTACTCGACGCCATCTTGCTACATCAAAGCTATAAACGAAGCTGCACCGGCGCTGAAACTCAAAACTGACGACTTCTTTCCCTACAGCGACCAAAACTACGCCTTCTGGGCAGGTTACTTCACCTCCAGGCCGACTGTAAAGCGATCAGAGCGCGTAGGACACAACATATTACAAGTAAATCTCCAAGCCCATTTCAACTTCTCAACTACATTTACTCGTTTTGCTCTCGCAGGCTGCTAAACGAATACACGCCTTGAGTCCCCAACACTTCAACGATGGTGAGTTGGAGGAATTGAAGATGTCCATGGGCGCTCTGCAGCATCACGACGCTATCACAGGCACCCAACAACAACACGTCGCCGACGATTACATTAGAATGCTCTCAGCAGGTATCAGAAAAGCTGAAGCACCGCTTGGAAATATCATTAGGTCAGTACTAACAGAACCATTTCTTTTAGTAGTGTAATTTTGAAAGTGGAATTTGTGTTGCAGCGACATCTTAAATTCCAACTTAACATTGGAATTGTCCTCGTGCCAGCTGGCGAACATGAGCATCTGCAACGTCTCCCAGAACAGCGACAACTTCGTGATTGCGGTGTACAATCCGCTGGGATGGGCCGTTACTCACCACGTTCGATTGCCCGTAAAGGAAGGAATTTACGAAATAAACGGGCCGGATGGTGAGTGGAATTTTCCTTTAGCGCATCGCACCTGCTTAACGCCGACGTGCCGTAGGAGCGGAAATTTACGACCTGACGGAGACGCTGTTTTCGTTCGATTACGTCCGGATAAAAGGGGAGAAGCCGAGCACGTACGAGCTGCTGTTCGCCGCCAAAGACGTGCCCGCGATGGGCCTGAAGGTGTACCACGTGGCGAGGAAATCGACCGGGACGGCGACTTCCGAGCAATTGTTGCGAAGTTCCAACGTGTTCGAGATGGATAAGGAGAGCGGGTTGCTGAAGTCGGTCACTGTGAACGATGTGGCGCTCAATGTTACGCAGAAATTCCATTTCTATCAAAGCCACGATGGGTTTTCCGAGGTATCAGACGTCGCTTCTGGCGCTTATATATTCAGGTGGGTATTTTGCCAATCTGATCGTACTTAACTGATTTTACTGTTTATATATAATAGACCGTTCAAAAATACTCCGACTGTTTTCGAAAACGCCACCATCCTGCGAAAATTTTCCGGTAACTTGGTAGAAGAAGTGCACCAGAAATGGGAGAACACATACGCTAACATCTACCAAAGCATCAGATGGTACAAGAACGAAAATTACGTAGAATTCGATTGGATCGTTGGTAACATAGACTTGTAAGTAACCACCAAACATCCCCGCAATAAATTCTATTAACTCAACTCGCATAAATTAGAGACCACATGACATTCGGTAAAGAAATAATCAGCAGATTCAGTATCAAAGATTTCGACAATCAAGGCGTCTTCTACACGGATTCTAACGGTCGAGAAATGCTGAGGAGAGTTAAAAACAAACGACCTACATACAAATATAACATCACTCAAGAACCGGTGGCCAGTAATTACTATCCCGTAACGTCCAGAATAGTTATAAAGGACGAGAGAAGAGGATTGCGAGCGGCCATCTTGACCGATCGCTCCCAAGGAGGCACCAGCTTAAACAAAGGGGAAATCGAACTGATGGTGCACAGGAGGTTGATTTTCGACGATGAAAGAGGCGTGGGGGAATCCCTCGACGAGTTCGAATTCGAAACTCCGCTCTACGCAAGAGGAACTCACTACTTGGTGTTCGGACCTGCTAAAAAACCGAACAAAGATGGTACGAGAGTTCAACTAGAACATGTATAATATATTGGTAAATTTCGGGAAATTTTAGGAAGAACCACGGCTGCGCACGAAAGAATCCTAGCGCAAAAGAAGCTTCTCCAGCCTTGGGTGGGCTTGTCGAGGACAGATTTGAGTTTCGAAGAACTCAAAGACCAAATGCAACTTTCGGTACGTCCTTCGAAAATCTCACACCGATTCAATAATGCATTATAACTTTCCAGTACGAACCTTTGGAAAATAACCTACCCCCCAGCATCAACATCTTATCGCTCGAACCGTGGACAAGCGGCTCGCTTTTGTTGAGATTGGAACACATCATGGAGAAAGACGACGACGCCGTTTTATCTCTACCGATGAAAATCGAAAATATCCAAGTATTGTTTATTTATACTTACATACAGCATTGTTACTACTATCAGCTTGATTTTCAGGAACTCTTTAAAGACATTGAGATAACCGGCGTGACAGAGACAACATTGTCTGCTCACTTGACTCTGGAGGAACTGGAAGAGCGAGGCGTGTACACCTGGAAATCTGAGGATGGAACGAGCCATGCGAAGCAAATCAATATTTTGGATAGCGAGCGAGAGATAGTTTTGTGTCCAATGGAAATTCGTACGTTTATTTTAAAAACTAATAGGTCGGAAACATCTGGATCGTCGATGAATTATATTTGGTCGCCTTCAATCTTAATATCAGTAATTGTTCTTATTTGTTGTTATTAAATTTATTAAGTAGTTTCTATTGCTTTTTACTACAACATGTTAACCAATAAAGTAACAAATAGTAAGAGTGATGCAGCCGGTTTCAACATTAAACCGAAACTTGTTGGTTCATCTCCACCCAATTCCACGATGAAAGTTCGGATTTGCATCGGCTGAAGCGTTATTCCTGCGTCATCATCAACATTGGCAGACTTCGTTGATTCTTTATCATTCTTCACCCAGATGTATCTTCCTCTTTTATTGAAATCCGATAACAATTCATTCGCTCCCAAGGTTGTTTCGGTCATGTTTTTAATATTAAAGTGCTTGAATGCGTTCTAGAATAAATTAATATTTAATGTGTAATAGTTAACACATATTTATTTACCATGTACTTTACTTACTTTTAGGTCAATTGTGGTTGGAGTAGATAAGTCTTTATCTTCGTTTTTCTCCATTATGTGCTCCAATCTCAAGAGATACTGGTTTGATGACCAAGGTTCGAAAGTCAGGATATTGACGTTTTCAGGGAGAGAAGATTTTAAACCTTCGTACTAAAAGAAAGAAAGATATAAATAATAATTACCTAATGGTTAGGAATAACCAACTGACCCTTAAGTTTGAACTTTTCCTAATTTCTTCGTAAGTTTTGTTTATCGAACTGACTCCTATCCAAGGTTGCACTAGCTTTTTTTGAGCTAAGATTCTTTCCACAGCGGCCGTTGATTTACCTAAAATATCAATATAATCATTAATTTCTTCTGTATTGCCAATTTTATCAACTCACCGTTAAAGTCCTGACCCTTGGTCGATCCGACAACCAAGTAGTGAGACCCTCTCACGTACACTGGTTTCATAAATTCAATTTCATTCAAGTTTTCGGCTACGCCTTTGTTGTCGTCATAGAGGAGCCTTCGGTGCAGCTAAGGTAAATAATAAATTAAAGTTTAACAGGAATAAATCGTGATTACCATCAGTTCCAAAGAGAAGATATCCAAAGAGGAGCCGCCTTGAGAACGATCATTCAAAACGGCGACTTCCATATCTTTTAGCTCGTCTTTCATAACTATTTTCGACGTCACCGGATAGTAATTGCTAGCTACTGGTTCATAGGTGGGGTCGTAAGTGTAATCCCATCTTTGGTTCAATTTCCTCTGGATCATTTCCCTTCCATTGGAATCGGTGTAGAAGGTGTTGTTGTTGCTGAAATCGTCGGTTACCGTGAACTTGGTGATGAATTCTTTACCGCCGAACTTTCGAGAGGATTTTTCCGTACTGAAAAGAATATGTAGTTAATTAGAAGATTGAAGAAAATGGAGTGAAAAACTTACAGGTTTATATTGCCGATTAACCAATCGAATTCCAGGTAGTCCTCGTCGTGGTACCACCTGATGATTTGTGATATATCAGCGTTATCGTCCTTCCATTTTTGATGGACCTCGTCCACCACATTTCCTTTGACACTATACGATATTTCCACGTTGCCTAGCTCTTCCGGTTTTGAACTCGATGGTCTAAATAAGTAAGCCCCGGAATTGGTGTAGGTTCCATCATATTTCCCATTGGCGGAGTAGTACATTTGGAAGGTTTGCGAGACGTAGTACGTTTTTCCGTTGAAAGTGACGGTTTCCAGTAGATTGCTAGTAGAATTTAATTTGAAAGTACTCGAATCGAATTGTTTTTGACCGGGCAATGAATTAGATGTTTTACGGACGTGGTAGATTTGCAACCCCATCGGCGGTAAGTTTTTAGCAGCGAACACCAGGTCGTACCCCTTGGGCTTGCCTACTTCCCAAGGGACATAGTCAAAGTCGTGGATTGCCGGGATCACATCGTTTGGTACTTCTAAATGTATTAATTGGTTAGTACGGTGGTTATATGGAGTGGAATATGTATTACCTCCTCCGTTAATTTCGTAGGTTCCTTTATCTACTGGTAATCTCACGTAATGCGTTATATTCCAGGCTAAAGGATTGTATATTGTAACAATAAACTGATCCTCTGTGTTGCATATACTAATGTTGCTTAAATGGCACGATTTTAGGTTTAATTTCAAATCGTCTCCTAATAATTCGCTACGAAATATATCAAGTAAGTGGATTTCAAAAAAATCAACCTAACTTTGCTCACTTTACAATTTCACCGAGATCTTTCTCGGCGTCTTCGATTCCCTTGGTGAGTCGCCTGACATAATCGCTAGCGACATGTTGCTTCTCGGTGCCTGTTATGGCGTCGTGGTGTTGCATGACGCCCATCATCTCCCGCAAGTACCTCAAATTGTCGTCGTAAGTTTTGTTTGTGAGTATCGAATTTTGGGCGTAGAGTTGCTTAGTTACCTGCAAAATATTTTTTAGTAGACAATCGATTAGGTATCGAATTGAATTTGTTTTGTGTTTACCTGCAGGACGTTGTGTCCGGTTCTTTCGAATCTCTTGGAGTTCGGCCTGGAAGAGAAGTAACCGGTCCAGAAGGAGTGATTGTCGTTGCTGTAAGGGAAGAAGTCGTCGAGTTTCACGACTAAATTGTCGTTTTGTTTGTCGAGAGAATCGTGCACGGATTTAACGTAACAAGATGGCGTGGAATAGAAGACGTTTAGATCAGTTTTGTTTGTTCGAAAGGCTCTACAAAACGATACAATATTTTATTTTGCTAGCTACTGTTTTGGTGATGGTAGGTACTTAATGAATTTATCCATGTTTCCGAAATTCTTTTCGGCTGCTTCGAATTGAAAATCGCCGCCCATTGGTATGATGATGTTGTTGGTAGGAAAATATTTGGCGTACTGATGTTTGATTAGATCCGTGAATTCCTCTACTATTTCGCCTAGATTATAGTCAGGGCTATTCGGGTTATCGTCGATAACATCATCAGCGCACTTGTAATCCCAGCAGAATCCCGACGGTGGGAAATAAATATCGGTAGCAAAAGTACTGCCGAATATCACGCTGTTGTCTAAGAATATTTCGTAGAATTCGAAATGTTTTAGTAAGATTTACGTTACCTAAATTTTGGCTTCCTCGCCAAGCGAAATCCATAGTTCGGTTATTCATTCTGGTATCTTTGTCATCGTGATCCAGCCTGGAGAAAATCATCGCGTCGTAACCGAGTTGTCCCAGCAGGGAGGCCTGCTCTCTGCTGTGCCCGAACGGGTCGATCTGCCAGCCGATTCTCGGTCTGCCGCAGTCTCCGACTGTTTCGCTCAAAGTCCTGAAACCTTACCAATCAACACCTGCTGGAGTAAACACCAAAAGGTAACAGTCTTACCTCAAACCCCAGGTGAATTGGTCGATGGTAGATTGGTAATTAACGCAAGCCTCGTCGTTCATCGACCAGGCCCCGTTGGCCATTTCTATTTGGCCGTTTTCTACCAAACTTCTGTATTTCTTCCTGGTTTCCTCGTCTTGGTTCTTCCACCATTGCCAGAAGAATGCCGTTTCGACTTGGGTAAATCTGGATAAGGGATAATAAGCCCTTCGATAGGAATTTTGTTATACCTACTAACCTTCTATCTTTATTTTCTAATAAAGCCTCATAGACTGAGGTGATGATGTATTGGACACCGGCTTGCTGAATTTTGTTTTTCACTGAAATCGCGTGGATTTTTGGTTGTATTTACTGGTGTTTTTTTAATACTTACTGCCGTAGTAATACTGGTCTACTGTCTTCAACCATCCTACATCATCGTGAGAATGGGGTATTAGATGCACGTTAATTTTATCAGTTTCTACAGGGTGGCACACCAAACACCCCAATTTGTTGTCGTCTTTGACGGGGTTGGAAAAAGCGATTGTTAAATGTATTAACAAAATCAGCAATTTTAGATCCATATTGAGCTTTGAATGAAACACCGTGAAACTCAGTTTTTATTGATACGTAATGTGTAATAGAGAAAATCTTAATTTAATACTTTTAGATAAGATTATAGTACATTAAATGTAATCAAATCAGATATTGCTGTTGTCACTAGATTGAAATAAACAATATTTGTTTATTATTAAGGTTACAATTTTAAATAATTCATACAAGATTATTTTTGTAAGATAACTGCAGGTAAATATTTTTTTGCATTTGTCAATTAAAATCTAATTAAATCAGTTTGCTTAATGGATGTATAACGAGCTGAGAAATTATTATGGATTTTTTTTAATTTGAATTTCATCAAATGGACTGTGGTGTGGTTACCTTACTGTACAAATATTGCTCGATTTAGAGCTTTGTTTGATAATAATAAGGGAGTCTGAGATGAGAAATTCCACCCCTTAAAAACCCCGTCGTCTGGACGGCGGGCCGGCAAATAGGAGAACTCAGATTGGAGTTCATGCGCTCTCGCTCCAGACGTCGCAAGGCGTCGTGGCGCCAACGAAAACCTACTTTAACAAGATGAATACGTTAAAGTACATTTTTACCGCTAAAACGCCTCCGACACAAGCTTAATCCAATGCAAAATTAGGTAAGCAATCGCTTCGAAACAAACCACACAATTTATTTTATTTTATTCATCAGTATGGACCCGACGACGCTAATCATCTGCATAATGCTCTCCCTGTCCCTCTTCTGCATACTGCTCGTGCTGTTCATCAAGTGCGTGCTCTCCTGCCTGGAGTCCAGCACGTTCTTCAGGTCGCACAACTGGAAACCCTACGAGAACGAGACCTACGAAGTCGACGCCCTCAGCCTGCAGTCCGTCAACCTGCAGCACGTGGCCTCCTCCTCGCCGCTGGTCCACGCCGAGACAGCGCTGGTGCCGACCCATCCGCCCCGCAACCGCTCCAGCGATGTCCTGCAGACGCTCGTCACCGGCCTCGCCGAGGACGCCGTCACCATGGCGGAGATCGCGAGCACCGTCAGCAGGGAGAGCCCCAGCGGCTGCGATTCGCTCAGCTTCGGCAGCGTCATCGTCGAGTGCTTGGATTTAGAGTGAGCTGGTTGAAGATTCTCCAAGTGGCTTAAATTAGTGATGTTAAACGTGTTCAGAGTTTACTATTTTTTGTAAATTTGTATCGCTACTACAGGTATTTAGTGTGTTCGATATTTTGTACATTTAAAATGGAACTTTGTAAAGAGTACGAGTCTGATACTTCAAAATATTCAATATTCAGCGCTCCGCTAATGAATCGTTTAAAAAGTCACTTTAACTTGACAGTTTAACGTTGTTGTTATGGAGTAACTAGGGAGATTCTTTCATTTGACAGTTTAACATTGATTGTTATGGGGTAACTAAGGAGTTTCTTCCATTTGACAGTTTTAGTTTGGTTGTTATGAAGTAACCAAGGAGATTCTTTCAATTGACAGTTTTACATTGGTTGTTATGGAGTAACTATGGATATTGTTTACGCTAAAGAGACTAAACGATTGATTAGTATTAAAAAGGAGCGCTGATTACGGCCAAAGAGTTCGTACAACTCTGTGTAACTTAGAGTTAAAAAAATAACAGAACCGGACTCTACTGAAATTAAATTAAATTATATTATATTAAATAAATGAACTAATTACAATTTGTTTACTTTCGGGCGTCGTTGGTATAGCGATCGAGTACACACATCGAGTTCCCCTCGTATAGTCGAATTATGCTAAGTGTTATTGAGTATCGAATGGGAAATACGCAGACGCGCGTTTTCAAGGCGCCAACGTGACCAGCTTGTAGATCTCTCTTTGCGTTTTTTTTTTTGTTTTGTTGACAAACGCGAGCCCAAGCCAAGTCGGGCCCGTTTATCGCAGGGGAATTGCCAAAAAATTCCCGTTCGATTCGAACGAATCGATTTTGTGCGTTTAGTGATAGTATACAATTACATATCGCTGTAGAATAGGCGAAGAATCGTCCGGAAAATAAGGCGAGTATCCATCGAAATTAGCTGATGTTTATTTATAGTTTTATCTAACCTCGTAATCGGGACGAGAACGAAACGCGAAGGTTTCGCGTTTGGTTCGGAATTCAACAAGTTAACTGTAACCAACCGAGTAAGGAGTGTTGCGTTCGCGTTTCGCTATGAAAATCTCGCTTCCTTTTCCTGATTGCCCATTTGAATTCACTGCAAACGGCTTTAAAATATTGCGGAAATTATGCACGGATGCTACGAATATGCATTTCCTTGAAAAAAAAAGGATGTATTAAAAGGTCGAATTAATCGCTTCACCCTGTACATTTTTTTATGTAGATGCTTTACAAGTGTTTTGTAACGATTTTTAACCGCTCCTTATCATTATTACTCATTAATAAACCGCTATAACTAATTAGTATGATTGAAATTATTCGGTTCACCCCGTATAACAGAGAATTAAAATGAAGATTCTAACAGAAAGGCGCATGAATATACAGGGTGTTAATTAATAAGTGCGCAAACTTCAACACTTATTAATTATCACCCTGTATTTAGTATCTACAAACTTAAAAATGATATTTTTTATCCTACAGGTAAATTGAGTGCAAAAACATTTCAGGTAGTATTTAGGAGTAGATTTAGAGTAAGTTCATAGTAGATTCAAAAGTAGATACAGAGTAGATTCAATCATCAAAAGAATAAAATTATTAGTATGGTTCTGGGGATACTTTGCGCTTCAATTTCCCTGTAGCATTTACCGACAATTTGCGCCCAATTTACCCATACAAACAAAATCTCTACGTCTTTTAGCGCCCAATTTACATTCTAACGCCCCATTTCGTTTATTTATAGGTGCGATCGTACAGAAACCCACCGTCATTATGGCATACATGTTGATATTTTACGTATTTTTCGGCATAATCACGATGGTGGTCATCGCGATTTTTGTATTCGTATTGATGAGAGCGTGCAGGGGCAGATGGAGCTATTCGAGACCGTGGCCGATGGCCTGGGGCCCATCGCCCTACGCCCAGCCGGGCCCCGCGCCCTACGCCCAGCCGGGCCCCGGCGCCTACCAAGATCGCAATAATTACATGGCGCCCCCCGCGTACGATCCGGCTCGAATGGGACCAGCGCCGATGGTGCAACCGGAGCAAATGCAACCAGGCGTCCCGCCGACGATCGGGTTCACCACGCAGGTGGTGAACGAGACCTACAAGGACCCCCGTCCGCCCAATTATCCTCCGCAGGGGAACGACCAATGGAAAGGGAACGCTTACAATAATTACTAAAACATTGCTAATTTCACGTTGGGTCGTTGGAAGCCGCTTGAATCAGTGCTGTATTCGTAGCGAACACATCCGGATTACTATTGCATTTTTTTTTTAATTATTAATTCATTAGGCCGTATTTATAAAAAGGAAGGTTTAAGTATATGCGTAAAAAGAAGAGAAGGAAGAGAGGTTTTGCTTCGAGGACTCTGCTGTTTTATGGTTTTAAAATCTTTGTATAAGAACCTTTTTCTCCTATTTTTTTGCCTCTACTTCAAAGTAAATGCTTCATTATTATAAATATGGACTATTATCTCGTGCTGGAGAACCCGCAAAAAACCGTAATTAATGAGATAAGGAGTTGTAAAAATGTTCAACACGACAGATTATTATTACAAACACTTCCATTTTTTATAAATCGACTTGTATACTGATATACTATTTTTAGAAATCCTTTATGTACTTGCATAAAAAGCACGCTGTATGCTACCGTTGCTACCTCATTTTTCGAGAACAACTTATTTTTTATACGCAAATAAAATATACTTCTTAACAACGCTCGTCTTTTTCCTCCCTCAATCCTTCTCTAAATACGCTGTTTTATCGATTGCAGATTACAGAATGGCGCCTCTCTACGTGTTCTTAATATGCCTGTCGGGAATGGTGGTCGGCGGTATAAGCTTCATGTTCTGCTGTTGCATAGGAAATTACAAATCGACCGAATCCCGCAAAAACCACTCCCAAAAATCCAACCATAAAGAAAACCGCGATAAAAACAACGATGTGGAAAAAGGCCCCAGCATGCTCGACGATCATGATGAACACGATGAACACGATGAACACGATGAACACGATCACAAAGAGCACGAGGAAGGCGGTGAACACGATAGAAACTCGGAGCATCGCAAAGAGGAAGATTCTGCTAGCGTACACTCGAATATTGGAGCGGCAATGGCGGCGGCTGCTATCAGTGCTAATTTAGTGGGCTCCATGCCGCCCAGCGGGAACGAAAAAAGGCCCTCCAAGGAGCTGGATAAAGAGATCGATTTGTTGTTTAGTATAAGCGAGAAGGAGGAGAAACGGGAGGAAAGCAGAAGTGTTCATTTTGGAGAAGACGAACCTAAACACAAAGAGGAGGATCACAAACATTCCGGCGGGTACGGGGGTTTCCTGGACGCGGGAAACCATAGGGAAGATTACGATGGGGATAATTTACATCAAAATGTAACGAGTAACTTTGACTGAGATGAGAACGGGATGTTTTAACTGTGTAGCAGAATCTCGCTAATATTTTTTGATACAATTTTTTAATGCTGCTTTGGTAAAATTTAGTTTGAAAGTGGGTGCCTTAGTTTACTCTATACAGGGCGATTCGCTTGGTAAGGTGATTTATCGAATTGTTTACTTATATTAGGCATTTCTCGAAGCTGTTATTTTTTCTGGAAATCTATTACGCAATTTTCTTAAGAAAATTGGTGCTAAAATTTCAGGACCGGATTATAAAAAATACTAGAAAAACCTTGTATACTTGTAACATATTAATTAAAAATTTTAGCTATGACACAATATGTAACAATTTTATGATATTACTTTTACAATTTTGTACCTATGTAACATAATATACATTTTTTACACATCATTTCCATTCTTCCTCATTACAGAAACAATCCCTAAAAACCCCCAATATAATATACAAGATGTAATGAAATTAAACGAGCCAAAATTTTATTGAAAAATTTTGGAGTTATTGAAAAAAAAACAATTTTCTTTTGTACCATAAACATGCTATAACTTGTTTCATACGGCATTTTCGATATAGCTCCAATACGCTTAACTTTTACCCCAGAATATCTGGCATAATGATTTTTACACTCTGTAAAAAACCAACCGAACTCCGAATAAAACCCATCAATTCGCCGGCATCCCCGGGGCCGCCCCCGCTTCGATTGCGCGTTTGGTGCATCGGGCAACCTTCCGCCCGGCGTAAAGGGGTTAACCCGAGAGAATGTGGAACGCGCCGGCCTTGGCCCACATCGGCGAAAACCCCTCGGGGAGGCCGCAGAAGCGACGGCGGCGCGATCGAATCGCCGCGAAGCCAGCAGGTGGCGGTTCATCTTCCATGCAGGACATCCTCCGGATCGATTGCGAATCGGAATTTCGCGTACCAGTCGAAATATCGCAGTTATTTTCGAATAAATTTTTCGTGGGTATCGAAAATACCCCACAGCGAGGTAGGTAGCGGCGTAATGATGTCTTTATCTGTATTTACTCTGTCGATATCTCCTCGGGCTGGCAGCGCCGGTTTCTCCGACTTACTGTACGGTAAACACCTAAATACATACAAATTATTATCGGACGACAAACAACCCGGTCCTGCGTCGGGTACCCGAATGACAGACAACCCGGAGATTTCGGGTTCAGATGTCAACCGCGAATAATATTTAACGACGGAGTCCGAAACGATAAGGGGGCAGTTTCGAGCTAATCACGCACAATAACTCTTCGTTTTTCGAAATTCCGTAGTCACTCGTCCGCTTATCGACGTAAAAAGTGTATTCTTCCTCCACAGATAGCGGCGATTTTTATTCCTCTCGTCATATCTGGTTCGTGCTGGCAATTAAAAAGTCGTCACCGAAAGGCTCGCTCTCGATACACTGAGGATGTCCAATGTGAGTACTAAATTATTGTTTTACCTGCGATTCGCTTCATTTGCTGTTGTGATTTAAGGCCATTTTCGTATTAAGCTAGGTTGAATAAAGAGGAAGTAACAGCGATATTTCTTTATTATGTAGTGCGCAATGCTAATTCAATTATATTTTATTAAATATGTTCTCACTAGTTTTAATTGCTTTGCAAATATTGATTCGTGTTGTAATGGCAAAATTTTCGGATTTTGCCAACTTTCAATAATATACAGGGTGATTCAACAGAATGTGTTTGTAATGCATCACCTTGTAATAATTTTTTTTGATTAACGGAATAAATTTGTGGAAAAATTGAGCCAGAAGGGATACATATGTTTAGATGAAAAATTAAGGTTGTGTATATTATTATTATTATAATCAACAAACGGATTTTCTGTGCCAGTTACTGGGCGCACCGAGCGACCTTTGACACGCCAATCGAGTTTATCTCGAAACTCTACGGTCGTTTACTCAATCGTCGCGTTCCCCGTACCGAATTATTTACAAATTTTTTGAAAATTTTCCTCCGAAAACACAATCACCAGAAATCGGTTTTTTATCCCAAAAATTCCCCCGAGTCACTGACCCACCCTGTATACATTTCGACAACGCAAAAATTATCTCGCAGATACACTTTAACTCACAACAAAATTTATTTTGAAAATTTTTTATCGATTATATTTAGTAAATACTCGATTATTTATAATCACCCGTTGTAATAAATCTTGTATACTTGTTCACCCGAATGTTCACAACAAGAGTGCATAATAAGTGTTCATTTAATCAAAACAACAAGCTGAAGAATCTAAACACATAGAGGACGATAATAAATCGAACGCCCGGCTAGCGAAGAAAAAAGAAAATCAGGCCGACAAGCCGAAGATAAACCGACTAAAAAAGCTTCTCTACTTTGATTTCAGATGGGAAAGGAAGCGCTGGTGCTGGTGCTGGCGACGCTGCACGCGGCCCTCGGCGCCTTCGTGTCCCCATCGGACCTAATGAAATGCTCCTACGGGGACAGGGGCTCGTTGACGGCCACCTGCTTCAACGCCAATCCGCACTACTTTCGCAGCACCTCGTACAGGTTCGATCAATTGGACGAGACGGTGCGGTGCGAGCGATGCACGCTCACCGTCATCGAATCGGGCACGTTCGATCTGTCGGGCAACCTGATCAAGAACCTGGTGCTGAACGACAGCCGCGTGGAGAAGATCAATCCCAAAGGGTTCGTCGGCCTGATTTTCCTCGAGCGGCTGGTGCTGAGCAACAACCGCATCAGCTCGATCTATCCGGGAACGTTCATCGGCGTGAAGAAGATCAAGGTGATCGATTTGTCGCACAATCGGCTCGATATATTATCCGACGACGGGTTCTTGGAGCTCAAAAATCTCATCGAACTCAACATGGAATCGAACATGATATCGACGATAGCTAAGAGAGCTTTCAACGGTTTGGATTCCATCGAAACCATCAATTTATCTCACAACAAACTCACCAGCTTGAACGATGTCTTCAGCAACATGACCTCTTTGACGGTACTCAACTTGCAATACAACGAAATATCCACGTTGAACGGCAACGAATTCACCAACGCCACCAGTCTGCTGGAATTGAATCTAGCCAACAACAACCTCACCACCGTCGTCATCGACATAGATCCGAGGAACGATCTGCGGAACCTCTTCTTGCAATACAATTTCATCGAGACGCCCAAGGAGAAGTTCCTCGTCGGCCTGCACAGCCTGGAGAACCTCGACCTCAGCCACAACCTCATCGGCGACATCAACATCAAACTGTGGGAGAAACTCTTCCAGTTGCGCCACCTCAACATCTCCTTCAACAGGCTCACCGGCATACAGACGGGCGCCTTCTCCGGCCTGCCGCAGTTGGAGCTGCTCAACGTGTCTCACAATCACATCGCCGAGGTGCAGGTCACCGGGATATTCTCGTTGCACAGCCTGCACGCGCTGGATTTGTCCTATAACCAGCTCATCGATTTCGACTACGTGGGGCTGATATCCCGGCTGCCGAGGTTGTCGTACTTGAGATTGGAGGAGAACCGGCTGCCCTGCGACCTGGAGGACGAAATGGAGACCTACTTCGAGGAGGATAACTTCAAGTACGTCCTCTACGACAACGCTGTGGGTTCGTTTAAGTGTACTGATAGACCGCAGAAGAATTCTCTGAAGGCGAACGCAGCGTTGTTGGAGAGTCCTGATACTGAACCGGCTGGAATGACCGGAGCAGAAGTTACTATTGTAGTATTAATTTCGATTGTGTTCGTGTGCATTGGGTTCTTGTTTTACATGCAATATCGCACTTATAGGGAACTGTCTTATTCGACGAACACCAACAGGTCGGTTTCTTCTGCTAATTTAGTGAGCTCGGATGTTTTGGAAACGGGCGGGGACAATTATTTGCGGGAGTAAAAAAAATTTCCTGTTTCCACAAACTCTCCATATCACCACGCAAATTAAGAGAAATGTTTCTCTTTGTTTGTCCGACTTATTTTCTAACTATTTATAGATTTGACTATATAAATTATTAATAAATATGTATCTCTTCTGTTGTTTGTTAAATAATTTCTGCACTTGGTACATTCAAGGTTAGATAAATTGTACTTTTATGTGTAATATTTTATCGCTGTTCTTCCTGTTTTACACCTACAGCTTTGAATAAATAGCACAAAACGCTGCAAAATTAATATTCATTCCTTATACAAATACACTCGAATAATTTTTGAATTAGGAAAGTATTGAATTGAAATCAAACTTTATTTGGGGTTATTAATTTTATTTATCACTACTTTTAACAATTAGCATACGCAAATTTGTGATAATAACTGCATGTTGTAAAATCTCCAAGTTAGAGCTCTAATAATAATAAATATTTTATTAAATTTATCACTCAATAATTTCTTCCTTAACTTCCGTTTGAAAGTCCTGTTGGGACCCTTCAGAATCGAGTAACATCGAACTTGTTGCAGATACTGAAATTACTCGTCCACCTCCTGCTGGTGCTCTCCTGCGGGGCGCTATTCCCGTGGTCGACTTCGCCGATGTCCTGCAGCTACGGCCCGCGGGGCTCGCTGACGGCCATCTGCGTGAACGCCACCAGCGACTACTTCAGGATGACCAACTACCGGTTCGACTATCTGGACGAGACGCTGGTGTGCCTCAACTGCACGCTGACCACGCTCGACATGGGCACCTTCGACATACCCGGCAACGAGATCAAAACGCTGGACATCAGAAACAGCTCGGTGTCGATCATCGTGCCGCGGGCGTTCCTCGGGATGATCTACATGCAAACGTTGCTGCTGTCCAACAACAACATCACGCGCATCTATCCGGGGGCTTTCGACGGCGCCAGGAAGGTGAAGAGGCTGGAGATGAACAACGCGCTGGCCGGTTTCAATTTCACCGGCGCTTTCAAAGGTTTGCATCTGCTCGAAGAGTTGTCGTTGAACCATAATAGTCTCGAGACGATCGAGGTTGGTATGTTCGAAGGCTTGCACAGTTTGGGGATACTGGATTTGAGCTACAATCGGCTGAAGACGCTTAGAGGTATTTTCGATCCGTTAGTGAATTTGAAGGTGTTGAATCTCGAACATAATTCCATTAGGAACTTAAATTCGGGCAATGAATTTCAAACGCTCGGATCGTTGTTGTCGTTAAATTTACAATACAATCAAATGTATAATTTCTCGATTAACTTACCTGATGGTAATGACTTGAAGAGCCTCCAGTTGGCTTACAATTTCTTGGACAACAAAAGTTTCCAAAAGAAGGCATTCGACGGCCTCAACAACTTGGAATATCTCGATTTAAAAAAGAACGAATTCGAAGACATCCCGGTGAGGTTCTTCCAAGGCTTGTACAGACTGGTAACAATGGACTTGAGCTACAACAAACTCAAAGCCATCAGCACGGGCGCGTTCACCGGCTTGCCGCACCTCAGGCACCTGAACCTCTCCTCGAATCTCGTCAAAGACCTGAAGATCACCGGTCGATTCAGCCTGCCCAGCCTGGTGGAGCTGGACCTGGCCCGAAACCGCATCGTCGACTTCGACTACATGAGCCTCATCAGGCGCGCCCCCAAGCTCCGGCTGATCGATCTGCGCCACAACGAGCTGTCCTGCCGGATGGCCGGCGAGCTGCGCGTCCTCTTCCGCAACGACGCCGTCAGCTACCAGCTGGACGAGCCGGCGCCGGGGGGCAAAGCCTGCCCGGCGTTCGCGCCCTCCAGCGCGGACACCCTCATCGCGGAGAACGTCGAGGAGATGGGGTACCGAGTGGCCGGCGGATCGTTCCTGATTTGGATGTTCGTCCTGCTCACCGTCGCCATATTGCTCATCGGTCTGCTGTTCTACGTGCAGTTCTTCAACGTGCTGAGGATCGGCCCGAGCCGAAAATTTTTCCCCGAGGTTAGGCTGAGCACCACCCGGGGGAACCTACAGGGGTGATTTTCTTATTGAAGCATATCGTTGGTTTATATTATTCGTATTGTTGATTAAATTTTTATTAAAATAGGTGTAATTTAAGAGCAATATAAAGTAAGATTTGGAAGTGAGTGTTTGATTTTAGGATTTTTATTAACAGTGACTTTATAACAAGCATACTCCAACTCTACAGTTGATGAAAAAAAGTAGGTTTTGTGGTATTTTTATTCGGAAATCTGGCAGACTTAAATTTCCGGAAGACTCGACGGCACAATACATTATTGTCGGCGAGATTTGTGGGGATATTAGGAATTTTTGGCAAGATTCCGACGAATCCAGGAACGCATCCAGACTGGCCGTCTCGACGAATTAGCGCGGCGTCTTCGGAACGTGGAAGATTCACAAACATAGATTTTCTTGATGTCGTCGCTAATGCGGAAAATTGGCTATTTTCGTCCAATATTTGGTATGTTCCAGAAGCATGTTCTCGATATAACTCGTACAATAACACAAAAAAAGCGTTCCACAAGTCTTTTTTTAATTTACTAGGTAAATACTGTAATTATTACCCTACCCAATTCTACTCAAACCTACTCAATACTCTGTTTTATCCTCCTCTATCCTGCCCAATCCTTCCCTACCCTCCCTTAAAATCCTACTCTTTCATTTCTGATCCTACTCTATCCTCCTCTATTCTACTATATCCCTTCCTATTCCACTCTACTCTATCCTACTGTTGTTCTACTCTATCCGTTTCTCTCCTCTCAAATCCTACATAACCCTATACCTTTCCCAGTATTCTTCTTGGATCAACATTAGGGTGTGTTTTAGTTGGTCCACCCGGTATTCTCAGGGTCAACCTTCCGCACGCCACCGGTGACGTCTCCACCGGTACACGCGGACGCATCGACGTGACGTCACCGGAGGCGGCCGGCGCGGCGTCGCGGCGCAAGCTCCGCGTGGCGGCCGCGCCGCCGATCGACTGGGAAACGGGGGAGCTGGGCACGGGAAGCGCCCGCCATCCAGCCAGCAGCAGTCAGTCCGGTCGCCGTCCCCAGCAGAGTCGATTCGAGTGCGCGCCGACGGCAGCCCAGCGACCGCTTCCCAACCGCCATTTGAGCGATATACGATATATATACTGCGTCGTGCGGAGGACGCGTAGCCGACGGAGGAGCGAGCACCGGGTGGTGGTGCAAGGGGGAGTTGGAGAGGTCCGGCGAGGGAGTCGAGTGGAGAGAGAGATTTTTTGGTGGATAGCTGGCTGATTTTTTTGGGGATTTTCGGTGGGTTGTGTTGGTATTGTAGGAAGCTTTGTGTTAGCTTAATGTTGTAGTTAGAACTGTTTTCTTGGTTGTTTGTTTGGTAGAAAAGTGTTTGTTAGTAAAGTGTTGTTTCTCGTCGTTTGCAAAATTTTTGCTAATTTGACCTATATTTTACTTATTAGATACTATTTATTTGTCAATTTTTGATAATCTTTTTTTCAAGTTATTTTAGGCGATTGTTGTAATTTTTTTTTAGGAATTTAAAAGCAATACTAAACAGTAATTAGATGATTTTCCCATCACATTAATTAGTTTGAAAATTTGTATTATGGTTGGTTTTTCGAGATTATCAAATATTTTTTACGATTTTTGGATGTTATTTGCACTGTTCAACTCGAATTTCATCACAAATTTGATTCATTTTAACAACCTTTGTGTAATTTTCTACACAAATAAACAATATCAAACTTCAAAATGAATTCAAAAACCATCTATAATTTCTAAATCATGACTAAAACTCTCCTTTTTTGAGAGATCATCATTAAAATTAGTCATTTAAATAAATGTAGAAATTTTAATTACACAACTTCAGTACAACTCGCCGAGTTTATAAAGAACAAACAAAATTTCATTTTGTCCCTTGTTTATTCAATTTATCAAATTGTTCCAGCTTGTCGTGCTCCCTCTTTAAACTTAAGCAATCTCATCTACAAACAGCTTCTTTGACAAATCATTAAAATCTTTGTTTAATTTACATTGTTATAAAAATGTTATTTGGCCCATAGAACAATTGACAATTCAATAGGAATAATTTACTAATTAATTAAATTTGCAACGGTTTCCACTGAATTTTTTGTAGAGCTTTTACGCGCAAATTCCGCCCGATTAGCGGCTAAAATTAATTCAATTAAACTAATTACCACGTTTGCATTTCAGCATTTTCTCGTTTCAGGTGTGTTTAGTCGCCTCTGAGGCAGGTTTTCCGTACAGGTGAGTAAAATTAACGCAGAAAAATAAATTCCCACCCGTCGAGAAAAGCGCATTCCAGTCGAAAAAAAACCTTAACAACTCTATCGGTTTGTTCCGGGAGAAAATATCGGAAAAAGATTCGTTTCATTTCGCTGAAAGGGGGAAAATTGCATTCCTTCGACGTCTCGAAGGCCGTGGAAAATTTATATACAGACGTCTGGGTTTCGGAGGGAAATCGAAAAAAACTCGCATCGATTTTAACTAAGCAATTCGAAGGATAATCCCTTTCCGTTTTTTTATAGAAGAGAAAAACCTTTCGAAAGATAATTGCGGATATTGTCGTAATCTCCGAGATGTAACTACATCAAAGCGAATATCTTTCACTTCCTGCGGATTATATTTTATTTCCATCGTTTATTTCCTCCCGGAAGAGGAAATTTTAAAGGCGAAGTTTCACAAAATGTCTCCATTAATCTTCGTTAAATTTCGATATAATTGACACCCTGTACGTCCGCCAATCGGCGCCTTTCTCGCCAAAAAGAAGGCATCATCGTTATTCGAGATAAGAGTGCAAAGAAAGAAGTCCTAACCAGCCCCCTCGACCCGGAGTTAGAAAGAAAAAGGAGCGCTAGGCTGAGAAAAAATCTAAATTACACCGTCGCATCCTCTCTCGCCGGGAACATTCCGTGCGAGAGACGCCGACGACGACGTCGCGGCGCTTTCCGCCCCGAAAGACTTCATTGTTGTGCGCGAATTCATCCGGATCCGGAGCTCCTAATCTCGGGGAGTTTCCAACTCTCGCAATGATGGATGTTTCGGTTTTATTGGGATCCGAGCGGGTTAACGGCGACCTCGGCCGGTCGTACGTGCCAAGGTGGAATTAGGATTAGGCGCTAAAAAGTTTGTTCGAACGGAAGTTCCACAGAGCGAAGTTTCTTGTTCGGGACAATCAGATTTTATAATGGGGCTTTATTTAAAAAAAATGGTGGAGGCGCGTGCGCTCCTTCGCCATTTTATTAATTTGAAAATGCTTTTAAAAGTAGTGGAGTATTGAGTAAATAAGTATTAAAATGATTTACAATATTGAATAGTAATGCTATCTAGTAGATCCTAATGATAATTGCTCAATATAATGAGTGTATGTTTAAAATTTTTAAATATAAAAAATGGTGGAGGCGTTCGTGATCCTTCACCATTTTTGAACGAATAAATATCCTGCTGCTCTATAAAATCTAAACAAAAAAATCGAACGCGTCTATCGATCGAAATAATTCCCGGTTCGAAATAATCCGGCTCTACGAATTCCAGTGCAGAGAAGAGAGAATATCATCGAACCTTGACCGAGGTTTTCGAGCGAATTTCGCGTGATTTCTGCTTCGAGCGCATCGCGTGCAAATGACCGTAATTATCGGGCAGGAATTTTTTCACCCGTCCGTCCGGTGTTCATTCGGCGGGCCAATTTGATGTATTTATAAAGCGGGAGAGTTCGTGAAAAAAAATAGTAGCCATAGGATCTCGTTTGGTTCCGATTAACCGGGCTCTTTCGGTGCGGTAAAAATCCATCTATTTTTTCGAACTTTGGAATGAATATGTTATCAATTTTATCAATCCGAGTTCGACATTGGAAATTTGCATCGCTCATCGAAATTCGTGATTTTTTATACCCTCATATCATCTTTATGCGGGTTCACATCGGGATGATTTATTACCTATACACGAGGGATTTTTTATTATTTATACGCCCCAAAAAATCACATTATTTTTATTAGTACATCCACGCTCTTCCTACCAAGTATCGAGGAACAGAAATTTAATAATTTCCTCCGAAAATACGCCTATATATCGAATTCATAAATTTTATATGCGGGATTTCGCACGTCCCACAATTTTCTCTAGACGACTATCGGGTATTATCCGGCCCGTTCGTTTCTCAAGTACGTCCCGATAAATTATTAACCGCAAACACGTATAGGAAAATTATCTATAGAAAGTATACGAACAATTACGACTCGCGAATTATTAAAATCCCACACCGGCCAAGTTAACGCGCTAATCGATTATTTATCCCGCCGACTGCGCCAATTTTTAGCGCTGTTTAACTGCTACTGAAATTACTTTGTTGTTCTCGATGAAGGGCGTCGAATTCAATTTCCGTGTCGCGTATATGTAATAGGAAAAGAGTCGAGTAATTTTTTTAATTGCTGCGAAAAGGGGACGCGAATTTCCAGCTGGCTTTATCGTTTATTCATTGGGAAAATTTTAAATTTATTTAATGGACTTTGGTTGTAATTTATTCATCAGGTATCGATCAAACTGTTTCCCATGTGAATAAGTTATGTAGGGAAAATGTTAGAAGAAAAAAATTGGCGTGTTTATGTGGTATTGAAGGAACGAATTCGTGGGAAATTGTGCCATTTTTTGTGCTAAGAAACGGGTCAATCGTGCGTTGATTTTCCATATATTTCCACAATTTCGCGGATACATATCATATCGCGCCTGTAATGTATTCACGAATAAATAATTCTTTACGTAAAAAATGTACTAGCCTAAGTACACGTCGTCGTTTTGAAGGCTTCTCTTTTATAATTCAGATCAATTTATTAATAGAAAATCGATCGGGAAAAAATGAGCGAACCACGGAGTCCGATTAGTTTAAACGGCTTGAATAAATTTAATCGATCGCCATTAAAATTTCACAATTCGAATTCGATTTCAGTGCATCTCTGTTCGATTCCGTTCAAAGCCATCAATTCATCTCTCTCTGTCAGCACGTGTACGGCGACTCCTGCAATTAATACTCGGTTTTTATTAATGTGAAAACTTATCGATTTCGAGAGTCCGGGGAGTTTGCACAACCAGTTACTCGTTACCGTTTTAGTTGGCAGAACTGTATACATAAAGCGGAATAGGTAATCCCGAGCGGCGACGATCCGCCCACGCCCGGATCGAGATGAGATCTGATTTTCGTTCTCGAGCTTGTTTACCATAAAGTTTACTAACTTGATGCTCTTTTCCGGGGGAAAAACCATTAGAATTTAGCATTCTGATGTCTAGACTCGAGGATTTTTAGGTTCGCTAATTGGCTTCTCCTCGTATTTTTTGTTTATCGACTTCACTTAGTATTTATTTTTGAGACCTGATTTTCATTTCCAAGTTTCTTTACTATAAAGATATCTTACTTGATATGCCTTTTAAAGGAATATAACCATTAGAATTTAGCATTTACTTTGCTTATCGATTTCCACTCGTATTTTTTTGAGATAATGATTTTCATTTCCAACTTTGTTTACCATAACTTGATGTCCTTTTCCGATGCACAAACTATTAGAATTGAACATTTTACTGTCTATAAACTAGATGATTTTTGCTTCGCTTATCGACTGCCACTCGCATTTTTTGTACTTATCGTCTCCCACGCGTCGAGCAGCAGTTTATTTTGAATTTTGATTCCGCGCTCTAATCGCATTTCCATCGATTTCCGGTTCGATTGTAACCGCGCTCGAGGTGCAGTTAAAATATGAAATTTAATATCGCCGGCGGAATTTCGCCAGGGATCGATTCCCAATTCCGCAGGACTAAATAATTCAGCGTTTCGACGAATTTAATTAAATTCCGTTTTGCAGTAATTACATTGTATGCACACCAACGTTCGATTGGTTTTTGAATATTTCGCGTTTTATCGCTATCATACAGGAGTCAAGTATATAAAAGAACAACTTCTTTAGAAACCTAGACTCAAAAATTCAAAAAATTATCTTTAGGTTACAAATTTTTCCCCATTACATACCTACCTCAACTCTCCAGTTATTTTCGCCATAAAAAAATTAATAATTCACCGTCTCGAAATCGTTGTATCATCCGGAGGAATCGGTTTATTTTGGAGCCGCGTCTGGACTGGAGCTCCCCCGGGCTCTCAGGCGGCATTGACCCACTTTTGAGCGCCTCAACCGACTTCAATTATATATATATATTTCGAACTTGACGCCCAATTTTTCCGGGTGCGTGCCGGAATCGATAAAAACCAACCTTCCCGACACTTTAGGGTAGGACCCGGAGCGCCGTTCTTCCCTTATTACGCACCCTTTAACTGCTAATTGGACGTGATGAAAGGCAACGTGATGTGAAAAACGTGATTTGACGGCGCTGAATTTATTGGAGTCACTATAAAAGCAGGGAGAATAAAATAGAATCACTATACGATGGGTTGTATAAGTAATTAAAAAAATGAAATAAATCAATTATGATGTAGAATTGTTTCGGAAACTTTCTGAACTCGTTAACAAACCGCCAGGAAACCGAGGTCGGTTCGTGGAAGGTACGGAGTGAAACTCCATTTGTTTCGTTCCATTCGAGCGGATCTTAATTTTCCCCGACGAAATCGAAACGCGGAGTTTTCCCGTATTTCAGTTCCACAATTTATTCCTGCCCATCCTCGTGACCTCGTTTCGTGTTCCCGACAAAAACACGCCCCCGCTTTCGGAGATTTGGGTAATTCGAATGCCGAGAGACAGGGCCGCATTCGGGGAACCTTCGCCCAACATTCGAGACCAAGAACAATCGATTATGTGGTGTAATAATAAAGCAGGAGGAGAGGTTAATTGATTCTTTGATTCCCGATATCTTGCGGCTCTAATGTTTTGGATAGGGGAAAGTAACAACGACGTTTCGAGTACCAAAAATTTCGTTTTCTGGATGACATTTATTCCTATAAACGAGTGTTTGTTTTTTTTGTATTTTTATTATAGATACAAATCGTCGGACTCCATTAGGCTAATGGAGGGAAACGGGGCGAAGATCCCGCGCGGAGCGACTCCGCGTTGCATATTTCATTACGCGCCGGGGAACTCCCCGTAACGGAATTTGCATTATTGACGGCATCGAGTCGCGAGTCGCGAGCCGCAGCCGCCGCCTTTTCCTCCTCCTGCTCCAGGGCCACTCGACTCCAAAACACTTCCGGCTTTGGAGAGGTGCTCGTGCCTTTTTAGACGCCGCGATAACCCGTCGCGCGTTTGTCGCCCCCTCGCGGGTTCGATGAATTTTCGATGATTCGCTCATCTCCATTACAACCCTCTTTGAGCTTGCTTATTAGCACTCGTATGTTTTGGTGGTTTAAATTTTTGCGGGGGTTGGGCTATTTAGGTGGAAGTGGACGGCGATTATATATTGCGCCCTTGGCAACAATCGACCGTTTAGAAACCCCTTTTGCGTGAATTATTGAAGGTCTCATTACATCATCCACTGCAATTCGAAGTTAATCTACCCTACCTTCATTCAATAAACCGACGCAAAACGGACGATTAAGTGCTTTGTTTGTCATCGAATCCTTTATCACCAAAGCTTTGCTACCGAATTTAATACAGCATTTTTTGAATTTGAAGTTTATACTATCTACCATTCTGCTACCCACTATTATATTACATATGTTTGTATTATTCCACTACATCCACCATCTGTATCTACCAATCTACTTTCTGCTATCCTTGAATTTAGTAGTGTCATTTCCAGTTCCGATCTATCCCGTAATTCCATCTCCTTGGCGGAATAATAGCATGCAATATTCGTTGGAAGTGTACGTTTTCCTGGGGCGAAATGAAACGAAACCCGTCCTCTTCAGGGCTATAAATGACGTCTCCCCGACATTCAAAGAGTCGATATCGCTCCGGCGAGGAATTCGAATTTGAATATATATTCGGAATTTATGTGCCCCGTTCGAGGTTCGAGCCGATTTGAATTTTTCACAGTTCGACGGCGGTGGGTGCTTTTTCCGCGTGACTGGAATATATCGCCTCTCGAACGAACGAAAAAAAACAATTACTCCGATTGAATTATTCAAAAAAAACCGGCGAGAGGCCTAATTGAAACGTCTCGTTGAACTTTCTTTCCAGATTCCTGCAGGTAGTTGATGGTCGAGCGGGCCCGGCTTTAGCATGTCGACGAAGGAGAACATGGCGGGACAGTGGAAATTCATATCGAGAATCGGACGGTAACATCTCACCCCGAAACATTACTAGCAACTAATCGGCGCGCTTTCACAGTGTAATCCCCTGGCCGATAACAGCAGCTTCGACGAGAGGGTTCCGAACGCCCTCCAATCTGACGTCCTCGTCACGTTAGCACATAACCCGCTTGTCCCACGGGATGCTACGCAGGGACACCTCTACTATGCTTATCTACAGTCTTTCCAATGACGATACGGAGATAGTGTTCACCCTAAGGTCCCTCGCCCAGGCCAGCATCATCTTCGTTATGGCCTTGGCCATCATCATCACCAACGCACTCATCATAGCCACCCTGATTAACTTCAGAGGTTCGTATACCGCGTTTTGTGGGCTTAGAAAGATTCTAAAGTGATTCTGAATTCTATAGCGGGACCTACGGAAGTTATAAATTATTACCTGCTGTCGCTGGCAGTAGCCGATTTACTATGTGGCCTTCTAATAGTACCGTTGTCGGTGTATCCGGCGGCTGTGGGCGATTGGGTCTACGGGGACATTCTCTGCCGCGTGATCGGATATTTGGAAGTAACGCTTTGGGCGGTCACCGTCTACACGTTCATGTGGATTAGCGTAGATCGATACTTGGCCGTACGGAAACCTCTTCGATACGAAACCCTTCAAACCAAAACCAGGCACGTACAGGAGCTTACTACATCGATCTGTTATCCTAACGATACATTCTTCTTACCCGTTGAACTTGCAGATGTCAGTGTTGGATGGCTTTTACCTGGATATCGGCGGCGATGCTCTGCTGCCCGCCTCTTCTGAGCTTCACCGAACCGCGCTTCGAGAAAGAGGCCTTCATATGCATGCTGAATTGGGGCAGCATGGCCGCTTATTCCATCACACTTTCCATCCTGATCCTCGGCCCTAGTCTCATCACCATATTCTACACCTACAGTTACATATTCAGGTAAGAGAAGTTACCAGTGCAAGGTCTAGTATGGTTGTAGAGAACCTGGTGTATTGATTGTTCGATTGGATTTTGCAGTATGCTTCGGAAGATCAGGAGCGGTTTTCCGTTTCACGACAAAGAATACGCAACGGCGTTGGCGGAGAACCTGTCGAATCCCAGCCACTTGATGTCCTTCACACTAGTGGTGGCTTTCTGGCTCTCCTGGACGCCTTACATAGGAGTATCGCTTTACGAATATTTCACCGCGCCGCTGCAGAACCAACAAGTAATTAACCGATTTCGATTTCGATTCCTATTTATCGATTTGTTGATGTTGCAGGTGCTGCACTTCGGCATTGTGTGGCTGGGTTTCCTGAACTCCTTCTGGAAGTCGGTGATCCTGATCAGCCTGAGTCCGCAGTTCAGGCTGGCGTTGCGCATCTTCTGCATGACCATCTGCTGCAGGTACAAAGGCCGTCTGCAGGCCGAGCTGATCGGCATGGACGACGACTGACTGCTCCGTCGCCTGCCCGCCCTCGCTTCCAATTTTCCTATAACAGGCATCGCCGTGAGGGACTACGAATTTTTTATAGGTATTTCAAATGTCAATGCGCTGTTGTTTCTGTAGGGTGCTTGAGGTGGGTTTGTTTGTAGGTAAAATGAGAAGATATTGGTGCCAATTTTCGCGACATGAACATTGCCAACGATGAATTGTTCCGGAAATTTGATAAATGTGATTAATTTTTAGGGAGCTCCGTTTAAATTAGCGGCGTCCGTTGATGCCGCTTCGTGCATTTAGGAATCATCGAGTGGATTTTATCGTTGTATTGAATAATTAATCGTAAAAGTCAATTATCATAGGATAGGTTTAATCTGCATTCCTTCATGTTTTATGGCGACACTTCGATTCTAGGGTATCATTAAAGGCGGCGTTCGATGGTTTATTTATTAAATTTATTTGATTTGATCAATTTTGTGCGCTGCTCACAATCGGATGTCCTAGAAATGTTTTTAACTGTTTTTACATAAATGTCAAGGCTTAACACCAAGTAGATTTTAATATTAAATCAAAATACACATGGGCAGATCATTATTATAAAATAATTCATTCAAATTTTAATAATCTTGATAAATTTACACTGATTTTCTTATTTCTCCCTAACTTTACATTGGCCTATGTTTATCAACCCTCTTTACTTCTTACTACAAAATATTTATGCTTGTTTTCAAAAATTAAAAAAACTTTTATGAATTAACTTCCATGGAATATAATCTAGATAGATACCTAATTAAACCTACTTTCTTATTCAATTAACGATCCGAAAGCGAAACTTTAAACTTTCTTTACAACCGAAAACTAACATTTTTTGCATAGCTAAAAGTAGAACAAGCGTGAAAAGCAATCAAAGTGGAAGTTTAAACCAAACTGCAGAAAAATTGAAATAATCAAAAGGCATTATAAATGTTAGAAATTATCCCTTTTAATATATCATTGTGTGATTAATCAGACTGTAGTAAGTTAAAAGTTACGATGAAATCATTATTTAGTCCATTTTCGATGTTTAAATTCAGAAGCTTGTTTTTTCGGAATTAAATTTTAATAATAATAGAATACAGGGTGATTTTATTATGAGGTTCTGTTAGACGTTTTTATGAAATTATGCATTTAAAGTGATTGAATCTATTTTATGAACGCAAGATATAATAGTTTTTAGAAACAGCTAAGAGGAACTCATCACACTGTATATAGCTACCTATTTAACTTACAAAAAAATATATAGAGTGTACAAAATTTTATGCTAGTAAAAGTTAGTAAGTGTTGTAAAATGTTGTAAAAAAATATTTCCGATTCTTCTGTGCAACGCTTAGGGAGTAATTATATCGAAACGTTTAAGAGTTTTTACGAATTTTTCGCAATTAAAGCTTGTATAACTGATTTACTAATTTAGTGATGTATATTTATAGCCGTGCATATGCATATTGCAATATACAGACGTGATTTTTTGAATATTTTCTGCGAGACAGGTTAATTACAATATGTAACGCGTAATGATAGGGATACCGATGAGATGTGAGATGACAGCAACGTGTCAGTTTAACATCAGGTCAGCCTTGACCGTACGAGCGCTCTCATTGGTCGAACAGGCACAGCGACATCTATGAAAATATTTAAAAAACCGAACTCGTCGACCATTATTAGTGATGTATCCAGTCGGGTATAATTTAACATTTACCTGTGCTGAATCCATGGTGCAGACGGCCACGGCGCATGTTTCCAAAAGGCCTACTCATCAAGTTGGCGTGCACTTGCTCGAGATATAATATATATAAAAAATTTAAGGCAAGTCGGCTTGCTTTTGTACAGGAGCTCTTTCTGTGTTCTAACGATGTTATTAATTATATATGTGTCTTATAATCGGTTCTTGTAGGCTTTCATGCGGTGTGTTTCATTCGCGAGTGTTATACAGAGTTGGGCAAAAGTCCGGAATAAAATTATTATCTTTTGAACCAGTAATTTAAACAAAAAACGCCGAAACACGTAAATTGATTTTATATTGTACGGATTTGTTGCCAATAAAATGATTTTTTTTTCTTCAACCCCTTAGTTGCAACCCTACCCAACTTTATTTTTTTAAATACAAAGGTATGTCGTGTGTAGGGTCATTGAAAAGCCCGTGAAAAATGGAATCTAAAACATACCTTTTTTTTATTTTTCTCATGTTGTTATTTGGAAATGAGCAAAAATTTATTTTAAAAACAAAAAAGTTACAAATACCTTTTTAGTGCTATCGACGTAGCAATGTTGAAAATGCCCTTCACCATCTATTTGACAGGCTCACAGGCATTGGTAAAACGTAATATCGATAGCATATCTTTAATTCTGAATGACTTTTTAATAAAAACAGGCGAACCTTTGGTAAAAAAAAACTTGTACAAAAATGCAACACCTGTTTTCCTTTTTGAAGTTCACTGATCAACAATGGCTTAGATTTAAACCCATTTTATGTTTTTGTTTTTTCTTAAAACATAAATTTCAACGAATGTTGATGCTAAATTGCCTTATCAGTTTTAAACGGTAAATCAATAAAATTTGGTGTGCTGCCTGACCAGGCTCGCCTGCTTTTAATAAAAGTTCATTCAGAATTAAAGATAGGCTACCGATATTAGGTTTTACCATTGCCTTGGAGCCTGTTAAGTAGAGTAAGCCTTAATTCACACGTCGATACCACTAAAAAAGTATTTGTAACATATTTGTTTTTAAAAGAATTTTTTGCTCATTTCCAAATAACAACATGAGAAAAATAAAAAAAAAGGTATGTTTTAGATTCCATTTTTCACGGGCTTTTCAATGACCATACACACGACATACCTTTGCATTTGAAAAAATAAAGTTGGGTAGGGTTGCAACTAAGGGGTTGAAGAAAAAAAAATCATTTTATTGGCAACAAATCCGTCCAATATAAAATCAATTTACGTGTTTCAGCGTTTTTTGTTTAAATTACTGGTTTAACAGATAATAATTTTATTCCGGACTTTTGCCCAGCCCTGTATAGAAAAACATCGAATTTTAAAGGGAGTTGAGGAATGTGGAATTGAATGAAACATGCTGTATATAAAAGGATTTTGGGGTATTCAGTTGAATAAACTACCCAAAATTCTTGAAACTTTTTCGAAATTGTCCATTTATATTTACTTATCTAATAGTCACGGTTTTTTCTGTGTAAATAGGAGAGATGTACAAAAATTTCAATAAAATCGAGGTAGATGAAATAGAGTGCTTAAGAGATCATGGGGAAATTACCAATATAATTTCTTACTCGCTCTGGGGGATCTACCGGATTCGTTTTGTTGGTCATAAAATGTTAATGGATTTCAAAAGTTTATATACTTACAATACACTCGTCTAACCTCAATGAAAAACATGTACATATTTTTCAGAGTAGTGTAATTAGCAATAAAAGAAAAATTAATTAAAATTATGCAAATTTTCACCTGTATTGTGTAAAAAAATTAAAAATTGTATACTGGAATTCTATGCGAAACGCGAACCAAAAGAAGCAATAAAGTAAATTTAATGTGATCGATACCTCCCAGTATTTTAAATTAAAATCTATATACGAATTGAATTAAATAAATTAATCCTATCATTTTAGCGGGAGAGTATAAAAATTGATTTCACCTTTAAATTAAGATTCTGTCCCTTTATCCACTAACACTATGTAAATAAAAATTTTTGCACATTATTAAATAGATAATAGAAATTTAACATTGGGGTTAGAAACAAATCGTGGGCTAAACTTTCGTTCGATTTCAATTAGGTTAATTAATTTTGTAATGCACCGATTTAATTTACCACCATAATTAAAAATATACTCTTTTGTATAATAAATGTGCTTCAATTTACCAGTTTAAATAAAATTAATTATAGCCTGTAGCAATCATTATTTAGCGTTAAGAGAAGTTAACGATACATTACAGAGTGAGTTTTTAGATAACGAAAATTGTAAAAAATATTTGTTACGCTCACGACAGTCTAATTTTCTACGTAGTCAGCTAGTTTTGTACAATAGCATAGTTTTGTAATGTATATGTGTAAGTGAGAAACTCTACAGTGTTCACAATGTTGTGTACTAGCTTAAAATTAAAATATTATTTTAAAATAAAAATTGTTTTGAAAATACAAATATATCGAGTTTTATTTATACTAAATCATTTGCCAGTCTTTGGGGTTATAGGGGTGGTAAAAATTAAATGAATATTTAAGTAAAAAAATCGTTTAATTAACTTTTAATGGTTGAATCATTGTACCCTGTAATTCGCTCATAGCTAATAGTGTTAGTTTTATGTGTACTTTAATATCTACAGCTAGTTTTCTAAAGTGCGCTATTTCTTTTTGCAATAATTTCATTCTAATATCTGAATATTTATCGGCTTCATCGCAGTCCATTTCGAGCATGTATCCTAGGCCGATCTGGATGTAATTCCTTTCGTAATCGGATATTTCACCTTGTACCATAAATCCATTGCCTATATCCACTTTCACAGCCATATCGCGGTTTTTTTCTTTGAATGTACGCAGCAATTTCGTCATTTCTTTCACCTCTTCCCAATCTTTGTGCTTTTCCACTTTGGTTTTGAGAATTAATTCGATCTCTTTTAAATCATTTTTGAGTCTATCTTCTATGAAGTTTTCGTATTGCTTTATTTTTTCTTGGACTTCTTCTGGGTTCATTTTTGTTTGAAATTCTTGTTTGTTTATGTTTATTCGGAAACATTGAAAGTATAACCTAACTTTTCAATGCACTAAATTGACAATGACATTATGACTAACACATGTGTTTGTTCTTTTGTAAGTTCTATCTTACTCTGATTTTTATTAGGTTATTGAAATGTCAAAAAAACGATTTTATTCTAGTGTGACATATGACAATGACAATAAATTGACATTGACGTTTCGATGACATTGAATGTTCGAGAAGTTAGATTTCACAACAAATGTGAATCATCGAGTCTAAAGTGCTTCATGATGTGATTATTATTGGTGAACAAATCAAGGTATTTCGTTGTTTTCGATTGTCAGATAACTAATTAGATGTTTTCTCGGCTTATAAACCAGAAAACGCAGAAAATTCCGACAAATTAACGTTAAAATCGCCAAAAAGCATTGCCACATTGGCATATGAAAGTGTCATCACCTGATTTTGACAACCCAACTTGATGATGTTAGCATAATGGTGATTTCAAATTTTAGAATGCCCATCCAGGCACCTCAGTGGACGGAATTCCTTTCGTGTCCAGTATGCTGCAACTCATACGACGAGAAACTACGCAGTCCAATCAGCTTGGGCTGCGGCCACACGATATGCAGGGGCTGTCTCTCCAACCTCCACCGAAAGCAGTGCCCCTTCGACCAGACAATCATAAGCATTGAAATCGAGAACCTACCGGTCAACACGGCGCTGCTTCAGCTCGTCAGCCCGAACATTAGAAACGACAATGACGATATCGATTGTAAGATAGTACCTAGGGAATATTTAGAAAACTATTTAGAATGTAAGAGATACATAGAAGAATTGGCTTTGTATTTGAAGCCGTACCCTAGCGGTAGCGGGGGCAACAACGGAAGCATCCTGTCGAGGCCTATGCAAAGAAAACTAGTCACACTGATTAACTGTCAGTTAGTCGAAGATGAAGGCAGGACTCGTGCGATGAGAGCTGCTCGATCTCTGGGCGAACGAACGGTAACGGAATTGATTTTACAACACCAGAATCCTCAACAGCTGTCCGCCAACTTGTGGGCAGCCGTGCGAGCCAGAGGTTGCCAATTTTTAGGGCCCGGTAAGCGTTAAAAAAACTTTCTAATTGTCATTGAAACAACACCAAGTATCGCGTAGTTTGAATTATCTTATAAACGGTTTTAAAATGTGTTTTATTACGCTTTAACGTATCATGACTTTCATATTTCATAGTCTATTTTTATTAATGCAATGTGTAGAAACAAAGGAAACCAGAAGAGATAATGAAACATACTTTCGTTTAAGTGTTATCTATTTTATACTCCATTTTATTCAAGTATAAGTAGAATATTTATTTTATGATTATTATTAATTTGATAAATATAATGCACCATCCAATTTTGACGTACATAAATATATGTACTTTTTGGAAATTTTCCTTGTTTTCGCAAAACATTTCAGAACCCTCTAATTAAAATTGTTACAATAGCCCGCATATCACTCGACTATTTACAGGCATTCCATTAGAATAAATTAAAACTAATTGCAGACGTCGCAGCATCACGTCTATAAATATGAATACTTTCAATAAAGAAAATATATTTCGAACGTTAGCGCTTTAATTTTTAAATAGACGCTAATAAAAACGCGTACAGTATTTGAAATATCCCTGACGTCGTAACTATTTTTATTCCGCATTTTCGGTGCGCGAAGAATCAGTAATTATAATGAGAAAATTACAATTAACGTTGCAGCGATGCAAGAGGAAGTGCTCAAACTGGTTCTCCTGGCTCTCGAAGACGGCTCCGCACTCTCCAGGAAAGTGCTGGTGATGTTTGTAGTGCAAAGGTTAGAGCCGCATTTTCCTCAAGCTTCGAAAACAAGCATAGGACATGTCGTACAGCTACTCTACAGAGCCTCGTGCTTCAAGGTAATTACTTTTGTACAATTACAACGCATTGTTTAATTCCGTTTGTTAACAGGTGTCGAAAAGAGAAGGAGACTCGTCTCTGATGCAATTGAAAGAGGAATTCAGAACGTACGAGGCCCTTAGGAGGGAGCACGATGCGCAAATCGTACAAATAGCCACCGAAGCCGGTCTCAGAATAGCTCCGGATCAATGGTCGGCCTTGCTCTACGGCGATACAGCGCACAAATCACACATGCAGAGCATCATAGATAAATTGCAGACGCCCCAATCGTTCGCTCAATCCGTACAGGAATTGGTCATTGCTCTGCAAAGGACCGGCGATCCCGGCCAGTTGTCCGTCCTGAGGAACCATTTGGATTTATTGGCCGCCATCGATCCTAGTCCTGGTACGTTCGGTTGTTATTAATCGGGTGTAATATTGATTTTTTTTCTATATTAAAGAATCCGCCGCTCCCGAATGGAAAACTTGCGCGGATTGCTTGGAGGCGGTGCGTCGCGTGGTGGCCGGCCTGGTGGAGTTCATCCACCAGCACGGCAGTAGAAAATTGCAGGACGCCGCCCATTCGCAGCACACCAAATACAAAATCAGCATGTGCAGGGATCTGACGTTGCGAGGGAATTGCCCGCGAGGCACCAACTGCACGTTCGCCCACTCCAACGAGGAATTGGAGAAGTACCGAGCAAAGGTGGGACTCTCTAATAAATTCGCGGAAATCGAAGTAATTCAATTCGTTGTAGAATCGCAAGAGCGTGAGTAGAAACAAGGAGCACCGCGCTGACGACCAGTCGCCGACGGAGAAGCCCTTCGCCTCTCCGGAGGATTACTATTCGATATCTAACGCGTCTACGGTCAGTCCCGTCCTTACCAATGTCGTACAGTTACCGAGAATGGGCTACGAAGTGCCCTTTCATCCGAATCCCACTTACCCGGCCGCCCAACCGTTCACGCAACCCGTCTATCCCGCCCAACCGGCCAATTACCCGTTGCACGAAATCTACCAGCCCACTCCCAACATAGTTTTGGCCAACGGCGGGCAGTTCTATCAGCCGCCCCAAAGCGAATACCAGCCGGCGGGCAATCAAAACCAACAAATGACCGACGTGAAAAAAGGATTGGACGTTGTGGTGAGTTCGGTGTATTCGTTTAGAATTAAAAGATCGAGTAGTCGAATTCGTGTATCGTTCCGCAGATGTCCCATTTAGCTAAAAACCAAAACTTCCAATTGCCAAAGACCAATCGGGGCCCGTCGAAGAGCCTAGCCGAGCTGCACCAGCGCAAGCAGGAGGTGATATCGCAATTGGAGAAGGTGGTCGGCAAGAACGCCGCCACCGAGATCTCGAACAACGCCTGCACGCTGGCCAGGCAGGAGTCCCAGCACGACATGGACAGCCCCACGTCGCCCTACAACTTTTGGACGGGCCACATCAACACCGGCCCCACGTTCGTGCGCTCCGATTCGATTCTGGCCGCCGACGATGATTACGTTCCGTACGATTCGCCGGCCATCAGCAAGTACGGGCCCATATCCAGGATGCACAAGGACAGCGCGATGAATCAAAGCGGGCCGTTTAGAGACAACCAAACCATTGTAAGCCACTGTACTATTTATACAGCAGTACCTATCAGGTAACCTGTAGTTCCAGTAGAGTGCCAGGGCCCCAAACATCCGACTCTCAATACTGTACCTCTATATAGTACCCTAATATGCCTTAATTGTACAGTATTATGCCTCTATTTGGACTATATACTGAGCGAAGATCTGGCTACATAACTGTTGCGTAGATGGCCGTCAGGCCTTCGAACTGCGGGTCTATACCACCTGTAGCTCTCTACAGCACTCTATTGTACATCTAACTATCTATATTACACTTCTCTATAGTATTGATTATTTAATGGCAGATACGACGACCGGTGACGTCGGCCAGTCCGGTGGCCCCGTGGTACTTCAACAACAACAACAACAACAACGGGCACTATCATCAGGCGTCGATGGGGGCGGCGCACGGCCACCTGGTGGGCCATCCGGGCGGCGAGGGTTACGTGCCGTACGGGTCGCAGTTCGTGTTCCACCAGCGGCTGCCCGGCCCGTCGAAGGAACTGCTGGCCGAATCGCAGCGCGTCAAATTGCAGATCAGGAATTTGGAGAAGCAGCTCAACGATCTGAAGATCGCCACGCAAGGCGTGACGAATTTGAGCGAGAGCGAAAGACTGACGCAGGAGCTGCAATTGCTCGAGCAGGGTATACAGGAGAAACAGAAGGAGGCCTGTTTGGTATGCATAGCTTTTTCTATTGTTATATTTTTAGGGTATTCCGAAACAAACTGACGTTAGGTTGTGGGCTAATTTGAACTCTTTTGAGACACCTGATAGGATAAATGAGAGATTGCAAACTGTAGTGTTTCGATTGGTGAATTTGTTTGTTGGTTTTAGTCGCAGATCGTTCAATCTTTGGCTATGGGAAATTACAACAATGGGAATCCTTCGGGGCCGTCGGACGATGCTATGTACGATGCTAACATAGCGAACGATATGAGGGAGTTGGAGTTGAGGTTGCAAGAGGAGCTGGAGGAATGGAGCGGTGAGGATTCGCCTAAGTAAATGTATCGAGCGGTCTTTTTTTATTGGAAAAAAAGACTGGGTAGAGGAAAACTCCTTTTTAATCATAGCTATTTTATTTTTGATAAAAATATCTACCATAGGTTGGGAAATTAATCCGTTTCTTTTTTCTTAAGCAATTACGTTTATTCTATAGTTGAAGTTTATACACTCTCGATTTCTTTTTTGTGTTGTTATTTTCTTAGTGGTGTTCGTTTTAATTTTATTCACTTGGTGATAGGCACGTGAAAACGGCGCGATTGACCTCACACGTTTAAAGATCGACGGTTCTTATTTTGTGATATTTTTTTACAATTTTGTTAGTTCACTGTCTTTTTGAATCACTTTTTCTCGATTCGTGAGTTTGTTATATACAACGTTTTCACGATATTACAAGCGACTCGTAGGGATAACACTTTGACCAAATCGCGTTTGTCTCGTTAGAAATATTTTTGTTACCTCTGTATCGAAGTACAAATTCGATCAAGTTTTTTGAATAAACTCTGTAGTATCGTGGAATTCGAGATAATTGAAACTATCTTGTGTCGTAGTCTTTAAGGAAACACTAACGGCTGTAAATTATATATACTGAAAGATGTTAAATATTTTGGCAAAATTTGCGATATTACTTTACTATATAAAAACAGACTGCTTAAACTATGTAATGAATAAATGGGGTTTCTTTTTCGGTCGGTGATTCCAACGCTAATTTACCAACGTTACTAAAAAAAATGACCACGCTAGTCAATATATAAACGAATTCGCCATTACCCTTAAAGGAAACCTTACTACATTTGTACGAAAAAAAAGTGAGTGCATATAATGCATTGCGTGCAATAATTTCAATATGACGATTTTAGGGTCATTCAAATGAAACAAATATATTTAAAAGTTGTCATTTCAAAAATGATTCAAAATAACTATTTATGAAATGAGTCTTTGGACGTCTTATTCACATTAAATACGAAACGAATGATGCATTTCAATTATATAAATCGATTCGGAGGCGGCGGTTATTCCAGTTTTAGTGGAAGGGCGGGGAATCCCCGACGGGGATTTCGCGCGAAATCAAGAATGTTGGCGAAATGTCATCTAATTTTAATCATACTGTGTGTGGTTGGTATATCAATGTTATGAGTTGATATAAATATGTATTTTATTTATGTGTGCATTTGTTTGAAAATGCAACGAAAACTAAATGGAATTATGAGATGCTTGCGAAAGTGCATATTTTAGTCATTTATTTATTTAAGCTTATACGATTTAATATATTTAAACGTTTAGAAACGATTGTATTTATAAATTAATGTAAAATGTTTGCGAAAATTCCAAAGGATGTGTAATTAATATTTGAATTGAATTTTCGTCGAATTTTTCTTCAGTGGATATCGTGTCTAATTCAGCCATTTAGGTACAATTTCCGATTTTATTATTAATCGATTTTTATTCAATTTATTTCGTTACTATCACGAGTGTATTTCCTTTAGTAATACTCGGTATAATTATTAAACTTGATAAAATTCTAATTGAAATTGATTCGACTAAACCTTACTAAAAATATAAATAGTAATTAATCAATTTGCTTGCTGATTACAGGACCGTACTGCTTAAATATAACAATTTATTAGTCACAATTTCGTTAATTAGTGAATATTATTATATTATATATTTTTATTGTGCAAATATGATTGTTCAATAAAGCGGTTGTTAAAATAAAGCAAAATCTTTGATGAAACGATAATAAATTTATTGATTTTCGTTAATACTTTATTACCATTTTCGCTTTATTCAATTTTTTGTTAGTTCATTTTATTCGTTTGTTATTTATTCTCTTTTAGTATTTTTACATTTGCTAAATTTACACCAACATTAAGTTTCTTTAGATATTTTTTTAACAGCCGCGCGTTTGCAATAGTTTGAAAATAATTTTTAACGCAATACCGTATAGATTATAGGCTGTGTTTACAGAATTAGGTCTTCGGAGGTAAATCGAATTACTATTAAAAATAATACAGGGTGTTAAAATGCTTTAGTTTCGAATTTTTCAACCCTCTAGTTTGTTAATTACACCCTGTAATGGATCTGATTGTTCAAAAAAATACACTAATTGCATGTAATTCGATATAATATTCGAAGACTCGTGTCTGCGTGGTTGAATTTACTTATTGTTGTAATTTTTACCTTCCCTGCGTATTTACAGCACGATTTCTATTTGCAAACGGGTACCGTTCGCAATAAGAAAGCCCCTGCTGTTGTACGGAGTCGGGATGTATTTTATTTATTAAGTCGATTTCTGGCAATTGATAAGTCATGTTGCACATGTAATTCATTAATACTATTTATACTGATTACATTAATCACATATGTAATTGTGCGAGCGAAAAGGTTTCCGATCAGGGCGGGCCCTCGTTTCGAAAGCCTTTTGCCTCGCGCTCTATTATATCGGGTGGAAGTATATATATTATATCTATAACGATAATAAAAATTTGCAAATTTAATCTGGTTGTTTCTGTAATTAATTACCTGGTATTCCCCGTATCAGGAACGCCATATTTGAAATGTCACATAAATGACAATTAAATGTTCTGTAATATTAATCAAATGTAGTGTGAAAATGACTGTAAATATTGATGAAAGACATTTAAACGTTACCTTTTTTGGTAATTAGCACTTAAATGATCTACAATTTTGTAAATATTTACGCATTTATAAAAAAAATAGTGTAGTTTTCTGACATTTGACGTTTGATAGTTCGTCGCCAACTTCAGAGAGGTCGCCACAAACTTGACAACTGTTTTTTTGCTCAAACAATTGTCAAAAATTTACTTCCTCCTTTCCTTGCTAGTCGCATTGCAGTAGTACAAAAATCTGTGATTATATTTAGCGTAATTTAAGTTCTATATGTCTGTGTAAAAGTCCATATACGGCGGAATATCCCTCAGGAGTTGCCTCTGCCATGCCCAGCCGACTTCGCGAAGAAGGTCCTTCCGAAACGCCTGACCTTAACCTTCACGAGCTGCCCCAGGAGGACGAGGAGCGTCTGGGGAAGCTGTTCACGCAATTGGACAAGAACGGGAACGGTAGGATCGACATACATGATTTATCGCACGCGCTCAAAGAGCACGGGGTGCACCATGGATACGCTGAGGTAAAGTCATGTTTTTCAGTTAATTTGGGTCAAAATGTGGTAGTTTCTTTACTTCTAAACTAAGCACTCGATCGAGCTAGAGGCCTGGAAAGTTTGTTTTAAATTAGAATCACATTCATAGTACAATAACACGAATTTTGTAGGTTTAAAGTATAAACAAACACAAGTTGAACCTGTTAATAATTTTTGTAAATCGGTGATAATGTTTGGATTAAACGAGTCAATAATGAGCAGGAAATATTGACAAGTGTATTTATCTGTGTTTAACAGGTTTAGTAATCGTGTTTGTTGAGTAATAGTTTTGTAGTAAAAGTCTCGAAACGCAAATTTTCATTTCGAAGATTGTTCAAAAAAACGAGAATGGCAAAACTTGAAATTAGTGCTTAAAATCTTACTTACTTCCTTCGATTGTGTGTTATTTTCTCACGATGTATTTTAGTTTTACATACACAAATACCTGTTGTTCGAAAAATGTACTTGCTGCTTTTATTCGACTAATTGACAGGCTTCACATGTTTCGTAAGGAATCCTCACTGGATTTAAAAAATCCATATTTTAGCTCTAATAATGTTTACACGAGAAATATTACACGAGAAGATTTAGTTACAAATTCACTGTCTACACAGTGTACAAAATTCTTTCGCACAATCCTGACATTTCCATCAAAATATTAATCGATATTTTTGGCATTTAAACAGGTTTATTTCTAACAAAGTAACGTTTTGTTTAAATATGTCTACTGCTTGATGTCCCTGAAAGCGCTCGTATTAAATTCTTGCGCCCAATCATTCGGTTATTTTTAGATCTAGTCTGCTAAAATTTGCTAAAACTTCCACATAATCCTCTCGATTATCTTACTGCTCGATTTCTCTTTCGCCGGTTAACAATGGAATTGGAAAGTAAAATTAAGATTTGCTTCGATGATGGGTATTGCGTACCGGCCAAGGTAAAATTACTGAGCCATTTCCTGCACATAAAATGGGGTAAATTTTCGATTTTTTAAAGTTATCTGTTTGTTGCAGAAGTTTCTTAAAAGCAGCAAAAGCAAGAGCGGTGAACTCTCATTGGCAGATTTCATTTATTATGTCAGAGAGCACGAAAAAAATTTGAGGCTGCACTTTTCCCACCTCGACAAAAATAAGGACGGTGAGTATTAGGCGCATTTTTGTGCATTACCATTTTCGTTCGGGTTATTTTTAATGTTCTGTGCGATTTTAATGAGGATATTGCGTAACGTTGGCCTCCAAATCACCTGGCAACCAATTTATATGCATATTTTAATTTTTATCGGCGTTTAGTTGCATATAGTAAAATAAAATTGAAGTTCATGATTACCCCAAAGTATTCGTAAACTTTGGTTTTTGTACCGGCTGTATGCCTACTTTGTAAAAGACCTGGATAAATAGATTACTTTTAACTATTACAATTTTCTATCCAAAAAATTGGATAAAATACAATGGACTTTACACTCCATTTCGACACACACGACTTTACACTCCTTGATTATTTTCACTTTACCCCTACTTTGTAAAAGTCCTGGTCGATTAGATTACTGATTAGATTTTCTACACTATATGTACAAACAATAAACTACAATTTTCTATTTAAAAAATTGGGCCAAATACAATTACTCTTGAGTACGTGCCAGGAATTTTTCTAAATATTTTCATTTTTGCTTGATAAAAAATGTCAATTTCCCATGCTGATTTCAGCTCGAATTTTATATGTCGGATTAAATCCAAGTCTCAATTCGATAAGTTTCAAAGGCACGTGAATTATACGAGTGCGTTTTGGCAACGTGACTTAGAAAGATTTGCCAATAATCCAATTTAAATGTATTTTTTATCTATTAAAAGAATTTTCTCCTCGTATACAACCGAAAAATAAATACGTACTGTATATGTAGATTAGCCAGCGAATTTTGGGACTTTGAAACGAAAATATTCGCAATTAAATAAGAAAGTCTAGTAATAAATATTATGCGGGAATATATTTGTTTTTTATTTATTTATTTTTCCTAATCGTTTTAAATATGTTTATTTTGATAAGGCTGTTTCTGAAGATTTGGGCGAGTTTTTTTTATAAAAAAATAACGTTTTACAGGCAAAATTGACTTAGCTGAGCTCATCAAGGCATTCAGTGATCTTGGCATACCTTTGGAGAGAGGCGAAGCCAAAAATTTGTTGCAAAGGTACGTCATTTATTAAAAATTTTAATAGTCATTAATTATATTACAAATTCCTTTGCATGTTTGAATTGTTTGTAATCCAATTTAAATTACACATTTTTTCTACGAAATTATTATAAGTGGAAATTGACAGAAAAAAATAAGTAGTAGGTAAGAATTCGATAATCTTAGTGCATGTTAAAAAATTTACCAGTACGTTAAATTTCACCATTTATTTAATTGCATGCGCAAATAAAGCCTTGCAGTAGTTAACTTTAACTTATTTTATTTTTATGCTGTTAAGTCCAATAGATGATACCTGGAACGTCCAATATGAGATCATACTTAGGTAATGCTTTCAGTTTTTATAACTGCTTCATAACGGCAAATTTGTTTAAAAAAATTACTAACAAATTTTTAAGTAGATGATTTTTGGTTAGAATGTTGTTTTTGTAAATAATTCATTTTCCACGGCTATCTAAGAGTGCCTTTATGAATCAAGAATACAAAACTCTCGAGGATTGTTCAATCTATATGTATTGATTAATATTGACATTATGACGTCAAGTATGTTGAGATTGATCACTCTTTAGTAGTTTGGTATACTTGGATCGAATAGGTACGGTTTGCCTTGGTTGTCAAAATTGACAGTTGTGACATTATTGTTTTTTTTTTTAAGTAGATATTTTGATTTGAATTGTTTTAAAAATTAGTGAATTAATACGAGTCGTGGAGAGAATATATTCTGTAATTAGGTAAGAGTGAAAAAATGTACAATTTTCATTCTAATCTCATTACAAATTTTGCTGTAAAAGGGCAAGTGCAAATTTGTTTGCGATATGGTCGATTCTTTGAGTTGAAAAAAAAAAGAAAGCTTAATAGTGGGTTAGAGTCGATAAGTTTCAATCCCACAATATATCGCTCCTTTTTCCTTTATATGCGACTATTGGAAGTTGTCTTTGTTGCACCCATAGACGATATTGCGTACAAATTTGCACATATCTGTATGTTAATTATTTTAGTTTTTTCTTCTCTTTATAGAATGGATCAAGATGGCAGTTTGAATATCAGTTACGATGAATGGAGGGACTTCCTTCTTTTGGCTCCGAGCAGCAACATTCGAGAACTCATCGGCTATTGGAGACATTCGACTGTAAGTAATTTTTATTTCATATTCACCAGTTTCTTAACCACTTTTATTTTATATTAATTCATATATTATATGAAAAATTCGTATAAATACGATTCGCAAACCGCCTTCAATGTTAACGATTGGGTAATATTGTTTATTTCGGTAGCTTTATGTGGTTATTATCTTCCTTTACACCTACGATAAAAAGAATCAAAGTACACTTGATTCGAAATACTGTAACATATTACTCAACTTTTAGAATTTACGGGTAAAATTTAGGAAAAATCTAATTTCCCAGAATAATTGGACTAAATTTCTTCACATACAATCTTTCATGTGCTTAAAACACACGATCATTTATCAATTTCGTGCTATAAAAGCGTATTTTACGTCTATTATTTACTTAACATTTTTGTTTCTCCTTTGTGATGACGTTTTGTTATTTCATAACGCGATTTATTTTCCAATTTGCCACATAATATATTAGATATACTCGCCATTTTCCGAGCGTGTGGTGGTACGTACAATCGCTGTTTAATTAACCGCAAGACTATAATTACAAGGTGTTAAAAGGGGATTTATATTTTGAAAACAAACGTCACGAACCAAATAATCGATTCTTTTTTTATTTTAATTTACGACACAAGTGTATTGATGTAATTGAAAAACGTAATGTTATTTTTAACGATTGGTGTGGCAATTCGGATAATGGATGAAATACAATGAAAAGGGAGATAATAGAAATGATCAAATTATGGGCTTTTACGAAATGAGATTTTTTGGTTTCTACCGGATTTTACTACGACTGGTGCTTGGAATGCGTTTAATAAATTTGAATCATTCGCGTTTTCACAACGTACGTTGTCCGTTGACCCGCGTACGCAATGATAAAGTGCACTGTTTATTTCAAATTTTTTATTTCTTATTTAATTTATTTACATCATTATGTGGGAGTTTTCAATTTGCCTTTGTTTGAGAGTTATTAAACATTGCATTTATTTGAAGATTTTTCTCGCTCTTTTTTGTTTTTTCTAGTTTCCTGCTACTATATTAAAAAATGAACTTATTAAGTTATTAAATTTAATCACAATACAGTGTCCCGCATAAGAACAGACGCCGAGCAGGGGCATGTATAATATGTTGTTTAACTTTAACCCAACTACTGCGCCCTGTATACCTAATATCTAAAAATCGGTAATTCCTGAAAAAATATTTTGACTTTGCCTGGGTTTTCCAATATTTCCAATAGCAACGAATTATTCGAAACGAGTCAAAACAAAAACGTTATTTCTATGAGTATGAAAGAAATCCGCAAACACATTTGCACTATGATAACAGATGCCTTTCAACTAACGTTGCGATAAAAAAGTTCAAACCGAATAACCTGCGATTCGGTAATTGTACTCTAAAAAATTAACCTTTCGTAACCTCTCGATAGCATCGCAAAGTCTGAAGTAAATACACACCGATGGTATCGCGCAATTTTTCCGAACGTTATTCGCTCATACGAAAAAAATACAAATAAAATCTCGTGCGTTTTGGCGAAAATCTGACGTTAGTTAGAAGAAAATAAATTTCAAAACAATAACTTTTTAACTTCTACAAACCGTAAACACTGCAATCGATTTATTATTTATTCCTATCATCAATTCGATGAGTGATGGTAAATTTTTGAACAATTCTTATATTGTTATGCTAAGGATGAATAATATAATAGCAAAGAGTACCAGTTTGTACAAGAGCATACTTTGTTAGCACAATTTTCGTGTTTAATTGTATTAGTCTGTTTCGCCGAATATTTCATCAGGTTCCAAAAATCATCTCTATCGAGATTCAATACAAATACTATCATTTTCAACTATCATTTTCAATCACAAATAGTCGATGTGATCGGTTAATTGTTTCCCCCATTCCCCCAATCGAAAAAAAAGCTTATGACGATAAGAAAAACCTATAAAAGTGAGTCGCGCATCGGCAACGTCGTCTGTGCGTATCGACTGCCTCCTAGTGGATTCGCTTCTCCCACCGGTGCAAATGATGGAATTGGAGCCGCCGGCTCGGGGATATTTCGCGCTCGTCGAATTCGAACTCGAAGCCATTTAGTCGGCGCTAACGGATCGGTGATCAGCTGTTACGTTGCCGGTATAATTCGTTTCCTATTTCCTATACCGTTTCTCTTGTGATATTCGGCTGTGATTGTGCTAAAAGACTGATTTTTAATTGATTCGTGGTTAATTAGTAATCGGTTGTGATGACGACGTTTGAAGAAACTCCCGGCGCCCTGCCGGATTTCCTCGAGGATTTCGTGTTCGTTTTCAAGCAATGCCTCAAGGTATGTTTCTGATTTTTTTCGGAAATTTGAATTTGGGTACTTTTTGGTGTGACGTGTTTTAAATTTATACGTTTTTACTGATAAGTTGGTTAAAATGTTGCTTTTTATTAGAATAATTTATTCTACTGTGTAAACTGGTATATTGAAGGTACACAATATTTGCCTTTAAATTACATTTTAACGATAATTAAGAGTATTTTGGATGTTGCTGTAAGAATTTAAGTAATCACTTTTGTGGATATTCTTAATAAATTCGTACGTCACGTTGTGAAAGTTTCGTTTTTTGTTCTAAGTACAATTATTTCGACCTTTCACTTAGTTTAATGCAATTTTATTTCCGTTCTCGCAATCAATAAAACTGTGAATTGTATATACTTTTCAGCCAGTATACTATCTATTTCTTCGAATCGAAAATTTTCATTCAAAAGATTACAATTTAATCAAGTTTCGATTCGCTATCAGCAGACGGGGAATTATTCGATAAATGCCGCTAGATAGTAACGAAATGCGAAACCTACACTTGCGATACAGAATGCCTACTATTGTTCGAAATAACTAATCAATTAATTGACTGGCAAAATAGCGAGGAACGCAGACGGAAAAAATTTTTCACAATACTCCTTGTATGTCACGGTCACACGCAATCGTCTATCGAAGTTTCCCACCTTGGCTGCAATTAAAACATAACGACCAATTTCGAATTTGATAAGGTTCAGTTCGATCATCAAATAATTAGTTTTCGGCCTAATTATAATCGGAAGAGTATGAATACACTTTAACGAGTCCATTCCGCGAAATCGCATCGTACAATGTATACAAAATGAAATGTCAATTGACTTAATTGGCTCGCAACGTTTGCGCCAAATAATTATTACACGGCTAGTTCTATTTAGACGTGCTCGTCGAGCAAAAGGGTTTTCCTCTGCGATCCCGTTTGCATCTCGCACATATGGATAGCGTCGGTGCCGAACTGACCGTGGACGTTGCATTGAAGTTAAGTTGAAAGTTGAAAGGATTGTGTTTAGTCATAGAGCCGCGAGCACGTGCATACCGGTTGCGTCAGCGCAAGTCTGGATCGCGGTTAACGGAATTCCGCGTATGGGCCGCAATTGGCTTTGAAACGTAACCGCTACGTCACCGAAACCTTGCGAAATATGCTCGCTAGGATTTCGTGGGCCCGGCCCAGGTGCAGAAGGTCGCTCGAAATTGCCTACTCGGTTGCCAAGCGTTCGGTTTTTTCGCTAATTTACAAGCCGAAACGAACAACTGGTTCGAGTGTAATGAGATAACGGTGTTATGAGAAGGATTAAAGTTTGTTAGAGTACATATTTCTTAGGAAATGGTAGCAACTTTAGTACAAATTGGTCATGAAGTTGACTCATTCTTTGATCATTTCTACTTCTTTGGGTCTTCTCCTCATTCGCTTGGTAAAAGATTTAAAGAAATAGTAATAACCAAGGAATGAGCATGGTTTCTAGTAGGGTAGGTTCGTCTTGATATAATAAATGCCCTAATTTTCTTAGTCCTAATTTTCTTAGGAATTCAGTGTTGATAATTCATTAGTAATTATAAGTAATTGCTTGGAAACTTCAATAGACATTTGGTTATGAAGTTTACTCATTCTTTGATCAATCCTACTTCTTTGGGTCATCTCCCCATTCGCTTGTGAAAAGACTTAAGGAAATAGTAATGACAAAAGAGTGAGTTTTTTCTATGAAACAGTGTTTCTTTGATTACTAAATTATTCCAGAATGATTTATTCTTGAACTAGATTATTTCTTACATTGTGAAATATTGTGTAATTAGTATGTCTAGCATAAATATCTAGCATTGTTTAAACAAGATTAATAAAATTCGTAATTAATTTATCAAACATCTGTATTATTAATTTTATTAACTATGAACTTATTAAGAAAAAATGTGTATATTTTGTCTGTGGAATCACATTTTGCATGTAATTTCAGCAGATTAGTTTTTATTGAATTACGTCAATGAATCATGCATGAAGCATGTGCTAGAACTAATCCAGTCCAGTGGTAACTGGAAAAAATTAAACTCTGGACCTCTAGAAAGGAAATACGAGATAAATTGTGAAGTAATCTACAATTTAATGAGCTAGTTTTCACTTTTGAAATATCGAATCGAATGAATTTTTAACGAATAAAATGATGATGTTTTAGTATACAAAAACTGTTTTATTTTTCGATTTCAATTATTAAATTTAAAACAGGTGCAACAAACGTGCGTCAATGAATGTTTAATTTTTATTGGGTATTAAATATTTTAATAAATTATTGTGTAATTACCTTACGGTGATTGACTTTGTTATCGTTGTCTCAAAGTTTGTGACATAAAAGAGTCAACGTTTCGATAACACAAAAAAATAACATTACCAACTTTTGATAACCGAGTCATATAATGACGTCCGCGTCAAAATATCGCAAAGAAAAATTTCTACATCGTTTGATTGTTGGATTTGCGAGGAAAATGTCCGATGTTGTAGACAATGTCCGAATCAAATTTAAGTATCGAGTATTTTATTTTTCTCGTTTTTTGAAAATGATGTTTGCTCATAGCTCTTTCCGATTACAGTACTTGGACATCGGGGAGGACATGAACGTCCCCGATGACTTCACGCAGAACGAAATGCAAACCGGGATGTGGTGGAGGCATTTGGCCGCGGGCGGCGTCGCCGGCGCCGTATCCAGGACCTGTACGGCTCCTTTAGATCGATTGAAAGTATTTTTACAAGTGAGTATTCTAATTTTTACGCGAAATCGATCGTCCTCTAATCGAACCGTTTCGCAATTTTTCTCTTTTTTTTTGCACGTGAATTCGTAGTGGACGTTTCGGTACTAATCGACTTCTTATTTATAAAAATTTCATCGTAAACAATGCCGAAATAGATTGAAATGTGGAAAAATTTGTGAAATTTCGTTTTATCTTGTCGAAGTTGAATAAGATTCCGTTTCGCAAGAGAATTTGCCCCAAATGCGAAGCTGCAAGTAAACATAAAATTACAGTATTTATTGAAAACAAAAAGGAAAAATTTACAGATTAGTTTTAAAAATTCCCGTACAGTAAAATTCCGACTTGTGATGTCTTTTGTACATAAAAATAGATTTTATTACTATCTCCTGATGGCGAACGGAGTATAAAAGAATCAAACCTCTTGTAACTTAACTTTTGCACTTTTCCGCCTCCTTTTGCATACAAAATTAGCTTTTATTACCATCTCCTGACGCCGAACGGAGTATAAAAGAATCAAGCTTATTGAAACTTAACTTTTGTACTTTTACCGCCTCCTTTTGCAAACAAAATTAGCTAGTATTTCTATCTATCTATCGGTCTAGATTTGCATCTTTAGGTTTTATGGAAGTGTACTTATGGATTCGTTTTGTTTGTCAGGTTCATCCGCAGAAGCAGAAAATCAACGATTGCCTTCAAAACATGCTGCGCGAGGGAGGGATGAAGGGACTGTGGCGCGGCAACGGCATCAACGTGCTGAAGATCGCGCCGGAATCGGCGATAAAATTCGCGGCGTACGAGCAGATAAAAAGACTGATCAAGGGCGATTCGAAGGAAGCCTTGAGCATTTACGAAAGGTAGACGGTTCATTATTTTTCCGAGTGACTTTTTATTCACCAATGTTTGTCGATTTGCAGATTTTGCGCGGGCGCGTTGGCGGGCGGCATTAGCCAGAGCTCGATTTATCCATTAGAAGTACTCAAAACTCGGTTAGCTTTAAGGAAGACCGGCCAGTACAAGAGCATAGCCGATGCCGCTTACAAAATTTACGTTACCGAAGGTCTGATGAGTTTTTACAGAGGCTACATTCCAAATATATTAGGTAAGATTTCGACGCTTAGTATTTATACAATATTAATCAGGTTGTTTGCTTGCCTTTCGTTGCCTTTACGACATTAATTTATTGCCTTCGCAACGTTCTATAGTCAATATTTGTTTGTCATTTTGTATCTTAACATTACAGGTATTATTCCATACGCGGGTATTGATCTAGCTGTGTACGAAACGTTGAAGAAGAAGTATTTTATGACGCATTCGAGCAACGAACAGCCCAGTTTTTGGACGTTGCTGGCCTGCGGCAGCGCCAGCAGCACCTTGGGTCAAATGTGCTCCTATCCCTTGGCCCTAATCAGGACGAGGTTACAAGCCCAAGGTGAGCCCTTAATAAATTATCTCATCATATCGTTTAAGAGTACTTTTCGTTATCGTTTGCGCTCTCATATTTTTGCATTGTAATAGAATGATGGATTTCACATATCACTCATGAACAGCTGCTTTATGATTTTTAATTTTTTTCTAGTGGTCCATTCGACGGAGGACTCGTCGTCGGCGACGATGACCGGCGTGTTTCGCACGATAATGGCGCGAGAGGGCGTGCTGGGCCTGTACAGGGGCATCACGCCGAATTTCATCAAGGTGATGCCGGCGGTGAGCATCAGCTACGTGGTGTACGAGTACTCGAGTCGCCTGCTGGGCGTTAACATGACGTGATGCGGCTGGGCGACGAGGCGACGGGGCAGGCGCGGGGAGGGCCCGTCGATCGGGCGGCGGCGTTTACGAGGAAGGAACCGGAAATTTCTCGCGGAGATAGAAAAATGGGAATCGGTTTCGGCGACGCGTTTGACGAAGCTTCCGGGTTCTCGTTTAATAGTTAAGATGAAATTTTTTTTATTTTGTTAATTTTTGTTGTAGTGAGTAAGATCAAACGTTGTTGGTTGGAACGGTTCCGTTGTTATGCTGTTATTTTTTTTTTCTCTTTGAATAATTTAAAGGAATGCGTTTGGAAGCATTTTATCGAAGCAATTTTACACTTTAGGCGAAACTCCGCCGGATTCTAGCATAATTTATTTATTTTTCTAATGTAGGTAGGTAGGTAGGCTTTAAAACACGACTTGGTCACTTTTTTTACTCTTGTTGATAGTTTGAGTAAACAGAAGTGTATTTTTTTATTAAATAAATTTTTTTTATTATAAAGATACATTTTAATAACAAAACCTGACAATTTTAAATGTTCGTATATTGGTTTTTAAAGTATTAATAGGGTATAAAATTCTCGTAATTCGTAATCAATGTCTCGTAAAAAAACTCACTTCTGTTGTCTGTCGAATTTTAAAACGATTTACAATGTTGCGCGTACAAATGCATGAAGAAAGATAAATTGTACATCGTTGTATGTCCTGTCGCTTTTCAAGCCAAATCTCAATGCAATTTTGACATTACCGCTTAAGTGATTCTCTATGTATAGAAATTTAAACACCTTTCCTCCGATCGGTTTTTCGATGTTAACTATTTTCGTGGGTTCAAAGACGATTTCGATGTTGTATTTCACGAGAAAAGATATATTTATGAATATTTATTATATTCCAGAAAGAATGGGAATTGTGATGTTCTTACTTAATATTTTATTATAATAAAATTATAGTATTATACTGTAGCGTGTATTTCTAAAAAAATAAAGGAATCGTTTCCGATCGTTATACAGAAGTTTGAGTGTTCAAAAACTGCCCGGCATCGTTGTCGATTATCCAGTAAAGGTCCCCAGAAACTGGTCGGACTCTTGTAGCAGGCAGATCCTCTTTATCAACCAGAATTCGCTAAAAAAATACAAATAATTAAACCCCTACACACAATTGTATAAAACCCTATCATTACCTTAATCATATCGGCCTTTTCCTTTCCAGCTGCAGCGAATACGCAAACATCTGCGTTATTAACCACGGGATAGGTCATTGTTACACGGCTCGGGGGCGGTTTGGGCGAGTCAGTAATAGGCGCAAACCATTTAGATTTTTCTTCTAACAAACTGTGCCCTGGGAACAGGGAACAAGTATGCCCATCGGGGCCCATACCGAGCAGTAATAGATCAAACCTCGGCGTGTTCGCCTTAGGAAAATGCTCCCTGACTTTGTTTTCGTAAGCCCGAGCTGCCACATCGGCTAAAAAAATCAATTATTACTTCAATGTATGGAAATATTAAGTGAAATTTACCGGGAACGCCTTGTTCGATTTGAACGAATTGTTCATCCTTGAGGGGTACCGCGCCGGAGTCTATTAAAGTCTTCTTGTAGAGGCCGAAAGTTGAGTCAGGATTGTTAACAGGCACTACTCGTTCGTCGCAGAAAAATATTGTCCATTTGGAAAAATCTGTTTGGATTTTAGGCAAACCGGTGGCAAGGAATGTCGCTAACGAACCACCTAGAATGTTATTTAAATGAGCAGCATTCAGGAATAAATGAATGCGTTATTTGTATAAATAACTACGAAATTTAGGGGTCATTTGAAGGAACTACATAGATAAGATTGAGTTTATGTTAAACTTACCAGAAAAACCGACTAAAAATTTTCCTCGTTTTTGTATGCTAATTCTGGCAGTTTCTTCGATTATTTCCGATAGTTTAGCGATTACTTTATCTTTGTTCTCTACTATTATCACAGACATTTTTGGCTAGTTAATTAGAATTGATATTAAAATTTTAAACTACCTGTTGAATATAAAAATATTGAAAATACGATGGTAGATAAGGCAGAAAACTGCAATACTATGACAAGTGACAAGACAACTGACATGACATTTTCTTATCAAGTTAGAGGTGGAATTATTAGTAACTGTTTTTAAGTGTTATTTTATTATTAAGAAGATATCATAGACCTATTAACTATGGACGCGGTTTAGACAAAGAGGTTGTGTTGTCGATGAATGAGAGAGATGCAGCTAGTTTGGGCATATGGCAATGAGAGATTGGACAATGCATTAGCCAATAGTAAGAAAGAAAAAGACCACGTGAGTTACGTTTTCAGAAATGCAAGGTAGTTGGGGTAGAGGAGGGTAGATTATGGTAGAATAGGGTTGAGGATTTATTATTTTTTTACCGAGCAAAATTCATTTTTCAGCTAAGCCTAAATTCCCACGCATTTGCAAATACAGTTCTTATTTTGTATTGTTATTTGGAACCTCCTACCTATTAGCCAGTACAGATTTCGCAATTTAAGACCTAACTGCTTTCTCTTGTAAAAAATATGTTTCTTCCAGGTCATTCTTCTGTCCAAGTGGATACCAAGATAAAAACAATATTTAAATATTAAGCGTATAAATAATTTAACAGATTAATCGCCTTTTTCCACACACCCTGTATATATTTTATATTTTTTTTGGTCCCGCCTACTTTTAGCCCAAACTAGCTCCATCTCTCACGGACCTCTCTCTCTATCATTGGGAACGCTGAATAACCTCAAAATACCGATTGTGCCGCGTCCATACTTAATAGGTCTATGGAAGATATATTGTAGAAGATTTATTGGATTGATTAGTTATTCTCGTTCAATATGTATGCAAGAAACGGTAATGCCTGTGATTAAACAGTATGTAATAATTTCGAATTAACCACCTTCCATCTTTACTCTATAATAAGGGCTTCCGAGTTGTAGGTGGCGCTGAGTGTCAGTTTTTTTGGTATATTTTCCACAAAATATGGTAAGTTTTTTTAAATTTTACGCTTAATCTTTCATTAAAAGTACTACCTTTTCCATTACCCCTAAAATTCAAAACTCGGTAATAAATATAAAAAATATTAACCAGAGAAGAGATAATTCGCGATTTACAGTTACAAATAAATTCCTTTCCATGACCCCCGTAACCCTGCGATAATTAACGACCACCGATCGAAGAATTTATCTCCGACACCATCAATTAATTTCCAGCCGGTTTCCATAAATTCGGCCCGAAAGCGAGCCGAATCGCAGCCGGCAATCTGAACTGTCCCGACGCCGAATTACGACGCTCCGGGGCCGCGACGGAGACGTCGAGTGTCCGCCGAGATTGATATAGTAGTTGATCTCCTAATTGGACGACCCTCCTCGCAAGCGAGAACCCGACAATTGCACGTCCGGAATTCGGAAAAAGACGAAAATAATTCGAAATGGGGGCCATCCAGTAAACGGATTTATAAAGAAATTTCCGGCTATCTAGATTAAACGAGTACAGTTGTTTATAAAGAAATTTCCGCCTACTTAGTTAGTAATTCTGTTGTAACCGTAGCGTTTTGATAACAATCATCCACTTAGCCTGGAAACTAAACAAACCGCAGTGTAAACTCCGGTAGTCGACAGGACGGGCGAAAATCCCCTTGACGGTGGCCGAGCATTCGAAATATTCCAAATAGGTAATGTCCGAATGATAAACATCGTTCAGTATGCTCGGACTGCGATGCATTTTTAATCAACCCCAAAATATTTCATGACGTTTACTTTGGTCTCGAGCCCGAAGTATTGTATGGTCTTTTTTGTGTGCGCCCTTTTTGAATGTTTTATCAAGCCCACAACAGTCACTGCGATTGTTCTTTGTATTTTTATTTCAGGTTTCACGATGGAAACTCGGAAAATTTACGAGGTACAAATAACACAAGAATAATACGCTGTACGTGTCGCTTTTTTGATGACCTGTAAAATCGTCCATAACCCAGCTAGAGACTTAAAATTTTCAGCAGGCAAAGCCTCAAGTATTGTCCTGAAGTGCACCAAATAGCATCCACCCCACTCGACCCCAAGCGCTCGAAACACCCTTTTAAATAAGGTTGTACAAAGAACACAAGAATATTTCACTGTAAGTACCTCTTTTTTTGAATCCCAATAAAATCGTCCATAATCTAGCTAGAGACTTGAAATTTTCAACAGACATAGCCTCAAGTCTTGTCTTAAAATGCACCAAGTAGCATTTACCCCACTCTACTTTAAGGAGTCGAACCACCCTTTTGAATGAGCTGTGACTAGTGGGCAACAACTCCAAATAAAAAACCATCTAATTCGTGAACTTAACTCATCTCATCCAGAATTATCGGATTATATTCCAAAAACGTCCCTCATCGAGCGCCGGAATGTTTACTGATAAACTAATTAGCGCTCGTAATTCGCGATCGGTGTCACGTTTTCGCAAAGCGACTCACCTGGGAAGCGAAGTAAAAGGGTTTTTCGAAGCCGTCCGAACAGGACTATAAAGGAGTCGCTCGTATAAAGGCGGCGTGTACCGGCAAAAAGGAAGATCGCTCAGCAAGGATTGCTCGAGGGTGACTTGTTTGAAATAAAGGAATTTGCAAACGCGCGGCGTACGCGAGGATATAAGACGTGCGCGAATTTAGCGAGAGGGATATAAATTCGTGTGGATTACAGCATTTTTTAGGAGAAGATAAATCGAGCGAGGAAGTCTCGTGTTTGTTTAGAACAATTTTTTTGTATTCATAAAAAAATTTCCAATCACTTTTTATAGGTTCGGGGTGTTTTTTTCTCGAAGGTAAACTACCCTTTGTCCCTATCGAACCTTCGGGTATACACCCGCAAATTTAATCAGAAATCGTTTTGTACCCTTACACACTACATCGCCGAGAATTTCGAATTAATTAATAAAAAAAAATCAATTTCTCCAACTCGTCGAGGAATTAATTAATTGATTATATACCGACTGCCACGCTTCCACTTTCGTGTAAAAAAAAAAACTTCCTCATTGACGAGACTTGCCTATGACCTACTCTCGACTCCCTGGTGCTTTTGTATACACGCTCGTTTCGAGATGCGCCGCGACGTCGACGTCGCGACGACCGCATGGTGTGCTAGCGAACCGACGCCGTGACCGACCGACGTTGATTCTCGCCCCGTTGCCAACCCTCCTTTATCACCAAATTAATCCCAAAAATACCAACCCTTATTCACTCGATACACAACCAGAATGAACTCGATACAATTTATATGATTTATAAAAATAATTATGCTTAATTATAGGGCACGCGGTATTTGCGGTTGATATACTTTAAAAGTGCGCTCTATCTCTGGAAAATAGTTAGAGCTTGAGGGGGTGGCGCAACGTCGCGGGTTCATGCGGCGCGACTTCCGACGTCGCCGCCGCCGGTACACAGACGATCGGCGTCGCGGCGGCATTCTCACCGGCCGCTTTTCGATACGTTTGCAGCGTCGGGACAGCGTTCTGCTTATTTTTCCACGGTTCGGACGCGTCGCGACGAGAGTGCCGGACGTCGCGGCGAGTGTTTCGGTGGTTTGAATTCGAATCGACGCGGAAACACGGCGAAAATATCCCTACCGGAGACGAAGGGTAAATAGAACGTTTGGATAATTTTACGTTTGTTAGGTTTAGTTTTTGATTGGTTGTTTGTAGAGAATTAGTTCTGCAATTTTTATGTTATAGTCCGTTCGCTGTCGGGAGATGGTAGTAGAAGTTTCTTGAAACAGTGAACAATAGGCGCGCTAAAAAGTAATTAAAAAGTAGGCTTTACTATTGAATTAAAACTTTGATAAATTAAGTGATTTTTAATTTTATTATACCTTTTTATTAAATTTCGCAGAAGCACGACTGTTCACTATGTTCAGGACACTATCTTAAGATCCAATTGGATTAGAATAGGGTCGATTATTGTTAAATACCCTGTGTACAGAGTGGGACTACTAAAGTAACATTAACATTACTATTACACAATGGTAAAACCCTTAAAGTATTGGAATTTTATGATTTTTTTTTTTCGTATAATCGCTACTGATGCTTTTTGCATCCAAAATCCCTTTTATTACTGTCTGTCTCCTGGTGGCGAACGGAGTATAATTATGCAAAATATTGACAGCAAATGTCCTTAAAAGAAAGTTCAGAGGAATTTAGTCTCTTTAATCTCTTTAATATTTGATTTATTTCAATATTTAATTCAATATCTTTCTCGGGAACTTCGGCTTTCAAATTAGAACAGACTGCATTGTCTAATATGCAATCTTATAGTCAAAAACTACTCTCCTAATCTTCCATCAAGTGTATCTTAAAAATGAATAAAAATATGTAATTAACTTCGGAAACACTACAGGTACAAGATTAGTTACAAAGTAACAACAAACTTCCGTTATATTCCTGTACCTCAATAACTCATTCGTCGCGCTCGAAACGCGAAGTGCATCATTATCTAACTCTAGTTCGTCAGCTTTTCGGTTAATAATGATGATGTTCAGAGATATATCTAGTAGGTACATACTCATATATTGTGTAGGAAACACATTCGTCTCTGATGTGATTCGACAAGAAGTTGCAGCGCAGAAACTATTCGAAAGACGCGATGCGGAAATTCGGAAATTAGATTCTCGCTACCTCCCCCCGAACGCGGGGCGTTTTTCCGATCGCGCCCCGATAAAGGCTTGTATTTATCGCTCGTAATTAATTAGCCCGATCCGTAATTGCCGGCCCGTGTGTGCGACGCGGCGCGCTTAACTTCGTTAGCCCTTTTCTATTCGCCGGTTGTTTATAAAACGAAGATGAGCAAGAGCGTTATTCGAAATAAACCCCCCATCGGGAGAGACCGTTCTATGAAGCTTCGTTAACAAACATGCTTCGGGACAGGAGTCAAACGCCCCTGGGATTAGAACGTTCGACCTCGTTCGCGATCAAAAGACGCTTTTAAATTCGTTTATTTCCCCTGCAAAGAGGATATAACTCTATCCATCAAGCGAATTAAATTCAATAAAAAAGTCCAGAGTTCTAGATAGCTGGTCTACTCTACTCTATAATACTCTCTACTGTTGTTGTTTTGTTCGGGGATTCCGGTTCACCGCCCGACTTTAAGATGCGTTCGATGATATATAACAAACTGTCAAGATTGACAATTATGGCATTTCGTCTGACAGAAGTTTGATAGAGGTGGGTATCGATTTTTTGGTATAGAGGTGCAGTAACAATTGTTACAAAATAAGCGCTAGGTCCTGCACAGGACTTAAATAACTGAAGAAAACGGCATGGGCGAATTTATCGACTGGTTTCTAAAAATACGCTCATTTTGTAGCTAGTAAAAAGTTCGTTTTGATGAATGAATAATTGGAAGACGAGGGTTGATTGAACGCCAGGTCATCGCCGACGTCGATATGACTTCGCATGACGTCGATTTAAAATTAAAACCGGTTTTCAATTGGATTTCCATGAAACATTTAGCGCAATGACGCCACGCCGTTTTCTGTTGGTTGTTCCATGAAAGTACCTATTTTTATCAGCGACCTATGTCACTGTAAAAATAGTGGTTCATTATAAACTCAAATAGGAGTTGTAGAGCATTGCTTGAAATCCGATAAAATCTCTAATAAACCGGGTAAATCGAATAAAAATGAAATAGTATATGGATTGTAACTGGCTCGATGCATATATTAATTAATTACCGCCTGAGCGAATTTAATTTTCATCGATCAAATAAAGGTTTATACACATAATTCGTTTAATTAAAATAGGTTCTATTGAATTCATATAACTAAAAACTCGCACATAGCAAACATTAAATTAAATTCCATTAAAGCGCTAAACTGAAACCCGAAATGTCTTATTAGAGCGAAATTTCGACCCAAACAAGAAATAAATAAACACAAAAATTAAGGAGATATTAGTCCATAATTATAATAATAAAGCATTTACTTTGATGTAAAAGGTAGAGAGAAGCAGAAAATAAGAGCCATAAAACCATTTGCTTTAAAGCAACAGCAGGGTCCTCGAAGTAAAACCTCTTCTTTTTATGCATATACCTTGAAGCGATTCCTTTATTTTTTGAAGCAAAAGGTTGTGCTTCTTTTTATTAATAAGGCCTAATGTTTATATATTTATGTTGTACTACAATCTCGCAATCAATTAACTAAATTTGAATTATCTGTAGCGGTTAAAAAATCGTTAATGTGGATTTCTCCATGTGACAGGTCCGCCCTTCGGGGCATAGGCGTCGCGGTGGAGGCCCCTTGCGAGGAGAGCGGGAGCATGGCACTTCTGGCGCGCGACAGAAACAAGGAACAGGACATGGAGCCCATCACGCCGATACCGCTGCCGCCGAGATACCGCTTCAGGGATCTCATATTGGGCGATTGGGCGTTCAACGACGACGGCGAAAGGTAAGGCGGTTTTTTTTATCCTAATTTATACGCGTAGACGGGTAATTTGAAGGAGCCTAACTTCGGCGTATTGTTGGGAAAGTTGGAGTGAGTAATGGAGCGAATGAGCCTAATTCCTGTTTCGACGGGAGTCGGGGGTTTACGCAGAAAGGGAAGTTGTTTGGAAAGTTTATGAAAATGAAAGCGTAGGCATATTAATTTACGGATCCTTGGGATCATTAATTCATTCGCGTGCTTTTATTGTTTTTTTTTAAGTAAAAATACATATTTGGCTAGCTCGTTTCCCTCGAGATGGCGCAATTAGCAGGAGAGCGTTTAACAATTAATATGGTAAATAATTGGAACACGGAAAACCCTTTCGAAGAGGAAAAACCAATTAGTCTTTCGAGCATACAATGAATAATACATAAGAAATTTAAAAAACAAGCCTACAGTGAGAAAATTGAGGTCGCGAGAATTAATTTTCACCATTTTAAAAATGCCAATTCATTAAATAAGTATCAACTCTACGTAGAATGCAGTTAATTGCAAAAAATATTTTAATAGTACAAACGAGAATCTTTTTGCGGTAAAAATCCTACTGTTGAAGGAGCAAAAAAATGATTTGAATAAATAATGGCGGAGAATACGGGAAGAGTCACCGGCGGTAAAGATTATTATTTAGATAACAAACAAGACGTGAACAAAATTTCGCTGAATGATAACAAGGTAAAAATCACGAGAACCACTAAATGAAGTCGGGCGGCGGAGGAGGAAAAGTAAATTGTTAAAAAACTAACTTTTGCTCGTGTATGGTGCACCCGAAAAATTGATTATTCCTCTGGACGCCTACCTACAATGTAATCAAGAATTGAACAGGATTCGTCGAGGTAACGAGGTTAGTCAATTATTTAGACCGGCGAGCGTAAAAACGGCGTTTTTTCATAGAAAATAACAGTAATTTCACATTGGAATATAAAATATTACCACGAAATTTCCTGTTCGAGCTCATAAAACTAACCGTAATTTTTTCCTCACCAACATTCCCCTTGCAACATGTAATACGTATTCACTTTAACACACGTATAAATTCGCTATAGAAATAAATTAACTTCCATAATGTAAAGTTCTCAATAGGAGACACTTCCGCTTCCACCACCCACACAAAACGAGACAATTACTTATATTGTAGACAGTTACACAACACGCACAATATATCTCTGATACAGGGTGTCACATTGAAATATTTCTTAACGATTCGACAGATTTTTTCAAGACAGACATTTCTTTAAGCGTTGTGGTTGATGAGCAAATGGGCGAAATAATGTTTCAAAATCTATATTTTACCCGAAAACAGGTCTGTTCCCTTTTCACTTGGACACCCTGTAGGTATACTGGATACAACATAAATAGAAAAAAACTCGATTCCCGAGCGAAGCCTCCTTAGAAATTTCATTTTCACGGATCCGCACAAAAGGAGCACAATGAACGAGAACGCGTTTTCATTGTGTGTACATCGCAGGAAAAAAACTACCTTGTTACGCGGAGACATCAAGAAGCGATGAGAAGAATCTCCTTCAATACGCCTTTTTTGTTTTGCGATAAAGGACACAGACTCTTGTTAGGAACTGGGCTCAAGCGGGATTGTTGGTTTTAATTTTACGAGTATATTGGGCGAGCAGAATTAAAGGTTTTTTTAATCCGGCAGATGCATTTTGGACGTAAAGTGCCCACAGAAAATAATTTTAAATAATCCTTTGACGCTGCTACTTCTACTTGTATTTCTACTTCTATACCTCTACTTTTACACATTCTAATTCTACTCCTACTTCAACTCCTTCTATTACTCTACTATATTAGGGCGAATAGAAACTTACATTGGGCTCTACAATAAATCACCTTGTATATTAATTTAAGTGGGTACACCGCAGGAGAGATGAACAATATTTACCTACCTAATAAGCTCCTTGCAGAAATTTTTGTCATGGAGAAAATTGAATTTTTATGAAGGAAGTATTATTCCAATCTAGTTTTATTCGGAGGATAAAGGGAGGTTTTATTATGGGAGTTAGCGAGGGTATGGCACTGGGATATTCAAAGGAGCTTAAAAACTCCGTTGTTCGTCAAATAAAACGTGATAATAACGCGGAGAAATTGAAGTTATTTTCGTAAAAAAAGCTTCAATAAAGTCTACTTATTTATATGGTTCGAGTTAAAAATAAGTGTCGCTAAAATCAACGATTTTCAGGGATTATTCCGGGATGATTTTAAATTATATTTTACATCTAAAAAGCCGTTGCTTAAAATGCACCGCGGCATAAACTTCGCTTTATTAACACCGTCCTGTTTTCATAAAAATCTATAAAAAAGCTCGTAAATTCGTCGTTGCGGAAGGCTTATATCCCTTTACCTATTCACATCCAATGTTTGTACATTTTCCATTTTTCGAGCCCAGCACAGTTCGATCAGCAAGTGGTAGCGAAATTACCCGCTAGGAAAATTGGATTTTCCGCAGCAAGATTTTCATTATGTGGGTTTTTGGATTCTTTTTCGGCGAGATTAATCCGCCGAATTAATTCTATTGTGCGGCATATTCGCGTTACATTACATTGAACATTTGATCCGTAAAAGTACTCGCTGCACTTCCAGATCACGTTTGTTATCGATTAGCTACATTTTATTTTGTTGACATTCGACACTCGAATAAATGGATTTTCAGTTTTGGAGGATTTTCGTTTGAAAAAAGCGGGCACTCTATTAAAATAAATCCCCTCAATGGGGCATTATAATGCCAGCTGATTAAATCTGAGCAGGGAATTTTAACGAGTGAGTTGCTTGTTGAAATTTTTAACACGTAATTTATCTAAGCAAATCTCTTGATAAAAAAATTGATTGATTTTTAAGAACGTACCTAATTTGTAAACAAATTACGACATAATTAATTAATAAACTGATCAATACTCTGGGAAAATTTAATTATAGAAGAATTTAATTTTCCAGCAAAGCTTGATACCTACTCAATTTAATCAACGATCATAAAATACCTGTTCATTAAGACTATTACATTAACGATGCCTATACATGATAAATTTAAAAAAAAAGCATTAAAAAAATATCGAACAAAAGCGTTCGTTTAATAAGCAGTAAACGCTCGAATCGCGTTAGTGAAAGCTTTTTTATATCCGAGGAAAATTCCTTTCTATTAAACCGAGTGAATTAAAATATCCATCTCACTAAAACGTCGTGGAATCTCGGGAAAATAAGCTCCGGTCGTAAACTTGGCGAGCGTCCAAGAACGAATCAAATTCGTAACTACTTTTTTATGAAACTCAAAATCGCTATGCATCAGGAGAAATTTCAAATCTATTTCATTAAGAAAATTCGATATAACAAGCTTCTTTCAAACACCATGCACCAATTCTGTGGACAGTTCTAAATCATTCTAAACAGTTTTATAAAACATTCTGGACAGTTCCAAATGATTCTCAACAGTTCTGATTCATCCTGAAGTAATCTTAATGTTTCTGGACAGTTCTAAATTGTTCTAGACAATATTATGATCCATATCATTAAGACATTTTGTTTTTATTTGAATAAGTAATTCAATATTAAGTGATTCAATTCATTATAGGAGTACTTGTGAAATATTCTGTCATACAGTGTATAATTGATAGAGATTATTATTATTTCAATTAGCATTTCAACGTGTCGCGATAATATTTCATCGAGAAAGTTCGTTATAACTCTAAGGAAAAATACCTTACAGCAAGGTATTCGTGCAGGAGTTTTGTTCTAATCGATCACGATAAAACATCCTGATTAAATATCCACCGCCACCACCGACGCCCCCATTTAGCAAACCTTCACGGGAACCGGGAAACTATATACGGCGCATACTAAGCACGTGGCGTTGGAAAATTAAATTCGTAGCAGGACATAAGGATGGAAATTCGTTCGGAAAAAAGATATCCGGTTTTCCAGCACGAAATGACGGTAATTCGAGGGGACCGACGACGGCGCTCCATTAACATAAAGGACGCTTTAGAAATTTTTCTACTTTTAAGTTTTTTTTATATAGCGAGGAAAGTCTGGAAAAAGCTGATCCTAGTGTCTTATCCTGTCGTCGTTTGTTCAAGAAGCGATTTAAAGTAATGAAATTACTGGAGTGTACCGAGGAATTTGCCAATTTCGGAAATGTTATAGAATTATTCTATCAACTTCTCCATTTGTTTTTAGTCCTTCTAAATAACTATTCAGTATTTTTTTTAATTATCCCTACTATATTTATCGTGTATTAGTTACATAAAAGCAATGAATACCGTCCTGGAATACTCATGCACCCTTAATACCCAAACCCTCTCAAATCCTGGAAATATATTCCTCGTCGAATTTACTCTAATTTGACTCAAAATCCTACCCCATAAACCTCGTATTAACTTGTTCGACATCGTAAATACATTATCGCGCTATTAACGGCGACAAATATATGCCATTAGCTAAGATCTTAGTCGAAATAGTAACTTTTTTATCGGCCCTCCTACTCCTTTCTATTAAGATAAATCGCGCGCGAGTGGAATTGGCCTTTAACTCTCGCGGTTACCCGCCAATTTCACCCCTATTGAGAGCGGTGATGGGCCGGAATGGACTCGAAAAATAAATCTCTCCCAACGTGACCGTAATAACAGCCGGACGGGGATTCAAACTAATGAAAAATAACGCCGATGTGAAATCGGGAAATATCGCAGAACTGGAAGATAATTAACTTCGATTTGTTACGAACAATACCGGAAAATTTCACAATATTTATTAACGAATTGTAAAAGCATAATATTGTATCTATTCAAAGTTTTAATTGAATTGTGGGCGATTTGAAGTTGTAATATTTCGAACCCAATTTCCACAAAATTGAATTAGTTGCATACAATTTTTTTAACTATACAGAATTAAACTTGCAGAATCCCGGCGTATTTTTAATTTTTGTTATTTTTTTTTAATCCAAACACTAACGCCCCCGGTAAACGGGTAATGTCGTCGTAAAATATCAAATGCGGGTTTACTGAAAACCGCGACCGTGAAGTTTACGATCGAGTTTGGAAATGCCATTTTCCTGTCCGTCTTGTTAACAAACTTTGGTACGAGATTGTTCGAACGGGGTGAAATTTCCACGGGAAAAAATAGAATAAAAAAACGAATCCACCCTCACAAACGATCAACGGCTTTACATCATAAAATATGCGGTATAGTATATTCCCTTTTAGGCGACCATATTACGTTTGCATGTTGAATAAAATTATTAGATTTGTTCTCTGGTGTTTTCGCGATAAGTTTATTTTACTCGTAAGTTGTGCTGTATTTCGTGTTCTTGAAGTATGTAAAATTGGGGTGAAATTTTCTTACCTGAAAAGCGGGGAAATCGGATCCGTATGTTGGCACAGGTGAATATATTTTCCCTCTGATATCGACGTTTTTATGTATTAGCTTTCCATTTCGTTCAGGAAGTGGATATTTTCGCTTTTATGAACCAATGAAGTAGGTGTAAATATGTCTAATCAATAAAATATAAAATTCGTAAAAAAACCAGAAATTTAATGGATTCATTTATCGTCGTGTTTTACGATAAAGCTGCTCTATTATTTAAACATGCTGTTGGCGTTAAAATAAAAAATATACATATAGCCGGTATTTCCATTTTCCAACCCACTGGGAAAGTCGTTTTTCTGGATTATCCTTATCGATCTGTTAAAAGTACGAATATTACCGGTGGAACTTTACTAAAATTTTAGTTTCTATCCGGTACGCCGTGATTTTTAATCCGAAACGACACGAAAAATACTCGGAAATGGCGGATATAAAAACCAGGAAAAACCTCTAGTGTCGTCAAAAGCTTCTATACGGCTCTTTCCTAATGAGTCCGCCTTTCCTATTAACCACAGGGTTGTATTAGCTAATTTTAAAAATTCACTAAACTCACCCACTCTACTAGAATTACCACATTTTATTTGTACTACTTGGTACTGAAAGTCTTGAAGAAAAAATATTGTTAGGAGATTAATTTTTTTTTCGACTTTCTGTATTACTTACTTTCTATCTTATTCGCAACGTCTCTGATTTATGATTCGTTTTCCCAACGCCTCGCCGCAACTTCAACGCCCTCGACACGGAGCATTGCTCTCGTTTGTATTTGAGTTTTTCAGTATCTCGGGACTTCCATCATAAAGCGTCCGTAAAAACTTTGTTTTATTGTTCTTGACGGGATTTAACTAACCAATTTCGAGTTTCTAATTTTCATTCGACAAACAGATACATATATTAAATTCGCGGTTTGTATAAAGCGCCACTTCGTTCGGGTATTGCTATTTTAGATGCATATTGACCCAGTTTCAAAATTCCTGTGTTAGTGTCTACTTATTTGTAATATTTCCTGCTATATGTTGGCGGGTATATTGCAATATGTACAAAATATAACTCCAGGATGTAATTACGCTATGAAGAAATATTACATTTGAGAGGAGTCTTGAGAGATAATTTACTGTTGTTTTATATAGGCAAATTTGATCGTTTAGTGGAATTTTGAGGATGTTTGAACGTTGAATGGAAATTTATATACCCCAACAGATGCATTCATAACCCATAACATTAATGAATGTTAGCGTGTAAAGTGAATTACGTAGTTTCTACATAAATTTCTTGTTCACTTGTAACTTGTAACATAAGTTAGCGAAATGTTTTACACTATTAAAAATTCCACAAAATTTGTGGTGTTATAAACTACTCTACTCACTACTTTCAACACCACTCTCTACTCAACTCTCTACTTTCTATTCTCTACACTCTACACTCAAATTTCCCAGTTTGTAGAAATTAAATTAAAGTTCTCAGGTACGCAATTATTGTTATTTTTCTGTGGAAAATTCTGGTGAGCGATTAAAGGTAAAAGGGATTATTATTTTGGTGAGAAATACTAAATTCTGCCCTGTTCTAATCAAATATGGTAGGACTATATACCAACATATAGAGCACGAAATCGATTTGTGCCGAAAGTTTAAATGGGCCCTTTCATCAGTTTTAGGTCAATGACTAATTTCAATGAATAATCCGCTCTATAATAATGCCAGCCCGTAATTCGCGTAATCTGTACTTAAGCGGGGGCCGTCGATGAATATATTCCACCGAGGATCGAATTTCGAATTATGTTTGTGTTAAATTGTCCGGTAATTCAGTTTTGCTTCTATAACAATACACTCTAATTTATTCTTCTGTCGCTTCGAAAGGTAATTAACTGCTCAGGGAACAAGGAAATACGGATCGTAATTTTCGAGAAAATAATCTTACACGCGCTTCATAATTTAGAAAGGATTTTTTCAACGCTACGCGACCGGAATTAAATTTATCGCCCGTGATAAAGTTACTCAAACATAGTTTAAAGTCGGGCGATTTAGTTATTAAATTATAAAAAAATTGATGGGAATATGCAAGGAAAATTATATACCTAAACGATTCGATTTATCTATATTTAAATGGAGAGTTACGAAACACAAAACTTATTAGTATAATTAAATAGGTAATGAAAGTTAAGTAGGTAGTGAAAGTAATAACATCGAAAATTACCTTTTGACCCGAATTGTCACCCTAATTTCAACTTTCAACGTTCTACTCAAGAGACTTATCGATTTTCAATGTATGTACTTAAATTTTCATTTCGTGCCGAAGGTGTACCGTATTTATTTGGTCCTATTCCTGCTATTGACCTTTTGCTTGTATTTTTGTTATCAAATTGTTTGTTTTACATATTCTATTAAATTCGTTTTAAGCGGCATTTTGATAAGAAATATTTCCATTTTTTGTACGATTTCGTCCGCTCTAACGAACCCGATATCTATTTAGAAATGCGGGATGCCCGAGATAACGGCCTGGAAAATATCCCACGAGGATAAATCAAGAGCTTTTAGATTAATGCCCCTTGTTTAATCAATAATTCAAAAGGTTACCGGAAGATTTCGGAAAATCATATACCTGCAATACCCGACGAATCCGCCTGTATTTGAAACGCCAACCTCCAATAAAAATCCCATTATCGACGCCTGACAAACGGCAAACAACAGGTGACAGTATTTAGATGCCTCATGTAGCCGTTTAGCTTAACCTACATTCGGTTATTGTAGGTAAAAAGACCGGGGAACGGGGAACGTGTGCTAATGCGGACGAATAAATAACGGACGTTAAGGGAAAACCGTCCGTTTTCTATACTGAAAACCCATCGGGTGAATTATCAGCTTTTCCGCTGCATTCGGTGAATCCCTTTTAGAAGGAAATGGTCATGTTGAAACCAGCATTCGCCTGTAAAGTTTCCTCTAGAAATGTTTGAAAAATCTGAATTTAATGACTCGAAATTTCAGAATAATTCTTACATTAATTTTCTTCAACCGGAGTTCGATTCTAACTCAACTTTTTTTTAATCGAAGAAACCTCGTAGAAAAATAAATCTTGAAGTCGTAAAAAATTTTTCTCGCGATCGGGGTGTTTTTCTTGAGCTCGTTTCGCGGGAAAACAGCTGGCTCACGAACAAGGGAAATTCCTACCTTATTAGAGAGATCAGCACGTAAATATTTAATCTACCTACTGTTCTGGTTTTCTTCATCCTACGCGAAGTTCATGTTCCTTCATTTTTTGCGGATTCACCTTCTAATTAATACAAACGAGCGACAGACGTCTGTTTATTTTAGCGAAAGGAAATTGTTTAGTTAACTAGAATTTCTATTATTCTGTACACTGAACGTGAAATATAAACTCTCGTTTTATTCATACTACCAATAGTCTATGTCTATAACATAGTGTAGCCTAATAAATTCATGCGTAAGGAAATTATACACTAAAATTAAAAATTTATTAGAATCAATTACTTTGAAGTCGTTAATTCAGATAAAGGTATATTGCTATATTAATGACACATTTTTTTTAAATTATTGACGCATGAATTTTAAATTCGATTTTACATCAAATATTAACCAATCATATCTAATTTAAAATTACGTAGTGGAAAGACGAATTGAACATAAATTATGCATTTTGTCCTATCCATTAAGGACGACTTATGGTTGTTTATTCTTCGCAGACATTCCATTTGCTCGACCACGAAACGATGTCGCTGTTAACTAATACCGAAAATATCAGAAAAAGTAAATATTTTACCTGGCTGTCTTACCAATATCACGAAATTATATGGCCGTGTGCCCGTTGGCAAGGAGTCATTCAACAGCAGATTCCGCTGCATAAAAGCACGTCAATTGCGCTGTATATTCTTGTTCAGTATCCCGAATAAAAGAAGATATACAGAACTCGTTGGATTTTCTCGACGTTGCGTCGACTACAAAGCGTGCCAATTTAAGTAAATAAGTCGGTATGAAATGTTACTTACTTCGCAAAAAAATCGGGGAAAAATTAAAAAAAAGGGAATGGAAAGCTTCGTTGAAAACAGCACGCAGTTTGGCGTAATTCAGCTAATTGTTGCGATAAGCGTGCGCTGGAAAATTAATGGCTTTTCCGCGACAAGGTCTAAAAACTAGCGCGTGCCCGAAAGGAAATTGTTTACATATCGGGCGCGACTGGTTCGTGATAAATCGCAAGCCTCCCCTGTTGATACAACTAATTGTTTACCACAAAATTAGTCGGGACCGATTAATTTACAACAACAAAACCGAAAAATACTGCGGGGTTATTGTTCACATAATTACACCCATAATCTACTCGATTTTTTCCTTTATCTCGCGCGGTTGCTCGACTATACAGTGGAAATTTTCTCCGGCATTCAGTGTCTTAAATTAGAAATGGTGTGTTCCCGGAATCAATTCCATTCGGAAAGTTGCCTTTAAATCATCGCCTCGCGAACGTGCGGCAGTTTCCCTGTAAAGGATGTTCGGGTAGATAAACGGGTAGAGGTATATTCCTGCGGGAAGGAAAACAATGCCCCGCCATCAAAAGGTATTTTCGTGTGAGATTCTTTTGTCTAGCGGCGATGTTACAGAAACAACTGGTCGCTTAAATAAAGTATCGGATGTAATGGAAATACACAGGGTGATTCAAAAGTTTTGGACCGCGAAAGAAATGGGCCAAATTCAAAAAAACACACTGTAACTCATATGTTATAAAGAGCACAAGAGCAATACTATAATATTTCAAACGTTTCATTATACATATGGTTCAGAGTTAAAATATTGCTTTTTCTCAATGAAACGCCCTGTATATTATATTCCACAGGCACCAAAGCGAAATTTTGTATGTTTTATGAAAGATTTTAAGAGGGCGAATTTGTCGAGACGGCAACCCCTTCAAGTTCCATCCCGCTTCGTCTTCATTAAATTCCAATTGGGCGCGCTCTATCAATTAAAAGCGCCTCGACTTTGGAAAATGGACTTTCTCGAGTCGACGATTTGGGCCGTGCTGGTTTTTCCATCGATGCGAGTAATTAGAATTTAATCATAAACTCGATTCAAAGGCACCGTCGTCAAGCGTGCACAGACCTGATGGGGAAGTGTCCTGGACGTCGGGATACATCAATTTCAGTTGAATTTCTTATTCAACTTGAGTCGCGACTTACCTGTTCGCGTTTATTTAGGATTTTTCGCGAAATCGTATTTAGAGAAAAAATGTTGGAAATGTTTTCGTTTTCAATAAAGATTTGGGAGGTTTATGAATCTTGGCGTTCGATGGAGGTATTAAAGGATTTCAAAGAGCCTGTATTTCCATCAAAAAAAAAGATCAATAAAATTGTATTATTATTTTCAAACTTTCTTTTAGACTACATAAATACATGTGTAGATAAACAAAAAGGTTATCTTTTATCGCTTATTGAAAAATAAACAATTTATAATATTTATTATTACATATTACAAGCCTATTTCTATGATTAACAAATATTATTCTATAAGGATAACAAAGAGCAATTTGTGTTAATTGGAACTTTCACTTTATTACTTTTAGAGACTAATATCAACAAAATAGCAAGGCAAAAACAACAATATAATAAAAGCATTTGAAAAATTTTATGAAAAAAAATAAACTGGAAGGATTGCAAACAAGTAGGTACTAACAAAAACAAATCGAAAATGTTTAATAATTTTACTGAGCAAAAACTGATTAAATAAACAAAAAGGTTCCTACATAAAATGTATGTAAATTTCGATGCATAATCATTATAATTCGAAAATATACAAAGGTTATCACATTTTGGGTAATAAAAACTTGTTATTCAAATTTTCTAAAATGTAATAGAAATGTATTTATAAATTTTAAACAAAAAAACTCTCTTACTTCTACTAAACTAATACACAGCAAGTTTTATGACCTGTACAACCTTTACGGCCCAAATTTAAAGAGTCTGGGCATTGTGACTTCGGAAAACAAGCATTATGAGTCTGGTAACAATTCACTTTTTCTGGAGGAACTGCAAAAACGACGCTTTTATTCTGTTCAACAAATTGTAAAAATTAGGATACTTACAATCTTTACAACAAACAGCTCCCCGGTCCTTTTGCCCTGGACATAGATTTTTGTCATGATTATTTACATGGTGAGTACATTCGCTCTCCAGTACACAATAACCCCCTCTACACGATTCCTCGTGGTAAAAATTTGAAGCTGAACAAAACGAATTCTTACAAACAATTATTGTTATAAAATGCGTTAAAACTTACTCAGTTGACGTGAGAAAACAACACCGATCACGGAGAAAAATATTAACCACACTATACGCATTTTTGTAGTTTAATCGCCGACCGGCATGGAATCGAGAATGAATATGTATAAGTACTAAATATAAACACTAGAAATGCGAATAATATTGCTGGGAAAAAAACTGATTAAAACACGAGCGTCGCTCGTGTATTTAAACTTGCTTATACATGTGTATTTATGTAATAATAAAATTGTAATACTTTCGTTGATAAAATAATCGAGCTAATCACTTGGGTAAGTACATAATTGTAGGTTGTAGGTGAACCACAATTGAAATGCAATACTCGCATTTTTATCTACAGGTACATAAACAACACCTTTATTAGCGAAATTCGTGACGATAAGGAGAAAATCTTAACGTGAAATTAGCGAGGCGGAGGCGAGTTGCTTTCATTATTTTTTTACGGCTCGGTTATAAAATTTTATTAAATTTTCAATTACATGTAAATTTTATTATCTATGTTTACTGCGTTTGAATATTCCTTTATTATATTCCATGCACTGTTGTTTAGTCTCCGGCCCGGGGCAAGGCATGTTAGTAGAAGCGAATTTTAAAACAAAATATAAATCAAAACAATAATTCACAATAAATAGAATAAATTCCATTGATACAATAATACAATAAATTTAATAAAACACAGAAAACAAAATATTTATCTACCAAATTTAAATATAAAAATATTTGATCTGTACGTATACATATACTTTTAACATACATACATATAAATTGCTAATTTCCTCTACTTATACTTTTAGATTAATCGAAGCATTCTAATCGGCTTATGTGTTTAATAAATTCGAGTTATGTATACGGATATCCAAAATTTAGGTCAATAAGATAAATTTCTTTTCACAACATCATATTTTTACTATGCTACCGGATAAAATTAAATGATTTATTCACAATATTTATATCAAATTTTCTATCACCCCACAGTACATATTCAGTTCGAAACGAATAGATGGCGCAGGATTTTCATATCGATTCAAGGAGAAGTTTAGGTATACACGAACTGTAAAAGATGGCGATCACGTTACGATTTTCCACCAAAATTTCAAATTTATACAGCGCTATTATTTCGTATCAATTTTACTCACTTTCGGAAAGTAATTAACGCTTCATTTGAACTATTCATTTAAACTAATTGAAACGTACAATGAAGCGAAAACAAAACTGTTATTAATAAAGTAATTGAAAAATTCCATCCTAACTTTCAGCGTCAGGTATTACACTTTAATTATTGTTTTATTAGCTAATCGACATATCCGAATGTAATTAATTCCCCCAATTAAACAGACATGATTATAATAACCGAGCGTTTACGTACTGTCATTAGCATGGTTATTTTGCCGTGTCAATATAAATTAATTAGGTACATGTCATCGATTTTAAACAATTTAGTCTAGAATTATTAGGGGCGCTTTACTAACCGGCAAATAATTTCAGAATAACTGAATAATAAATTAGATTTTAATTATATTTAGGTACCTAATACAATTAGTTTTTAGCATTAATACTATTAAAAACTTGCGCAGGTAGTGTTAATATTTAGTTGTTGCTGTTATGCTGTACATTTTAATATTATTGATTACTGTTAATTATTTTGACCTTATCCGGGAGTTAATAATGTAGTCTTTCATAAAGTTTTATTCAGTTTTTTTGCAAGTAATGCAAACTTTTTGATGTTGATGGAAGAAATTCTTTTTACGAGCAATTTATTATGACTATGTAGTTAACAAAGGTGTGGGGAATAAAATCCCTTCTACTTCAACTACTGCTTATTAACACTAAGAGTGCGGTTTACTTTGACAAAAGACCCCCCGAAATCCATCTTGAAACTTCTGGGGAATCCTTGAAACGTCCTCGCGACTAAATTAAACCAAAATTAGACCTTCTCGAAACTCTGGGGGAAATTTAAATGATGCCATGAAAGTGTAGCTATTTTAATAAGCCTGTAATTACAGGCAACGAAATTTCTTCTACTCTGTTACCCATAACGCTGTAGGTTAAAAACGACGCGAATTAAAACTGCATCCCCAATTAAACCTAAGTGATTAAAAGGTTTTTCTAGTATTTTTTCTTAATTAATTCGATGCCATTTCGAATTGACCCAGAGCGTGCAGTCGCGACGTCGGCGTCGCAACGCCCGCTTTCACGGTCCTATCCCAAGTTCCACGTTCCGCTATCGCGGTTTTTTATCCGCTTTTCGGGAGTGGGGGCGGCCTGTCCGCATGATGCCGACGTCGAGCCGCATTCGGCGCCCAATCAGGCCCGGCTCGACCCAATCAACCCCCCAAATTTCTCCGAAAACCCCCCGAATCTAGCCCCCCATTTGTTGGAAAACCCAATCCAGAAATGTTAAGTAAATGAATTTTTACTTTTTCATCGGAGTAAATATTACAAGCACAATGAAATATTCAATTCTGGCCTAGCATTGAAGCATTTACTTCAAGCATTGAACCCAGCTGGGTTCCTCTACTAGCCCAAATTATCTAAACCACTAGCTTTCCACACTTTCCTCTACTGTTTCCTGATGACGAACGGAGTATAACAACATCAGAATATTTGTTACTATCTCCTGATGGCGAACGGAGTATAGCGAGTAATTTTTTTGCAAAGTTTCTGAGTATAATGTGGGAGTATTTTTGGCGCGTTCTCTTTGAGCAACTTCGTTCCTGTCCTCTCCCCGATCGATGTGTACCCTGCTCTAGCTGTATCCCTTACTGCAATCGGGCACTACTGGTTAGTAGCCGTGTTTGAGCCCTGCTCCAAAGACCTAACCTATGCAATATCGTCGATTTGTTCGATTGCACGTTGTCGATTAGGGTAGATCTCTTTGGGTTTGGATGGATTAATGAATTAACTTAGCATTAACCTGCTCTGTAGTCAAATCTTTTCCTTTCTGATTAACTATATATCCGATTTTCGCGGTTTTACTTTTATGCTATTCGCGGTTCCTTTTCCTGTTGATGTGACGAAAATGTGACGAGTGATTTAAAACTTCTCTTAATTTATAAATCTGATAAAATTTTGGAGGTAAATAAACGAAATCATCATGCATCATTCGCATCAGCCTCTTCATTAATCACGATTTCAATATGCTTGTTTCATGTTCAGTTCAACATGTTCACTTATAGTAGCTACGTTAATTTAATAATATTTCAATATTGATTTTCGAGTCAAAAATGAACGCACTGAATATTTTACCTGATTGATTAGGTGCATTTTTAACACTTTACGCCGAACAAAACGAAATTTAAATTTGTTTAATAGATTGCAGAAAATTTACAGATATTTTTATGCTGTATAGAGTGTAATTTTTAATACAAGATAGCGACGTAATAGCGTGATGAAATGCCGTGTATCCTGCACTCCATTTGTCATTCCGGTATATACAAACATGTCTTTGTCGTGGAACGTGTTCCGCCCGAATGCATAATTCAAAGCTATTTCGGACAATGCAATTCAACGAGGCAAATTCGAGGATGGGACTTTATGTGTGCATCAGTGCTGCACTTTACGTCAATAAAAATCACCGTGGATAATCGAACTTCTATTCAATTTTAACGAAACTTTTTGTAAAAAGTTGTACGTGTAAAAAAGTTATATCCCTTTGAATTAAAATTTTCCAGTAACAAAATTCCCGGCTCCTGCACAATTTCGAGCACCTGTTATCGTATAATTAAAGTTGGGAAAATTCTGATTCTCGCCGGCGCGTTTATTAAGATTAAAATAAAATAGCGGTGGAGCTTTGAACTTTTCCGGGCCGTTTCGAATAGAATGGTGGTGAAATTTTAACAAAACTATAATTGCACGTACAACAAAGCTCTTCACTGAATTTATGCGAGTTTCGGTTTATGAAGTTATAAAAAATTTATATATTTATAATTTATCTATAATTAATCTAAATTTATAATTTACTTTAGCGAGCTTATCTATATTTTCGGGCATGTAATCATTCTATGTATTTTTTCCTTCTAATTCGTGTGTGGATCTCATTTCGCGATAATATGACAGGAAATCGATCAAATACCAACCCTACTATTAATTAAGTAATTGCACTCCAGATAAAAATCAGGCTGGGCTAACCGTAACAAGCACAATCGATCCAGCTAAAGTGCAATTTCGATTGAGTACCCATAAAATTTTACGAGTTAAATTTAATTTGATTAAATTGAAAGGTTATTGTAGAATTCCTGTGCGTTAGATATGTAACTGTCTTGTTGGAAAACGACCTAAAAAAGGGATTTTCACATAGAATAATTGATACAAGGGACGGAGGAAAAACCGGTCCTTCGGGATTAATAAATCCCCTGCATGCATGCTGTTGGTTTTAGAGCTTGTTTGCTTTGTGCTTGGAGACTTCAACAAATTTTCTCTTTGCTCACGAATACTTTTCATTCTTTATTTAAAAAATGCATCAACATTTCATACTCAATGGTATTAAATACTTTATAATAACCCACCGATATTATCAATGCTCATTCTTGTTAATTTCTTACTCTTCCACTAATTTGAGGATTAAATTGAAAACCATTAATTTTATTCAAATTAGTCCAACACAACAAACTTTCTTTCCCCTCGCTGTTTTCTTGAAAGTTTGCAAAGTTTTTTCTTCGGAAAAATTTCATTTTCCGCGGGCTCGTAAATTTTCCAAGAGCTCATAGAATGAACGAAACAAACGATTAAACGAAGTCGAGTGGTTGTAAAACTCATTAAAAATTTATAAAACAGGATAATTATAACGAGGAGTGTATCGATTTAATAAAAATGTAAAAAATAGTTATTTGCACATTATGTTAATTTAATGGAAGTATTTGCGCTTCAAAAAATGGGAAACTAAGCGAATTATACGATTGTGTGAGGTTTGAAAAGCGTTCCTGTGAGAGAGATAACATCCGTGTTACCTTTTATTACTGTTATTGCCGGAGGGAAAATTTTATTACCTACTAACAGACATTCCGGCGTACTTAGTAGAAATCTCGCAAATTATACGAGCGTAATTTATGTTTACTGCTAACATCGTTTCGCAAATCCTTCTATATGACAGTCATTTACTCGAAAAGGGGGTATAAAAAGTGGACATGAAAGGAACGTTTGCCATCTCTATTTACCTAAATTTTAATCCTGTAACGATATTCTCAAATTTGACATTAATGACAATTCGTATGACAGAAGTTTAATAGAGGTTGGAATCAATTTTTTGGTATAGAGTTAGAGTAACGATTGTTACAAAATAAGCGTTATTTTTCACACATCACAAGCAATCATCTACTCCAAATTACTTTCCATTTCTCCACAAGTTTTCAGGTATTCATTTAGGTATTGTTATTTTTCTGTGGGTAATTCCGGTGCCCGCAACGTCTAATCTACTTAAAATGGAAATCTCTAAAAATAACCCGACAATCGATGTCTAGTTAATTTATTAAAAATAAATCGATGCTTTCCTGATATCGGAAATCGAACTTCCCCGAACGAGAGGTCGAAAGTTCGCGAAACGAAAGAAAAAGTGCCGCGGAATTGGGAGTTCAACAGCGTAACAACTCAACTCCCGTCAAGAAAAAGCGTAACAGTAAAGAAAATTTTCGAACGTGAGTTGAAAACGAGTCGCGAAAAAAACTAAACGAATCTTTTATCCATTTATTTTCGTTCCTGCGAAAAAAATTATATCGCGTACGCTGCGAATTTCCCTGAAAAATCGAGCGTCACGTTTTCCTCGATACAAAAAAAAAACAATTACTTAAAATTCGTTTTGTATAACTCCCTGTATAGGACTTCTACACTTCAGAGATGAATTTTCCTGCTTAAAAACAAATAAATTACTCATTATTCATCATTCATTCCTTAACAACTCCACACTCGGTTATTTACCTCCACAATTTCCCCAAAAGCGGTGAGAAAAATCGCAACGAAACTGTCTCCGTTTACCACCCCTCGTCGGTACCCCCTTCGGAAAACCCCCCCGGTGGAGAGCGACTCCTCGGGTCCGAGCCCCAGTTCGGAGGAGGACGGCGCCCCGGGCGCCGGCGAGTCGACGTCGAAGGGCTCGCCGGCGTCCAGCAGGAGGAGTTCTCGCTTGGGGGCCGAGTGGAGCTACCAGATGCTGCCGAACGCGGCGGAGCAGTCGCTCCTGGAGGGCGGCAAGAGGACCCGGGTGAACTTTCCGCCGGAGATGATGGACAGGAGATCGAGCAGGTCGTTGTTCGTGCCGAGAAGGAGCAGGACGATGAGCATTTGGAGCGACATCAGCCGGTCAAGTTGGAGGTTAGACGAAAGGTATGTTACTTTTTTCCTGCTGGTTTTATTGGTAAATTCGTCGCTGTTTTTATAGCATTTCTAGTTTTGGTACTACTAGGTACTTTCCTGCTGAAGTTATATTGGCTAATTCTTTGTTCTCAATAAGGTTCTAGTAGGTAATGAACGATACTAGAACTGCTAGTACTATTGTACTAGTCTCAGAAACTTTCCTACTGAAGTTACATTGGTGATTATATCTTTCTTCTTGTAACATTTCTAGTATTGGTATAGTGTAGGTGCTTTCCTGCTGAAGTTATTGGTGAATTTATCAGTTCTTCTTGCAACTTGCAACATTCCTGGTATTTAATGGATTATTTATCACAAATCTGATAAATAAAATTACGGTTAATAAATAAATAAATTTAATGGAACAAAAATTCGTTTCGAACTAATTATTATAAATAAATCAGAAATTGTATGTCAAAATTTATAAATACAAAACAGAGAATACATTAGAATATTTTATAAAATATGAGAGATTCGTCGGTAAAATTCGCTGTTTTAGGCATATTGAAAATTGTTATAATTTATACAGAATGATAAATTAATAACTATAATTTTGTAATACATTGCGAGTTCATTTTATAAACTTGGTTGAATTGAATTAATTCTTAAAAAATCGGATTTAGTACATATTTGATCGTAGGATTTAAAAAAAGCTTGTATTAATGCAAGAAACATTTATATCCATTACAATTGCAACAAAAATTTAAACTCTCTTAAATATAAATAAACTTTACATAATATTTCTTGCATTAGACAATTAGACGCATAACATAACTTGTGATTATCAAAACTAATATGCGAATAAATAAAAAATAAATAAAACATATAAAAAGAATAATTATCAAAATAAAACTAAGCAGTTTTACCAACCGTTTAAGGTTGGTAGTAGAAATGTTGGCAAAAATCTTGAGTCATTTGGATAAAACTCACCGGTACTGGGTACAGATTGGAGTTCATGTGGATCATCCTGATCGGTTGCTCAACAAATTGATTCTAAAAAATAATAATAAGACATTTTAAGAGTCAATTATCTACTTAAGAGTCGCTTATCTACCCAATAGAGTCGAATAGCTTCCCAAGACAGTCAATTATTTACCCAAGAGATTCATTTAACTGCACAATAGAGTAAAATATCTTCCCAATTATCTGCTTAAGAGAGCCCATGATCTATCCAAGAGTCTATTACCTATCTAAGAAAATCGATTATCTTCCCAAGACAATCAATTATCTACCCAAGAGATTCGATTATCTACCCAATAGTCAAATATCTCCCTAATTTTTCATCATTACCTGCCGATAGTATTGATTCATCCAAGGTTCATTCGACGCCGAGTATGGCACACCGCAAATTTGATACATCTCGGGCTGAAAAATCAACGTATTATGTAGCTATCTCGATACTCGATCAATACAACATCAAACACTAGTATCGATTACTTACAGCGTTAATTGTAGGGGCGGAATTTCTGCCAATGATCTGCCTGGGCGCATCTTGGTGCACCGTGATTGCAGGAGTGCTAGACAAGTTTCGCATTACAGGCTGTTGCTGGAATTGTGGGGATCGGTTTAATTGATAATAAAGGCGATTTGGGGGGTGAAACTTACCCAGCTGACGAGAGGTGCGACGGGAACGGTGTTGGGATTGTACGAGTTTGCTGAGGTTGAGTCTGGATAGTCGTCGAAATTCTGGAAAAAGAATTGTTTAGTGAAGTTTATGTGGGTGTTTTGTGGAATATTTACGCTTTCGCATCTTCTGGGATTTGGTAAATCGTTGGTAGATTCTTCTGTGAACTGAATAAATAATAAATATTAGATTAATGATAAGTATTGCTTATGGATTTATTACCTGATTGCCGGAATAATCTGATGACTCGCTGATTGATGTGGAGTTATCGAAGTTCGGTAATCTATATAAAAAAAGCGTATATTTTTTTTGGTATGATTTTTATAATATTTTTAACTTACTTCTCGTAAAATTTGGTAAAAGAGAGCTTCATGCGAACGCCGGAAATTTCATATTTTTCTAACAGCTTGAAGGAATTGTAGGCGACTGTTTCGTTTTCGAACGTTATGTGTCCGATCCCCGATTGCAGAAATATGTTCAAAATGTGCTTCGGTTTAATGATTTTTATTATTTCTTCATACAGTTCTTCTTTCGTGAGGTGGGGTAACGGGATGTCGAAGTACAGGCGTTTTGACTAGAAAATAGTTTGGTTTATACTCCTTTCGCCATCAGGAGATAATACGCTAATTTTTTATGTATAAAATAGCATCATTTTCGTCAGTTTTTTAGTCCATTTTTGGTCAAGTTTCAATCAAATTTTAGTTAAATTTTCATTCAATTTTTTATCAATTTGTAATCGTTTTTTAGATAGATTTTTAGTCGATTTTTAGGCGATTTTTGATTAATTTTTGGTCAATTTATTAGTTATCTTTACATCAATTTTTAGTATCTACTTATTTAAATAGGATTTTGGTCAATTTTTAATCAGTTTTTAGTCGATTTTTAGGCGATTTTTTATCAATTTTTGGCCAATTTATTAGTTCTGTTTTCATTAATTTTTAGCCCTTATTTAGATCAGATTTTAGTCAATTTTTAATCAGTTTTTAGTCGATTTTTGATCAATTCGTAGTCAATACAGAGTATAATTAAAAATTTAAAACAAATTTACTTACTTTCAACTTCTCATCAGGAATAGCCCAATCGATCCTGGCCGGTTTACCAAACAAACTAAACCCATTGAACATTTTCTTCCTCGCCTCCAGCGCGTTCTTGTGCGTATTATACACCAAAATGCAATTCCTGCAATGCTTATCCGTCCTGGAATTGACGAAGAACACCTCCTGCAGCCCGCTACCGATCACCTTCGACAGCTCCTGAAAAATCTCCTGCACCGACCGATCCTTCGGCACGTCGGCGATCTCCAGCCGATTATTATCGAACGACATCTTCACCACCACGCTCGAGCCCCTGATCTTCCTGCCGCACAGCACCATCATCGCCTTCCTCGCCGACTCCACCTCGAAGAAATTCACGTAGCAGTACCCCCGGCAGTAGCCGCTGAACTCGAGCAGCAGCCGGATCTGGTAGACCTCGCCCAGCGGCAGGACGAACTCGAAGATCTCCTGCAGCAGCACGTCGGGCTCGAGGTTCTTGACGAACACCTCGGTGCCGCGCCTGCCGTGGCTGGCCCGCTTGAAGGTGGCTATCAGCTGCCCGTTGACGTGGGTGATGTCGTAGAGGGCGGAGAAGTCGCCCTTGTTGCACACCATCTTGTGCAGGGTCAGGTCGAAGAGGGTGCTCGGATCGGCCATGTTGCCTATATCGCCGATGGAATTCTCGTTTCTGATATGATATTTTCTAACGGCGCCGCGGTGATCGGTTGCGAAATAAGTTATGAAATATTTTTGAAGCGTGCGAGAGAGGGGAATCGAAAGCGGTGGTTTCAAGGTCGGAATTAGGATGGTTTGTCGTTCTTTTCCTACTGCAAATGTTGCGGAGTAGGAGTAGGAATGTTCTAGGAAGTACTGGTGGGGTGCTGGCGGGTTCCTAGAAATGAGCAGGATTGGCTCGAGTGGCTCTGTTGGGTAACTAATTTTTGTGGAAGTGTTTGATTCTTCATCGATTTATTCGGTGGTTTTTGGATATTTTCGAAGGATTCGTGTGATCTTGAGTAAAGGATATTTTGTATAGAAAAGGATTTAATTTGGCATAATTATCTAACAATTTTAATACGTTAAGTTCGCAGTTTTCAGTTTTGCAAGTTTTAGCAAGAAATTGTACAGACTAGCCAAAATGATTCATGTTTATAACATTTTCTTGATTCTTCAACAATTTCAGCAAATTATTGAATTTCATAAGAAGAATAGACTCGTTTTTATCGACTTACAAATTACAAACTTCTTTAATTTCATTTTAGAGCAATAATTTCATCTTTCCACTTTCCAATTTATTTTATTTTCGAACCCTTTGTTTGTGTATTGTTTCGCATTTTATGACACTCCACAAAAATATTATATAACAGTATTTTAGACCTTTTATTATACGTATGTCATTTGAGGAGAAACTCGTTCATCTATATGATACATCATTTTTCCTGCAAAGAAAGTAATTTCCTCTCGTTTCATCAGAAAATCTGACCAGTCGTAAAAAGACAATATTTTTTTACTGCAGGATATCTATTTAAAGACTCACGTATTTTGTGAGAACCAAATTGATGATGATGTAATAGATAAGTACTTAAATTCAAAACGCATATTATTTTAACGAATTTATTAAAATATATTTTTTTAAAAACCAACACACAGAAAACACACATTTTTTGTATTCTTAAAACTAGATAATCTTTAAAACATTAATCAGTCCAAGAATTTGAGTAACAGAGTATATAGGAACATATTTAAAAACAAACAAAACAACACACATTATAAAAATACTTAAAAATAATAATTTCTAATCAGCCTCCCTGACAGTATCTGAAACAAATAGAAATATACTTATTAAAAATCACAGAAATCAATGAAACTATTAATAAAAAAACACCAAAAACCCCAAAATCAAATAACCAAAAAACTATTTACCTCAGCCATTACATATTTGGACTTCTGCCAGCAATACTCCCAAACGTGTCTTCTATTAATCTTCGAAATTCTCTTAACGGATCCTCCATACTAAAATTAGCATTAGAACTTCCCAAGCAATTGTTCTCATCCATTTCACGTTCCCTGCGGTCGGAAAATTCAGGCAACGATAGTCCTGCTGTCAAGGATCTTCCTCGTGACGTTGAAGATCCTGCTGACTGCACGTCCTGCGGTGACGTCCAAGTTCCTACTGACTGCACGTTCTGTGGTGATTTCCATGGTCCTGCTGACTGAACCTTCTGTGGTAACTTCCATGGTCCTGCTGACTGAACCTTCTGTGGTAACTTCCATGGTCCTGCTGACTGCACATTCTGTGGTAACTTCCATGGTCCTGCTGACTGCACGTTCTGTGGTGACGTGCATGGTCCTGCTACCCTTTCAGAAGGTTGAGGGTTGTAGAACTCCCTAGGAGTGGCTTTAGGGATATTGAAATTTGGCCTCTCAGGAGCTTCTTGCGGACGCTAGAGTATGAAAAATTAATTAGTGGAATTGAATAGATTAAAGTAGGAAATTTTAGTTACCGTAAAAGTGAAGCACGAGGATTCGGGCGACGGCGACGGGGTGTATACTCGAGGACTCGGCGTTCTCCATAGTTCATCTGGTAGGGATATTGTGGACGAGGAGGAACTGTTCCTGGAGCGGCTTTGGGACAAGCTTTTCCTAAAATCCGATGTTTTAGTCATAAATATGCAGGATGTAAAAAATACTTACACTTTGAGTTGTCTGTACTCAGGAGTTGTGTATTGTGAACGAGGTTTGGCCCACTCGATTTCGATGGAAGTTCCTTTGTAATAATCTGAAAAAAGTTATAAAATTGTCGTATGGCGTTCTTGTTTATTATAATTATTCTGGACGGTGTACCGGAAGTCCCACCAAACTAATAATATCTTTTAGGTTTATAATAAGGAGAAATATATATTTGATAAATAACGCTTATCTTGTAACACTCGTTACAGGACCTCTATACTAAAAAACCGATTCCCACCTCTATTAAACTTACGTCATACGATTTTGTATTATGTATCATCGTAAGCAACTTAAAATCCTACTTGCTCGCGAAAAAAATTTAGTCAATTCTGAAAATCTTACCTTGTAGTCTTTTCATTAAATTTTCGGCCAGATGTCTGCTCCTCAGATGTACGAAAGCGTAGTTTTTAAATTTATAGATCTTTTCGACATGATCTTCATGAACGAACGTGTGAATCATATTTCTGAATTGCTCCGGTGTGATGGAAACGTCGAGGTTCTTCATGTAAACAATTTTTACCTAGCACCAGATTAAATTAATTGTTAGCTATTGAAAACTCGAAGGATGATAATAATAGAAAAATAAATTAAATTTACTTACTTCGTTTAGAACGGTCTCGTCCACTTCCGACATGGGAACAGACCAATCGATTATAACCGATCGGTTCCACAATTTCAGGACGTTTGAGTATTTGGCTCGGAAATAAGCCGCCTGTTCGTGGGTTTGAAATTCCACGAAAACAAACCCTCTATTTTGCGCGCGTTCCGTGTAACTCCTGCAATCCCAAAATTAAATTTACTTCTCTAGTAAACCTGCTCTGACCATTTTTATATGATAGTTCAATCTTACCTGTACATAATAACGTCTATGATATTCGGTACGCCATGATTGATCAGCTCCTGCCACACAGCGTCCTTGGTTTTGTTCGTGGGAATTCCGCCCATGAAAATCCTGCAATTGTTCAACGAACTTTCTATGAGCAAATAATGGTTCAGTTCGTATTGAACATTGTTCAGCTCTCTCACGGCCCTTTTGGCCATAGACGGGTCCACGTAGGTAACGTAACAGAAGCCCCTTGTATACAGCAGGTTGTTGTCCATCATAATTCGAATTTTATACACGTCCCCGACGGTTTGGAAGAATTTCAACAAGTCCTCCTCGCGAACCACCGTCGGTAGGTTTTTTACAAATACCTCTGAAGAACCTGCAATTAACAAATAAATGAAGATGCATGATAAAACAGATTTGAGGAGAAATATGAATTAGAAGTATGATGAAAAATGAATTACATCAAGATGATAGTTGATGGAATTAAGATGAAAAATGAAATAGAATTTTATTACAAGATGAAATAGAATCGAGATGAATCACGCCATAGAATCGAGATGAGTCATGAAACAAAATCCAAATAAGATTCAAATAAGGATCCTAATAGAATAAAAATAAGATGAAGGATAAAACAGAATAAACATAGATGAATTAGAAGTTAGAAGAAATGAATGAATTTTTTTCATGAACTTACTTTCTGGTACAAACATTGAATTGCACAGGCGATGAGTAATAACCTTTTGGAATTTAACGTACTTGACGGTGTACTGGTCCATTGTTGCTTACTGGGAGAAGGTGCTGCGTAAAATGGCAAAATGTTAATTCGGATGCGAAGTGGATAGCAACCCTCTTCGTTAATGGGGTGGTAGGGCGGTTCCTATTGGTCGGTGCCTAATAGTTGTATCCTATTGGTGGGGCCCCGCAAAGGGATGCCGTTTAATCTTGGTACCTGCTTTTCAATGTTGATTGTAGTTGAAATGTTTGGGTACAGTTTTGGTACGAAATTTAAAACAGATATTTTTGAGTTGATACAACATTATACACATTATACACATTATACCTAATGTGGCTAATTTTTTTGAAAATTTGATTGGTGTCTAAATGAAATGTATCTTGTGAAATCTTACTAAAGTAAGGACTTGATTGTAATACATAGAAAAAACTACATTAGTCCACAAAGCAATTAAAAAAAGCATGTACCGATATAGAAAAAATATTTATTGCATTGCACAATAATCTAGGATTCTTAAGCTACATTTCCCTGAATTTTTCATGGAAATTTTATATGCTGCTCGCATAGAAAGTGTGTTTTCACCGCACGAGTTTTCGAAATGAAATTTTTCAGCTACAGAATTTCATGAACTAGCGAACTAGAGACTTGCGGAAAGATCATAAAATGTAAACTTACAACGATTTTCCTAACTCTTTACCCTTACTGAATGATCGCGTTAAGGTAAGTTGAAAATCGCGGATATTTGAACTATCTATGAAAACGGTTTATAAAACACTTGTGCCACGCTCTGAAAAATGCCTGAGATATTTCGAAACGTATGTGGAAAAGTAGCTTAAGAATCGTAGAAACTTATACAATAAATATTTTTTCTATATCTGTACAAGATTTATTTAAACTACCAAAAGGAACTTACTTTCTGGACACTCCTTGTATTTTGTTACAATCACGCTTATTTTAAATTATCCCATCTCTAACATGCAAAATGTAAATTCTCTGTGGGTATTAACTAACACTTGTGGTAGTTTATAATAGACCAGACCGATTTTAATCCCTTTCAATAGGATTTTCTAATGAAATTTCAATTATTACTTCCTACGCTGTAATAGGGTGATTAGGGATTTGCATATTTTTTTGGGGTACCTTTCTAAGAACATTAATGGCCTCTTAACAATGCCTGTAAATTATACACTGAATTTCCACAAAATGAACAAAAAAATATAATTACTTACTGGAATTTTAGCGAATCTTGGTAAAACCTGCTCGAAACTTACTTTGTAAATCGGACACGAGAGTCGCTCAAATGATTTCGGTATTCTGATGCGAGTAAAGTTCGGCTAGTGCAATAAAAAATGAAAGCACGTGGGGAATTTTATGCAGAAGCGGCTTAATGTCGGATCTATTTATTTGTATACAAAATATTTAATTTATTTATTTTCAAGCTTTGCGAGTAATAGTCCACTTGATTGTTGAAAATTAATTACTCGTTTATTTTTATTGGTGTAGTTTGTGAGGAAATAATTACACGCAGAAAAATATTAGAAAGAACGTATATTATGATTACATTACATATGATTGCAGTATTAATGAATATAGTACAAAAAATTAGCAAAAACTACGCAAAAATAAATACCTACCTACTACTTAATTTTTAGACAACAAAGATAGGAAAATTCCTCTGTCAGGGCAAAAAACGTCCATCTATTAATTACCAAAAATTGAATTATGAAATTTGGCGAAAAAATTATAGAATAAAAATAAATAAACCCAGTAAAAAATTAAAATAAAAAAAATGATCCGAAAAATTAAAATCCATTAAATTAATTTCAAAAAACATTTCGTATCTTTGTTATCTGAAACAAACTAAAAATAATGAGTTATATTATAAAATGGAATTTCTTAAAATAATTCATATTCGCTTCGAAATGAAGGCACCGGAAGCTGGAAATTCATCCTTTCATTGGACCCCATCTGGAACGAAAACCAATTACATTATCCTACATTAAAATTCCCCGATTAAACTTACCGAATCGAATGCACCGCTCCTGTAGAAATAATTCTCCGGCAGGGGGAAATTATCCGAAGATCCTTCCGAATAAGAAGACTTGGATGATGCCATCTTGGGCGAAAGATTGTTGGAAGTATCATTCGAAGAAGTCGCCGTGGATTTATTCAAACTCGCCGAGGTCTTCTTCATGTAGACCAATCTTCTCAAACTCGGAGGAACCGAACTGGAAACGAAATGGGAGTTTTAGCCACCAAAATGGCGCGTAACTCGTTGAAACTTACGTGCAGAAATTCTCAGGAGGTTTAACCCATCGCGATTTTTTGCTATAACTCGGAGGACGAGACCACTCCACGTTGACTCTGAACACCTTATCAAATGTCGTGATTAACAAACCTACGAATAATTTTATTAGATTCAAGAGAGTTTAAAAGTTGCGCAGCGGACGTCTCCAGCTATAACCCTCGGTCTGTACCCACCTTGGAGTTTGGCCAAAGCGAATTCCGCCGAATTGCGATTGTTGAAATGCACGAAGGCGTACGACGAATTCTTGTACACTTTTCTGATCATTTGCGGGCTGATTTTCTTGCAAACGCACGCTCGTATGTCGTCGGCGTCGAATTCGGGCGGTAAATTGCTCAAATACAACACGGTCACCTGGAATTTCGGAAATTCGCTTAAAAAAATATCGCGAAAACTGTATAATAAGAGAACATTGCGGGACAATCTGTATAACGAACGAAAATTGTCTGTATGACAAACGAAAATTTTGGGACAATCTGTTAAACAAATGAAAATTGTGCAACAATCTCTATAAGGAACAAAAATTGAGGGGCAATCTGTATATAACAAATAAAAATTTGGTTTATTGCGATGCAATTTTTTTGTAGACATTGTGGAACTTTCTGTTCTAAATATCTAAACAAACATTCTTTGTTTTCGGTTTACAATTTACAATTAATTGATAATAATATTTTCTGCTTACTCGATGGCAATAGAACCGAGTCAAAAAACTAAACGAAGTGTAGGCAAAATAAATAATATTTAACTGCAGACGCCTTTAAATCGCCGGCTGGAAGAAAGCATCGATTGTGCACCGATCGATCGAATTGAATTACATCTAAACAATTATTAAAAAAACCAGCACTAAATCTTTACCTTGGCCATGATATCGGGATTAACGTTGGGCAGCGGATCGGCCCAATCGACGTACAAACTTTTGCCCCAAATTTGCAAATTATTCGGCGAAAACTGCCGGCGCGCCATCGCCGCGTACCGGTGGCTTTCGAATTCCACGAACACGAATCCTCGATTCAATCCCGGCTTCTGGATGTCGTAGAACATTATTATGTCCGAGACGCCCTGTATGTATCAGATTAATATATCGTTATGGGTAAAATCCTAAAGACTAAAGAAGGTATAAAACTACAGAAATCAAGTTAAATTACCTCGCTTCTTATCCTATGAGTGCGTGAATAAAATTAAACAATATTACAAACCGTTAAAACGGTTTAAAAATATTTAATATTAAAACGCTTACCTGTACAAGTGAAGTCAATTTATCAAACACCTCGTCCCTGCCGACCTCATACGGTATATTCCCGACGAACAATCTGCAATTATCCACCGACTTGTACACCCCGATGAACAAATTCGGCCTGATCTGGTGGTTGTTGAGCTCGGCGATGGCCCGCTCGGCGTGCTCCACCGTGAAGTAGGTGGCGAACGCGTAGCCGCGGCTCCGCTCCGAGAAGTCCAGCATCATGCGGAACTTGTAGAGCGGCCCGACGCGCTCGAACAGCGGCACCAGCTCGTCCTCGAAGATGTACTTGGACAGCTTGCCGACGAAGATCTCGCAGCCGCGCGGCGGCGCCGGGACGCCGCTCGACGGCGCCGGGGCGTAGACGCGCTGCCCGTTCGTCTGGGTGATGTTGTAGCCGCTTTTCTCGCGCAAAGCGTTCAGTTTCTTGTACAGCTCGGACTTCTTCTTGGCCGAGAATTTGTCGATGTCCTCCAGGATTACCATTGTAGTTGAGTAAAAAAAAGGATGTTCTGTTTGGGGTTTCTGATTGCGGTTGAGTGAGATTTCTTGATGAGTGATGGTAGAGAGAGCGTTTAGAAGTTAGAAGTCGGGAGAGTTGAGGAGAGGGGCCAAATTCCGCACGGGATAGTCGAGACACGGAGTCGAGTGTAAAAAATGCAGCGGGAAACCGCTCGATTGGCTACTAAGCGCTTTGGAATTTCAACAGAATCGGCTCTAGATCTCCAAAATAATTAATTTTATCTCTATTTCTGGAAAACTCGAACTGTTTTCCAACAATTTAACAGAACTAAAATGTGCTCTAAATTTATAAGAATTAAATAATGTACGCAACTTCGGGAAGTTGAGGAATAAAGTTTTTCTTTTGAAATTCGAAACGAAACTTTCATAAAGTTTATAAAGGGTAATAATTGCAGTGTTACGAGTGAATTGGTGTAATGAAATATTAATCACATCTTCTAATCAATGAAAAATCGAAATTTTAAAAGTTGGAGCATTTTCTTTGAAATTCAAAGTTTATATGAAGAATAATTGCAAAGTTATAAGTGATGTTAAATGAAATACTAATTTTATTTGTTCAATTCAACGAAAAATTGAAATAGAGTTGGAAATGTGGAGTTTTATCTTTGAATTTGAAATTAAACTCTAATGAAGTTTATATGAAGATTAATCGGAATCATGAGTAAATATTTATAATTAAAAACTAATTATTTCTTCTAATCAATGAAAATCGGCGTATTAAAAGTGGGAATTAGAAGTTATGAAAATTAAAAGTGAACTAAAAAGTTGGAAAAGTAGATTTTTCGTCATGAAAATAACCATATGCATGGTCTGAATGTAGAATTGATGAATAAAGTTCTAATTATTCAAATAAATTGAGTAAAAATATTATTAATGAATAAAGTTAACTATTAACTGACTATTAATAAATTCGAATGAATAAAGTTACAAGAAAGTTGAATTTAGCATGACAATAATTAGATCGATTTTAGATTTTTTTCATTCTTCATTCATTTCACTTTTTTTATAACTTTTGTAACTTTCAAACAAGTTTCTCTTACCTACTTTAGCGATTTTTTAAAGCAGATATTTTGTCATTTTAATGACATAAATTGTGACATAAATATTTCATCCTTTTATCCTTCTATTTCAATCCTTCTTCAAAAACAAACTCATCTCTCGACGGCGTATTCAACAATTTACCATCCTGCTATGCTCAGTTTCCTGCTACATCCTGCCAGGACGCCATGGCGTCGCCGATCCTTCGCTAGATGGCGCGACTCGCCTGCTATCGATTCAATGATTTATTTATTCACAGGCGCGCCGCAGAAGTTCATCTATTATTTAACCCGAAATTTGAATGATATTTTAATCCAAAGCCAACCCAATCGAACCGAAAGCGAATAAATATTTCGCCCCTAATGAAAATTCTTTAACCGCAAATCCGCGGAGAAAAATGAGTTTTTTAATTGGTGGAAAATCTTCACGCGGAACAGCAGGAACGTGGCAGGATCGAGTCGCCTGACGTCACGCCCAGCTTCCTGTTCTCTTTCGTAATGAAGACAAAGTCACGAAATGTTTTTCCACTAATTAAGACAGGCCATTACTTTTCGAGAACTATTTCGCAATCTCTGCGACTCCGGTTTACTTTTCGCAGAAAGAATTTCCCAACAAACAAATCATCTAGAATCTAAGAAAAATTGTAAAAGCTGAAAGGTATCAGGTGTTTTAGAAGAATCGTAGAAATAGCAGGATTTACGGGATAACTGGGTTTGTTTTTTCCGTGACAAAAACTAGGGCGAAAGGCGACTTTAATACTATCGAAAACTATACTATTGAGGAGGAAAACTTTTTCCATTAAACATCGGACGGGCTCCGTTCCAGCCACTTACAGATAAGGCAAGAGCGCGGAATTCCATTCGAGAAAACTCGACCCGAATTTCATGCGAGAGATTTTCCTTTAATTTTTGATCATTCAACGGAAAACCTCACCTACAAATATGGCGCTAAAGCATTTGAAGCTTTTTCCTCCCGTAGCTCGCATTGCCTAATTTGTCTCTCGTTCCTTTGACAATTATTAACAGTCGCAGAAGGGAATGAATTGGGGATAAGTAACGTGCGTTCGTTTGAGGCGAATGCTCGATAAAATATCCAGTCCTTCTTCACAATTTAGTGCGCATTCACCCAATTTGTAAACACGTAAAAGGTAAGCGAGCGGAATGAAGCACTAATACCAAGCGAGAATTCCACTCCCTACTATTGCTATTTTTTTGCATTGTACGCAAATAAGTGGGACTTTAAGATGCGCTCGATGATACAATAAACAGAAACTGTCAAAATTGACGTTAAAGACAGTAGTTTAGTAGAGGTTGGGATCAATTTTTTGGCATAGAGGTGCAGTAACGACTGTTACAAAATAAGCGTTATTTTAACAACAATTTCAAATCAGGTTTACGCGCTTACGTCGTGCAATTAGTCACATCATACGTCAATTAAGAGTAATTTTTCATCGAGTTTCGGTGGTAAATTCGAAGCCTCGATGATCAAGAGGTCTATTGTTATCGTGCAAATTACACGGGCGAACCGACGATATACGAGTCCGTAGGCCTAATTAGTCGAGCTGCGACGTTTATTAGGGCAGAAACAAACAAAATCGATGGGTTATTAGTACGGTGGTGGATACTAAAAGGAAAATTACAGGTGATCGGTGAATGAATTAAAGATACTTTACGTAACTAGAGGGGCTTTTGCACTCGTGTTTCGTTGCTGGAAAATTGCCAAACGAGTTAAGTCTAAACCTGAACATACTAATGTGAATTTTTAATTATAATGTGGAATTCGAATAGGTGAATATTATAATGTATTCGTCTGTTCGATATACCAAATTATGAAATTATTATTCCGTTCATTTCCCTAAGGGCACCTACATATAGCTCTTCACTGCAAAATCTAGTTATCAATAATTTAGAAAGGTTTTCTGTTATTTAAATGAAACACGGTAATTCAATCTAAAAACAACTAGACATATCAAATGTCATTAGCATAAACCACAATTTTACATGTACGCATTTCGAAATCCACCATGCACTTTTTTTAATTATACAGAGTGTGCCAAGATGAACTTTTAGATTTTTAATATCTCATCCGAATCTAAGTTTTTAGGGATGTAAAAAGGGAAGAAATATGATATTTTTGAAATTGAACTTTCCACAATTTTTATGCACTCACTGTATATAATAAATAGCTTTTCCACACATGTTCAAATACCTTTTACCTTTTACCTCCTAATAGCTACTCTATATAAATATTTTTTTAATTGATTTGGCGGATGCTCGTAAATAAATAACAAATTTATTTATAAAAAATATTACTCAAAATGCAGGTAGTGTAGATACACATTTTTGGAATAAACATATTTGAAATTGTTTATTTTCACTTTTGAATGATTATTTTGAAATGTATTTTGGTGGAAAAATCGACACAACTGCTGACAATACGTTTTTTTTTCCGCTTCGATATAACGGGAAAAATCTCCAGGAAGCAGGTGCTGAGAAACATCCCGAATCCACTCCTTTTCAGTTCCACAAAGACTCCGAAAACTAGTCGAAACGTAAATATTGGATACATAATAAGGATTTTCGCGTTTTTTATATCCGCTCGGTTTCCTTTTTCATTCGCGTTTCGCGAATTCATCACAACGTATTCGGCAAATCAAACATTATCCTTTCTGATTGAAACTTCAATTTTTTTGTTGCTAGTCTACCCCGCGCAGTAATTAAAAGTTTCGCAACTCTTCCTCGCTTAACTTCCGTTCGGCTATACTTCGTTAATCGGAGGAAAAAATTTATTTCACCTGTGCAAATCGAGGAGTTTCCGATAATGCGAAAGTTTGGAATTCCGTCGCGCTCGAATTAAGTGAAAAATTTGAACTTATTCCTATTTAGCGATGCTTAAAAAAATCGATGGCGGGTATATCCGAAAAGGGTCCTGATGAAAGCTGATTTTGTTTCTTGAAGGCGGATTTTTGTGTTTATTAAGCTGATTTGCTTTGAAAATTATTGCCTATACATTCCTGCTTTGATGGGATAAAATTTTCGATTGAGATATATCGCCGGTAGATTAAGAAAGTAGCTCGGTTTCTTTTTTTGAATTTTTGATGCGAGTTCGGTTTCGGTCGATTTTCACTCTATTTTTAGACGAATTTCTCTTAGGAAGCAGCCGCTTTTTCGACGCGAAATTGACTTCGATCGCCTATTACCTGCACTCGGAACAAAGCGATTCTGTTATCTTAATAACTCCAGATAAATTTAAAAAAAATCGTCAATATCGAGCTCGAGAAGCGGGCGAGATCTCTCCGCTTTTACGAGCTCCCGAGTTATCTAAATATTTACTCAACCAGATGAATAAATTTAGGTCAGAAGGGTATTATACATTAAATTTTGACGCGAAAAAAAAACTAGCATTCCGGTAATTTGATCAGCAGAACGTAAAGTTTTAATGAGCTTTTCCGACGGCCGGCCATTTTAGACCGAAAAATAATTGCTCGGAAAAATTTTAGCTACTAACCATCAGGAAAATTTTTAATACATTAATTTCATTTCTGCCCTCGCAAACTGTTTTGACGTCAATGCGATTGATATACAATTTGTTACGCAAAATGTTGTAAAAGTAAAATTATACTCTGTTCACCATCAGGAGATAGTATAATGAATGCCAGTGATGGCTTAATAAAACCAGAAAATTCCAAAACTTCCAAGAACATTTTACACGACCTCCTGACCTGATAGCGAACAGACTATATTTATACTCGTAGTAATAACTTTTTTAATACTGCATTTTTGTTTCAGGTAAGTGATAAAACTCACTAGACTTTTACACCACGTAATCAGGTAAATATTTTTAATCACCCTCGAGTTTAAAGGAAGTCGTAAATTTACTCTCTTAACACGTCCATACTGCACGTTTTCAAACGGCGAAATAATTTT